TTAGGAGAAATTGAATAGATCCAACAAAAAAAATCCAAGAGGAGGTAGAGGATCAAAGAAAAATTGATGAAGCCTCAAATGAGTATTATTAAACATTTAAACATTTAAACAATTACCAAATGAAAAACAAGAAGAATTCTATAATTATTAAATAAATTGAGGAAAGAATTTCATATTAAGCTAAATATCTAAAGAGATGTTTTCCAATTAGCAATTGATTGTAAATCATTGTTATTCAAAAACATAGATTTTGGAGATAATTATTCAATCTTCTTTTTAGGATAAGTGTTCAATGTATTGGATACAACTATTCAAGAATTTTTTCAGGAAGAAAAATCTTCAGCTAAAGCTTGAGAAGATATCAAGATAGTCTAAATAACTTGTACTATGTAAAAGGATTATTTATAAACATTTTAAATGATGTAATGAAAAAGCCAATAGCACAAAAAATCAATATGTTTGCTCAAAAAATTGGTAGAAAACTAACAAGAGGGTTTGAAACTATTGATTAAGTATTATCTCAACCAGTTGATCATAGATGTAGATTTTATCAATCTGATTTGTAAATAGATAAATTTGAAAGTTTTCACATGAGAACTAGAGATCCTTTCGAAAAGGGATCTTAAGTATAATTTTGTTATATTCGATTGTCAGATAGATAAATGCTCTTGAAATATGGAATGGTTTTGAAATATAATAAATATGATAGTAAATTGTTGAGGGTTGAATATTTAAAGTTACTTCAAAAGAAGGAATCTATTTGGATAGTTCATAGATTTACACTAAAAAATTCAGTAAATTGGTAAATTATAATTTATATCCTTTCTATAGGACTTTATATATAAATTGTATTGATACTCTTTATAAAATTAAAGATTTATAATTAGAAAAAGCATTATCCTTGGCTCTACAAATTCTAGTGGAAAAGAACTCAAAATTCAAAGAGACAATTGAAGTACTAGAGAAATAATTATTTGACGAAAGTGCAGGATATCATGAATATTATGCAATAGTTTATAGATTAGAAAGACTTAGATTATATTGTCATAATATTGAGTAATTTAATGTATTATTGAAGTTTAATCGATAGAATTATGAAAGGAGTACCTTTTGATGAAGCTATTAAAAAAACAGAATATGATAACGACTTTTATGATACAAATCGTTATATATTAAAGATTTAATTTGATTAAATGAGATCAGCATAATAAATATGAAAATGAACTTAATTTATTGTTTAAAGGTTATAAATGTGTTTAACTCAAATTCTAACATTTATCTTGACATAATGATTGTGCATTCAAATAAAAATAACAATTCTGAACAACACTAAAATGGTCATTGAATAGTCAAAATAAATAGAGTACTTTTTTTAGTTTCTTTTTATACTTTGAATCCTTTAGTTACTTTGTTTTTCTAATTATCCTTCTTTAGCTACCTATTTCTACTATCCTAAACCTTACAAATTAGAATAATTAAATTAGGTATGATTCTAAATATTAGCATAATTATAACACCTATAAATGTTAAAGTGAATGAATTGTTCATATTTAATAACCCTTTACTTTTGAAATCAGCTTCCATTTGTTGTAATCTATTGATTTCATTAAGATATTTGTTATAATGAAAACGAGTGAGTTATCCATCATCATTAACAAAAAAGAAAGAAAAAAATTTTTCTTTAGAGTTTCGTCTTATTAATAGATTTAATACTATCTACTTTTGATTGTTAACTTTGAGGGTGAAGCTTCAAAACATCTAAAATAAAAGAAAAATCTTTTTGTTTAAGAGTTTATTTGTCATTGTATAGTGTTATAGAGATTTCAATAATTTTATCATGAATTGTTTGATTATTATTCTTGATTTGAGTGGCAAATATTAAGAATCAAAGTGTTACCCAGCTATCTTAAAAGGAATCTAGTTATTCATATTTTAAAATATATTTTTAATTATAATTGATATAAACAGATATTATTAATTTTATTACAGAAACATAATCTGAGGGTTGGCAAATATTCATTATTAAGAATCAATTAAAACTCTATAGTACTTATAATTTCAATCTGAGATAAAATAATTTAAACATTGGTTATAGGCTAAATAGAATGATGATAAAATGAATAATAAATTTGTTCTTTGATTGAATAATCATTTAAGTACTAGTTTTAGAATACTTTCTCAAGATATAAGTTATAAATAGAATTTGATCTTCTATTAATTTAGAATATCTAAATAAATGGCTGTTGCGTGGTTATTGTATTTTTTTGTATTAATTGGATAGAAAAAAGGTAATTTATAGTTGAATCTTAATTAATTTTGATGCACTTAAAACTTTGTAAGAATGAAAAATAAATAATCATAGTTAAAAATAACAATTTATATTGTTGCAACTCAATTTTTTTTTCTTGATATTTTCTGATATTTATTTCACTGCTATGACTCTCATGTGTTATTAAATAAGTCCCATCATCTAAAATGGTGCCAAATAATCCACAACAATCACACATATTTTCAGATGATGATATTGTTTGAAATTCACCATAATCTTTATTTTTAATTATATTCACATAATATTAAGTAGAATTAATTTTTCTTTAATATATGCTTAAGGGAAGAGTTCAGAGCAATTTTTATCTGATTTAATGCTGATATTTAATTTTATTTTGGTGAATTTGTACCTTGATTTATGTCCTCATAAATATGCATACAATTAGATTAGAATGTAAATAAACTATCTGTAATAACACAGAAACTAAACCCATACTTTTCAACTGATATTTTTTAGATTGTATTCCATTAATATTATTATTATTATTTTTTAAATGAGCAATATTAATTTATCAGTTCCACATGATAATTATGAATTGTATGAAAAATTCAATGATAACTATTTGATCTTACTTTTATTATCTGATAATGTCTAATTGCACTTCCATTATTAATTCTCTTTAATCCAAAATGTTATACACTTATCTGTACTACCAGACATGACACAATCTTCTTAGTTATTTGTAATTTACCAATTAATTCTATCAGTATGACCTTCTAATTTTATAAAACTTCCATTTTTTCTTATTATCCATATTCCAAATTCTAATCAAATCATCACTACAAAAAATAAATTATTAACTCTTTAACATATAAAATAAAGAATTAATTTAATTCTAATGCTCTTTAAGTTATTAAGTCTCTTTCANAAAATAATTTAAACATTGGTTATAGGCTAAATAGAATGATGATAAAATGAATAATAAATTTGTTCTTTGATTGAATAATCATTTAAGTACTAGTTTTAGAATACTTTCTCAAGATATAAGTTATAAATAGAATTTGATCTTCTATTAATTTAGAATATCTAAATAAATGGCTGTTGCGTGGTTATTGTATTTTTTTGTATTAATTGGATAGAAAAAAGGTAATTTATAGTTGAATCTTAATTAATTTTGATGCACTTAAAACTTTGTAAGAATGAAAAATAAATAATCATAGTTAAAAATAACAATTTATATTGTTGCAACTCAATTTTTTTTTCTTGATATTTTCTGATATTTATTTCACTGCTATGACTCTCATGTGTTATTAAATAAGTCCCATCATCTAAAATGGTGCCAAATAATCCACAACAATCACACATATTTTCAGATGATGATATTGTTTGAAATTCACCATAATCTTTATTTTTAATTATATTCACATAATATTAAGTAGAATTAATTTTTCTTTAATATATGCTTAAGGGAAGAGTTCAGAGCAATTTTTATCTGATTTAATGCTGATATTTAATTTTATTTTGGTGAATTTGTACCTTGATTTATGTCCTCATAAATATGCATACAATTAGATTAGAATGTAAATAAACTATCTGTAATAACACAGAAACTAAACCCATACTTTTCAACTGATATTTTTTAGATTGTATTCCATTAATATTATTATTATTATTTTTTAAATGAGCAATATTAATTTATCAGTTCCACATGATAATTATGAATTGTATGAAAAATTCAATGATAACTATTTGATCTTACTTTTATTATCTGATAATGTCTAATTGCACTTCCATTATTAATTCTCTTTAATCCAAAATGTTATACACTTATCTGTACTACCAGACATGACACAATCTTCTTAGTTATTTGTAATTTACCAATTAATTCTATCAGTATGACCTTCTAATTTTATAAAACTTCCATTTTTTCTTATTATCCATATTCCAAATTCTAATCAAATCATCACTACAAAAAATAAATTATTAACTCTTTAACATATAAAATAAAGAATTAATTTAATTCTAATGCTCTTTAAGTTATTAAGTCTCTTTCAAAGTTCCTTAATTAAATTCAAAAACCTTAATATTTCCACTGCTTTGTCCAGCAATCAATTTTGATTATTCCTTATTAAATACAAATGCTCTGCATTTAGTGCTCTCTTTCAATTAGAAAATCAGATCATAGCTAAATGATTTTAAAGTTTATTGTATAATTATTTACTTACTACTATTAACTTTAAGACTGATATTTTATAATTATATGATTAAGCGGTTTAAAGGGTTTTGAAATCAATTAAGAAAATTATAATGAATTAAATTTTAGAACTACGACATTTGATCAATTTATTAATAGCTTATTCTTTGGATTAAGATTCTGCATAATTTGGAGCAAGTTTTTTATATAAATTTATGATGTTGTTCATGTTCTTCATTTCCTTTTTGAGCTATTTTGTAAATTGATTCTATTAATTATTCAATTTGTTTAAAAATTACTTCTTTAGATTCCTTCAATTAATTAATTACTTATGATAAATATTAAAAATTGATTATTCATTATAATTTTACCAAAGTTATTGGATTTAACCTAAATCTTTCTATTGAATAAAATATTTAGGAACATATTTCAGGCAAACAATTCTGTTTGGGATGCACTTTGATTCTGATAAATCAACGAAAGTTATTTATAGTAAATTTTTTCCACATATTCAATTAGGGTTTTATTCTTAATAGTAATTAGTCAATAACCCAAAATCAAAAATTGATTTACAATCTCACTCTTATAAGAAACTTCTATTCTTTATATTAATTACTCGAACTTTGTTAAAAACATAGTTTTGGATAAATTACCTATTTAATTTATAAGTGATTATGATGATACTTTATAATTCACATAATTTTTTAGGATTGAACTTCTATCCTAGTGAATAAGTTCTATTTGATCAAATTAAATATCAGATAACACTTTACTTTCTGAAATTAGGTTGAGGATTATTCAATAACTTGAATTTCAGTATCAATGTTTTGATTAGTGCTTTTGCCAAAATTGCAAAATTGTTCTTTGATATCATTAAAAATTTTAATAGAATTAAGAGATTCTCTTTATTACAATAATGCAGACTTTGTTCAAAATGTTTTTTTGCATCATCTTTCAAAATTAAATCCTTTTATTTATCAACTGCACAATTATGACAAAGTTTGAATGCTTTTTATTAAGATTTTGATCTTGTTAAAAATAAAGCAACTTTCTTGTTATCCATACATCTAGTGATATCATTTAATTTTTGCATAAATATCTTCTAAGTTTGTTAAAATAAAGCAAACAAGAGTCATAACAAGTATGAATACAAAATAACTAAATTTGTATTCTTTAGAGTTTTTATTTATTCTACAAAATAAAGGGATTTATTTTAATAATAATTATTTATTTATGATATAATACTATTTTTATATTAATTAAAAATATAAGTATTTCTTATATATTAAAAAAATTCAAATAAAATAGTTTATTAAATTTCATATTCAATAATATATTATATTTTAATAAAAATATTAATGCTATTAGACATTTATACTTGATGATGTATTTATATAAAAAAATACCACTGTGAATCCACTATTACTCAGTCCAACAATTCTTATCTTTTTAGATGAATTCCTTCTAATTATTGCAATGTTCATAACGAAAACTATAAAAGCTAAATCTACATATTTGATTTTTCAAATTCAAAAATACCTAACTAAAAATATGTAATAAAAAATATTATTTATGAAGTCTAGAAAATTTGAAATCAATCATACTAAATTAAATGAAATTAAAATAGTTTATTTAATAAATTTAAAAAAATTTTTTGGTACTTAAGCAAAGCAAAAAGAAAAAAATTTTCATGCATATAATATGTTACTTAAATTAATATTATTATGATAATTAAATGGGAAAAAATAGAATTTTAATTTGCTTTTAATATATTTTTTATCTAAGTATAAACAATATAACATGATATTATGATCTAAATATATAATGCCACCATCAAGAGGTTGTGATCCGATAAAAAATATTAAATTGAGCCATATTTTGAAATAAAAAATGGGTTCAATCTTTTCTTACTGAATTTCGAGTATTTATCGTTCTGGATACAGAATATGACAATTAATTTAAGAATTCTTTTTTAGAAGCTTATAAAAGAATATAATACTGTAAATATTTCAAACGGTTAAATTTATTATTTAAAAAGGTCTATATTATGAAGGTAGACAATGATGATGAAATTTAAAAATTACAATAATCATTTTGAGGCTTTATCAATTTTTATAAAGAATTATTGAATTTCATTAAAATTATATATTTCTATCAATTAAAGTAGATGCTTTTTTACTAAAGGCTAATAGACTAATAGCATTACTATGTAATAAATAAATTGCAATAGAATAATTTATTCATTCATTATTAAATAAATATATATCAAATTATTTTCATTTCTATATGGATTATAAGGATTTTATATTAAAATTCCTCATTCAAATTTGACTCAGATATTATCTTCATTAAACTGTGATTTTCCAATATTAGATAAGTTTGTCATTTATTTATTCAAAATTAATGGAATTCTAGAAAATCAAAAATCAAGATTTATCCATATCCATAATCAAAATACTTTTTATTCTGGACTTAAATTATCATAATTTTATATTATCAAGCCTCTATATAAAAATGATCATATTTTATTATTAATAGTTAAGGTATTGCTAATAAAACATTAAATAATTATCTTTTAAACAATTAATCAAAAAGCATGATGAAGCGCTTTAGTTAATATTGATATCTCTAATAAAATAAAAGAAAAAAAATGTAGGAATCTCATAATTCATCTTTAGTGTATTCCTTTTCATTAGAGAATTAAAATCCTTGAATTTCTGTAACATTATTATAAACACATTTTTAATAGGTCCATTATATCAATATTCTTACTATTTTGCAGAAATAACAGAACTCTTTAATCATAATTCATAATTAATATCAGATAAATTCGGAATATCATATATTAATACTATGTTTATATACTACAATAAACACTTAATAAAATATATATTTAATAAAAGATATGAAAAATATAAACACCTTATTCTATCTAATGATCAAAATGTGTTTAGCTTCTTGCTCTTAGTTTAATGAAGACTTACTGATCAACAGCTCAAATCCTATGGAAATAATCAATTACACTTATGAATCAAGCCCAATTCAATTTGAATTTTGGAGTTTCTATATTGCATCTTATCAAGTAACCAGCTACCCTTGGATTGAATAAGAGCCAGATAGAGGGTAAAAAAAAACACAATTACTTTTTGTTATTAAAAATTTAGATGATAATCAAGTATTGTCATTTATTTATTTAAATTTACTTACAAATACCTAAGTAATTCATAGTCTTTATTTTGATGGTAATATGAATGATTTATTATTTAATCCGAGTGATTATGAAGGGGTTTGGATATTGAATGTGATAACTATTAACGATTTAATGATTTAATACGAAACAAAAGATAATTAAATTTAAAATTAAAATTAATTTTAATTTATTTTTAAAAATAAAATAAATAATATTTAATTAGTCGTTGGAGGATCAGGAATTGTAATTATATTAATCATATTTTAGATTAATAACAAATATCAATTAGGGATCTTTAGAGGAAGACTTTCAAAGTTATTCATTCATAATGACTTAAGGGATAGTTACTTAATATATTTGAACAGAATTAAAGAATTAAGAATAAAAGAGTTTGAATTAACGATAGAGTTGATTCCAAATTTAGTCAATTTTGATGGAAAGTAATAACAAAAGATTGAATTCTAATAATTTGGAAAGACATTTAGTATTTATGGATGGGTAAAATATTTTACTTAAGATGTTTTCTAATTGAAGAAGTATTTATTAGTTAGACTAACAATCTTTAACAATTACAAAGATGAGATAGATGTAGGGGATGAAATACTGAAAATTACAGTAGATTTGGATCCATCAGATTAAGCAAGATGTGGATATGATTTAATATCTCATCATTATTGGATGCCATATCCTTAATTAATAAATGAAAATGCTTAGAATGATCGTATTAGCTTAAGAGGCAACTTAGAATATTTTCAAATTTTATCAAATTGGCATTTCATATCATTTCAGCATGGAATAGAAGAAAATGGTTCAAAATCTAAATTTAAGTTAACTCATATTGACAATAATAATTTGATAACTAATACTTATTATCTTGGGAACAACTAATTTAGCAATTTATTTATAAATAAAAAATATTATGCTATTTTTGGAGGGGATTATACTGTTGATGAAAAAATGAAAGGATAAATAGCTAGTTTTTATTTTAAATCCAATTTTAAAGAAGATTTAAACTTTAATTATAGTATCATTGTTTTATAATCTTAGTTTGCCATTATAGTTGCAAAACTTGCTTTGGTCCATTGTTTTCAAATTGTTTAACCTGCAAAGAAAATGATGAAAGAGTTATGTTGGATTTACATTAATGTGTATGCCAAATAGATTATTTTGAAAGAGATTAAAAGTGTTAATCTCAATAAGAAATATTTCCGACTTTAATTTTTAATGAGGTTTAAATATACAATTAAAACATATAATGTTTATTTGGATACTTTTATCTACCTGTGAATTAATAGTGCATAAGATGGTAATAATTTACAATTAAATAGTCCTTAATGGAATTCTTATAATTTGTTGTGCGCAGATTGTTTATTGAATCCTAATGCATGGTATATACGACCAATTTGTACTATAGACTTTATCACTTAATAATTAAATAAAGAAGAAGATGCCTATTCTAAATAAATGAGATCTCCTCTACATTATGATCTTTATTACATTGATCAAAATTATAACTTAATATTATTAGAAGGAGTGTCCGATTATTGTGACATCAAGTAAATAAATTCATAAATTTGTTACTAATTAAATATTCAACATTTACAAACTGATACATTTGTTAATTGTAAAGAAAATCGATATTATGCTAATCAGAGCTGCATTTTATTAGATAATGCATGTGTTAAATTAAATTAAAGTGAAATAAAATGTATTTAATGTTTAACTGGATATTATATATCAGATTAAGGCACAGCTTGTTTATTGTGTCCAGAATCCTGTCCATATTGTTAAAATTAGAATAACTGTAAATCTTGTTAACCAAATTATGGACTTTCTAATGGAAAATGTATACCATGTGGCGACTTTTGCAAAATATGCCAATAATCACAATAATCAGAAATTATGCAGTGTCTAAGTTGTATTGATAATCAATTATATTATTTATCATTAAATGGATAGGATTGTAAGGTAAACCAAATAGAAAATTGTGTATATGCATTCGAAAGTTCTTAATCAGATTTAACTGTGAATTCATTAGATTATAGCTTTATACCTTATTATTAAGCAACAATCACTAAATGTGCTAAGTGCAAAGAAGGCTATTATTTTCATGAAGTTGAATTAACCTGCAAGGAATATTATCCAGATTTATGCTAAACACCTTTGTTATAAATAACAGAAAATAATGGCTAAGAATTTGTTTGCTTATTTGGTGATTATAATCCAGATTTTCTAATTTATTCATTTACTAATGAATGTCCAAGAATTAAATAGCGTTGCATTTATTGTGTAATTGAATAATTAACATTTCATCTTGAATATAATTATTATGTTCCTAAAAAGGTTTATTATACATGTCTTGTATGTGAAAATGGTTACTACGCTGAAAAAAAAACTGGTGATTGCCTATTATGTCCTTCTGATTTACATTGTATTGCTTGTTATTAGGAGAATAAATTTACGAAAGACAATTGGAAAATAGAGATTCGTGCCTTCTATAAGGCTTCCATAGATTAAATTTATGTCGATCATAAATTTACTGAATATGGTTTAAGTTAAAATGATTCAGATTATGAGATAATATGCACCAAATGTTAATATGGATATGAACTTCATAAAGACAGATGCATTAATATTTGTCCTGAATGGTGCTTAGAATGTGTTATAGAAAATTATACAAATATCTGTGTTAAATGTCCTTTGGGGTTCAAAGGAAGAAATCGAAGCCTGGTAGATAACTAATGTATTTCTTGTCCAAAAAATTGTAAATTGTGTTAAAAAAGAGATGATAAATTAATACTTTCTATTAACCCACTATTTAACAATTAAGAGTTATCATATTTCTCATATTATTGCATTGTGGGATTTGACAACACAATTTTTGATGAAGAATTAGGTTTATATGTGGATTGTGAAGATGGTTCATGCTTCAAATAAATTATTATCAATCTAAATTTATTTTGTAATAACACAGAATATCAACAACAAATTGGCAAATTGTAAAATGAGGAGTAAATATAAAAATTTAAGCTTGAAAATATTCTAAGTGAAGAGTTGTTTTCTTCTTAAAGTTTTTCATAAGTAATAATTCTTTTAGCAATTTTAGTTTGAAACATAAGAATTTTATTAGATGGCTAATGAAAAATAAATTAAACAAATTTTGATTAAAATTGTTAGTTTATAACAATAAAGTTGTAATGTAATAAATAAATTGCAAATCTCTTAGTAGTTTAGCTCTAATATTTTTTCAGCGATGTATTTATAATTATAAAGTTTAGAGATGTAGAACTTGAAATTTAGGGCAATGGTATAACAACTTTTCAATTTTAATATTTATTTTCTTTTGTTAATTTTAAGAAAGTACGAATTGAAGGTATATCTATTGAGATAGAGAAGCTTTAGTATAGTAGCTCAAATTTACTTAAATTTACAAGTATCTTTGAGTAAACAGTTGAATTAATTAATATAAATTACGATCAGGACTAAGACTATGATTAAGCAACTTTTTATACAATAATAGAAAATGCTAAAAATGTCTTAATATAAAACTTTTTTGTAAAAAATTATAAAAAACAATTTCATATCGAAGCTTTGTTGAAGATTGAATAAACATAATCAGAGTAGACAATCAAAATATCGAACTGCATTATTACGAGCAGTTCATTTTTGGATTTACATTTATTATGGTTTAATATTAAAGAAAATGATTAAGTAGAAATAGAAGATTTAAATATTGAAACCACAATTTTTAATTAGTCATTAATATATTAATTAAATGGTAAATTATTAATGAATAAAATAAGCATCTAAGAATGTCAGATATATTCTTAAAATGGATTATTTTAAATAGATTCTTTAAAATATTTCGAATTAATATCATTAGATTTTATTTTTAATTAGATTTATTCTGGCAAATTTTACATCTTAATCCAAATTCTTCGTTGATGAATTTAAAGATTTCATAAAATATTTTCTAAAACGATTCTCTACTTATCTATAATATAAATGGTGAAATAGAATATATTTTTATGTAGGAAATTGTATTTTAATTAAACCATCATAGTGAACATACGGCTTTCATTAGAATCATTTCCATAACTATACCTAATACTGAAATAATTATTTAATAATTATCAATGCTTCAAAATTCATTATTAGAATTACCTAATCAAATGAATTATGATATCTTAGAGATATCTTTAATCTATATCTAAATGAATATAGTATATATTGATTAATTAATCATTCAAAAAGCATATGGAATACCTGATTTATTAATAATTAATGCTAATAAATTAGATTTGAATTAAATAACAATAGAATAACATGAAAGTTATCAATTTAAAGGGCTTTATTAAGATTTTAATTGTTTTCTGAGATCTAATGCAAGTAAATATGAATATCTTTCAATCAAAATTTATAATGTGCCAAAAATTGATGTCAGATAATTACTTATTACAAAAGCTTAATCAATAAATTATCCTATTATTGAAATTAAAGCTTCTTTTACAAATACTAACACTTAACATCTGATTAATTTTTCTGAAATATATTTTGTTGACAATTTGCTTTTGATTACAAATACAATTAACTTAGCTTCGCTTTTCAATATATATTCTGACATAGGTTATCATGTATATATCAATAATTCTATATTTGAAAGAAATCTGATGCATGAATATACCTCAATTAACTAAATTAAATCAGGTTTAATATTATATTTTGATTGTAAGAAATGTACAATCTTTCTTACTAATTTACTATTTGAAAGGAATATTGTTACTAATTCTTCAAATTGTATTCTTTATATTTAGACTAAAAGTATAGAAATATTAAATTGCAATTTCATTTAAAACAGCATTTTTGATTATGAAATTTTATAACCCTATTTATTTTGGGGTTATCAAGAAGATCAGCAAATTTATACTGAGTATATAAACTAAATTTTCCCCATCAAAGTTAAATCAGGAAATGGTTAAATTATCTGCAAATACATATTTATGAATTATGTCACAATATAAAATTCTACCGCACCAGGATTTTATTTATACCTAGAAAATGAAGCATTTGCCTAAATTTAGAATACTATTGTTAGTTTTATTAGTTCTCAATTTTTGAATGAAAATGAAAATGGTGGTGCCTTTTTAATTGATACTATATTTTCTATTTCTTCAGTGATAAATTTTAAAAATATATCTGCTATTGAAATTCGCTCAAGAAATAAAGGTGGTTTGATATACATTTAAAATGCATTGGAGAACATGATCATAAAATTAGAAGATGTTATTATTAATGAAGTTTATTCCTTATTGGGATCAATATTTTATATTGAATTTCCATTAAAAGCAAATTCATAATCTATATTTAAAGTTGAAAATTTGGAAATAAGAAATACAGAATAAGGTTTCATTAGATATTTAAGTTAATATAATGAACCAACCAGAGAATTATTAGATGAATTAAATGATCACAACTATTTATTCTAAGTTGCTAATGCAAAGTTAGTAAGTTTCTAAAATATATGTATTTTTTCATTATTTCATGTCTCCTTTGCTAGTCTAGTTTAAATACTTATAATAGATATAATTAATTTTAGATGTTATAATTCATCCATAAAAAATGAATTATTTCATATATCATCAATGAAAGAAAATTCTTAAAGTAAAATAGTGGATTTTTATGCTTCTAACATAAGCTTTTTAAAAGTTATACAATCATTTGGATAATGTAGTTAGCAAAATTATTATTTTAAAGTGCAACCATAAATATGCTCAGCAGATGTAACTAATGCAGAATCCCCAATATCATTAATGAATAATTTCACAAAAGATACATTATCTAATAGCTATTGTATTATTCAATAATTGAATTATCCAAAATGGGAACACTTTACATACAGCCTTATACTTGATATTTTAGATATAAATATTTTAACAATTTTTGAATTGCATTTAAATAATATCGATTGCTAAGAATGTTTCCGTGGATTGGTTAGTATAAAATAAACAGAAATTGTTCCGAAAATTATTATGAAATCAATACTTTTTTCTGATAATACATGTGATGAAGGTTGCTTATATATATCATCTTTTGATTTGAACTAAGATAATAGAAATTTAGGATCTTTAATTCCATATGTTAAGAAAAAGTAATTTGCAGTGATATTACAAAACTATAGATGTTTTAGAAATTTCGCTTATGGTTGTACTTGTCTTTTTAGTACACTAATAAGTATTTTGATTGAAGATTCTTTTTTTCAAAACAATACTGCAATACGCGATCGTGGAATAGTATGTATTGAGAATGTGAACTTAGTTAGTTTCAATATATTAAATTCTGTGATTTAATAAAATGATGGTGGTTATGTTGGAGGATTATATGTAATGGATTCATCAATAGAAAATTTAACTAAATTAGGAACATTAATAAATGATAATACTGGTTATTTTTAAAATAATTTGATGTAATAGCCATCTTAATTATCAATATAATTAGATAAAAAAAATTTATGGCCTAAAATAAAAATCTTTCAAAGTGAAAAGATTCTTATAGAATAAATTTAGATTGGGTAATATGAACTATTTCAAGAATCACACATTGATGTATTGTATATTCCAAATGGATAGAAGATCTCTGAATATAAATTTTTTGATTGGAAGAATTAAAATTATGTCCCTTATAATTTAAGTTTAATTGTAGTTCCATTAGATTAATTAAATAATATATAAATGTTTTTGGACTCGGATGTTTACTGCTCTATGAAAGTACTTCTTGAAAATGAATATTAACGAAATATTGATTAAGGTTATTATAATTTTTTTGAAGATTATGAAGAGGAAGATGAAAATTATTTTTAAAAAACCATTGATGAAAATGGTTTTATTTTTGATGATGTTATTTTTCATTTAGATGATGAATTAAATCAAACATAATTGATACTATTTCATTGTAGTGCTATTAAAGTTCCAATTTATGGTGAAAATTAAGCAATTATAGAAGATTTTCATTTTAATTATTTCTTACGTTTAAATATCAAGCCATTGCCTTGTTAATTGGGAGAAAAAAGAATTATTCATGAAGGGTGTATCCCTTGTGATGCCTCCATAGGATAATACTCAGTAACTCTTAATACTAATAAATGTTCTATAATCGATGAGATCTCAACTTAAAATATTACATCAGCATAATTAAATCTTAGATAAGGATTTTGGAGACCCTATGTTGATACTAATTATATTAGCGAATGTATCAATTTACCTGAAAATTGTGAAGGGGGATTTCACGAAGGAGATAAATCTTGCTTTCAAGGTCATATTGGAGCATTATGTGAAGAATGCGACATTCATAACATAAGATTAAATGGGTCTTTTTCAACAAGCTAGAAATATTCCTGTGGCCTATGTGTTGAAGAAAAGTAAAATTTTGTTGCTATTACTGCGATCAGTTCATGGTAATTTTTATAATTAATTATAAGGACTTTAATTTCAATATTACTTTCAGTTTAGAGTAATTATATCTTGAATAAACAAATGATTCTTAAAAAGATAGTTTCAAGCCTAATAATGACTAAGATATCATATCATTCCAATTTGGGCATTTTAATAAAAATGATTACTCATCATTTTCAAATAGTCTCTGTTATTTTTACATTTAGGTTTAAAACATTCATAGATATAGGTGCTGCTTTTAATTCTATTAGCAATCCAATTCAAAAAATTACTCATTCATTAGATTGTTTATTAAAAGACATAATTTCTATATAAATTCATTATTCAAGAATGATATGGTAATTGATTATGCCTTTCATTTATATTTTATTTTTTCTGGGTTCCTATAGGATTGCTTTGAAATTAAACAAACTGGAATACAGTTTAAATGTGATAACTACAACATTAATATATATGTACTTATACCTGTAGCCCTTTTTTGTTGGTGGATTAATCTCATTGATTTCATTTAGGAAGATTTCTGGTTTCTATTGGATCTAAGCAAATGTTGCCTATAGATATGATACACAAACTCATTATTAATGGCTATTCATATTTTGTTTGCCACTTTTACTTTTAATTTCTTTGATTATTCCAGTATTTTTTTTGGTTTCTTTGTATTCATATGAATATTTTTTTTTCAAGTTTCTAAAAATTACTTCTAAAATTTCATTTATTTCTTATAAATTTGATTATCTTTTTGTCTGACATTATTTAAATAAAAATGTTTTGCATCATAAACAAACAAGATAAAAATGGGGATATTTATACAATGAATATAGGATAGATGCTTATTACTGGGAAATAATTAAAATTATCTTAAAATAGTTACTGATTATTTGCCTTTCTTATTATGATGAGGTTATTATTAAAAAGGGAATTCTTTTATTATCATTAGTGTATATATATTGGGAACTAAGTTTAAGATATAGACCTTATTCATCATTCATATTAAATAAATTAGATGGTTATTCAGCAAAAGTATCTGGAATATCTATTGCAATTGGATTAGGAATTTATGTTGATCAATTAAATAAATCATATGAAATTTAGATACCATATTTAATTATTCTTCTTTCACTTAATTTGCAATATCTAAATAAAATTTTTCAAGAAGTATTAACTTCTTTTATTGAAGAAAAAGCCTTTTAATGTGATCAATTTAAAGATACTATTATTTATAGAGCACCTTGGATTTTAAAATATTAAGTATGTTAAAAATTGCTGCAAAATAGAAATGCATAAAGATAAAGAATAGCTTAAAGATATCTTAAATTAAAAAAATACTTGATTGCTTAAGCATAAACTATTCTGAGATAAAGGAAACATTACGGTGTTAAATTAAAAGCTCCTTCAATCCTATAGTTTACATTCAGTTGAGTATTATTAATCATAAATAATTGATTAGAAAACGTTTTTATTTTAGATATTTTATAATTTTGTATATATTTCTTTGTCTTAACTTTTGAGTATTTGATTATTACCTATTGAAGTTTAAGTTAATTGTTACTGATATGTATAATTCTTAATTAAAACTCTATAGGCTTAATGAAACTGAGTAGAGTTTATTCTGCTATATTGATATAGATCTCATAAATCTTTTAATAACCTGGTCATTTTTATCCTTCCATATTTGTTTCCAAAAGATAAAGAAAATTTGATATTTGAAAAAGTAGCATTTTTATTCTTTCCTAATTATTTTTAAATCTAACAAGCAACTATCCTTTAAACTACTTAGCTTATAACCCTTCTTAAAATTATAAAAAATAAGTTTTTATAAAATATAAGACAACCAAATTCTCATTAATAAGAGAGTAAAAAAATGAAAGATGATTATAACTAAATATTATTTAATTGTAATGCTTTAGACTTATAAAAATAATTTTTTTTTAAATGTTTTGAAAATTTTTTCTCCTTTTTTTATATTAATCTATAATTATTTTTTTCAAAATAGAAAAAAATTGAATATCTTGTGATCACCGAATTTACTGATTATAATTAAAAAAAAATGATAAACTGCTACAGTTATCAAAGACAATAAAATGATGTTAAAAATCTACCTAGATAAAATGAAATTATCCAAAAAAGATAATATTCATTAAAAGATGGGAAATAGTAATTGGCATTATTCTAATGTCTTTACTCTAAAACAATTTAATAAAGAAATTAGAAACTCTTCGAGCACAAAAAAAACTTTACAATTAGCATCCAAAAACTGTATGATATTTTCAAAATCTAATTGAATTGAAGCATGAAAAACCATATAAAATGATTCAAATAATTAAAAAAAACATTTTGATAATAATTAAATTCAAAAATTTACTTATTTTTGGAATTATCTTCAGTATTTTAATAATGTTTCTTTAAACGCAAAAGCAAAAATATATTTACTAGGTAGAATAGTTTGATGAATAAATTACTTATTAAAAAGATCATAATTTTCCACTTCTTATTAGGTTATATTTACTCGCTAAAACAATAATCTCATCTAATTAAATCTTCTAAATTCAAATATTGAAAAAGGATGGCCAAAAATGTGCTGTAATTTATTCATCATAATTGTACAAAGTTATCGAAGAATTAGAATTAATTTTTAATACTGCTAATAACCTAAGAGGATCGTTTATAGTCTTCTATAAATCTACTTTAATTTTGGAAATTTCAACTGAATTATTTATGTTTGCCGTCAGATACTTTTTCAAGATTAAATGTAAACAAAATATTTTCCAACCTAAATAAATAATTTGTTTTTAGAATCAATTACTATATTATCTCAAAAATAAATATGAATGAAGTATATCAAAAGAAAACCACCCCAAAATTCGAATAATTGGTCTATTAGTGTCAAATTGGTTCTATTCGTTGGGAAAATTCAGTAATAATGTGAAAATTTTGCAAATATTGCTTCGTCTTACAGCAAGATTATTACGAGAGAGATTATTAAATTCCTGACAAGCAGATAATCTGTAATATAAAAAAAGAAATCATCAGAAGATGATCTATCCAAATGTATAATTTTTTGTAAAGAAGAGAATAAATAAAATGTCAAATTACAAATTAATTGAATTAAATTTAATTTTATTCATAATGTTTTAGTAATAAAGAAAGTTTTAATCCATTTTTCTAGCCTTTGCTTTTCTTTTGAATTATATAAGTATAGGTATAAGCCTTTTTTTGAATTTATAATAATTTGTTTATTAATTTATCATTGAGACAGTTGAATTATATCTACCATAAAAAAGCATCATAATTCATTGATTTTGAAAAACCAATTTATCAAATTTATTAAAATTGAGTCTACTTTTTTAATTTAGATTTGATAAATCTGTTGAAATTTAATACATTATTTTAGGTAAAATTGCATCAATTTCTTCTAAAAATCTAATTGAGAATATTCCAGCTGATAGACAATATCAATACAATAGAATGATTAGAATCAACTCAAAAATTTCTTAACAAAAAAATACAATTTAATTGAAGAGTTTTCTATTTAGAATCACTTCATAATACTAAAGCACAAGTCTGTACAAGTCTTTATTTCCATCTTTTGTTGAAAATCAATTCTTTAATTGATAAAATACAAAATAAATTCAACATGAAAACTAAAGCTCATTCAATAATCTTCTAACAAAAAAATAGCTACAACAAATTGTAAAATGTTTATTTCAAATAAATTTTAAATTTGAATGATAAAATTATTAATTCTTGAAATTTATTTGTAGTCTTCAAGATAAAAATACTAATTTCGATTTTATCATTTTTGTTGTTTGTCATCAGGCTACAAAGTGAAGTTGTAGTTTATCAGTTTGATCCAATTTTTAGAAATTTTTGATGGTGCTTATTGATTTTTGAGAAGGCTGATCATCATTCATTAATAAGACAGAATATTTTAATGAATGTAATTGAAGTGTAATATTTGATGGATTTAATATTTCCAACACTAACTAAACTATTAGCAAAATATTTATAAATTTAGAACCACATTCTTACATCAAAATTGAATATGATATTTGAAGGCTTATTATAAATTTAATAATTTTAAAGGATAATCTCGTAAATTGACAATTAGGATATAATTATATATGAAAATTTAGGAATATAAAAACATCAAAAAATATATCATCATTTTATGGACCCTTACCTACAGTTAATTAAATTTAAAGAATTACTTTCACTATTTTAAGTAAAAGAAGAACATTTTTTTTGGCAAAAGAATTATGGAACTCTTGGATCAGAGAGTTTAACAAATTTCAATTTAGCATTTTCAATTGTTTGGAAGAATNTATAATAATTTGTTTATTAATTTATCATTGAGACAGTTGAATTATATCTACCATAAAAAAGCATCATAATTCATTGATTTTGAAAAACCAATTTATCAAATTTATTAAAATTGAGTCTACTTTTTTAATTTAGATTTGATAAATCTGTTGAAATTTAATACATTATTTTAGGTAAAATTGCATCAATTTCTTCTAAAAATCTAATTGAGAATATTCCAGCTGATAGACAATATCAATACAATAGAATGATTAGAATCAACTCAAAAATTTCTTAACAAAAAAATACAATTTAATTGAAGAGTTTTCTATTTAGAATCACTTCATAATACTAAAGCACAAGTCTGTACAAGTCTTTATTTCCATCTTTTGTTGAAAATCAATTCTTTAATTGATAAAATACAAAATAAATTCAACATGAAAACTAAAGCTCATTCAATAATCTTCTAACAAAAAAATAGCTACAACAAATTGTAAAATGTTTATTTCAAATAAATTTTAAATTTGAATGATAAAATTATTAATTCTTGAAATTTATTTGTAGTCTTCAAGATAAAAATACTAATTTCGATTTTATCATTTTTGTTGTTTGTCATCAGGCTACAAAGTGAAGTTGTAGTTTATCAGTTTGATCCAATTTTTAGAAATTTTTGATGGTGCTTATTGATTTTTGAGAAGGCTGATCATCATTCATTAATAAGACAGAATATTTTAATGAATGTAATTGAAGTGTAATATTTGATGGATTTAATATTTCCAACACTAACTAAACTATTAGCAAAATATTTATAAATTTAGAACCACATTCTTACATCAAAATTGAATATGATATTTGAAGGCTTATTATAAATTTAATAATTTTAAAGGATAATCTCGTAAATTGACAATTAGGATATAATTATATATGAAAATTTAGGAATATAAAAACATCAAAAAATATATCATCATTTTATGGACCCTTACCTACAGTTAATTAAATTTAAAGAATTACTTTCACTATTTTAAGTAAAAGAAGAACATTTTTTTTGGCAAAAGAATTATGGAACTCTTGGATCAGAGAGTTTAACAAATTTCAATTTAGCATTTTCAATTGTTTGGAAGAATTTGAAGTTTACTTAGATGACAATAATACAAAGTATCTCAAATGGAAACTTCATTTGGTTACATTTGGGTAGAATAATTTAATAGTAATGAAGGGTGCACATCGCAATCTAATCCCACTTTTAAGATTGTAGTTCATGCTAGAAGATATCATTTGATACTTTATATTTATAACTGAATTACCTCCACATTAAAGAATCCTTATTAGATTTTTTTAATTTATAACACCTTCTTATAATTAATAAATATTATTTAAATTTTATTTATCTGAAGGGCTCTGTAGAGATTTCAGTAACTAATAATTAAGATTTGATTTTAACGTATTTATCCAATCTATTCAAATTGCAGTGATATAAAAGATATTGGAAATTAAATAGATAATGTTTTTAGTGTTCATTTGTTCTAAATATTGTAAATTTAAAAAATTGTAATATGCCTTGAAAATGAATATGGATTTTTTTTTAAATCATCATGAATGTGATCGAATATGTGGTGATGGAATTATAATGTTCTTATTGAAATATTTAATTTTATAATAACAAGAATTTCTCAATATTTATTTTCTTGAAAAAGATTAAATAAATTCATTTATCCATTTAATCAACTAAACTAAGGAATCAAATAAACAGTAAAAACCTGAATAAAGAGTTTGCTTAAAAATTTGAAATGCCTTCCTTAAATTCTGACATCCTCAATAATATATGAAATAAAATCTATAATAAATTGAGAGAGAAATCTAAATTTATTTTATCTTTTCTATCCCTTTTTTTCTTAAGGGTGAAAAATTATAATTTGTTGAATGGAGATTTGAGAATAGGTTATCTTTATTTAATTTAATCTTAAAATACTAGTTACAACCTACAAGAGAAAAAAGAAAGATTTAGCAATCCTTTGTGAAATATTATTTATATAATTAATTTCTATGTATATATATTATTTCAAACATTTAAAATTTAAACATTTAAGATATTTTCTTCTGACTTTATTTGATTATAAAGTACTTATGTGATTGAGCAACTTGTATCTAAAATACTTATTTTTAATTTTTAATAAGACTACACATTAGGTGTAAATCTTAAGTAAAAGCTAATTTGATTAATATTTGAGTTGCAATTACGACTAAAAACATACTATTTTTAAGATCCAGAGCAATTATTGCATTTATTGAATTGACCGACTACTTTTTTATCCTTTTGGCATTTCAAGTGAACGACTATTTAAACTGGTGAAATGCTTTTATCAACAATTAATGAGAAATCACCAACTGTAGAATAAACTTAATTAACTGAAGGTATTTCCAAATATACTTTTGGTTTAGTTAGTTACTCCAAATCATACTTCTAACTAATTCTTACAAAGGAACATTGGAGAGCCTTATATTGTGTTGTAAATATGTAAGAAATCCAAATTTCTCTAATCGTAACTCCAGCAAATTATAAAGGATTTGAACCCCCTATTATAAAATTTTATTATACACTTTGAAAAACTATATGTTATAGTTGACGCTGTTGTAGTGTAAGTTTTTTTCTAAACAATCATCAATGTATTAAGATAATTAAAGCCAACTATGGGAAGCACGAGCCATTTATTAGTTAGTTTATTTAAAGCTGGACTAGTGTAAGAAGATGTTATTGACCTTAGTCCCAAATCTGATACTGCATCATTAGTAGTTAATATTAGTTAATATCCTAATTATTTTAAATTCACTGCTTTGGTAGAATCTTAGTTTATGTCAACTGTTATGCTTGTAGTTGTAAATTCTGAGACCTATTTATTTAGTGTTTTAGATTACAAATAATTTAAAATCTATTGCACCACTGCCATAATAGATACTTGTCACAGAAATTATTGCTATTTCTGCATTTGGATTTTCATGAGTAAATTGCTTACTCGTAATAGTATCCATATTGAAAGAATTAAAAACTTCAATTCGCTTATCATCTATTGCATACCAATTAAAGTCGATATGATATACTTGTCGACTTGATGTACATGATGCGATTATATTAAAATCTATGATGTTATAATTAAGTTACTTGTAGTTGTTATTGTGCTAATCTGAAAGCGAAAATCTGTGTTAGATTCTGCCATATCAAGAAGTTCTAAAACTATAAAGACTTGAGGGGCAACTTCAAATGTCCCAGAAAATGAAATAGTTTTTGTGGTTGAGTATCCGTTTTTGCAAACAAAACTTGATTATGTGTATAAATCTAGGCCTTTGTATGTTCCAGAATCGTAAGTAATGTAAGATTACACACTTAAGTAAAAAATACTCAAAATTAAATATATCATATTATTTAATAAATAATGTTAATGAGTGGGTTAGAAATTAAGAATATTTATGTCTTCGTTGGATTTTTTGTAATAAAGTCTTATGTTTTTTCAAAGTAAGAAAATGGATTTTCTTCGAATTTATAATTGTTGTTATTATTGTAATATTTAACTATTACTCTAGAACAAATTCAACAACAGTTAGAAATATATTAAGAAATGCTATGATATATTAAATTTCCCCAAAAATAATTATTTTTAAGAAAAATTTTAATTTTCAAATTTTAGTTACATTTATGAAAGTCATCAGAATAAATTTGAAAAATGATTAAAAAAAATTGATAGTATAAGTATGAATAACTTGTGTATTAATGAATTTTGAATTTAAATAAAAAATTAATTGATATATTTCAAGATGAAGGAACAAAATAAAAAAAATGTTCACTAACAATTGAAGCTAACGATCATTTCTATTTATCAAAAAAACTTAAAATTTAGATAATTAGAAAAAATAATAAAAAAGATTTTATTGATTAAAGAATAAGAAGTTCATATAATCATTCTTATGATTTCATATGTCAAAATTTTATTTTAATATATTTGAATCTTATTAAGATCATGAAAAAGTTTTCACTATTAAACAAAAGATATTGCTTAAGAGATTACAAGTGCCATTTAATTTAAGGCTTTCTACTTCTCTAGCAATTTTGTAAATTCTACACATCAATTATAGAACCAATTTGAATTTACCATTAAAATCATAGCATTTATGTTCATAATAATTTGAAATCCCATTTCCAAAAGATTTTAATAGTTTCCTTGCCCTAATGTAATTTTTTGCTTACAATTGATAATATTAATTATATTTGAAGACGTATAATTTAATTACCAATTTCAATTTTAGTTATTGAAATTATCGTTAGTAAAAAACAATCAAATGTTTAGCATAATCAAATACATTAACCAAAAATATACTTCTTTACTATAATATTCTAATTTGCAAAAACCATTATAATATTTTATGCTTTTTATAGAATGTCATTAAAATTGTGTATTTTTGGATAATGATATAAAAAGTAGGAGAATTAAATAACTGCAATTTATAGACTTACCACATTTTTGAAATGCAGAAAAATTAAGTTTATTTTGATACTTATATTATAAATATGTATGATGTTGAAATAACAACAAAGTCAGATGATGAGATTCTTTCCTTAATTAGAACATATTAGCAATAAGGATATTAGGTCTGGCTCTAAAAAAGATGTTCAGATAAATTTTTGATGTAGGCAGATTACAATGTATGAATTATAAATTAGAACTTAGACATAAGGAGTATTAGATCTCGATAATTCTGGTATATTTAAAAGCTAAAATGTTGATCCTAAGCAGTTTAATGAACCATCAGTTATTTGCAGTCTTCGCAAGAATGTTGAAGATGGACATAAAACTAGCACAATGGAAATAAAAGACACAATGCTTATATTTCCAAGAAAAACACAAACTGACTTATATAGTTTACTAAGCCCTAAATTAAATTCAGAAAGAGAGGATTTAGTAAAAGGGTTTTATGAATAATTGAAAGAAGCTTTGCATTTAGAATAGTTTGGACAAGTTAAAGAGTCTATTGTATGAATATCCAAATAATAATTTAAGGCTTTATTGACAAATCTGGTAAATGAACTAGAAAATTAACTGATTGATTCATAAATATTGCATCTAATATTCGTAGAAAGTTTATTAACTCTTGGAATACTGAATGCATAAATCATGAAATATTCTGATGCAAAAATGTAATATTGATAATAAAAAAGGTATCTAGAGAAATGCTTAAGATTATTCGTTATAAAAGATTAAATATTATTGGCTTAAATATATCGAAAATTAGGTCACTATTCTTAATCTGTTTTTAGTTATTAAAAATCTATAGACTACTACAATTAAGCATTGATTATTTATGAAATATACAATTTAATACCAGAAGTAGCTTACACTATGATGTCTATAGCAATAATTTATTCAAAAGTCAATTAATTTGAATTAGCATCAAAGATTGCGTATCATGCCTTAGAAATCAATGGGTCTTAAATGAACAAACATACAGCAAATTTATATTAGATGTTAGGGGAAGTTTATTATAATTCGGAAAACTATACAGAAGCATTAGATTATTTTGATACTTCTTATGATATGAAGTCAACAAGTTAAGATGTACAATCTCGAATCAGAACAATTAATTTTATTGCAAGTTCTTGCTTTCATTTAGGTGAATATAGAAAAGCATAAGAATTATTTGAAGTAGCATTAAGTTAAGTGGATGATTAAAATTCACTACTTGAAGCATAATTATTAAATAATTTAGGAATAACAAAAAGTGCATTGAAGTTAGATAGTAAAGAAGAATTTGAAAAATCTCTAAAAATTTTCTTATAGTTTTACCCACAAAATCATCCTTCAATTAAGAGAGTACTCAGAAATGATAGCCATTGATAATATTGTTTATATTTTATGTAAAAATATTCTAAAAACATGATTCTCATTCACATGGGGCTCTAATAGCTTCTAAAAATAGTTCATATATCATTTCCTTTCCTTTTTCAATATTTTATAAAGGATTATTAAAAGTATTGACCTTAATCTTAATTTCATCTTTTCCCTTATATCTTGGACCAATCAAATAAATAAATCTATCTCTTTATTTTGGTGTTAAATTCATTTCGCTTATATTAACATAGACAGAAATCTAATTATAAATTGCCTAATGAATTTACTTCACTATTTTTATGTAAATTATCTCCTTTTAAATCTGGTATAAAAGAGATTTCAGCAAATACTTAATAAGTAGGAGGATTTGATTTTAACTACTCATCAATCTCTTTTTTTGTTCTTAATGGGTAATCAAATGGATCTCTAAATGTTTATTTCATATAATGTGGTATAGCTTGGCTGACTTTGGGTTTCCAGAAATGTGCTTAAATATACTTATATTTATATATATACATTTATGAGCTAATCTGAATGTTGGTAAGAATGTATTGAAATTATAGAGTGACACAAATTGTTTCATTCAATTAAAAATTCTTATTATTATTATTTAATTTTATTCATAAAAAGTGGTGTGTCTGCATCTTCTTCATTTATAATGTCTAAACCATTTGGAGGACTATTACTTGCTTTAATTCTATCATCCAAAGAATCCAAACTAGAATGACTATCACATTTTTAAACAATATCAAAAAATTCTTTAACTTCATCAGGTTTAGTGGAATATGATTAACATAATGAATTAATTGATTATTAGAAATGAATTGATCTATTTCTTATTTATTATGATGTATCTTTATCTGTTTAATGAATTGCATCAATAAAACATTTATTTTTAAAATCATGAGTTACAGTTTGATGATCCTCTTATGATTATTATAAATATTTAATAGCTTAACTTGAATGAGCAGTAATTTATACTTTATTATTCATTAACATATCATCTTTTGTATATTATTTAGAATTCAATTTCATATATTATAATTAAGATATTGTATACGTTTAATATAATAATGGATGAACTAAAGCTTCTATAGTAATAGATAAAATAAATATTTACATGAAGCACTGATTCTTTTATTTGGATTGTAGGATAATAATCTTTTCAGTAAATCTTATGAGAGTGAATCTAGAGATTTGAATTCAGTTGACAAAAGATATTATTATTGATTTTAATTTTCATTAAATTCCATTCTATTTTCATAAGTGATTGGTAATTTATGACATAACATTTAATAAGTAATAACTCCTATTGCCCAAATATCAATTAATTCATTATATCCAGAACCATTCCATAATTCAGGTGCTCTATAATTTTCATTTCCAGTTATTGTCCACAATAATTAAACTTGAATATCTCTTTATTAAGTTGTAATAAATCTTTTTGATACTCCAAAATCTATAATTTTAATAGTAGAAGTGTCTTAATCAAATAAAATATTGTCTGGTTTTAGATCTCTATGGCATAACCCCATTCTATGCAAATATTGAGTTGCTTCTAAACATTATCGTATAATCGATAGTTTATTCTCTTATGTAAGTATATTTTGTTTTAGTAGTTCATGTAGACTAGGATAAGGTAAATATTCCATTACTAAATATGAGCATTCCGTATTAGTGTCAATATATAACTTATGTGTTCTGACTATTAAAGGATTGTTTAGTTTCAGTGTATTAAGGAAAGTTTACTTCATAATTCCCATAATTTCAGGATCCCCATTACGAGTAATTTTGACTGCATAAGTTTCATCTGGATTTGATATTTACCAACACTATCTAACTACAGAATGTGCTCCTTCTCCTAATATTTTGCCTATTTAATAATCGTCTTGAAATTTTCTGTTTCTTTAATCAATTGAAATCTAAAATGTTTCTTCCATCAATTCACCATGACTTGAACATTAAACATATTCAAGAATTTAAGGACTTAATTTTTAAATTGTTGCCTCTTCGTTGTTCTAAACAAACAAGTCTTTTTTTACCCTATCATGTAATCTTAATAGGTTTTCTTTTTTGTTCATTAAAATAATAATTATGCCAAAAAAACGTCGTCAATAATCTGATTATTGGGATACTGTCCATGACATAAAGAAACTTACATAGCCACATCTTACACACAATAAAAAACATTTTATAGAAAAGCCTGGTAAAAAAAAAGTATTTATTTTAACAAATATGTATCCCTTTAGTAAAAAGGCTAAAACATGCCTTTGCCTATTTTAAATGGTATTAGGAAGAAATATATAAGTGATGTCAAACAAGAACAGGAACATAACATTGCACATAATATCTAATATAGATCTGATTTGAAAAAAGACTTAACTTTGTTAAAAACCATGAAATAAAAGAAAAATTCCTTTTAAAAAAATCAATATAAATTTAAGAATATGAGAGCAAAAGGAGCAGGCAAATTTGAAGATGGTACACTTAAATTCACCAATAGAGATCTTAAAAAATTTAATAAATCCAAATGATATTATTATATATCAAATTATAATATATGGAATACAATAATTATATTGTTCTTCCAATTAGAAATTAATTTTATAATCATTACAACATATGATGATGAATTAAGATCAATTTAATAAATAGTAAATAAATGATAATATAGAATTATAAAAATCAATCAGATGGAAAACTTAATTAGAGAATCTAAAAACTAAGAAAAGGTTTTTGATACAATAAGATAGCAACGACTTAAAATGATTAAACATACATTTATACTAATTCTTATTATTGAAAGTGTTGTAATCATCAGTATACACTTATATTTATTCAGCCTAAATTTTTATGTTAACATATTATCAAATGTACACACCAAATAAAAATGAGTATTATAGACTTTGGATATCATTTTATTACAGTTGTTAGGGAAATAATTGTTTCTAAAATAAGTATTAAATAAATTAAATAAGGTATATATGTAGCAATCTTTCCTATTAAGAAAAATATCATGATACTTATTGCTATAATACTTCAACCATGAATATCATTAGATATGTTTTAAGTTCCATTCTTATTTTTATCATACTTTTAATGTTCTTTGATATATACAGAATCATAAAAATTAAGAATTCTTTAAATAATCGAATATTGTCTTAAGATCTAGTTTATTAAGCTGAAAAATTTTAAATTGTTATAACATTATTATTAGCCTTATATTATGGAATAATATTGATCTTTATATTTGTTGTAGATGGGGAATGTAATTCATTTTTAATTTATTAGATGGAAGTGCATTAGGATTATCATTCTATGTTGGAAGTGTAGGTACAGGAATTTACATGATAATTATAATTTACTCTAGATATGTAAGAGGAAGGTTTTCAAGAACAACCTATTTTGAAAAATTACTAAATCAATAACTTAATGATTCAGAATTATAATAAAATTATGAATTCAAAACTATTGAAGAAAAAGAGGAAAGTTTTTATTCAGCATAAGAATGAGTTTTTTGTATTTATATTTATTCATCAATTAAATTCATATAAGTATGTTCTCACATGATGTTTATTTTTCAAATTGTAATTTCTAATTACATATAATAAGTAACAATTTATTAATTTCTTATTAGATTTATAATTATATAAGAAATAAAATTTTGATTAAAATGAAAAAATTGAAAAAATTTATTTTAGATTCAATGAATTAAATTATAAAGCATGTATTCCCTTTACTTTTATAGAAATCAATAATTTTTTAAAATTAAAACAAGTATAAAACCAATCAAAAAAGACCTTGAATTTAAACTGGTTCATTTTGATGAAAAATCAAAACAAGAATAAAAAGAATTGCTAAACAGAATGATAGCAATTTTAAAAATTCTTTTTGTTTTTACTCAATGAATTTACCATAAATTTCTTTGGAGATTGAAATTCTTTTCAATTTTTATACTTTTTTAAACTCTTCAATCGTCATATACTTTTCATTTTACATCTTAATTTTTTTATTTTTCATAATCTCTCTACTTTTCTCCAAATATTGACTATTCTCAATATATTTCTACATATATTATAAACAATACCTGATTATATTTTTAATCAATCCTAAATTGTCTAATATACATTGGTTTCCTATTGTCTACACTAAAATCACTCAGACTCAAATCTTAAAATTTGAAAACCTGTGATTTGGCTATAATAATTGATGAACTTTGTGATTATTTCATAACTTGTAATTATTTAATAAAGATTCAATTAATGGAATTTAATTCTCGAAAATATTAATTATATATTCAGTAGTTGTTATATAAACTTTTCATTCAATTAATATGTTGCTTTCAATTTAAAATTTAATGGTCCACATCATTTTTTTAACTCTTCCCAAATAGACATGCTTTTCAAAATAAGACATTTCATCATTAATTACGACATTAATGATTATTTGATAGAATTTTTAGATATTTTGTTTTATACATTACTAATTATTATAATAAATTCTCAGAAACAACCAAGAAAAACTAAGTTTTAAACCTAAATTTTATTTATTTAGCAATAAAATTTATTTAATAAAATGTACCTTTCATCAAGAACATAAGGAAGATTAGCAAATCTAATAATCACAATAGCAGAAGGGGAGAAGAAGACTGAAATAGCCAGATAAGTGTTGGCTGAATAGAAAATGTTTGAACCATACACAGCTTTCAGAAGATTAGATTAACTAAGATCAGGTGAGTTAACTGTTGTAGATATCTCTGACTTTTTGGCTGATAATAAGATCTTCCCAACATAAGTCTAGCTTGAATATTTATTTAAAAGGCTGGACTTGAATCATGACGGTAGAATTACATATCCAGAGTAAATTATATAGAATATTATTAAGTTTCGTCAAGGCCATATTACCAAAAGAAGATTCAAGATTAAGATAGATTGCTTCATTGAGAGATAGCTATTACATTGAAGTAAATATGCTTCTTCCAACAGAAGTTGAATGGGGACTTTCAAGAGTCTTATAATAAGAAATCTAAAATTTCAAGTACTAATTAAAAATATAATTTTAGTTCAATTACAGCAGCATAAGAAATTTTGACAGGAAGTGCAGATTTTACATCTTTGGATGCATTTAGATGCATAGATTAATTATATATAGGCTATATAACAATAGAAAGGTATAAGATTTATATAACATCATTTATAGTTTACAAACTTTCTTAAGAGGTAATGGTGCTAAATTAACATTTGATGAATTGTAAGCTTTCTTTAGAGTTGTCGATTCTGATGAGGATGGTAGAATCACTTATTCAGAATTATTAGAGGCAATTACATTTGTGCCTGATTATTTCTAAAAGGAAAGATAAATAGTGAATGAATTGAGAAGAAGCAGAGAAAGAATTTCATAATTAGAAAAGGAGAGAGAAGTTTTAGATGATTTACAAAGAAGTAGAGAGAGAATTGATGATTTAAGAAGAAGTAGAGAAAGATTAGAATAATATCAAGATTTATAAAAGAGTAGAGAGAGATTGGAAGATTTAAGAAGAAGTAGAGAGAGATTAGATGATTTAAGAAGAAGTAGAGAGAGATTAAATTAATTGGAAGAATTATAGAAAAGCAGATAAAGAATAGAATAATTAGAAGATTTGAAAAAGAGTAGAGAGAGATAAGCATAGATTGATGAATTAAGAAGAAGTAGAGAGAGATTGGATGATTTAAGAAGAAGTAGAGAAAGATTAGAATAAATGGAATAAGAAAGAAAAAATAATGAATAATTAGAGGAACTTAGAAAATCAAGAAGTAGAATTGAAGAGTTGTAAAAGTAAAGAAGAAGAATAGAAGATTTGAGAACAAGTTAAGAAAGATTAGATGCTTTGAAAAGAAACAGAGATGAATTAGAATTGAGAAAGAGTTAAGAGAGACTTAATGAATTGAAAAAGAGTAGAGAAAGATTGGAATAAATAGAAGCTTTAAGATAGAGTAGAGAACAATAGAGAGCTTTAGATGAATTAAGATAAAGTAGAGAAAGATTAGAATAATTGAGAGTGTCATAAAATAGAATAGATTAATTAGAAAATGAGAGAAAAGCATTATAAAGAAGTAGACAAATAGAGAGAGAGATTGATTATGAAAGATAAAGAAGTAAAGAGAGATTAGAGAGATTAGAATTAGAAGCTTAACTTGAAAGATAAAGAGAGAGAGCATTAGAATAAGAAATAGTAACACAAAGCAAGATTGTGTAAAGTAGAATTTATGACACACCTTAAAGATTTTATTGATTATTGAGATAATAAAATAAAATAAAATTTTGTTTAATATGAATATCATTCAATTTTAATTATTTGAAAACACAGTATAGGTGAGTATGACATTATTTAGAAATGCTATATAATGTGTAGTAAGTGATACTCAAAAATTTGGTAGTGTTTTGATAGCAGAATGTGAAAAGATGGGTGAAGATGAGAATATTTATGAAGTAAAAACAAAATTTGGATCAAGAGAAATAGTAGAATATGAATATTTTGCAAGAAAAATAATTGAAGAAATGTATAATTCAAAAAGAATAGTTGCAGAGATGTAAAAGAAATATCAAACATAAGAAAAATAATTCAATGTATTTTTAGGTAAAAAACTATTGTTATTCATATCATTAAATGATAGAGAGAATATTTAAAAAAATAAAGCCATTATTGAAGAAATTACAACAAATCTAACTAATCTGATATGAGTATAATTATGTGTTAATTATTTATTTGAAATTAAAATATGATCAATATATAACCAAGAACAAGAGAATAAAGAGTATAATATGAAGATTATTTTATATTAGGAAGCTCAAAAAGATAAGGATTTAATTGAAAAGACTAGAATTGATTAAAGAGGTGAAAATTATAATTTATATTGTAGTTGGATATGAAGCAAGAGGTTTAGGAGTTGGAAATTTGATACATCATGCACCACCTTAATCATCACTTTATGTTCCTGGTAAGTGTTTTAAATATTTAAAGAAAATGAGAGATTTGATAAGGATTTTGCTATTGCTGATAAGAAACAGAGAGAAATGTAACTTTAATAGAAAGAATAAGTTAAAGAAAAGAAAAGAATGGAAGGACTAGATAGAGAAACAAAAAAATGGGAATATTAAGAGAAACAAGAATAAAAAGATTAATAAAAACTAATCAATCACACACAAGCTTTAACTTAAGGAAAGAGAAATTAAAATGGGTATAAATTCAAAATAATAATTATTAGATTAGCTTATAATCCTATTACTTTATAATATGATAAGACTTAATAAGGAAATATATTAAAGGAATAGGATGATTAGGCAAAGGTTCGTCAATATGTTAGAGCCTAAAATCTAGATTAAAAAGGGAATGCTGGATTTAATATTTTGACAGGAGAATCTCGTAATGGAGTTGAATAGATTGTACCAAATCATTTGAAAAATCAATATTAATAAAAATTGAGAGATCATGAGTAACATTTAAAAATTTAAACTCAATCTTAATTTAACAATTGAGAAATAGAATGAAATTATATATATATATATATAATAATTAAATGGATTACTACAAAGTTTTAGAATTACCTAGAAGTGCAACAGAAGCAGATATCAAGAAAGCATATAGAAAATTAGCATTGAAATGGCATCCAGTATTTGTTTATTGAATTATAATAGGATAAAAATCCAGATAATAAAGAAACAGCTACAAAAAAGTTTAAGGAGATAGCAGAAGCTTATGAAGTTCTTTCAAAACCTGAGAAGAAATCTCATTATGATAAATATGGTCATCAATAACCACCTCCAACTCCTAATTATTAGCAATCTAACAATTTTGGAAATCAATATTAACAAGACTATAATGAATTTTAAGAATTCCCTTCTGGATTCCAAAACAATTTCAATAATTTCAATACATTTAATAATAGGCCTCAATTTAATAAGTTTTCTGAATAATCTTTTGGGTTTCCATAATTTAATAGAATGCCTGATTTAAATAGATTCTTTTTTGGTGATAATTTTGATCCATTTGAAGTATTCTAGAATTTTTTTAAAAATGATCCATTTTTTAATTAAGATTTCTTTGGAAATAACTAACAATAATAATAAACTAGTTTGACTAAAGCTAATTCTTATAAGAATGATTTTGATGATGATTTTTTCAAACCATTTTATTAAAATGGTTAAAATCAAAGTAACAATTTTATTAGAGGATAAACTCATAAGACTGTATAAACTACTACAACTACAATGTAATTTAAAGTATATAAATTTAGGAATGGACAACAAGTATAAAAAGTTAAAACAACAATAATTCATCCAGATGGAAGAAAAGAAATTAAAGAGGAGATAAAACAATTATCTTAGTTATAAAAACACAACAGTTCCATTTACTGATAAGATTATTATATAATAGAAAATAAGATATTCAACAATTTTTGTTATTTATACATTTTTATTTATGGTATTAAAATATTAAAAGAATGTCCTAAGATAATAAATAAGATTAAGATTTATCAAACTTAACTCTTGCTGAATTATAAAAGTTAAAAGAGGAAAATAAGTTGGATAAGCTTTTAGACTAAGAAAAGTTAAATAGAGAAAAGAAGTCTACAGATAATGAGAATAATATAATAAAAAATGAAGAGTCATAACAAACTATTAAATTATCTTCAGATGATCCTGCTGAATTGTATGAGAAATTAAAATAGAAATGGGGACTTTAAGAATAACAAAAAACATAAGATGGAAGTATATTTAAATATTAGAATATATTAGTAAGTTCAGATTAAACAAAGAGTAAATTAGAGATATTATTAGAAGAGAGAAGAAATAGAAAACCACCAAAACTATAATAAATTTAAAATGATTATATACAAAAAATATAGGATGAAACAGTGGTTGATTCTGTATATAGTAAGGAAGGACCTATGCCAAGAACTATATAATAAATGTTGACAGAATATTAAGGAATAAAAGGTGCTGTTAATATTGGGTAAGAGTGGACTGATATAATATAATAAGGAGTGAAGACAAATTTAAAGAATTAAGAATAAGCTGCCAATAGTAAACATTCAAAATATGTAATTAGATTATTTTTGGTTGATGGCAAAAAAAGGACGTTTAGGAGTAGATGGTTTTGCAATAGCTTTTGGAATATTTGGAATAATTTTAATTCCAATTTATTTTTATTAAAGATAGAATCGTAGAAGAGGAGCATATAAATAAGAGATAAAAATAGTATCTGGAGTGAAAGATTGGGAAAATTCAAGTTTGGATATTGATGATGTTTCAGTATAGCAAACATATTATACATTGTTTTCTGAAGAAATATCAGAATTAATGAAAAAGAAGATGTTGGTTTAATAATAAATCAGTAAACTATTGGGAAGAGAAAAATGATAAATATCAGATTTATTTTTAACATGAGATGATATTGATTTAAAAATATTTTATAATTAAAATATTAAATATGAAAAGAGTTGTCTAAAAAATATAACATTTAAAGAATATGTCTTAAGTGATAGCTTCTGGTGATCATATTGTTACAGTTAAAAATATATTGAATGCTTTTGAAAAATAAACTAAAGAAGATTTAAGTTATTTGGAGAAGAATTTGTTAAAAATATTTCCTCTTTTTGGATAGATAAAGAAGTCTTAAAAATCATAATAAAAATTTTATGAACTCATATCTTAACTATAAATTGAATATTACTAAAACAATTAAGTTATTTTTTATAAAGGAGATATTGGAAGAAAGATGTATTTTGTTCTATCTGGCCATCTTTTGAGTTTCCCTTATGATCATAGAGATATAAGTATTTAAATGTTTGATTACAGATAACCATACGGCAAATAAAGAAATTAATGTAGGAGATCATTTTGGAGAAATAAGTCTTTAACATCGAATTCCAAGAACACTTACAGTCATAAGTAAAGGTGATGTCATTTTATTAAGTGTAAATTATGAGACATATTCTAATTATATATAGTCAACAGTAGATAAAATTCTAACTGACTAATATAAATTCATAAGAACTTTGAGTATCTTTTAAGATTGGAATGAATTCACATTATAATTAATATTACATCATTTAAAAGAAGAAAAGATATAAAGAAATTAATATGTATTTAATGAAGGAAATAAAGATTAAAATTTATATATTATAAAATTTGGAGAGATTATATTATAAAAATAATATACAGTACATTAGAAAAAGAGTGAAAATGGTTTAATTTGTTTAGGTTAAGGTTAATGTTTTGGAGATTTTGAATTTATAGAAAATTAATCTTGGTTACATAATAAGAATTCAATTAAAGAAATAAGTAGATAAATGGATGCAAAATCTACAACAGAATCTTTGATTCTTTATTTACCATTTTTAACTTATATAAGAATATAAGAAGAATATCATAGTTCAAGTTTACAATCATTTTTATCCACATCTAAATAGGTTGTTATATAGAGAATGAAAATATTACAATAGTAAATTATAAATAAAAAAATAAAATTAGATGAAGAATCTGAAAGATAAGATGAATTGTCTGAACTTAGAATGTTTAAAGATTAAAAATAAGAAGAAAAATAACCTTAAATTATAAATGATACATCTAAGATTCGTCATTCTAATAATCCTTATATATCATTAATGGGAACAATCAAAAATAATAAAAACAAAGAACATTAATAATAGCCATCTTAATAAATAGATTAAATTGCAAATTAATTTTCTTAGAAATCTATTCTAATGAAATTTGATAGAGGACATAAAATATTATTATTAAAGAAATTAAGAGATGCATCTATATTACCAGATGTTAAAGATAATTTCATCTATTAATAAACAACTGTAAGAAGTAGTTGTTCAAGATTAAGAATGAATAAAAAATATTAATAGAATAATCAACAAGATAGTGTTACCATAATCAAACCATTTGTTAATTCTAGATCTCACACTCCTGATTCTTCAGTTGTATTACCAAATGAATTTAAATAATAAAATGAAATAAATAAATGTTAGAGAGCATTTACATTTAAACTTAATGATTTTCACAATTTCAAAGCTTCATCAAATTCTGTTGGATATTCACGATCAATATCTTAAATGAATATTAGTAGAAGTAGTATTAATCGTAAATCACCAAGTAAATATAAATTCGAAATTGAATATGAAAAAAATTAATCATAATCTCCATAAAAATAACCTAAAGTTGAGATTGACTTATGTGTATATGGGAAATAATGATCTATCTATATATATTTCTATAAACTTTGAATAATTTATATAATATTTATGGTTTATTATAAATTATTGTTTTCATGTGAGACCAAAAATGTTGATGCTATCTCAACCGGAGGAGCTAACTATGAGTAACATTACAATTATCATATTAAAGATGGCATATCTCTTTAGTTTGTTCCAGTTGTCAAACTGAAATTAATGAAATCTATTTTAGAGGAGATGATCAAGTAGATGTTGTCAATTCTAGAGGATAATGTAATTTTTAAATGAAATGTAAAACCTGTGCTAAAATGATAAATATATCATTAGAGAAATTTCCAGACACAGTCAATGTTCAAGAAATAAGTATATTTAAAATTGATTAATTGTTAGGCAAAGATATTTAAATTGCATTATTCGATTGCAGAGGTGCTGAACCAAAAACTTGGAATTTCTAAGGTTTAACAGTGATTACACCAAATGGAACAGTATTTAATGATGCTGATTTGACTGATACATGGGTTGAATATGATGAGAAAGCTGCAGAGGAAGTATTAGTAGATAAATTTAAAGCTTATTTCTAAAAAACAAAGTGAATTCATAAGTATTATTAAAAATCATATATATCAAACTTTAAATTATTTAAACTAATTCTTTATTGATTATGAGCGCTGCAAAGTTTATGAATATCTTAGCTTAAAGAGATTAATAGTAAATAACTTTATTAATCATCTATAGATATCTAGAAAATCCATAATTCAACTCTTATTAGTAATTCAAATAGGCGATATAAACACTTGGTTTTCAACAAACCTAACCTACTATAATGAATTTAAAAAACCAATGTACTCCTCCTACATCAGATAATTCACCATATTTCTTTTCGAAATAAGAATAATGGCAAAAAAACTAAGACTTGTTAGCCAAACAAGTTAACACTAGTTCTAGTAAATCTTATCGTGCTATCTACCCAAATAAAAAATTAACATCTTTAGAGGATAGATACTAATAACACAATTCCTAATCTTATTTTATGAATAAAGTGTTATCCTCTGAGCCTAGTCCACTTCTATAATATAAATCTCAAAGTCCTTCGATAAAATAAAAAGACTAGAATGAAATGAGTTAAATTTAATAATAGATGTCTCCTTCTATTTTAAAAAAGTCCAACCTTAAGATTAAAGTTGATGAAGCAGGAAGAATTAAAAAAAAAAAAACTGTCCAAATAGTTGAAATCTAATTGGAGAAAGGCAATTAGAAAGAAGGCTAAAAGAAAAGCCCTAAAAAAATCATAACGAAAACACAAATTAGAACTGTGTAAGACTTTTTGGTTGAAAATTCAAGCAAAAAAACAAAATGAAATTTTATCTTTTAAAAATTTCATCATATACACATCATTCTTACTCATCCATATGTACCATCGATTCTTAGTTCTTTTTTTATTATATTTTTTATTAAATCTGAAATCTGTTAGAGAGACTTATTTCATTCTAAAGTTAATAAATAGTTTTGCATAAGGCTCTCCTCTATGAAAAGTCATTATTGATATCTTGTTTAGGACTTGTTAGTAAAGTTTAAATAGTAGAATTGAGTTTTTTGGATTAAGGTGTTAAAATTTATCTATAATTATTTTACATATAATATTTTAATATATTAAGACATATTTTCATATTGAATACTCAATTATATATTTAGAAATATTCCTTGTTATTTTATATTGTTTAATCAACAAATCTTAATATCAATTATAATGATTAAAAGAGATGGTTACTTAAGTGACTATATTAAATTATTTGGATTGAATATACAACTTTATATCTCAAAAAAGATCTATTTATTATTACCTCAAGTTATTATAAAAATATTAAATGTCTAAAAGAAACATTTTTGAAAAATAAGATAGTAATCTATCAAGGGGATCTTTTGCCAGATAAAACACAAATCGAAATTTTGCTGGATAGAAATCATTTTTTTCCAAAATTACTAATACTATTTCGAAACCATAAGATGAAGGTTGTTTTTAAATTCTTACTTTCTAGAAATACAATTTTTAGGTAAAGGGTAGGACTCATGTATTCGTGTTTTAATTTATTTGCTATTGAATTATGATGGAATGGAATAATATTTGAAAAAATAATCAGTCCTTGCTCCATTAAATTCATATACTCCTATAATGAAAAATTATCAAGACTTAAGTCCTATAAGAACGTAATATATATATATTATAAAAGAGAATTGATATACTATTTTTAAATAATTTCTGTACGAGATTTTCATGACTTTTATGTTGATTTTTATGCTACTTTTGATAAAAATAAAAATTTTTCCCTTGAGCCTGCTGAATTTAAATAACTTCTAGAAGTTGCAATAAATAAATGTGTTGGCCCTAAAAAATTTAAAGTTGTTACTGATATCTTTTTAAGCGAACCTTCATCATATGAAAACTAATTAAATGATAAAATCTTAGGAGAAATGATTGAAAACTTTAGAGATTTAGATAAGGAATCAAAAATTGATTATTTACTTCTATTTCCATATATCCTTAGTTTTTTCTTGGAGTTTACTTATTCAGAAATAAAATATCGATAGGGAAGATTAGATTTAATGAGGGGTACTGAAATAATAAAGGGGAAGGAAGTAGAGATAAAAAACATTACAAGTTTAGTTACAATACTTAAGGAGATGGGAATAGATTATCTTCGTGATAAACGAACTAACTGTATGACATATCGAGATGTGGAAAACGTTTTAATTAAATTAAAAAATATTTAGAAGTGGATAACATTTGATATAATAAAATAGATAATAAATTAATTAGCCAAATTGATGTAAGTTGATTAGAAAACTCAAAATGAAGGTAAGCCTTTGAAGTTACATAAGATAATTAATTTTTTGGCATTGAAATTATGTATTCATTAAAATTGTTTGCATATAAGTAAATAAGACAAGGATAAATAAAAACCACCATCAGCATATTTAGAAGTATTGGTTTTATGGAATGCTGCCATGTATGGATAAATAATGAAATAAACAAATTTTGATTCATAATTTAAAAAATTTTTAGATAAACATTACTAAGATATTGAAAGTTTTAATAGAGTTGAAGCTCTAAAAGTATTGGAATCATTTTTTAAAAAGAAATTTTAATTGATGCCAAAAGATTTAATTAAATTGATTATGGAGTAACATTCATCTTTATAAAGTAAAAAGGTTATTATTTAATCACCAATAACAAAAGAAAGTTTACAAAATGAACTTTATCAAATGATGTGTAAAGATGGATATAGAAAATTATAAGAATATATTCGTATAAGTTATGATGGTGTTATAAAATCTACTAATAGTGATAAATTGGCTTAGTATAAAGGTTAAGGTAAAGATTTTAATGATGATCCTTAAATTAATTCTCCAATATCTAGTGATAGATAATTTAAAACATAATAAGTTGGAGATTCTAAGAAATAATAATAATAATAATAAAAATAAAAAAGTATTGAATCGAATTCTGATAGTGAAAGTGAATAAGAAATTAAACCAAAAAATAAATTAAAAAGAGCAGTAAAGGTTATAAGTTCAGAATAGGCATTTGCATAAAAAGTTGATTAAAAAAAAGATGTTTTGAAAGCATGTTTAATTATGGATAGTTTTTTAAAAAGATAAAATTAAATGTACTAAAAAAATCAATAAAGTAAAATACTTAAATAAAATTGTTAAACTCCAGAAAAATAAGAGAATTTAAAAGAGTTTAATTTAATTTAAAAAGATATTGAAGAAAATAAAGAAGCTACAAAAGATTAGAATATTACTAAAAATAATAATAAAGTTAAAGAAAATAAATAATAAAAAGAATAATTTATAAATCAAAATGAAAATTAACCTGAATCATCAAATATGGAGGAGAAACATAAATTATCAGCATTTCATATGGTTAGACCAAAAATTATATTAAAAGATATTAAAAGACATTCTCAATCATAATCTGGTGATATATTCACAGTTGCAGGGAAAACTGATAAAAATGTTGGTCCTTCAAATTTTAAGAATGCATATTATGGAAATTTGAATACTTAATCAGATGCATCAAAAATAATGAATTGGAGTACTTCCACTAAAAGTCAAGTATTTTAATTAACAGATGAAGTAATATTTATTAATTTTATTATAGGATTTTAAAGATGATGAAGGAAAGTTTTAAGTTGTTATTGATGATGTTTAGTTATAAACTTAAATTTTGATTTAATAAACTTAAGGTAAAACTAAGAGACCTAAGGATAGATCAACTTGTTATTATTGCTCTATTTATTGATTTTAATCTAAATAATTTAAGATCATTTATTTACACTTATAAGTTAACTTGTTATAATCTTCATCTCACAATTTATTTATAGTAAGTTGAAAAAAAATAAATGATTTCCAGAAAGGCTACTTAATTATCCCATTAGAATAATGGTGACGAGAATGATAAAAGAATACTCAAGATGTAAACTTCTTTTTTTAAATCCTTTACATCTTCAAAGAAAGGAGGCAAGGATGGTGAGGGTAGTCAATATTTTATTTAGAATAGAGTTTTAATTTTTCATTCGAACTTAGGATTGTGCATTTAATACAATACTGTACATGCTAGTAAATTTTTAAAAAGCAGACGAAGATTCTAAAAAAAAGGGCTTTTCTTTATTAAGTAATCCTAAGCCAATTATGAATATGGAATCATATAAAGATCTTAGTGAACTGAGACCGTACTTATGTGTGTATTTAAAATAGAGAGCTGATATATTTTTTTACCGTTATTTCCGTGAGGGATTTACATGATTTCTATGTTGATTTTTATGCTTCCTTTGATACAAATAGAAATTTTAGTTTAGAAAAGAAGGAGCTTTAAAAAATGTTATAGACTATGTTAGTATTGATTGGACATAAGAAATTTAAAGTTTTTAGTGATCGGGCTTTAATAGAAACGGATGCTTTTGAAGGAAGTCTAACCTAAAAATTATTAGATGATATAGGTGAAAATTTTATGTTGCCAAATGAATAAAATAAGGTTGATTACTTATTGGTATTTCCATATATCTTAAGTTTTTATTTGGAATATACATACCAAGATATCAAGAATAAACAAAAAAGATTGGATGTTATCAAGGGAACTGAGTTAATAAGAGGGAAAGAGGTTGAAATCAAAAATATTACAAGTCTTATTTCAATTTTGAAAGAAATGGGAATTGATTATTTAAAAGAGAAAAATACTTATAAAATTTCTTATAGAGATGTTGAAAATATTTTATTAAAATTTAAGAATATATAATAATGGATAACTTTTGAAGTCATCTAATAGATTTTATAATCATTAAGTAAGATCATGTAAGTGGATGAAAAAACATAAGAAGAAACTAAGAAATTAAAGATACATAAAATAATTGATTTTGTGGCTTTAAAATTATGTATTCATTAGAATTGTCTAAAAATAAAAAAAACAAAAAAGAATCCTAGTTAATCTATGTTTCTAGAAGTAAATCATAATTATTAAAATTAGGTATTAGTATTATGGAATTGTGCTTAATTTGCAAAATATGCAGAAAAAAAAACTTTGACTTTAAAATTTGAAAAATTTCTAAATGAACATTATTAATAGAAAGAAACCTTTGTTAGATTGGAAATGTAAAAATGTTTGGAAACCTTTTTTAGAAAATCCTTTTAATTGATGCCTAAAAAATAAATATATGAAATCATTTAATGTCATAATCTTTTTGCAGATAATAATATTATTAAGAATTATTGTATTGAAAAAGAGGAATTTTAAAACTCTCTTCACACTATGATATGTACTGATGGTTATAATAAATTAAAATAATATGTCAAGATCATTTTTGATGGTATGACAAAGCATACAAATTTAACAATAACATAATATTAAAATTATGGTAAAGACCTAGAAATAGATAGTAATTAGGGTGGAATATCTTCTTAGAGATAGTTAAGAGATAGATAAAATTCTTAATAATTATCAATATAATAATAATAATAATAAAAAAAAGAAAAAGAAGTGAGTGATAGTAGCAAAAGTAGTGATGAAGAATAAATAGTTACTGCTAAACCTAGTCAAAAATTTAAAACAGCAGTCAGAGCTATTTAATCAGGAAATGTCATCATAAAAGAAAAAAATGAAAGCAAAGATATATTAAAAGCTTGTTTGATGATGGATAGTTTTCTTAAACGTTAAACTTAAAGAATTAAAAATTATGTTAAAGTATCGAAATCTGTAAACATTTCTGTAGTTAAATCTGATGTAAAACAGTTAGATAAATCATTAGTGGATCACGATGATTAAAAGGAATTATTTGACCCTTCCGAAATCTTGAATAAGAGAAGATAAGAATAGAAAATAAAAGAAATCCATAATATAAAAAAAGAAAAAGAAGCAAAGGTTTGGGAAAAAAAAAATCTACCATCAGAAAAGAAATCAGAAGAAGACATTGAAGTAGTTAGTACATAGGTTGAGTAACCTATAGTTATTACTAATGAATTAAAATTTCCAGAATCTTAACAAAAGAAAAAATTGAATAGAGTTGAAGTAGCTAATGAATTGCAAATGGTTTTAGGAAAATCAAATAGTGATTTTGGTCCAACAAATTTTAAACAAGCAATTAGATTATAAACAACATCTTAAATGGTATAACCTGTAAAATTCAATAAACAAAATGATGTAACAAATATTAATATATGAAATTAGGAATAAGATCATTTAGTAATAATTGATGAAAGTGTTTTAGAAAATTTGATTAAACGTAATTAATAATAAGAAAGAGTGAGAAAATCTACAAGGGATGATTGTCAATGTTTAATTTATTGAAGTTTTAATGTATGAATATAAATTAAGTATTAAACTAAGAAAAATTATTCTTTATATTCCAATTAATCACCAGAAAGTTGAGTTAAATTTTGAGTAATTTTATAATAATTCCATTATGGTAATTTTAGAAATAAAGAATGATAAACATTTATATGATAACAGAATCATGACAAGGATAACAAGTATATTTTAATGTATATGCAGATTTTGGATGAAATATAATCAATAAATATTTAAATGAATTGTAGCTTTTCATAATTTAAATTTCCTAAGTGTTTCAAAATACAAAGATAATTCTTTCTAGAGAATCAAGAATTTTTATTTTTATTAATCTTCTTCAATCATCACATTCTTAAACTTTCTTAAATATTATTCTTCTCGATTTTATTTTGAACAAGAGCAATCCAAAGTTGTTTCATTAAATAAATTACAAGGATCACCTGCGATTGGCATTATTAATGGGGATTTAGTCTTAACAAAATAAAACTCTTCAATAATTGGCATTTTTCTATTCATTACTTTAATTAATTAAAACTAATCATATAAAATAAATCAGAAATCATAAACTTATAGAATTCTTACAAGAATAGAAAAAACGAATAATAAAAGTCTTTTATTAAAACAAGAATCCATACAAAATATTAAGGAATATTATTTCAATTCTAAATTTTATTGTTATTACTTATAATTATTCTTATTTCAAATATACTCTTTGTTTACTAGATAAAATTATATTAAGTTTATATAAAATTGAAATATGTTTCAAAAGTGCTCATTCTAAATTCATATGAAATATTAAATAAAATTGATTTTTCTTGAATTATCAACTAGAAAAAAGAGATCCAATTCCATTTTTTAATAATTCTTTGATATATATATTTATTTGATAATATTCATATATATAAATGTCAGAGCAGAATTTACTCAGATATTATTATATAAATAATTAAAAATGCCTCCAAAAAAATAAAAGATTGACCAATTTTTTGAATCAAAAGAAAAAAAGGAATAACAATAAAATAATGATAATAAAATTATTGAGGAAGAATACAAAGTACTTCTTTTCATAAATGTATAAGCCTGTACCTGAAGGTATTGTTCCTTTTGATGATTTTTATAATGGCCTGTTTAGTTGGTAGAAAAGTTTAAAAAACTAAGAAGCTAACCTCAAACACATTTATGAATTTATCAAAAAAGAATATTAAACAAAAACTTGTTACCCTCCATTTGAAAAAATATTCAATGCATTCCAACTTACACCTATCAATAAGATTAAAGTTGTGATCGTTGGATAAGACCCGTACATTAATTAAAATGAAGCTATGGGATTGTGTTTCTCTGTCCCTCGTTCATAAACAAAGATACCTCCCAGCCTAAAAAATGTTTATAAATTGCTTTCTACAGATATCAAAGGATTTAAAACTCCAAATCATGGGGATCTTACCAAATGGGCTTAATAAGGAGTATTTTTACTTAATACTGTATTGACTGTAGAAGCTGGAAAGTCTAATTCACATAAGGATTGTGGATGGATAAAATTTACAGATTAAGTGATTGAGGTTATCAATAAAGAATGTAGTGGATTAGTCTTCTTATTATGGGGATTGCCAGCCTAAAAGAAGGCAAAAGGTGTGGATAGATAAAAACATTATATATTAGAAACAGTTCATCCAAGTCCATTATCTGCTAAAAATGGTTTCTTTGACTCAAGTAATGAATATTTAAATGATTAGATCACTTCTCCAAGTGTAATTAGTATTTAATTTAGAATGGAAAAGAGCCAATTGATTGGACTTTGGATTGATAATATAAAATTATAAATGAAAATTGGTAAATTGGGATTGTTCTTTTATATATAATAAATTTAAATTCATTTGAGTATAAAGATTTCAATATTGTAACTAAAATAATCTGTGCATGTAATTTACTTGTTCTAATTGAAATAGCATTTACCTTGTAGTATGATATTAACTACTGAGTATCTAATGGTATGTTTCAAGATGAAGAATTTATTGGGATTTAAGTAAAAAATAAATAGCCTAACAGTCATTTAAGAATACATTTGATTCAAGAACTAAACTACTTTAATGGTTTTTTACAAAACTTTTATCAACAAGTTCTTTTAAACAAATAGATATTCCATACAATTTAAAATAACAAAAATCTTAGAGTACTTATGTTAAAAATCATTTATTTTGAAAAAATCAATTTATTTACTAGAGAAGGAATAGAAATAAGCAGAAATTAGAATAATTTATGAATAAATAAAAGGAATTGGTTTTAATATGAATATGGCTGATAAATTTTTGACTATCGTTAATAAATTTAAAATATCAAAAATGGATGAATACATTACGGTAATTAAGTATTAATAGTGTAGTAGAATTACAGAGAATTAGAGAAACTAATAGATGGAATTCCTGTTCCAGATATTACAGTATCTTCCATGTCTTAATAATCTGATCGAATGACTCCTTAATCAAAGAAAAAATAATCTCTAACTAGGGAACAAGTCCAACGTATTTTAAGAAGAACAACTGAGTAGGCTTAAATCCCCATTAACAAATAGAAGGTCTTTACTATGCAGACCTTTAATTGTAAAGAGAATTCAAATGATGAATAAATGCTTAAATTGATGAAGTAAAAGGAAGGAAAAAGTAATTCAGAACTTTAGATATTGTAACACTAAATTAAAGAATAGTAAAAAGTTATAGAGCAATAAATACATTAGATTGGATAAATAAATATTGAAATTGAATATTTGACAAATGAATTATAGGATAATCAAGAGAAAAGATAAACTGATGCTAAAAAAGTCTTACAATTATAATCAATTAATGATTAGTAACAAAAAATAATTGAAGATTTACGTATTGAATTGTCAGTGGCTAAAAGAGTTAGTTCATAATAATAAAATAAGGAATAAGATTCTATGAATTAGATTAGCTTATTGAAATCAAAAATCAATAGTTTAGAATCAGAAATTAATAGAACTAGGACCACTTTTACACTTACATCTCCTAAAAATGATACTATGCAGACAGATGTATTCTCAAATAGAATTGATCCAGAATTATTAAGTGAAGAAGAGACTTTAAGTGTCTTGCTCAGTTTATTAGGTAGGGTTTCAAAGAGTTAAAGAATGTCATATTTATTAAATAAAAATGCAGATTTCAAATTTTTAATCAGATGTAAACGAAGTCAACCAAGTGTGAACAAAATCTCAATTCTATAAAATAGTAAATCTTTGTGTGATAGAAAATTATCATATAACCATGAAAATTTCAAACAGATAGTTAAAAATGTGGGAATCAAAAACCAATGAATTATACTTTATCTATTTATTTATATAAATATTAATAATGTTTTTAGATTCCAATATTATTGAAAACAGTGAAGAAGATGAAACACCAAACATTTGCTTAGATACTTTTGGCTTAAGCCAAGAATTAGATTAAAAAGTATAATTTATTTAATTGATAGAAAAGTAAAAATAAGTATTAAAGAAAAATAAAAATTTCAAGAAAAATTTAGGAGTTGGAAATGCTTAATATGATTCCTATGATATTGATTTGAATGAATTTGTTATTCAAAAGCAAACTTTTACATAAGATAATGAATAATTAAGAGGATCAGTTGAATTAAATGTAGACCCTTAATTATTCGAAGTTGTATAATTTGATCCAGTAAAGTAATAAGAGGAAGAAGATAAACATTCACAAACTATCTAAATGGAATTTAAATTAAAAGAAAAAGAAAATAAACAAAATTTATAATAAGAACAATAATAATTATAATAATAATAATAATAATAATAATAATAATAATAATAATAATAATAATAATAATAATAATAATAACAATAACAATAACAATAACAATAACAATAATAACTATAAGAATAAGAATAATAATAATAATAAGAATGTATTATTGAAATCTGTAATTTTGAATAAATTTCTGTTTAAGATTTAATAGCTATTCCCCCTATTTCTCCTTATGCTGAAAAAATTACTTAATTACATTTACCAGATTATTTACACGATTTTCTTGTAAATCCAATCCCCATAGAAGGAATGTTTTAGTGCACCATATAAAGAGACAAATCTGGACTTAATAGATTTGTTCCTAAATACAGAATGTATTGGAGTCATAACGGTTAATTTTTGCTAGCTGCAAAAAAGATTTTAAATAAAAATAAGTATATTGTCACTTAAGATGGAGATTTTAAGTAGAAAGATGAACTTCTGATGATAGGTAAAGTAGAATAAAGTTAATAATCAAAGGCTGATTATAATTTATATGATAATGGAGTAAAAAAGAAAAATCAAAGTAAATTCAAGAAACTGAGAACTTAATTAGGTAGTGTGTTTTTTGATACTACATATGAAAGCTAGACTCGACCAAGAAAAATAGTTTTAGCATTAAGAAAAAGTGAAAAGGAAACCATATAATTTGTTAGTCGTAAGCCTTAGGTTATTATAACTGGCACATGTAAGTATTTTTGGAATGATTAGAAAAATTATATACTCTTGATTTCTTTGGAAGAGTGAAAAAGCCATCAATAAAGAATTTTTAATTGGTCTTAAAAAGTGATGATAAAGATATAATATATGTCCAATTTGGAAAAGTTGATAAGAATCGATTCAATTTAGATTTTATGAGTCCTTTAAGTCCCTTAGTAGCTATGTAATTAGCTTTATGCAATTTGAATTTCGCAGGGAAAGCATGATTTTATTATTTTTGAATTATTAACATATATATGTATTATGAAAAGTTAATTATTTAAACAAATCATTCATTAATTTGTATATATCCAAAATCTAATTTTATAAAAATGAATATTTTTCAAAGATAACAATAATGTAATAATTAAAATTGAAAAACTCTTTTTTTAGTTTAATTTATCCAAAAAAATACATATTTTATTGATTATAACAATTAATAATAAAAATAATACAATAATAATATATAAGATAAAATGGATGAATAAAAGCAAAATAAAATCATATTAAAAGTATTATGTTCTTAAGAATTAGATTTTAGTAAAATAAGCTTTAATACAGTAATATTTAATTAACATAAATGTATGTTGTCTTTTGAATGATTACTTTTACACTATTGCTTTAAATGGCCTTGCTATAATTTTCATCGCTTTTGTTTATCATATAATTCCTTTGAAGAGTAGTAAAATAAAATACATAGTAGAATATTCGTTACTAGCTGGAGTTTAAGTAAGATTAAGTAATATATATTAGATTCTTGCAATTTTTATGAAGGAATTACTAATATATTTGGCAAGTTCATTGTTAGGTTTATCAATTCTTTCAGTGCTTTTTAAGATTTGCAGAACTCAGTTAAACGTTGATCAATCACTAGGACTTTTTAAATTAGTAATTATATATAGGTTAATAGTTGAAAGTGTGTAGGAATGTTGAAATGTTTTTTAAGTTTGCAGCTTTTATTTTTATCACTGCATCTAAATTCTGTATTACCATGGAGCTGGATGTAGATATTTGTTATATTGTGGTTTATTTTAGTTTGTGGTTTACTTTTTTAAATTTGTATGATTTTGAATTTATTGTATAAAACTTTGAAAAGATTGAATTATTCAATTGAAAGAAGAAATAGCACAAATATTAAATATTATGGTGGAATTTGGTATACAATATAATTACATTGTCTAACATTCAATCCATTCTTTACTTTACTTAACTTTTGTCTAACAATGGACTAGAACTTTACTATGATATATCTTCCAATAATGTGCATAATTGGATGGATGATAATGATGATTGTGTCATTTATTATTCGTAAAGAAGTAAAGTAACAGTAAATAGACAATAAGATAATATTATTAGTAAATTAACAATATGATCCCATAAGTTGGCACTTCCGAAAACGAAGTATTCATGAACGAAGGCATTCCAAAGTATTTGATGAAGATCTCCTCCACTTATTTCTAATAAACTGATAAACCATTTGAAATTCTATCTACATCTCCTCGTAAATCAAATGATGCTGAAATGAAATGTTTGATTTGTTTTGAGAATGAGAGTGGATATGTACTAATGAATTGTGGACATGGTAAAAATATATAAAAAGTATATATATAGGTGGTTTATGTCTGAAATGTGCATCTAATCTTCTCTTGAAGAATAAAGAATGCTATTTATGTCGATAACCAATAATGAAAGTATTCTAAATTTAAAAGAACAATTTTAACTTTGTTGAAGTCATAGGAATAATTGAAACATAATGAATTATATCTTTATTTAATATATATTGAATATATTTTTATTAAAACAACTACTCGATCATCTTCTCCAGATATTAAACACTGTCTTACTACTTGCAATTACACATCTAGAAAATCCATTAATACACACCTATGGTAAATTCACAAATTCATTGTTCACTGAAATAATATCATTAACATTGTTGACATTCCAAATTCTTATTGTGTCATCCCAAGAAGCAGATGCAATATATTAAGAATATGGAGAAAATCCACATGTCCATATTCCTCTTTGATGTCCTTCAAATTACTTAAGCAAAATGAAATTCCTTGTTGACCACAATTTAATAAATTTATCTTTTCCTGATGAAATCAACCATTCATAATCATAAGAAAATTCTATACAATATCCTTCATCATTATGTGCTTGCCATTTTTTTAAAACTTTCTGATTTTTATATATGATAATATTTTTATCATCTCCAATTGTAGCAATTATTAGATTAATATTCTAATTTTCTTTATCCATATCCATCAACCAATTACCACCACCAAATGAACAACCATTAACAGCCTATGAGTGTCCATTCAATCGATAAATTGATTTATTATTTTCTATATTCCATACAATAGCTTATCTATCACCACTAACAGAACAAAAATATTTAGAATCGTTTGAAAAGCTAAATCTATTAATACCCTCATTATGTCCTTTAAATATTAGTGGTCGTGAATCTAAATTATTTATATCCCACATCCAAATATCAGACTATCTACCACTTCCAACCAATAACCATTTTTTATTTGGTGAAAATTTCAATGCTTATATTCTATCAGATTAACATATGAAACATTTTAATTCAATCATTGAATCCAAATCATAAACTACTACTTTATTATTCCAATTAGATCCACCAGCAAAAAGTTATCCATCATTAGTAACATCTATTGCAGTAACACTATTATAATAATCTAATTTCAATTTTATTAAGTTCTTATCACATAAATTAAAGCTATCTTCATTAACAGCATTTATTACTTAATCCTTTGTTTGTTCATATTACAATTTTTCTAGGTTTTCTAAATATTATTTTAATTAATCTCTTTCTTATGTTTACAGAATTATAGATTATAACATTTCATTTGATTTTTAAGCTTTATTTAACAATATATTTAGAGATTACATTTCTAAGACAAATTGTTTTAATTAACTAATTTACTTTTATCCAGAAAACTTTAAATTCAAAGATCCTGCATCTAATCTTGTCAATTCTTATAATTCTTAACCCAATTTTTATAAAACAACTTCAGTGATTTCTTCACATTGAATATATGTTTTATATATATTTTACACTTAATTTATCTCATCCAAAATTTATGAAAATTGAGATCCATACTTCAAAAAACTTTGACCTATTTCTTCTGTTATTGTTTCAAAATCATTCACCAATTATTATTTTAATTTATTTTAAACCCATCTTTCTTAATATTCAGTTATACATTAATCAATTTTAGAAATACTTATGACTTTATGATTGATATGAGATTCTTTTGCACAAATAGCACAAATAGCCTTTTTATTACTTATACATTTTTCATCCAAACACATTACTGAGATTCCTAATCCTAAATCAGAATGATGTTTGATATGACATTTAATTGAATTAGCTTTGCTAAATAAATCGTTCATTTTTATGGATTAATTAATATAGATTAAAATTGTTTACATACTCTTATAATCTAAATCAATATTAAAGAGATATAACATTAAAATGTATTATGATCATGAATGAACTTATTAATGAATTAATTTAATTTACTCGCTTAATAAAAAAAAAAGTATTAAATAAGAGAAAAGCTGTCTTAATATATTTTATAAATAAGATTATTTATTAATGCAATAGAACTATGTTTGGAGAAAGATTAATTATGATATTAAAGAAAAGCCTATCCTTTAATTCAAATTTTAAAAGGTAGGCAAGAAATCTAAAGATATCTATATTGGATGTTTTAATGAATATTTGATCAAATATAAAGTAATAATGCATTTTAAAGATTCTAGGATCAATTCTATACTATACCTTATAAGCTATTTGATCTAGTATTCACTAGCAAATTCGAAGTTATAAGAACTCCATCTAAATTAAAACAAGAGAAAAATCATAGCAAAGTTAGAGGTGAAGAGATCTTAGAATTAGGAGAAATAGTGGCTATTCGTTTAATTGTAGAAAATATTGATAAACCCTATGAAATCTAAGGGAAAACTGATTAAATGCATCAACTAAGGAACTTTTTGGGAAAAAAAATAAATTAAATTGGATTTCACAATTTATTCCGAGTTTATAAAAAAATTGGGAGAGGAAATTTTGCATCTGTTTATTTGGCTGAAAGAATAGAAGATAATTTAAGAATGGCAGTTAAAGCGTTTTCAAAACAAATTGTTTATAATGAAGAAAAAGGAAGAGTAAGTTTACTGTACTTCATTTTAGGAAGGATTAATTAATGAAATTTAAATAATGAGAGAATTAGATCATCCTAATCTAATGAGATTGTATGAAGTATATGAAACCATGAATTCTATTTATATGGGTCTAGAATTATTAGAGGGAGATCAATTATTTGAATATTTAAAAAAGAAGATCTCATTTACAGAAAAATAAGTATAAAGTATAATGGTTGGTTTATTATTGGGTCTTAAGCACATGCATTCAAAAGGAATTATGCATAGAGATTTAAAATTAGAGAATATTTTATTTAAATAACATGGGTATTTTTATTAAGATATATAAATAAAGCAATTTTGATTCTGTAGTTATTGCTGATTTTGGATTGGCTACTCATGTAAATAAGAAACCATATTTATATTAAAAATGTGGAACTCCTGGATTTGTTGCTCCAGAAATTATAAATCTAAAAAATTTATATTAACCTTATGATTCAGTTTGTGATGTATATTCAATGGGAGTTGTTTTTTATATTTTGTATTAATATATATTCTTATTATTAGATTGACTGGAAGACCAGCTTTTACTGGTAAGACATACAATACTATTGTAAAATAGAATAAGGAAGCTAATGTTAATTTTGATTCTCCACATTTTTAAAATGCTCCTAAAGAAGCATAACAATTACTTTTTTAAATGCTTTAAATAGATCCTTAATAAAGAATTAAGAGTAGTGAAGCTTTGTTGCATCCTTATTTGCAAAGTGTTTTGTTAATTGATGATGATGAGGCTCATATATCAACAGATGATGATCCTAATCTTATGGAGAGAATTAAAATATTAAATAAATAGTTAATATATAATAATTAAATTATCTAGGACAGAAAAGGTCGATTTTACTAGAATCAAAAGATAAAATAGTTAGAATATCAAAGAATTACGACTATAAGCCACTTAAGAATTGAAGTAAAATTAAACCTCAGATGAGGAATTAAAAATAATTATGAGGACACCAGTTATTACAGGAAGAATTAATTCTGTTGAAAGTATTTTCTAGTAAAAATTTAGATTCACCTATGCTGAAATATCTTTCACCCTTCTAAAGTACAGGCTATGATGAAATAGCTTAAGATTAACTAATTTTGTAACGATATTCTGGGAAAACACTAAATATATGACTTTATTTTATATATTTCTTTAAATCATAATATATTATTTAATATCTATGATTTATATTGTTATAATATTTTAATAATTTAAATAGGATCAATTCTTAAAATTATTAGATATTAATTATTTAATGTAGAGTAATCTAACTATTTTTATTAATTTAGAAAAATTATATTTAAAACTCATTTTATAAAAATTTAATTATTACAATTATTATTTTTAGATTTCATTTTATATAATTAATAATGAGATCAAACACAGTTTTGAGATTGAGAAAATCAATTGAATAAGAAAAGTATGAATCCTCTTAGAAAATTTCTCTACATGCATTTAGTATACATTAACCATTAAGCCCAAAGAGAAAAGCTCATTAAACTCCTATTAGAGGAAAATACTAAATACTGTAAAAATAGAAATTAATCAATGAGTAAAAATTGAATGTCTAGACTCAGCTTTTAAAGAAAAATGATTATTTTAATTCAGTGAATATAACATTAGAGAGTTAATAAATAAAAGACTAAAATAAAAGTATACAATGTAGAAAGAATTACCGTTAAAAATCAGAGGATAAAATATTTGTATATGATATATTTCGAGAGGTTGGGTACTCTTACAAATTATATGTCTGAGGAATAATCAAAACCTGGCGATTAATAAGAAGGACAGAACAAAATATAATCTTTTCCAATTGTGAAAAAAAGATTTTCTTAATCTCCTTAATGCTTAGTTTCTCAAATTATACCTCCGATGCCAATAATAACAGAGTTAAATAACACAAAAATAGAATCAAGTATTTAGTGATATAATTATTAGATGAATTTAATAAAGTTTAATATAAAGTGATAAAAGAAGTTTCAGAATCAACAGATAGAATACTTGATTTATTATTACTTAATACTTGTGATCTCAAAAAAGTATTCCAATAATAAAAATAAAAAAATTAAAGAAAAATAATTGTTTAAGGAAGAGTGCCAAAAGATTTTTTCAATATTTTGAAATAATTATGATCATAAATAACAAATATACTTTTTATTATTTAATTTAATAAAATTATATTATAAAATTATATCTACTTGAAATCACATATTAGACTGTCTGGTTTATTAATTTTAAATTAATTTATGATTTAATATCAATTTTATTCTTAATTATTCTTTTAAATAAAAGATTTTATAATTCATACTCATAATAAGATTATTAACTAAATAAAATTATTGTTGTTTATTTTTACTTGTTATTCTATTATTTAGAATAATCAAAAATTTAAAATAAAAACAATTATAAATCTATTATTGTTTTGGTTTACAAATTTGTAACTTAATCTATGATATTTTATTTAATAGTTATGTTATGAATAATTTAGATTTGATATAAATGATATATAATTTGATAAAATTAAATATTGTAGCAAATTAACTTAAAATGTTGCTGTGATTATTATTGTTTAATACCTAATCATTATTTAAATAATTCTTTTACATAATTTCAATTTAATACATTTAATATATAGAAATAAAAGTAGAAATATTTCATTAATTTAAAAAATTTATATGTTGCCAAACCAATAACAATTCTTAAACGAATCATTCCATTTTGATAACTTTTAATAGATTTCTCCTATATTTTAAGAATTTCTTAAGATCATTAATTCTAATGCTATAGATATACTTTAAAATTCAAATTCTCTTAGTGAAAATATGAATTTAGAAGTTAGTCATAAAAACTAGGATTCTCAAATTAGTAGTCCCACCTAGATTTATTTAACTAAGAAAAAATGGCAGGATAGATCTAATGTGAAACAAAAATAATTGTAACAACTGATAAGTTGTTAAAATAATAATTGTTAGAATAAAAGAAAAAATTTAAATGAAACTTAGATCAAAGGAAAAACTCTCCTTTTATGTAATAGCTGTTTATATAATTATAACTCAAACAACTATTGTGAGTATTGTATTTAAGTATTTAAAAATCAATAATTTAAGATATATGATCCTAATATAGGTTATGAAATGGATGATAAATAATGGATTATGTGTGAAAAATGCAACAGATGGGTAAATATTTATTTTATATTGTAGAACCATGTTGAATGTGAATAAACTTAAGGAAAGTAGAATTTGATTAAAATAACCTATAATACAAAATATAGATGTTCCTAATGTCATAAAAATAAAAAATAATAAGCTAAATATAAAATACATAAAGATACTTTTTAAGATCAGGAATTAATTAACATTAAAACAAAATAACCATAAACTATATTAAAATTAACAAATAAAGAAATATTTGAAGATATTTCTCTTCTAAAGAGTCTATTATTAGATGAGAAATAAAAAAAAGTGAAAATAGATTGAATTAATGATTTTGTAAAATGTACTCCTTTATTTTTAACTATAATTATTTTTAAAGATTTTATCACATCAGGACTTCATTATTATATTTAAATAATATTTATTCTGTTATTATAATATAAAGTTAATAAAAATTCGTTCTATTTAAATGACTCAAATTTATTGTTTATTTAATATAACTAAGTGATACAATAACTTTTTGACAATTTCCTATCTCTTTATATAAATCTTCTCATATATATATTAAATAATGTATTTTAAAAATATCAATATAATTAATTATATATCACCCTTTCATTGAATTTAACTTTCCTTATTTTTATTATTTAAACTGTTCAAATTCTTTAAGGTATTGTTAATATGATAAATCTTGTGAAACAGACATATCTAAAACACTTTGATCTCCAAAGTTAATTCTACTCATAATTAAAGTTCCTTCTATTTCTTATTCTAGTTTATCTAATTCTTTATTTATCTTATTAACTTCTTTTCTAATAGTATCAATTTCAGTAACTGATTTATATTTATCTACATCTGCCTATTATTTTTCATTTTTTTTCTGTTAAACATTAAATTGATTATCTGTTTCTTCTTCACTTTCATTTTGTTCAGTATCATCGTCCTATTAATCACAATCCTCAACTTAATAATCATCTTCATCTGTTTCTTCTTCTTCTTAATTCTCTTCATCTTATTCTTAATCATCTTCATCTACTTCTTCTTAATCTTTTTAAATTTATTTATTCTATGCTTTCCATTCATCATCTTTTTCTTTTTTTTACTATTATATTATTCTATTAGGTTCTTATTGTTGTTATGGTTTATTTAACAATTTTTGAGCAACAGGTTGATTGGCATTTTATTGTTCTTAAGAAAATAAAAACTATGGTCCTCTAAATTGTTATCATAATTATACTTTGTTGATTATTGCTATGTATTAGCTTAAAGAGTAAAAGGATTTTGGCTGCTTTTTGGTATAATTGAATTTAAATTTTGATTATTCTTTTAATTATTTTAAACATAAGGATTTTGTTATTATGGTATAAATGGTTATTATTATAGTGATTATTGTGATCGTTAGCTTGTTGTTGAATAGCTTGAATTAGTTGTTTGAGGATTATTGTAATATTAATATTATTAACGATATGACATTATTTAATTTATATTAAATTAATATTCAGAAACATTTTTTGAAATAGAATCAAAGGCAAAATAAGTTTAAGATGAAAAGTCTAAAATATTCTTTAAAATGAAAGAGTTTGAAAAACTTGATGAAATAAAGATTAATACAAAAAATAATTTATTAAAAATATTATAAACTTCTTTTTCGAATAACATGATGTATCAAGAATGATAGATATATTTAGTCAAATGCCAGAATCATAAATGGGTTCATTAAGAATGAGACCTTCCCAATTAAGAATAGAAATGACTGATGATCAATAACTATCCACAAGACGTAGAAATTTTATGTCCCCTACTGCTTTGCCATTATTTAGAGAATTGTAAAAAAATAGTTTTATATATCAGATAATAATAAACTACTAGACAACATTTGTAATAAAGTATTGCTCCTTTAGCTATGAAAGTAAAATTATCAATTTAATACATTAGCCGATATCTAGCCAATCTTAAATTACAAAATCCTTATTGTTTAATTTATTTTTATAAGGTTTCTTTATAAACTATTATGGTTATCTATTTTGGTAATACAGTTTTCGCTATGTTTTACTTTAATTATGGATTTAAGATTTACTCACAATGTTCATATTAATATATTTTAATTATCGTAAAGGAGAAGATTGTATTTGGCAACTAATAGAGGCTATGTTTCTATTTTTCTTAAAAGTAAAAGAATCATTTAAAAAAAAAGGTTTTTATAGTATTTTATTATGAAATACAAAAATTCAAAATATACTTTATTACAATAATGATGATTTCACTTTCTATCTTAGTGTTATTTATGCGAGTTGTTTAGAAATTGAAATTTCAATTATAGAACAATTAATAAATTGTAAGTATGAAATATATAGTAAGATTATCTAATTTATAAAAACATTATTATGTGTTTAGATGACACTTATTGCTTTGAAATGGGAGGATAAAATTGAATGGGTTTGGTCTTAAATTTTTATAATTTTATGGGTATTTTTGGTAGTTCTTGCATTATTATTATTTATATCTTTTATAGGATGTATTGAAACATTCATTAATCTTCTAAAAAAATAAACTAGTCAAAATTATTGTATTTCTTATATCTATTATAGTAATAGGAAACATTTGGATTTTTATCAATATAATAGGTTACACATTGTTACCATTCTCATTTTTGTATAGATTGACTTAATTATATGATAATGAAGAACCATTTGGAGAGGATGAAACTATTTAATTAATTGTTTTAAATGGAATTTATATGCTTTTATTAACCGTTTATACTACTTTCTTTGTCAATAATATACGGTAATTATAAAATACTGAAAAGTAGAATGTTTTTGAAAGAACTCTAAGGATTTGAATAATACTCTACTGGTATGCCATAATAACCAATTCAAATTTAATAAGAATAAGAATAAAGAAATAATGATAATGGTCCTGATTCTAATGAAACATTGTCTAAGAAAAAAAGAAAGTAACCATTTAGATTTATTAAATTAAATGCACCATTATATTTAGTAAAAATGTCATGTACATTCTTTGCTATTTTTGATAAAATACATTTTAATTAAACAAATCAAAAATAAACAGAATAACTTTCTCAAAGAGCATTAGGATAATAATCATCAAATAGAATGGAATTTTAAAAGGAAATCAAAGCAAATAGCAATTCATTAGATGAAAAGATAAATAATTTAGAAGTATAAGAATAATAAAAAGAAATAATTGAAGAATAACCAAAAGAAAATGAATAATCCAAAAAATGTTCAGAAATACCTTAAAAATCTCAAAATTCAATAAATGAAGATTAATAATCTACTTAGGATAAATGTTTAATTTGTTATGAAAATTAACCTAATATTTTATTTATACCATGTAGACATGGTGGAATATGTGAGAAATGTGCAGAAGATATTGTACTTAAAACCAATTAATGTTATTTGTGTAGAAAAGTATTTATTCTTTAATATTTAGAATATTAAATAAATATTAAAAATAAATACAGAAGGAGGATAATTAATTGTAAATGAGATTAGTAATATAAAATAAAGAAGATAGATTTAAGTATGAAATTGTAAATAAATTTTACACTAAATTAAATCTCGTATATTAATAATATAATATATAAATAATAATATTTTATATAATCTATTTTCATATGGCTTCATTCTAATCCGTTTATTGTATTCTATTATCTTAAGCTTATTCATTAGGTAAAAAATAATTTGTTATTTTAGCTGGAACATACAATTAAAGTATCAAACAAATATAAATATTAATAGCACTTTATTCATTAAGTGCATTAATAGTTGTGATCATCTTAGGTTGGAAGATATTCAGATATTAATTATAAAGTAAAGTAGCAAAGCATATTGTTGATAAAATATGTAATAATTTATAGTTTTTTAAATATGATCTTGTAACTCTCTGTAGTTCTTGTTCATCGAATATTTCATATGATTTTTCAACAGTATTATCTTATTCTACATTAGTATTTGGTTATGTGTAATTAAATTATTTATATAATAGATACAAGTAGTTTGCAGTGTATATTGATAAAGTAAGTAAATTTAAATATTGATAGGAATTATAATAAGGTATCTCATTTTATATGTCAAACTAAATTCTAGTATATTTTTGATAAGTAATATAAAGATTAAGAATTGCTTATGGAACTGTGTAAAATACAACAATAGAAAATTTAATTAAATGATTTAATTTAAGTTTATTTTAATTATTTACAATTTCTTCATCCTTAATATTTTGAAGTTGTTAAAATTCAAATATGAGAAGCCAAAAATAAAATAAAGATGTTTATACAATCAATTAAATTATATTTGTATATCCTTAAACTACATTATAATGAGTTGATCTAAAAATTTGAATTGGCAAATTATAGAATATCATAAGTATTAGTAAATATGGTACCCATCTAAGTATATGTGGCCATTTTATTTTATTATATTCTTAAATATGATAAATGAAATTAAATAATGCATAACTTGTTATCAATATAAATATAACCTATTTAATATATGAAATTACTTAATGGATAAAGACAAATCTAAAATATTTTGTATTTTCAACAGTTGCTTATATATTTATAATCTAAATAGATTAATATTAAGGTGGTTTTTGTAAAGTTATTTATGATAAAATTAATTACTAATTATTTAAATTAAATTCCTTAATCTCTCCTAAACAATTATAGTATGTAGAAATTAAATTGCATTAGATTTTTAAATTAAATTTTTCATCAAGAAGTTAATTTTCATACTTTGAACTATCTTTTATTGATCTTTTTTAATAGGAATTTTTTACACTTCATTTAATAATGATGCATTTCCATAGAAGATAAGATGTGTATTGATATTATAAATTATGAGTTCTTGGGAAAGTTTTGTTTTATTAAGTTTGAAAAGATCTTACTAATAATTAAAAATTGATATACATCTTAAATTGAAAAGACTACTTCTATAAACACATAATTAGTCTCTGGACTGAAAAATCCAATTGAATCACATTATTATATGGTTTAGTTCTCAAAACTTGTATTATTGCAATTCTATTAATAAAACCCGTATTATTAGTATTTATTCTATCTTATTGTAATTACTTATAAAGTGATGTAGAAGATCAACCAAAATGTTAATTTTATGCAAATTTGACTACGAGATTAAGCATCAACCTATAATGGAATATATTAATCAAATAAAATCATATTAATATCATTATAAATTATGAATATAAATATAAGTTAGATGAGTAAATGTATTAAATGGAAAAGAAATATTCAAAAAATAAAATGAAATAAAAAATCTTTATTGAATTTTCATATTATAAAGCAAAGAGATCATAAATGATTAATTATTTATAATATTCTTTTATACTCATACAATTTTTTATTCCTTAACTTCAACCCATGTGAAATTGAATGTTGTTGGTTATCCCCAATGGATACCTGTGAATGCTGGAGTCCAACTAAATATTGGCTATTAATCAGTGGTAGGTCCACTTTAAACATAGGCAATGTTTTATGGAACAGAAGCCAAAGATGCTACCTTTCCATCAATTGATCCATGAGCTCTTGGATTAGTCTAAAATGATAATATTATTCATTACTTCTAATAAATCTAATCTACTTGAAATGGCATTTCCAGGATTATTACCTGAAATTGCATCATTTTTATAATCATTATATCTGATAAATCTTTTCATATCATCCAAACTCTTAACTTTAGGAGCATCTCTATTCATCATTTATCCTCTTGGACATTATTCATATGAATATTTTATTGGATCTTTTTTAACAGCTTCAGTATAACCAGCTCTGTCATAAATCTCAGTTGTAAATGGAATATTATAACTCTTCCAATAATTACCATTTGATATAACTTTAGCAGTCACATCCTTATTTATAGCAAATCCTGGGACTGTTTCAGAAATCCAAATGAAGTCCTTTTAAGGAGGTACACTAAATTTAAATAAAAATATTTTACTCCTTCTTTACTACTTTAAGATCAATAGCAATATATTGATTATTATATGTTCCTGAGTTATGTCTTATGAATGTACTAGTCCATTTCTCTCCTCCCTTTGAGATTGCATGAGCAACTGGAACTCTTTACCAAGTTAATAGAGTAGTTGGTACAATCAAATCATAGAGAGTACTATCCAAGATAGAATTTGTGGTTTCTATGACTACCATATTAGCATCTGGTAGAACATAGAAATCATCCTTGGAATACAAAAGTCCTGGCTTTGATGAAAAACTAACTCTATATGGATTTGGACCAGAGAATTAATAGTATTTATAAATTCTAAGCATATTCTAATAACTTGTCCATGTTGTGTGAGCCATCCAAACATCACTCCAATCATCTAATGCCTTAATTAAAGCAGAGCAAGAAATTCTCTTTTCTCTTTCCCATTCAAATTCTTCTGGAGTCAATAAATGCCATTAAATTCTTTCAGCTTTTGGTTTCATTGCTTCTTTCAATTCATAAATATCACCACATGCTTACAACAATAGTAATTGCACCCATGTGAGTCTCTTATTGATTGGAGCTTTATCTTGAATTGCTTAATATAATCCATCATTTTATGCTAAGATTCTACCCAAGGCTTCATAATATTCATCTCCTTTATTGTCTTTCACCAATTATCTTGAATATTCATATTGTTCCAATAAATATTAAGATAATTCTTTGGTTACTTATTCATTTCCAAAAGTAAAATCATACCAAGACCAGAAATGATTGTATATGTGTTCATATGTTAATGATCCTTCCAAATACCCTAAATGATATAATTCATAAAATACCAGCTGCATAAGAAGTCTTTAAACTATAATCATGAGATTTAAAAGTATCACTTGTCCAAATGTACAATTTACCCCATCCATCCTACATTACCTCATGTTTATAGTAACCCCATGCTAAAGCAACAGGTGATTTACCTTCGCTTATTGTGTATTTTCCAAGTCTCTAATCAACTGAAAACAATGTGCCATCATCACAAAGGCATAAACAAATTAATGCCAATAAATAAATAGCTTTCATTAATATTAATCTATATTGATTTTTTAATTTAAGTTTTAAAGGAAATTTTTATTGAAAATGATGCAATATTTTAAATCATGAATTTTATGTATATTTTATACATAAATAAGTTTAAAAAATATTATAATATGAATTTAGAAATTCACACAGAAAACCAAAAAACATTTTAGTAAAAAGAATCAAATTATTCTTAGAATTCTGAAATAAAAGATTAAGAAAAATTGAATTAATCTATTTATTTATATATACTAGCATATATCCTTCATAAATGTTATCAAAAAAATATCAGAATTTTAAAAATAAATCAGAAAATCAATAAAAAATTGACAATTTTGAGATATGATCAAAAATAAATATAAATTTATAAAAAATAGTCACACATTAATATAAAATATGATTAAAAATAATTAATATACATGTTCTAAGAACTAAGTTAATTAGATATAATAAATTGATTATTCATTTTGAATAGAGGTTAATTTTAATTATAGATTAAATTAAAAAAAATATTTCTTATAATTTATTCTTGAAAATCCAAATTAAATTACTCATCATCATATTTTTAGAATATTATTGTTAGTTAAAATTGTAAAATAGTTCAATTAATATATTTAATTTGATATATTTCTATTCATATATTATTGGTGGATAAACTGAAAATTGAAAATTATACAAGAAAGAAAGAAATATTAATTTAACTATCATATATATAATAGAAAACTAAAAATTTAATAAATATAATTTATTAATCAAAGTTTGCATATAATATTCTAATTTAGATTCACTGTTTTCGTCATTTTTATGACATGATAAATATTTACTATTTCCATAATTTAAGGATATTATCTAACTATTATTATATTTAATTTTTTTTTTCCAAATTAAAAATAGCCTATTCATTACCTTAAGTTTCTAAGATTTACGCCTTAAGTTAATCAGATAACTGTTAATTGATGTTCTCTTCTTTTTATTTGGTGCTTTCTTACTTTTAATGATTGATATTTTCAGATATAAGTTTATTCTAAATTTCTGTATTCTTCAATTCATTTTTTATTTAAATTTATTGTTTACCATCTTATTATGTGAGGATGGCTTTACTTTTATTCATATTTTTATGATTTTTGAAATTATTAGATGAAACATCATTTTTGCAATTTCCAAATTTCATTTTCTTTTTCATCCAGAAGATTAAATTGTTTGATATTGATTCAATGTCTTGATGAATGAATTATTTAGTGCACTCTTATGGATGATGAAATTAATCTTGCTATTTGAAGTTAATAATATTGGGAGATTTAGTTGATGATTCTAGAATCAATACATTGGATGTCGTTTATTATTAATAGAGATTCACATCACCTGTTTGGATATCAATTATGACGAGAATTTTGATTCTCTTAAAATATTATTTCTTATTTCTTTTATCCTTTTTCATGCATCTTCCTTGTTATTGAAAAGTTTATACAATACCATTAGCAGTAGAATATTTCAAACCATATTTTAACGCTGTCTATAAGATAAAACTTAGAGAATACTTGTTTAATCGAATTTTCTTGGAAAACTATATCGTAAATCACTTTTTCTCTGATTTCATTACCTATTTTCTAATAAGGTTGTCTAAGAGTATTATGTATGGATTATTTCTAATCCTATTAAATCTAGATTTAAGCCATATAATTAATAAATATTAACAGAATACACAAAGCTTTTATTCTTATTTATATTCCAAATCTTATAATTTTAAATACATAATTAGATTACGAGTGTTAATAGCAATAAATTTAAAACAAATTATTTAATTTGAATTAAATATATATAAATCATATGAGGATAACTAAAAAACTAATATTTAATTTAATTACATAATTCATACTTAATCTTAAGATTCATCTTTCTAAATTATCATTACAATAATTATGCTTATTTTGCTATTCAATTATTTTTATATAGATACTTATACATTTCTTCATCATAGTAGCCAGAAATCTTTTAAAATACACTATATATTTTGTTTTTTTCCTTTCATTCTAATAAACATATTAAAATATTTAAGAAATGTTAATAATTGTTTTTTAGTTATTATTCACAATATCGTTTGTTATATTTGTTTAATACAGGATTATTACAGTTCATAAAACCTTTTGATAGAGAATTTCACCATTAAAGGAAATTTTCATATTGTCTTAAATACTCTAATTCAGATCAATAACTCAAATAGTTTCTATAAGGATATATTATATGATTATTTCAGTTTTTACACATAAAATTGACACTTTATGCAATTGAGACCTATGCAAATGAATATTTCAATTTTTCAGATTATTCCCAAGTTTTCATTTTTTTTAATATCTGCCAGAATAAAATTAACTTGATAAACATAAGTATAAATAAAAAATAAATCTGTCATTTGAGATAATTTCAATTAAAATCCTTGATGTTCTCTTCGGAGGGGTGAAATAGACTAAAAATAAATTGATATTAGCTAACAAATAATTTTATAGTCAGTAAGAAAAAATATATTTAGCCTCAGAACATAAAAGAAAATGTATATAAAGTATAACCTGATAATACTTTAAGAAGATATTAAATAATTATTGAATTAATGATATTAGTGTATATCACAATTCAAATTAAAAAGATAATATAAAAAATTATCCTCAAAATTGGAATGATTAAGATTTTTTGTAATTAACTATAAATATAAAATGCTTCATAAATTTTTCATAATTTGATGTTATTTTAGTAATTAGGCCTTTAAAAATTCAGAATCATTGCAATTTCTGTAGTTGATTTGATTACAAGGAATTTTACCTAATTTCTAAAAAATAAACTCAGAAGTTTAAAGTAAATTGCTATATTTAAGTTCCTCTTATAGAGAATTCAAATCATAATAACTTTATTTTGTACTATTTCTTAAGAGAGTAATATTTCCATCCAAGACATCTATGATAATACTAACATTCGAGACCATTGATTTTTGTTTACTTAGATTTTATTTGTGTTAATCTAAATTATTGCCTTTATTTTTAAATTTCTTAACAATATACTTAGCAGTGGAATATTTTATTTATAGCTTCTGTGCTGCCTTAAAATCAAATAATTAATTACTTATCTCGTTGATAAATTCTCATGTAATACTAAATTAATTAAAGAGTGCTTTTTTTGGTTGTCTATTCTCTTATGATTTCTACATTTTTATATTGATTTGTTCATCATGAAATTTATGTTAGACATAATAAAAAATAAATTAAAATGAAATTTGAGGAATCAAATATTGAAATTTACATATTATAGAAAATAACTTCTAATACAATTTTTATTAATATTGTTTAACCTGGTAATTTCTTTATTTAATATAAATATACAATAAAGAGAATGATCGATTTTGTATAAAGTATATTTCCTACAAAATACTCAAGTAGCTAATTTAGAAAATTCATATTTAATTTATTTTCATCCATTATTGTGGCTTTATTATTTTCAATTTATTTACTTGATTATACAAATTCTAAATGAAAAATTATAATCACTTTATTGTTTCCATATTTTAATAGATATTATAGTTATTTTCCTTTATATTATATTATTGAATCAGTAAATTATTAGATCCAAAAAAATATCAATATTTCTTAATAAATCAAAATGATTTGTAGATAAATTTAGTAAAGATCATTTTTCTAATAAATTAGAGATTGTTTATTTTAAGGTTTCCTAATTATTCTTTCACATCAAATACATTTTAAATCTTAATAACTATTATTGTAAAAATCCTTCGAAAATTTTTATTGAATACATTATTAATTAAAATAGATGAATTCCTAACTAAATTGTTATTATCTCAAATAAAGAATATTTATTAAGATATTAATTATAATATTAATCACTCCATTTTTTATTATATAAAAATTAGCAATCAAATGGTCAAATACAATTTAAAATACTAAATTTTTGTTCTTTTTGTAAATATTTAATTGAATAATTTAACATTAGGATATACAATTTAAGCATATTTAATATTAATATTATAATCATTTAAGTATGTCTTATAGATATCAAGATATTCAATAAATACTATCTTAAATATGTAAATTACAATAATTAAATGTTTTAAATAAGAAAGTATTATGAATTTCTATATTGATTCTGAAATAAACTCATCGTTATTATAAAATTTAAAATTAATATGTTCAAACATAAATCAGCTTCATTTCATGATGCAAGTATCGATACTCAATTGAAATTTAAACCTCCAAAACCAGAATTAATATCTAATTCAACTAAAAGAAATTCTGAAGTGCTATCTCATGTAAATAATATAATCTCTATGATAGCCTCCAGAATTATTAGCCAAACTATATTAAACAAATAGACTTTTAGAATAAAATATAATAAAGTTAAATGAAACTTAATAAAAATTGGCTTAGAAAGAAGAGGAAATATTAGATTTGAAATAAAAACTTAGATGCTCAACAAAGGATTTAAACGAAAAGAATGAAAAAATTGCATAATTAACAGAATAATTAAAAGGATTCAAAACAGATATGAGAAAAACTACATCTGATAGAGGTAATTAAGAATTACAATAAAAATTGCATCATGTCTCTTAACATAATGAAGCCTTATTTTAAGATTATCAATCGGTGCTTTTGCAGAATTAAAATTATTAATAGTAAATCATTGAACTTTAAGACTAATTGAATTCAATATCTTATAGATTAAGAGAGTCAGAATAAGCAATATAATTAATTAAAGAAACAGAAACAAAAGTTAATTATCTTGAATTGGATGTTGATAGACTAGAAGAAAAATAAAAGAAGTCCTTACCTGGATTGATGAAATAGAATCAATAATTGAAAGTCTAATATGAAACAAACATATAACTTCTTAATTGTGGTGTAGATTACATAGCCACTTAATTCTAAAAGTCAATTACAACTTTAACTAAGCAACTTTAAATGGTTTCAAAATTTTCAAAAAGAAATGTAGTTTTATCAGAAACTTAATTAAATTTTTATGGATTGAATACATTAGCACAATAAACAAATTCAAAAAGAGTATAATAAATACTGTAAAAGATGAATATAAGTGAAACACTTTAAAGTTGGTTAGAAGGTATTGTTACATTTCTAATGATAAATTGTCAGGAAATATTATAAAAAGAAGTTGATAAAAAATTAGATAAATTATCAAGATAAATATAATAAGTTCATGATATAACTATTTAATTAGCTACATCCTATGATTTCATGAAGTTTGGCAAAAATGTATTTTATTCTTTTAAATTTAGAAATGTAATAATATGAGTGCTTATAGTCAAAAATCAAATAGTTATTGTTCAAGATTGTAAGATAAAGAAAATGAAGAATATAGTTAAAATATTAAACTTAAAGATTTCTTGGATTTGGCATTAATGTATAAATCATTTTTATAATCTATTATAGTAAATTAGGTGAGCATTTGGCTTAAATTTAATAATTGAATATTGAATTTTAAGTATCAAATTTTTAGAATAAATCTTCAAGAGAATTACAATAAGGTCTTAAAGAATAATTGCATATGCATGAAAATTTAACAAATTATTTAAAAAAGGAGTTGATTTCTATAAAAAAAGAAATTACTACAAATTCTTAGAGAGGATAGGTTAAAAAATATAGTTACATGCCAAAAATAATATGAAAAAACATTTTTCTTTAATTAATTATTTATGATAATATAAAATTCTTCACGTTTGGAAGGAAAACACATTAAGAATAGTAGAAGTGCTTAAAGACTCACTCCTTCTCATAATCTATATACTGAATCTTCTTATATATCTTAAATCTTGGCTCATTAGTAAAAATTAAATGATATTCCAAACTCAAATAAAAGAATATTAAATAATGTCAGTCCTTCAAATTTTAATTATAGGGATGGTAAAATTCTATAAAAAAACTATTTGCAAAATAAATACTCATTATTATTAGAAGGGAATCATGTTCAAAGAGCTGGTTGGAAAAAATATTTATTAGATGGATTTAAAGAGAAGATTGAAAACATCTTAAATTAAAACAAGAAAGGTTCAAAGTTATTTAAAATCAAAAGATAATATTTTACTAAAAGTGTTGCTTTGTAACCAACTGTTATTTAAGATGATTATTTAACAGTTGATTCATTGATTAAAAAATAAGATCCTTCTTATGATATTGAAGCAGTTTAGGATAAGTTAATATAATAACATAAGCATTATTTAACAAATAAGAAAAATACTGATTATGATGAGAAGTATGAAAAATAATAATATTGAGATTATAAAACTTAGTAAAGTAATTTGAAATAATAGTAGATAGGATAGAGAAGGAAGCATTTAAAGTGAAAGTGCCCACAAATTTCTCAACAGCTATGTAAAATTACAATGATTTTTATGATGTGCAACTAGACTCCAAAAATAAATACAATAGTTTTAAAGCTATTGATTTTAGTAAATTTGAAATAAAATAAAATTTAAAACAATCATATGCTTTAAACTTTTGGGATTAAGGAGAAATTGATGAAGAAATTGAATAATAAATACAAACTTGTAGAGTCTCAACTTAAAGAGATTGTAAAGAAGAATTATTGGAAGAGATTAGATACTATTAAGCGACTTAATTAATATAATAATTAGAAGATAAACAATTAGTACCAGAAGAACCTAAATAATAAGAGGAAGAATAAATTTAAAAAGAATAAGTTGAATAAAAATAATTGGTTATTGAATAACCTAAGGAACTTAAGGAACCTAAAAAAATAAAAAAAAAAAATGTTAGATACAAACAAAAAAAATAATAAAGTATTTGATTAAAATTATTAATCAGAAATAGTGAAAACTAGTTAATAGAAATTTGATCATAGATTTGTCGATTACATGTTATCATTATAAGATGTTCATGAGGCAGACCTCAATTAATTTAAAGAAAAATAAGTTGCAGATTATGATTCCTACATATTTTGTGATCCTAATGAAGAAATTGTTTACAAACATCAAATTGATTGGAATTGTTAATTAGAATATTTATTAAGAGATATTAGCTGAATCGAATATATTCTGCTAAAATTTTCTATATATTTTTGCATTCATTATCAATTATATTATTATTCAAGAATCTTATATCAATAATTTAAATCATTTATAGAAAATTTTTTAAACTCACTTCAGTTTATTCGGAACCCTTATTTTTCCTATATAAATAAAATTCATATAAAAAAAAGATATTTGACTCATAATAAATATATATCATCTTATAATTATTAGCTACAATCACTTTCATTACTAACATTTTGGACAAACAAAGTTTAGTAATTTTTTTGCTTTTTCTTTGGTCAAATCTACACATTTCAGATGGCACCATCCTTAGCATGCCTCACATTATATATACCTTAAAATCTTTAATTATTTAAATTACTTCAAATCTGGATTTGGAGGTTTTTAACATATGCATGTAGTTGCCCATTCCTCTATTGGAGGTTAAAAAGTTCTATTTATATAAGCCGCTCTCATAAAATAAGTTGTATCATTCATCGTTTCTAATTTATCAAATTCCTGATAAGTAAGAATAGAAGCTAAACTCACTATGCTTTCAATCTCAATATAGTCATACTCATTTGTCTTGAACACTTCATTCTCTGAAATATAATCCATATAAGTCATTGGTAAATCTCCCAATTCAAATTTTCTATAATACCATTGAACTTTTATTAAAGGGTAAATTTCATCATTATTATCAACAAGCTTGACAATCTTAATGAGTTTAGCAACATAATCTACTCTTCTATCTGCTTTAATACAGAGATTCTAACCAATTTTATAGATAATCCCATCGTACTTTAATTTTTTATATGATGTTCTTTAACAATATGTTAAGTATATACCTGCTCTTTTTGTTTTTCTTCAATAGTTTGTAGAGATTGTTATTATCCTTCTTTTGAATCAAATTTTCAATTTTGCTTTATTAAAGGACGTTGTCTTATTTGTCATCAAGTGATGATGTTCTTGAAATCTTGGGTTCTAAAGAGGCTGACATACTAATCTTCTTTAGTCTCAATTTAGAAAATAAATATTAAAAAAAATATATAGTATTATATCTTTTTTTATATTATGTATTTCAATATTTTTATTCTTTTCATCTAGATCTCTTTCTACTAAACTTTACATTTACACAAACAATTAAATTCAAACTTTAGAGGAAAAGCCTTCAGTATAGTATTGGTCAATAATATTTATTTTAAATTACATATATATTTCTAAATATAATTTACAAAACAATAATTTAAACTATTGCAAAATTATATTATAAATCCTAAAACATATATGTTCATCTTTATCTTTATAATCACTTCAAATCCTACATAATTTAAGATCCTTTTTCTCAAATTTATTTTACTAAGTATTAAAAAGATAAATCTCATAATTATAAGCATAAATTATTTATAAGAAGTTCTTCGAGTAAACTTTAAAATATTTTTAAAGAAAATATAAATAAGAATGTTATTTTAAAACTGTTATTATTAATCATAAAAAACATATTGTTTCTTATAAAGAAAATTTTTACATAAAGGAATAATTATTGATAGAATGAGTTAATGGCAAAAGCTTTTTAAATTAGAATTAGAAAAAAAATAATAAATACTTGCTTATACAATATTGACTAGTAAAAACAGATCTTTTCAAATTTTTTGAAGTAAATAATTGTTTGATACTTAGAAATCCAAGTTTAAATAAACTATGAACTTTAAGAAAACTTAAGAAATTCAGAATCATAGATAAATTCCTTAATTCAGAGTATTGATTTTATAATTGATTTTATTGTAATCTAAATCAACAATTTTCCTTAATTAAATCTAAATATTTGTTTCCTTATAAACCTATTATGAAAATATTGTTTAACTTAAAAAATTTATTTTTCAAATTCATCTGACTTCAAGAGAATTTTGTAATTAATTATCTAAAGTTAAGTTTATAGTATATTAGAGATTATTTAAATTAAAATGGTTTAAATTAACAATTTTGTAATTGAGATTCTAAGTTTTTCTTTTTAATGCTTTTTTCTTCTAATATAGTGTGATTTTCTTATAATATATTTATATATAAATATATAAATTATATAATAAAATTCATCATTATTTAGTTTTTGGAAGCCAAATTGTCTTCTAATAATTATATTTAATGAAATAAGTATCTAAAAATAGTAATGATTTACATGATTGACAATAAATATCAATACAAGATTTTGTGCAATTTAAGTAAGATGGTATGTTTTTGATGAGTAATTTATAGAGGTAATAAATTCATGTATTGATTAACATAAAGGTTAACTTTTTTAATAAAAAATCTAAATACATTGACAAAAATTTTTATTCTTATTAGTATTAATTATACAGGTTTTTTTTAATATATGAAAATTAATACTTTCAAATTAATGAAATAGTAATTGTAGATTTTATTAAAAGAGTAGGAAATATATAAACTTTACATAGATTGAATTCCTGAGAAGCACTTTGATTAAAGACAGCCTCTAAACTTTTAATATTTAATATAAGAACAATAAGAACGTATAATTATTTATTCAACAAACTTAATAAAAATTGGTTTCAATGTATCCAATATAATTATTTATGATTATGTATAATAGGTAAAATACTTAATTAAAATAATTATACAAAATATATTTTGTCATTTTATGATAATTTTTATTATTCTAATTATAAGAACAATGAATAATAATTTACTTATTTGTTTCATTTTTATACTATTTCATTAAAAGTTTATAACAACTTCAAAGTTAACAATATTTTAAATAAATAAACTAAATTATTAAAAAGAATATTATAAAATTCATACAATATTTTTTTAACAAGAAACATAGTAATTTAAGTATTAGAATAGATTGGTAATGATTAGATATGTAAGTATTAACTGGATATATTTATAATTAAAAGTAATTAATATAATTAAAAATTACTCTAACTGATAATGCTGCCATAATAAATTATTTATAGATAAGTTAGACATTCCCCTTAAAGTATCTATTAAATGAATCATATATAGAAATTTTAAGATAATCCACAATTCTTCCACATCAATAATTAAGAACATCAACTCCTATTAGATAATAAAGATCGTACTCTCATTTTGATTAATAACCCTAAAGTAGTATGAAAAAGCAATAAGAAAATTTTGAAAGAGAAAATGATCTATTAAGAGAAAAAGTAAAATAATTGAAGCAATAGATAGCCAGTCTTGAACAAAATTATTAAAATAATGCAGAAGTATAAAGTTTATTTGATTTTAGATTGAAGAATAATATATAGTTGCTTTAAGAATATTTTAATAATTGAAAATTGAGTCTGAATAATTAAGATTAGAGCTTTCTTATATAAAATAGGAGAACAATCTGCTTAAATCAAAATTAAAACAAATTAATTATTGAATTATTTATTTTCATTTTATTGTTATTTATTAATCAATAATAAAGCATAATTCTCAATAAAAATATTGTAAACTATAAGGAAACAATAAGTAAATTTGAAAAAATTTAGAATAATTTTAAATTCTTATTAAGAATATCATAAAACAAATGAAAAAGAACATTTTGAGTAATAAATACCTTTTCATATTTCATGTAAATTAATAATAAGAAAAAAAGTGTGGTTATAATTATGTTTTATTAATTTATGAAGAGATGAAGAATAATAGTTAAAATTGATTTGTTATATATTATAAGATGAAATTGATATATATGTAAATATAAACAATGAATTCATAAAACTGTGTCTTACAAAATAAAGCTATGAATAAAGACTAAATTATTCACAATTTATAATCTGCATAATTATTTATATTGTGATTCATAGCTTATTTTTCTTAGAATATTATCAGGGGTTGTAAGTAAATTTAATTTAGCATCCTAGATTTTCACTTACGATTTATTTCCTAATTATTTTTGAGTATAAATTAGTAATAACTCTTTAGAATTTTCATCCAATTTAAGAAAAGCTTTTTTAAATTTTGATAAAAGTGTAAATATTCCTTAAAGTTGAATTGCTTATTATTCTATAAAAGATGATTTGAAAAATGTGTATATTTCTTAATCTTTTATTTTATCTTAAAGTTAACTTATAATTAAATAGAGCAATAATTCATTCAATTTTATTTATTCTCCTAAGTATAACACTGATTCTTATAAATTAAGGATTCTGAATATATTTAAATACAAATTGAAGAATATATGAAATATTTCAAGGAGAATCATTTCACCAAATAAGATTTAAATATCTAAAAAATCAGGAAAAAAGCTAATTTTATCCTTTTGTTTTGGAGGTGTTTATTAATTTAATAACTCAATCTATTCTATTGAAGGATCTTAAAATTGAATAATTTAGAGTTCATTTTTTAATGTAGCATTAGTTTATATATTACTTTCTTAGATTACATATTTAAAATAAGCATCAAATAAAGAGGAATTAATATTTTAATGAAAATTTGAATTTAATAATATAAGCTATTATTCTTCAATCTAAAATGAAGCCTAAAGAAAATCTTTAAATAAAAATGTCATCCAAATATTATGTTAGTTTTAATGTAACTTTTTAAATAATAGATTTAATAATAAAAATGAAAATTGCAATACATTTGAATGTTGAAATTGAAAGATTTAGATAGGTGGTATTATTAGATTTTAAATTTATTAAAGTTGAGTATATTATTATTCTAGCTATTTAAGCCATTAAGGTTAAAAAGTGAGAAAATTGATGGAAAATGCTTATGATACATTTGTTAACATTTAAGTTTGCTTAACTCTATAAAAAGAAGTAATAAATTAAGAAGAGAATTTCTCATTTTCAAAACTTAATCTATTGTAATATTATTGATCAATAGATAATTAATATAAAGTGTTTTCTTATTATTAGTTATCTTCAAGTGAGTTTCTTTAATTTTTTAGTTATAAAATTTATGACTATAGAATAGTGATCAATTCAAATTTTTATTGATCAACAAAAGATTTATAAGCATTATAGCTATTTAACTTTAATTTTTCAGTTTTTTTCAGTAAAAATTTTAATTGTAAGATTTCAACATCAATATTATGACGTTGGTCTTCAAGATTATATAGTTAATCATGAAATATAGTTTTTGTTTCATATTCTTTATCAAAAATAGTAGTATTTTCAGGAACCCCTTTATAAATTCTATTTATATCAATATTCATTTTATATTTTTGCTAATCATCAAATTCTACATAAGATGATTGATTCAATCTTTTCAGAGTGGATATGTCAACTTTTGAATGCAATCCTCTCATGGTTCCATAATTTTTTAAATTTTGATGCAATAATTGTATATTTACAGATTATTTTGAGATAGATTCATCTTCAATAAATGAACTTGCATTTGAATTTGAAGAATAATATTCATAAAAACTTTAATTGTCTAGTAATTCTTGATATCCGTCTTAAATTTCTAAAGAGTCGACTTCACTAGAAGTGCGACCAAGAAAAGTTTTCTTATACATAATAATAATTATTTTATATGAAAAAATTATCAAATCCTGTAATTTAATTTTGCTTATAAATTTAATGGGTTAAATGAAAAGTACATGAATTCTTAAAAAGTTATCTTAATACATTAAATTAATAAATATTATAATATGATTGATTTCTGTTTGTATTAAATAGATTAATTAAATCTTCTAGTTAATAATATATTTCATATGATATCATTTTTTTTTGTATGGATGTTCATAACTGCATTATGGGTTTTTGCAATGAATCCCATGTTTGCATTGCTGATGCATATAAATGCATTGATTTCCCTTGTTACATTAAGGAAAATATTTGCACTAAATGAATATTTAAATAATTAGCTACTTTAATTTTTGGATGAATATATTAACAATGCTTGTTGGTACATTTGGGAAAGTACCTGCATCTTTCATTGATATTATTATTGTTCTACTATTTAAATTTAATAAATAAATTATGTACTTTTACCTAAGATTGATTATCTATAACTTTTGATTATTGATTTACTGCTGTTAATAGTAAGAGTAACATCAATTAGTCAGTTTAACTAAATATTAAATATAATTTAATTCTACTTTTAATTTGATAAATTCTCTTCTGACATAGATTCAGCATCATTTTCTATATCTCCTTTTGTTTTTTATACATTATTATTATTATTATTATTATTATTATTATTATTATTATTATTATTATTATTATTATTATTATTATTATTATTATTATTATTATTATTATTATTATTATTATTATTATTATTATTATTATTATTATTATTATTATTATTATTATTATTATTATTATTATTATTATTATTATTATTATTATTATTATTATTATTATTATTATTATTATTATTATTATTATTATTATTATTATTATTATTATTATTATTATTATTATTATTATTATTATTATTATTATTATTATTATTATTATTATTATTATTATTATTATTATTATTATTATTATTATTATTATTATTATTATTATTATTATTATTATTATTATTATTATTATTATTATTATTATTATTATTATTATTATTATTATTATTATTATTATTATTATTATTATTATTATTATTATTATTATTATTATTATTATTATTATTATTATTATTATTATTATTATTATTATTATTATTATTATTATTATTATTATTATTATTATTATTATTATTATTATTATTATTATTATTATTATTATTATTATTATTATTATTATTATTATTATTATTATTATTATTATTATTATTATTATTATTATTATTATTATTATTATTATTGTCAACATTAACTTTAACTTTTTTTGAAACTGGCTAAGATAGTTATTTATTTTAATGTTCATTGTAATCTCTAGCATGATCATTCTTAATTGCTTGTATTGATTTGGTGAATAAGCTTCTGTTTTTTTATTATTAAAATTTCTTAGCCTATTAAATACAATAATCCTCAAACCAATCCAATAACTCAACATATTATAATTCAGTCAATGGTTTCTAAATTATGATAGATAATTAAATTACATTGGCTATCTCTTGGAGGGATTTCACCATTTACTTCCTGTTCATCTTATTTGTCTCCTTATACAATCGAATAGCTTCATATAGAAATCTTGTTAGCTAGATCCTTACTGTATCCCATACTCACTGAGATCATGAACTACGCTAGTCTGAGAAAACTTCATATTCAAATCTCTCCTGAATTGTGTTTCTGATATCATTTATAATTTATAAATATATAATTAAGTTCATGGCTTTTTGGAAATAATATTACATTTTTCTAGAATACTTCTAGCCTATCCAGATATACTTCTTTTTGATTGTTCATCATCGAACATCCTTTGTTAGACAGTTAATGATTTCAAACCTTTGAAATATAGTCTGTCTTCTTAAAAGAAATAAATTACATTTTATTACTTGGCTCATCTTTTTTGTCTAATTTCTTTTTGATTTATATCTTATCTAGATTAATTCTCATATTCCTTTTAATTAAATTAGAATCTATAATAGTAATTTATTTTTATCTATCTCTTCTTGACTCTAACTTTTTAGGATTAAATGTATCTAGTATACTTAATTCAGAAACATTTGCATTTTGAATATCCTCAATAGTTTCTGTTAATTTATGTTTAAGTTACTTTCTATCACTTAGATATCGATTATTTAGTTTATAGTTTTATTAATATTCCAACGAATGTAACGCAGAAGCATTGAGCCATCTTCTGTTGTCATTACTTGTTGATCTTGATTCTTTGATATATATAGAATCATGGATAACATAAGGTTTTTATGACATTCGTTCCAAAAAACTCATGATTCTTTTATCATAATTAGTAGCCAAAACATTATTAATTTTTTTTGTTTCTTATGTTGCAAATTATTATTATTCAATTCTTTTTTCTTTTTATTAAGTTAACTGTTGAAACTTCTCCTTTCTGTAATAATTATACATTTATATATTTTTAATAATATTATATGAACCACATTATGGCATATGCATTAGCCAAATGGCAAACAGCTTCAACAATAGGAGTAATATCATTAGTACCAAATGACAATCAAGTTGTCTTTGATCTTTAAAATGCCTTATAATTTTTAAAAAATGAAAACATTAGCTAATTCCAAAAAATGTAAGTATACTAATCCATTTCTAGTAAATATATTACAACTTAAGGAGGGAAATGGTATTATTTACCATTTAATAAAGAAGTTGTATAATTAGTATTGACTGCAAATGATTATAATTAAGAGAATGTGGAAATGCTAATCAATTCCATCAATGCAAAAATTGTATATTTCTAAATTTTATACATTAGTTTGATCATAATCCAATAACACCATAAAATATAACAATATAACAAAAATAAAATATCTATAATTTGTTAATCTACTTCGATTAAGCTCATGGTAAAGAACCTAAACAAATATAATAAATTCTATAAACTTTGGATAACACTAAGTAAACTGTATAGTAAAATATTGAAAAACTTATCAATAACAAAGAATAGCTTTTAAATATTGAAGGTTGTATTAAATAATATTGATAAAATTAGTATAATCATTAGAATTGGATAATAGTTCATAAGTATTTTTAAATTCGGCATAAGAATTACACAGAAAATAAAGAATGTAAAAATTAAAAACTAGATTAATAATTGGATCAATAATCACAGTAGGATTAGCAATCTCATTATATGTAATATTTGGTTGAATTCATAAATAAATAAATATTAATCTAATACAATTATTCTTAAACTTGTTAACTTTTTATATGACTATATATTAATATAAATTATTTTACATTTACTAAGTGGAAATCTTTTAAATTTTAAATAGATTATCTTTAACAATACTCTTGATAGTACAGATTTTTAATAGTAGAAGAATATTAGCTAATACTAATTATATGTATTATCAATTTTAATATAGAAATCTTAAACATTCAATTAATATTTCATAAAAGAACCATAAATCTTGTAGTTCAAATAGTATTAATCAATCCATTAAAAGATAGAGAATAATATATAAAAATTTATTTATTAAAATATAATATAATATTTATAAATTATTTTTGGAAAGATTCTTTCTAAATAAATTAAATCTGTTTGAAAATGATGAATTTATCATTTTAAATGCATGAAATATTAAAAAATTTCAACTTTATTATATAAATCTTCATTGTTTTATAGTATTATTTTTCTAAATTATTTTTAGATTAATTTTATTTCAAACTAATTAAAGTCTGATATTATACTTCAAACCAACATTCTATTATAAAGTATTATCAAAAAAGAAAGTTTCTGTAATGAATTTCTATTTAAATTGTTTTTCTAACTAATTTAATTTAGAATCTACTTTGTATATCATATACAGGCTTTTCCATCTGGAAAATATAGTTATTACATATACTAATACAAAATTAACAATTTTTATTGAATTTTTTGCTTAAAAAGATAAGAAAGCAATTATAATTTTCTTATTTGTTTAACATATAAGGATATTGATTATAAGCATGCTTATATATATAATTATTGAATGTGATTAGTTATAAAAATCATACAAATATTGGAATATAATACAAAAATATTTCAGATCAAAGGTTGTTCTGAAACAATTGATAATCTCTTTTATCTTAATGGGGACTTTGTTAATAATAATGATGATGTTTTAACTAACATAGGTGGTGTCATTTCTGATCCATCTGTATCTGAATCAAGTGAACGATAAGAGAATATTAATTGTTTTTTTGCCTACTCAAATTTAAACTATTTTTATTATGGGTCAGTCAAGAATGTTAATTTTAATTCCTACAAATAATTGATGATATCTTTTTCTTAAGAAGTAACTTCATTTAAGCAATCATCGAATTCAATTGTATCATTCATTTTAAATAAAATATTTTATTTATTTATTCTCCTTTTACTCATTTACTTTAATTTAAATATATAATTCGAGTAAAATATTTCTCTCAGTCTTTGCAATACTTTATATTTTAATTTTTTTTAATGGATTTTCTCCACATGTCAAACAAAAGAAGAAAAATTTTAAATAAAATTATTTATGGGTGATATATTGTGACTTACTATTAAGTATTAATTGAATATTAAACTAATACAATATTTATCTTAATTAAATATACAGTTAAGCATATGTATTAATTGTCTGTCTTAAAACTTTTCATTAATATTTGATTAGACTCAAATTGAATGACCATTAATAATCAGAATCAATCAAAATCAGATTAGTAAAAAAGAATAAAAACTATACAAATAACATTGTTTGTGAATTGATTAATTAATTTTTTCTTATTAAAAATAAAGAAGGAATAAGTTTATAATCATTTTTCTGTTAGCTCCCTATAGCCTTTCCAATTATTTCTTAAGTATGGCTCTTCTTTAATAACTCTTAATAATGTATTGCTAGGACCGTCTTTGTAGTTTGGTAAAAAATTCTATAATTAAAAACTAAATTAGATACTAAAGTTTCTTCAAAGATAGCTTTTGCTTAATCCCAATCTCCAGATAAGTAACATGAAAAACCTTTGTCCCATTTATGATAAAATTCCTAAATTAAATTTAGAGAATTACTTTATTAAATAGAGCTCGAGATTATTTTATATTGTTATCTTTAATCCAAGTTTCTGATATTGCTACATGATTCTTTAATACAGCCTACTTTAATTTATCTCTTTTCATTCTTCTCAAAACCTTTTACTTTTTTTTTTATTTTGATTATTCTGATTCTGTAAGATGAATTTATTTCTATTTTTCCTTTTTACTAAAGTCTACAACTGTCTTTTTTTTATGAAGTTTTCTAATTAAACAATCAACATTTAAATCTACAGTATAAATATCCATAGGTTCAATACTACCTTTGACAGTAACTCTATCAATATGTCTAAGATTTTTTTGGGTAACCTTAGTAGCTACATTTCTTAATTATCCAGAAATGAGTATCATAGATCCAAATTGTTTAGTAGCTGCTTCTAATCTTGATGCCATATTAACATTAGGACTCAAATAAGAAGCATCTATTTTATATTCTGATCCTATTGCTCCTTCTATAGCCCATCCAACATGTAATCCAAATCCCATTTTAACAGAATAATTTGGAATTCGATTATTCAATCCTTCATGCTATTTATATTTTTATAACTTTTATGAAAGAGTAACATTTGTAATAATAGTAACAAATGATAAAATAGACATATCAGCTATTTATGCAATATGTTCATAAGATTTTAAACTTAAATTACCATCCTTATCCTAATAATAATCATTTTCAGCAAATTTCCATACTAAAAGAAATGCATCACCTATATTTTTATTAGCACTTCCAGAAAATTAATCTACAACCCCATGAACAATCTCTGCTATTTCATTCACAAATACCATAACATCTTATTATAAGACTTCTGTAGCATCTGTAAAATTTCTAATATCACAAAATCCAAAAATTGCCATTACTTTTTTGCCAGGCAACATAGGATTAATAGAAGCATTGGCACCCATATTTTATGCTATAATTTAAGATCCTGCTTCTCCAAACCCTAATGCTAATAAGGTTCCAATCTTAACAATTAATTTTTATAATATAACTGTTTCTAATTTCTCATCTTCTTAATCTTCTAATGCTTTCATTTCACCATTTTCAATCATTTATATAAATGCCTTATTTTCCTCTTCTTATGCTGCAACTAAAGGATTTTCTGCTATTTTCTTTACTGTTTCTAACATCTTCTCCACAGGTGTTAAAATTAAGTCTTAGACATCTCTACTAAACATAATTGCTGCTACAGAAAGAACTATAGATACAAAGATAGTTCTGATAATTGATAAAATAGCATTTAATTCATCATCTGCAATTGTATAACATATTGATATTGCATCATTTCCTTGAGAATCTGTTGTTGTATAATATTACAATGAATTAGTTCTGTAATGTTCATATTAATAAGGATCCTCTTTTGGATAGAAAATAGTTGAATTAACTTCAAAAAAAACCAATCCAGTTCTTAAAGGTTCATGAAATGTAATAAAATCTTTAATAAGATAATCATAAATTTCAGGATCCTTAGCCCAATATTATATAGCTTGTAATCCAGTAGTGAAACTTACATTTTAATCAATATAAGTAGTTAAATTTAATATAGGAACACTAAATAAAATGAGCATTACAATAGTTATGACTCTTTTATTAGTCAATTCTGTCAATTCTTTACCTATATTAGTTTCACGTATTTCTCCTTCATCTGATTAATGAGCATGTGATAATTTGTTTGGAGATTAAAGTATTATTGATTTTCTTTTTTAGATTGTTGTAAGAGATTAAATTTAACCAGACATAACTATTTTTCTAGTTTATCTTCTTTAAAATCTTTGTTCATTTTCTTGACTAATTTAATTATTATTTGATGTTCCATTATACATTACAATTGAAGTCCTTTACTAAACAACTTTCTAAATAGATAATTATTATTATACAGCATTCACTCCTGAATGCTTAACATTTCTATCTGAAGAATCAACTGATCTTTAAGAGGAAATAGCGTCATTTTATTATTCTTGTCTTTAAGGTTCTTATACTTAATTATTATTATTATTATCCATTAAATTTTCTTCTTTCATTTCTTCTGCTAACAACTTTTCAGCTTCTTTTTCTAAAGATTGTTTTGCATGTTTATATAATTTTGATAATCTTACTAATCTTACTACTCTAACTATTCTTCCAGCCCTTGTTCCTACTCTTGATGCTCTTCCAGCCCTATCAATATTTTAATTATTATAACCTTGCTAATGAAACTGCACTCAATGCTGCTCCTCCACTTGTTCCAAAAATTGCATTACTAACCCAACCAATATCTAATAACATTGAAACTGTTGATAATAAATCTAACCAAAAAAAGAAACCAAGAAAATATCCATCCTTATTTTATTACTATATTTTATACTTTACAAACAGAGGCAAGCACAATTTCAATAAAAAAGAGACTCATACAAATTGTGGTAATAACCCAAAATGCTTCATCACCATCCTGATTATTATTTAAAATACCTTGTCTGTAGCTAATACTCTTATATCATCTCCAAATAATGCATACACTGTTACAATAGTCATAAAGATCATATAATTAAAGCTTTCCAAAAATATTTCAACTTTATACTACATATAATATTTCTTATTACTCTTATTCCACGATTACTCTCTTAACTTGTTCTACTGCTTTTGGCTCCTAAATTAACAGATTTTCTATGAGTTACTGTTCTTGTTGGCTATTCTACATCACCTTGACTATTTTTCTTATTTGGAGAAGATGCATCTACTCTTGAATAAGACTATGATTATTATTGATTATTTACTCTTTATTAAACACTTCTACCTTATTCTTCATCTTCAATATTTTGATCCATTTTTTTTATTAATAAATTTCTTTATTTCAATAAATGGAGTTACGATAAACTGAAATAAAATTTAGAAATGAGAACTCAGATAACTCCCCTTATTTAAATCAATTGTTTTCATAAATAATATTTATAACTAAAAAATATATCAAATTTCAATTTAGTCAGTATAATATTTTTAATATCAAGTTAAGAAAATAATTTATTATCATTCCAATGATAACAATATCTTGCTCATTTTAAAGTGAAAATAAATTTGATATAATTCCAAATTTGTAATTCTGTTAAAATATTTACATTTGTTGAAATATTAATGTTGTCTAAAATAAATTAATAAAATCATGTTATCATATTTAATCCAATTCGTTCTTATCTAGAGAATCCTCAATTATATCACTTTTGATTCTAATTTGAGTCTTGATTTTGATTAGTTTACAGGATCTGGTTTTTTTTGTAATAGTGGATACACTAAAACAGCTACAATTAACTTTTCAGGAGAATTTGAAAATGTTCCTTAGGTTTTTCTTACCTAAGAATGGATTGATTTCACTACAGCTTAAACCCAAATAGAATTGCAAATCATTTCTATTAGCAAAACATGTATCTTCATTCATCTAAAATTAGAATTCTCAATGAAAGTCTATTGTGGATATAATAGAATGACAACTTCAATGATTAAATGGTTTGCTATTGATGACTAACGAATAGAAGTCATAAACAACTTTAATATGGTTAATCCAGATGATAAAACATTTCAAATTAAAAATCCAAATGCTTAAACAGGATTCGTTGTTCTGACTAGCATTCATTATACAGGTGCTATTGATTTCCTATTGTCTGTAAGAATCAATAATATCCAATATAGATAAGCTAAATAACAATGCATTCTGTAACTGTGAGCATTACTAAAGTAGCTGGAAAATTTACAAACCTTAAATAAATTGGCTACTAAGTTATTGTTGGAGTTGAAGAAGCTTTTATTAATTTAGGTTTGAAGACAGTTATGGGAGCATTTAGTAGTGATATTTTAGCAATCTAACCTAATAGATGGTTTGCTATTGCATTGTAAGGCTTCAATTATCCAAATAGTAGGAATATCAGAATAAAAGCTGTCTTTACGAATACAGTATCAACATTATCATATACTTGGGGAACATGTATAATATTAAATTATAAAAGGGTATGAAACTGAAACTCCTAATAGTCATTCTTAAATTTGGATTGCATATTAATTTACAAAATCATACAAGGCACTTGAATGTTTTAGTATAAGAATAAGTAGAAAATTTGTAATGGATTTAACCTATTTACCAACATTTTCTTTAGAATTTGTTTCATTAAATTAAATTTATACAACAATTGGAAATTTTAATTATTTAGTTGATAAATCAATTAGTCCACTTTTGATGGCTATTCAAATTAAATGCTTATCAGGTAAGAAAATACAAGCAAAATTCAATAAATGTAATTCATGCAGTATATAAAAGTTTCATACTTTTTAATACAATTGCCTTAATTAAATGAATTATGTTGGCTTTTTCCCTAGGTTTAACTAAGCATTTAAACAATACAATGAATTAAAAATAAATATCTATTCTTCATCACTTGAAATTACATAAATTATTTATGATTAAAAAGTAACAGAATAATCTATCGTGGACATTTAAATATTGAATTAATGATGATTATTCTAATAAATTATCAATAATATCTTTATAGATTTAAGATTGTACTTATTAAAATATCAATTGACTTGAATTAACAATAAGAAAAAAAATCTTTATTCATTAATAATGAACAACTAAAAAGTGTCTAGTTTATGACTACTTTATAAACTATTTATTTATGAATTATTATTAACTTATTTAATAAATTAATTGATTAGTTATGTTTAATCCTTTAAATCGAGCTAGATCACCATAATATGGTGGATATCCAAACCAAACAAATCCAAATCCAAATCCTTAATATGGTGGCAATCCTTATCCATTTACAGGATAATAATCACCAGTGAATTAGCCTATGGTATAATAAATTCTTATCCAAAGACATAGAGATCTTTTCCTTATCAATAATATCCCTAGAATACTCCTCCAAAGGGTTATCCAGTTTAGTAGTCATAGAGAAGCAATCCTCCTTTCACACAACAATAATCTTATCCACCCAGTCAGCCATCAGTTTAATCTATATAAGTACTATAAAAAATAAAACTAAAAAGCCTCCTCCTCAATCACAACCTCCCTAATAAGTTCCTTAACAAAATTATACATAACTTCCATAGCGATCACAAAAATAAATACCACCAACATCTATAGAATCATAAAAATTACCATCACCTTAAACTACTTTATAAGTATAACCATAATAATATGTGCCATCATAAAATTCTGGTTTAGGTTTATCTGGTTTAAGGTAGACATATGCACCTCCTACTTATGTTCCTCTTTAACCAGTTATGACTGTATGAATTATAATTGATTTAGACTGTAATTTAACGACCAATAGAATTTGTAGATTTAGAAAAATTTGAAGAACTTTGGGATAAAAGAATGAAAGAATTGGAAGATAGAATTCTTTAATCTTAATAATAACCTTAAGTTGTTGAATTGAGAGCTTCAAATAATGAGGATTAGGATATTTTAATAAAATAATTATAAGATGAATTGTATAAGGTTAGATGTGATAATGAAGAGAAGGATAATAAAATTTCTGATTTAAAAATAGAATTATAAACAAATATTGATCTTGTAGAATACTTAAGATGTATAATAAATGATAATCATAGAGTAATTGGTTAATAATAATAACAGTGATGAAGTTGAAAAATTATAGAATGAAATTTAAAGATTGAGAAAGCAAGTATAAACTCTAGATGCTTAAGTAAAGTAATTGAATCATGATAATGATGATTTGAAATAGGAATTGGATGCTTTAAGATAATAAAAATAGTTTTTCAAATCATAATGTGATGATAAAGATGAGCACATTTAAAATTTAGAAAGAGAAATTGAAGAGCTTCGTTAACAAAATGAAACATTAACAGAAGAGGTTACTACAAGTCAATCTGTAAAGACTTATGAAGAAGAAGCAAAAATATGGAGAACTAAATTTAAGGAATTAAATGATACATATCATGCTTGTTAAGAGAAATTGATTTTAACTGAAGCAGAATTGGATTTATTAAAGAGACCTTAAAGTTAGTAAAGAATAGTGACTACATCTACTACAGTAGTAAAGAATAATGTTTAAACAAGTGGAACTAAATCAGTAAAAATTATAATAAATAAATTTAGGACTCTGATTATCTTTCAAGTAGCCTAACTTAATAAGATGTTGAAAGAATTTAAAATTTATCAAAGAATATTCCATAGATATGATTATTTGAAAAAAAGTTATTATATTAAAGTACAAAATATCTATTATGTTTAACAAAGCATTATTGTGTTATTTTTTTTATTTATAAAATGATATCTCCTCTCTCTATTGATAAACCTTCATTTGATCTCTAAAAACGAAAACCCTTTAGTCCTACTGAAATAACTTAATAGTAAAATTTATTATAAAGAAAATTGCAATAACAATAATCTGACATCATTTCAACTATTCAACCTAAAAATGCTCATTTGAATAATAATAATATTTAACATGGACTATAAAAATTGCTCAAAACAAGTCCTTATGGTTAATTAATTAAGCAAAAGTCTTAAATTCAAATATATAATTAGGACAGTATCTCATACAACTATTAGAGTGGTTGTTCTCCTCCATTCTAAACTTCTCATAATTTTTTTTAAACAGATTAAAAACAATCAAATTCAAATACTTAAAATAGTATATAAAGAAGAATTCCCTCTAATTATAGAGTAACTCTCCATAAAAAATCATTTGATAATTCTTCTTAGTTAATATCTTGTAGATTAAAAGATTAATAACAAATATCAGCTCTTCAATAATTATTATAAAGAACAGCTCACATATTATAAAATTATAAAGATGAAATTGTCAAATATGAAGTTGAAAATGCTAAATTAAAAGAAAAAATTGCCATTCTAAAAAATTCATGAATGAATAATATTTATTTACTTTTTTATTTTATTATGAAATAAGAAATTTATATAAATTGTAATTTATCATGTCTTAAAATGATCTAAATGAAAAGAAAAATTAACGTAATCTAATTATGATATTAAGTGGCATAAGGATTATTGACAGAAATTCCAAAAAATACAGAACTAGAATAATTTCATCATTTATCTTCCATCTAAGAAACCACTTCTCAAAATATTGCATCAAATTATGAAAGTGGTGTATTGGGATCTTAAAAATGTAATAATAATATTTAACAATATTTTAGTATCATAATTAAACGCATCTGACAATATTAAGAGTTAAAATACTAAAATATAAGGATCACTTTTGAGTAGTGAATTATCAAATTTAAATTATTCTGATGATGAAAATGAAAATGAAGGAAAATTTAAAAAGAATAAAGAAAATGTTATAAAAGAAGAATAAGAATTTGATGAAGATGTATTATTATTATAAATTAAGTTCTTTGAAATTCCACCTGATATTTAACCTATAGAGAAATCATTTACTTATGATGAGTTGAATAGAAAATGCAAAAATCTAGAGTAAGAAATAATAAAAGAAAAAGAAATTTAAGAAAAATTATTGAGTATTATTATATTAATATATTAATAGATCAGACTCTAAATGATAAAAATTAGATCAAGATATTTGAAGAACAAGAAAAATATTAGACTAATTTAATAAATTAAAATGCTATAAAAATTTAAAGTCTTGAAGAATAAAATAAATAAATATTATCCTAGTTAAAAGAACAATAAGAGAAAAATCTTAATAATAAAATGATAATATTCAATTAGGATTAAAAATTAAATCAGATTTAACTCTAATTAGAGGATTAAATAAAACAAAATAATTAATAAAGATTATAATTTTAAGAATAAATAACAAAATATCAAAGATAATTAAAAATTATGCAAATCTAATATGATAAATGTATTATTAATTTATTATTATTAAGAATTAGAAATATAGAAATCTGATTAAGCAAAATAAAATTTAAAATAAAATGAATTGTTGAGTATATATTCCATCATTATTTTTAGAAATTAAAGATTAGATTATACTTTATTTAGAAAATGAATTAGCTGATCTTAGAGTTCCTAACCTTCAAAGAAAATAAGAAAACTAAAATAAATTTAAATTAAATACAAATCCTAGTGAATAAGAAACTACTAAATTGAATAATTTTAATTTAATGAAAGTTAAAACTAATGATCAATAAATGCCTAAACCTTAAACATAAAAAAAAAGTTTTCCACCTAATGATTCTTAAAGATTAGTTTAATCATTAATCAACTGTAAACCTAAGTAAAATAACTCTTGGATTAAATAACTTGATGAAAAAAATAAAAATATACTAAAAAGTTACTCAAACTCTTAAAGAAATAATTAATCATTTAGTAATTGTTCAATGACAGAAAGTGTCAATCAAAATTGTCAAACAAATGACAATTAATAATTTTTCATTGATAATTCATGATATTAATATAAATATTTTTAAGAAATCAATAATAATATAGCTCTAATATGAAAATATAATTGTAAATAATTAATCTATTTCATATAACGAAATTTACATCCTCATCCTATTCCTCATTATCGACTGGCTTTAACATCTCTTTAATGTGCTTATTTATGGTTTCATATTTCTAAAAAAGTTACTTACTTTTTTCCTTTAATTAAGCTTTTAATCCTTAAACAGTTTGTAAATTTTTTGGCTACTTCAATCTCTCTTTTGATAATTATTCTGTAATGCTGTAAATTTACTTTTCCAAATTATCTTTATTGGCACGTTAAACTTATTTTTCCTTTAAAAATTCAATTTTGTCATATAATGATTTTAGAAGATTTTCAATTTGCTTACTTTCAAAGTAAGAAATTTTTATTTCTTTGCTATTTAGGAAATCACTGTTTTCTAATGACTCACAATAATTATTTTCTTGTGATTATTACAAGTCGTTTTAATTTTCTACTTATGTTAATTAAAACATTGCATAAAATTTTTATCTTGCCCCTTGAAGCTATTGAATAAGAGTTTGTAAGTCTTGATAACTTCTGTCATCATCTTAATAGTTAAAAGAGTTTTCAATATTTGAAAAATTTCCTGTATCAGTAATTTGGTTCTGCATTTTTTTTTAATTAATATTAATATTAATATTGAATTTATCATGAAGATTAGAATCTAAAAATAATAATTATATTTCTATTAGAGTGATTAATTCTATTATAATAATTCCATATACAATATTATTGATATGCAAGTACTTTATTTGAATTACTAATACTCTTGATATATAAGTACTTCAAATGAATTACAAATACTCTTGATAATTAAGTACTTCAAATGAATTATCTAATATATCATTTAGACCTTACAAAAATTTAGATTACCTGTTTAGTGAAAATCCTCAAAAATAAAATTACTTTTTTCTTTTGATCATTGAAATAAGAGACATGACATAATAATTTTGAATTTCATGAATTTTTAATACAAAATAACAAGAATTGAAAATATTGTGATTGATATATTTGAAGGAATCTAAGTGTTAAAGGTATTAATTTTAGATACACAATTTATATGATAATTAAATATTATTAAGTAATATTTAATGGGCAATGGGTGTTCTGGTTAAAGAGAAATGACTGAAAGATCTGAAACTTTGAGGCAACCATCTATTACTTTAACTAAATTAATAGAATAAGATAAGTTAATCAGCATTGTACCGACTAGTTAATTAACATAAATAGAGATTCCTAATGCATTACTTCCATCTCCATCAAGGCAGAGTATTTCTTTTGAAGCTGTGATGACTTCAAAAGTAAGAGTGCCTTCAGAAGAGAGTTAGTTTCAGAATCAATTTACTTAAATTAAAGAAGTGAGATTAACAAATAATTAATCACATCGTCCAAAAATTCAGGTTCCTTAAAGAAAGCATAAAAAATAGGAAATATATGAAATTGAACATTAATATCATTCTTCAAGTCCAAAAAAATAAAAAAACAGAAAGTAAATTTCACCATTAGAAAATTAATAATAATAATAATAATAATAATACTATGACTATAAGAAAACTAATAAAAGCAACAGAAAGAAATCAACTTCAAATTAATAGAAAATGAAATAATTAAATGAAATTGAAATCATTTCAAGAAGAAAATATTCTGATCTTCCTTCTAGAACTGAAAAAACTTAAGTAAAAAGAAAGATTAGTAATTCAATTGATGATCACAATTTTATTATTGGAACGGATTGTATTTCTAAGGTAAAATCATATACTCCAAGTCCAATTTTAAAAAGAAAAGAGTCAGATTGTGAAACTAATTCTTTTTAAAAAAAGATGGTACGATTTAAAGACATCAATTATAGAAGACCAGGCTTTGTTAATTGATCTTATAACTTAAAAATGATATTAAATAGTTAATGATCTTTGAATAATATTTGAATAAAAAAATAATAAATAATTATTTCAAAGTAATTATTCCAATTATCCATAATTCATTTATCCTGGTTTTCTTTCTATTAATAATTCAGGGGAGGATGCTTTTTAAAATTATTTATAGTCTGACCAATTTTCTAATGCTTTCGAAATCAATTATTAGTATCCATAAAGACCAAAAAGAATAAATGAAGGCATTTAAAGCTAAAAATATATAAGTAAAATATTTTACTTCTTCAGGCAATAATTAATCTTTTTGACCTGAAATAGTCTTAAAATTTTATTTAATTTCATTTATACTTTGTTTTAAGTATTGTAATGCAATTTTATAAAAAGATTCATTTTCTGTAATATCATTATTACAAAGACAACCTATCAATTAATCTTTTTAGAATTCTTAAATATAAATATATAAAATATACCATTTTTAGATGCAAGCTTCAATATCTTCTCAAAATGTCTCATATATTTATCATTATATTCAGAGATAGCTTAACTAAATTTACTATGAGATTCACTCTTTTTATATCCTTCATAATCATCTAATTAAAAGATATTAACTTATTTATTTTCCTTATCTAAAATAGTTGCCAATTTATTTATTTTTATGGCAATATTTTTACCCATTAAAAATAATAATTTATCTCTTATTTCAATTGAAAATATTTTGCAACTAGCAAGATTTTATGAAAATTTGTATAAGAATCTACAAAAATTAATTTAACTAAATAGAACTTCATTATTTGATTTAAATTCTAAACTAATAGTTTTTTATTTCTAAACAGGCGGTTATTCTTCAAAAGCACTAGTTTTAGTAATTTTTTATGGTTAAAGTGCTTATTATTAACTAGATGATCTCTAAATTTGTTCTTATAATTTTTTCTATTTTGCCTCATGTTATTTTTTCTTATCTTCAATTTATTAAGTCTTATATTCTTTATTTGGAGCCTCTTTAACCCCTTGACTTTGAGATCGTTTAAACTTTTAAATCTAAGAAGTTTCAGTTGGTATATTTAAATTTGATATCTCTTCAAATGGTTTTCGAGCTGGAACCCTTTCAACTGGTGTTAAGACTCTCTATTCAATTATTTCATGATGAGCCATATCTTTAACTCTTAGTCTTTTATTTTCATCTACAGAGAGACATTTTCTAATGAAATCCTTTGCCTTATCTGAAACAGGTGGAGAAGAAGGAATCACTAAAGATTAATGCATAATATTGGATATCAAAGCAGCTTCTGAAGAGGCATTATATGGTGTTCTGCCTAAGAATTAATTTAAATTAATTACCATATAACATTTCAAAGAATACAACACCAATAGCCCAAACATCTCCTTTTTCAGTGTGACCTTGTTATCTCAATGCTTGTGGTGACATATAAAGTGGAGTTCCTACATTGAAATTCTTCCCTTACAATCTAGCTTCATGAGCAGGCACAGCAAATCCAAAGTCAGCTAATTTTGGAAGATTCTTATCAATAAGAATGTTTGCTGGCTTTATGTCTCTATGAATGTATCCCTTTTAATTCATTTCATTGACAGCACTCACTACAGATTGCAAGATTCGGATTGCTTCAGTTTCATCTATTCTACCCTTCTTCTTGATATAATTGTTAAGATCTCCCTGAAGTACATATTACAATTAGAAATTACCGAATCACAAAACTCAGTTATGATATAAGTATTATTCTATGTTTAAAAAACATCGCAAAGTTTCATAATATTTTTACTATTGAATGCCTTCAATGCATTAATTTCATTTTTGAGTAGTTGTGCATGAATTGATTATTTAACCATCTTCATGTCAATAACCTTGATATTTAATTACTTCTTACTTTAACTGCTACTGGTTCAAGCGTATTTTCATCTCTTCCTTTATAAACGCGGCTACTAAACCCTTTGCCAATTTCATCATTGATTGCATAACTATAATGATCTATAGCTTTTCTAGTTTCACTCCCTCCTTTATTATGAACTTGAGTAGATGACACTGAATACCACGATTTTAAGGATAAGTGGGTAAATGAGGACGAGTATGGAACATTTTTGTATTTTGAAATAATAAAATTAACGATTAATTAATGACTGGTGATCGCAATATTAATCGAAAACATGTCAATTACAGAAAGGCAGGAAAAATCAAAAAGAAACTTCATAAATAGTAAATAAAAAAGGCTGCTCTATCTAACAAAACCGCTTAACCAAAAGGCATAGAAGACATGACTAAGAAAGATCGTAGAGAACTTGTAAAAAAATAAAAAAAAATGGAAAAGAAATAGAAAAAGCGACAATTAAAAGAGGCTGCCTCTAAAGAAATAGAAGAAGAGTTATGATAAAATAACATTTTATGTATAAACTTAAATTATCTATTATTTTCTATCTGATAATCTATTCTTTCTAATCTACAATATTGACATTAGATATCTATTATTTTTTATGAATCATCTCTATAGTATCCAATAACTTTGAATAATATAATTGAATTCACAAATTCTTTACTAAATCAAGATTAATGAACATGTAATAAATATATTAAATAAAAGTTAGATTCCTTATATAATTGTTCTAATCTATTTCTTAGATGTAATAAAATAATAAATATATCCACAAAATCAAATATAATATATGTTCATCAATATTCATCTTCTTTTCTTTAATGTAGAAACAAAATTAATATTGATGAAATCATTTATTCATTCCTTGGTTTTTTTTACTAAACTAAATAGTTTTAGAAGCTACTTAAACAGAATTTAAATTACAAATAACAAAAATAAGTCCAACTTTTAGATTAATTTCTAGATTTTATGCAAAATATTAATTTATTAATAAAAAGAGTGAATAAATAAATAATTATTATTGATGATTAATTAATATTAGTAATAAGAAACTTTAAAATGGTCAACCCTTATAAAAAATAAAGATTGGATTTATTTATCTTAATTGAATTCATTAAGGTTTTATTAATGATAAAAGAAATTCATTTGACTTTTTTTTAAAACAAGTAGAAATTTAATATGTATTATATAAAAGTAATTGATTTATAATTATAAAATCTCAAGAAAAAGTAATTTTTTTATTAATATTTTCTTTTTCCAGACTATCTTATTTAGATTTTTTTATAGTTAATTATACTGACCATTTCTTTTTTTCTGAAGATTAACCTGATTCTAATACTTAAGAATTTTTGTCTTTTAAATCTAAAGTATTAATGTTTATATTATACTTTTTAAAGTTAATTATGTTCTAATTCTGTTTAACTAAATAAGTAAGTATTTTTTAATTGGTAAACCTTATTATTGAGCAGCATATTATAATTTGAATTTGAGGAATTGCAGTGCTGTAAATTCTATTTATGGCATTTCTCTAGATTTAAGAATCCAATTGCAAAGTAAAATGAAAGAACTTAATTTTCTAAATGAGAGAAACACAACAGAAAGTTATTTCTTTTTATGAGTAATTGACAACAAATATTCAGGTTAAAGATCATATTTTTTGAGTGCTTTCATAACTTTATCATCAAATTGGTGATATTAAAATGAAATTTCATTTATTGGTACTAAAAATTTGTATAAAGATACTTTTTTTGAAATTTTTAGTCAAAGGAGCATCAGAATATCTAATTTCTGAATAATTATCATTGATCCATAGATATCTTGTAACTAATTTTTTATCAGTTTAATTAATTTTTAGTATTTCTTGTCTATTACATATAAATTGTTAGATTGCCTATTATAATCTAATTTCATAATTTTTGATTGCATAATCTAATCGATTAATAAATAACTTATTAAAATTGTTCAACACTATTTTATCATTAATGACTAATTTTTCTTATTTGTATTAAACTTTAGTATGATTATCAATTTATGTTCTAGAAATGACAAGATTTCTCTAATAAAAAGAATTAAAACAAATTTACATTATTTAATTCAACTAAATCTCCATTCATGGTAATGTACATAGTTAACTGAAATTTTTTTATGTATTTATTAATTAATAATTAATCTAAACGACATGATATCAAAATTATTGTCAATATTATTTGGAACAATAAGCACAATGATTATAAGTTTTTATTGGTACTCAGTATTATTTCGAAATCTATATATGAAAGAAGCTAATGTGAAATAAGAAAAATAAAAAAATAAAGAAAACAATCAACCATTATTATTTGAATTAACAGGAAGATTTTTATAAGCTAGTTTAATAACAATCTTTTATAATGTACTAAAGACTAAAGTAATGTTTAATAAAGAATTTTAGGATGAAAATGATTTAAATTTGGCGCTTTCTTTAGCTGTGTTTTTTTGTGTGAGTTTTCAAGTACAATATTATACATCGAAAGTTGTATGGGAATAGAAGACATGGAATTATTTTGTTATAAAAGTATGTGAACAATTTATTTCGCTCTCTACTCTATCCATAATGACATACATTTTTGTAAAGTGATCTATGATTCAAATTTTCATATTTTATCAATGCGCCAAAATTACTTATTTTCTTCTGGGCACATTATCAGGTACAGAACCAGGTTTTTAATTTGATGCCGTATGTTAAGCTAACTCTGGTGGTACATTTTATCCACTTTTTATTAAATACTCTTTTAGATCATAAAATAGATCTTAATCAGAATTAGTAAGAAAAGTCACAGCTAACCCTCTTTTTCCTGCTCTACCTGTTCTTCCTGTTCTATGTATGAAATCCTATTTAATATTTATATAAATTATACTTAGATATTTTTTGGTGCATCAAAATTAATTACCATTTATACTCCTTCTACATGTAAACCTCTAGATGCCAAATCTGTAGCTATTAAAATATCAATTTTCTTAGACTTAAATCCTTCAACTGCAGCTTCTCTTTGTTATTATGTTTTACTTCCATGATATACCACAGAATTATACTAAATATTAGATTATTAATATTACTCCATATTTTTCAAGAGTTTTGCTTAATATTTCAACACTTTTCTTTTAATTTGCAAATATAATAATTGGTGGTTTATTAGCTGCTAACAATTACAATAGTCGATTTCTAATATATATAATAATAATTACTTTTTAGCTGCTTCATTAATCATATCTATTTTTTATTCTATATCTTTTTTACCACCTCCTGGTTCTCCTATACTAATAAAACAAAATGCTCTTAAATATCTTTTTGCTAATTTTTCAACTTGAGGAGGCATTGTGGCTGAAAATAAATGAGTCACTCTATATTACCTTTCTCCAGCTTAAGCCAACTTCTCCTCTAATTCAGCAGCTATTTCATCTTCTGATTTCATTTAAGTAGTTATTGAATCTAAAATATAATTAACATCTTATTCAAATCCTAAATCTATCATTTTATCAGCTTCATCTAATACAATCCATGAACATTATTCTAAAACCAAATATTTCTTCATCAATAAATCTTTTATTCTACCTGGTGTTCCAATTAATATTTCTATTCCTTTTTTTAAATGAAATTCTTATTCTTCTTCTTTCCTTCCTCCTACTATTACAAATGATCTTAAATTATATCCTTAAGATAATTTTTAAAATTCTGCTTCAATTTAAATAGCCAATTCTCTTGCTGGAGCCATTATTAATGCATATGGTCCATCTTTACATATCTTATCATCTTATTTTGGAAGTGTAGATAAATATGTAATTAATGGTATTAAAAATGCTGCAGATTTACCACTACCTGTAGGAGCAATACCAATCATATCTTTACGTTCTAAACCAATTGGAATAGTTTGCATCTATATTGGTGTTGGTTTAACATAATTTAAATTTCGAATAGAATTCATTAAATTTTTTGGTAATTAGACTTCATTCCATTCTCTAATAGGATTTGGAACACGACCACCTTTAATTATGATATCCATATCTTCTCTAAATATTCTCCAATCTCTTGGTTGCATTTGAGATAAAGATTTCTTACTCCAATGATCTGATGATAATAATTAATCTGGATCTTTGTCTTCTTATACTTTTGAATGTAAACCACTTGCATTTATTCTATTCATATAGAGTGGATTAAAATCTATTGAAGTATCTTCTGTGGCATCCCATTCAAAATTGAATATATTTTTAAACTTCTCAGAAGGTTTTAAGATCTTTTTTTTCTCTTTATTTAATCCTAAATATTGCATTTTAATATGCATAAGTTCTTAATTTTCTCCATCCATCTTTACAGGAACTGTTGCTCTAGTATTTGAAGTTATATAACGATTATTTTTCTCTTTGCTTTTTGATCTGCTTCTACTTTTAGATCTTTTCTTCTCTAAAATTTATCTTACTTTTTAATCATCACCTAAAATATTTGATATAAATTTACTTCTAAAATGTATATATTCTTTTCTAATCTAAGCAATCTATTATTGCTTTTATAATTATGATTTATGTTACTATTCTTCTTATTTTTATTTTAATTCTTCTCTTTGTTATTTAGACAAAAACTGAGGTTTAAAAGTAGATTTTCCATTCTATATCAATTAATTATTATGCTCTTATTAATCTTCAGCCAGCTCTTCAGCAGCAATCATTATTTTATAATTAAATTTATATTATATTTTGATATAATTATTCTAATAAGTATTTTTATATTTTTTAACATTGTTATAATATATTCTCTAGAATACTTATTAATCATTTTTGAGATTCCATAAAAATGATGCTAAAAAATAATTCAAATTAATTTATTTATTAATATTCTAAATGAGGTACATTATAAAAGGTAGAAGTTTCTTATTAATTCAAATTAGGTGGTGTTTGGAAGAATAGTGAAGATGAAATTCTTAAAGCAGCTGTCATGAAATATGGTCTCAATCAATGGTCACGTATTTCATCACTGCTTGTTCGAAAATCAGCAAAATAATGTAAGTAGCGTTGGTATGAATGGCTTGATCCTTCAATCAAGAAAACAGAGTGGACAAGAGAAGAATAAGAGAAGGTCCTTCATCTTGCAAAGATATTTCCTAGTCAATGGAGAACTATTGCACCTATTGTTGATCGTACTCCTATGTAATGTGTTGAGTAGTATGAAAAACTCTTAGATCTGGTATGTAGTTGATTTCATTATATTTTAGGCTCAAGGTAAAGATTTAAATGATCCAAATGATCCCAGAAGATTGAGACCAGGAGAAATTGATCCAAATCCTGAAACAAAAGCTGCTAGACCAGATCCTATTGATATGGATGAGGATGAAAAGGAAATGTTAGCAGAAGCAAGAGTCAGACTTGCAAATACAAAAGGTAAGAAAGCAAAGAGAAAGGCAAGAGGAAAGTTGATTGAAGAAGCAAGAAGATTAGCTTTATTATAAAAAAAGAGAGAATTAAAGGCTGCAGGAATTTAATACATTAATCACAGAATTGAGAAACATCATATTAAATTACAAGATCGCAAATACAAGGGTATTAATTATAATAGAGAATTGGCATTTGAAAGAACAGTTCCTGATTTTGTTCATGAAACAACAGGAGAAGAACCAGAACCTGATAAAAAAATATCTAATGTTAGTCTTTAAGCATTAGAAGGTTAGAGAAGAGATGAAGAAGAAGAAATAAGAAGAAAGATTGATTAAAGAAGAATTAAAAAATTAAAAGAAAGAGAATTAGATTAAGCTGTTACTTTTTAAAATAAATATTAAGTTAAATTTACACCTTAAACAAAATTATAATTGCCATAACCATAATTGAAGGATTAGGATTTAGAATTATTGGGTAAGATTAATGCAGTTAATGAAATATCTGAACATACAACTTCTGCTACTAGAGCTCTTGTTGGAAACTACTCAACAAGAGATTAGAGTTAATCAAATATGAGAACTCCTAGAGCACCTAATACTGTTTTAAGAGAAGCTTAAAATATTATTGCTTTATAGCATACTGAAACTCCATTGGTTGGTGGAATGAATAATCCTATTGATATTATCAAAAATATTGGAAATTAAACCCCAAATCAATTAGCAAACTTATTAAAGGAGACTCCAAGAAGATAAGTTGAATCATCAAATGATGCTTTTGGAATTAATATTGAAGAGTATGAGAGAGCATGGGAAGAACCAAGTTAAAGTGTTGCATATGTTAATGCTGAATAAGAAAGATAACAATAATTAAAGAATGAATAGAAATTGAAAGAAATGATCAAGTAGAAATTAAAATCATTACCTAAACCTAAGAATGAATTCACTATTGAAGTACCTAAAGTGGATAATGAAGAACAAAAAGAAATGGAATTGTAAGTTATTATTATTATTATTATTTTAGGGAAATGGATGCTGAAGATAAACTAAAAATATTAAAATAAAAGAAATTAGTAGATTAATAGAAGAAATTCAGATAAAAGTCATAGGCTCATTAAAAGAATTTACCAACACCAAAAGAATTGCCAACTGTGTCTATATATGAATAGACTTAAGATTAATTTAGAAATGAAATAGAAGAGATACTAAATTATACAGTGATTTAATTGATTAAAGAGGATATTTATGATAATTCAAATGGATTGGGAGATATTTCTATAGCTAAAGAATTATTATAAGAAGAAAGGGAAAAAATATTGGGAGATTAAAATTTAGATGATCTTGAGATGATTTGGAATAAAGTTAGATAATAATTATATTTTGATTATGAAGAAAATAAATTTGTTAATATTGAGAAAATAGATGAAGAAGTGAGAATGGCCATTTTTATTGAATATTTTAGAAGAACAAGAGTATAATATGAAAAATTGAATAAAAAATAATAATTCTTTGCTAATAGAATAGCTAAATTAATGAAAGGATATGAATTAAGAAATTCCCAATTAGAAAAAGAAATTTCATAATTGAATGATAAAATAAGTGAAATTGAAATGAATAAAGAAGTATATTCATAAGCATTAAATCATGAAAGACACATATATAGAGATAGAGTTTAAGAATTAGTTAAATATCATGATATGTTATAAGTGAAGAGTAATGAATTGTAAGATAAATATTAATATTTGACTAAATAACTTTAGGAATTAGATTAAGAATAAGAAATTTTAGCATGAAATATATTATTATTATTATGTTATTATTTTTAATTTAAGTAGCATAAGCAATTACTTTTTCAAGAGAAGTAGCATCTTAAATTTTTGAATCAGGTAAACCAGCATTGATATTATTTTATGAAAATTCTCATTAAGACTAATTGAATGAATTTAAGAAAGTTAAAAATGATTAATTATTATTGATTGAGGCAAACAATTCAGATAAATCTGTTAATAAATTAATCTAAATACTTTAAATTCATCAATTACCAGCTATAAAATTATTGAAATGTGATGGTAATACTTGGCAGGATGTTTAAACTATTAATTATGATGATCAAATACTTAATGAAAAATTGAATAAATTTATTTCAAGATATCAAGATGGCTAATTATTTTATGATATTCAAAGTGAAGATGTACCAGGAAGATAAATGGACGAAGGTATAGAGATTGTTGTTGGTCATAATTATGATGAACATGTTCAAGATACTAATAGACATTATTTGATTTATTTTTATTCTTAGGATTGTGATCTATGTTCATCTATGCTTTAGAATTTAGTGAGATTGAATAATCAAATTAGGACAGGAAAGACTTCAATTAAACCAAATCAATTGAAAATAGGTAAAATAAATGGAGAATTAAATAAAATTCATGGACTTAAAATAAATAAGTATCCATCTTTATATTTATATAAAATGGATGATAAGACACCTATAGAATATAAAGGAGATCGAACTACTGAAGGAATGTTAATGTGGATAGAGAATATGAATAAATGATATATTTATTTATCAATTAAAATGGCTAGCAAATCTCAACCTCCAATTCAAGAGAAGACCTTTCATGAATGGTCCAAAAATAACTTTTATAGGACCAGTTATATCAATCATTATACACAAGTATATGAATAATCTTAATTTATTCAGTTACCTTAAGAACCTAAGAATTCAGCTGTACCTGGATATGCAGGATATGTACCATATGTTTAATCAGAAAATCTTTATGGAGAAAGATTCTCTGAAGTAGCTAGAAAGTCATTTGCAGATTCTAAATTGGGCAAGTTTAATAGATTGTCTTCTACAGGATTCAATTTTGATGCTAAAGAATTAATTGATCCTCATAAAGAGGCTTATTCACACAAATATGGATGTCAAACAATATTAAAACACCATCCTTGCACTCATATTGATAAAATGATCACATCTTATCAAGACGGTTTCAAGAAGCCTTAAAATCTTGTTGCTCCAACGTAAGAAATTTAGAAATTAATCGAGATTTCGAAAGACTGATAGATATTTGGAAACATCATAAGCCTAAACAAAAACTTCAGGTTTCTAGAAGAATCATATGTAATTCGATGGATCAGGTTGGATTCCACATGAAAATATGAATGGTCATAAATTTATTTTTATTATAAGGTGATTAAATAAGAACAGAGTATCGTATATAATACAATTAAGAAAAACCATTTCATAGAAATCCCATCCAATTCAAACTTAGAAAGATGAAATAAACAGAAATGAATTATAAGCATACCTGATATAATAATATATTTAAAGATTATATATTTAGTCTAAGATTAAATGTATATTACAATATTTATCTATAAAATAAAAAGTTATCTTATGTAATAACATATACATATCTAAATTTCATTTGAATCTAACTTTGGACAATAGATAATCACACAATGTAATTGGAGAATTTCTTTTTAGATCTTCCAATTTTACCCATTTAATTTCATCATCATTTATCAAAAACATGATATCTCCATTATTTCTTGTAATGCTTTTAATTATACACTTTTTATTTTATCTAGGAAGATGAGTATGTTTAACAAATGTCTTTTATAAATATTATTTAGGATTTGATTGTTAAATTTATGGTATTATATCTTGAGGTAAAATTGTATTAGATTCATAATTACTTTCCTATAAAGACTTTATAGGAGCCTTTTATATTGTCTTAGATGTATCTTCGTTTTTGAGTAAAGATATTTTTGTTTCATCTTTTGTTAAAATGGAAGGGAAATCTCTTAAAGGTTCAGAGGGAATTTCAGTTTAGTTTAGTTTAACTTTCTTGTTGATTTCATAGTACTATTTTAATTCATATTGATGAACAAGTTCTAACAACTAAGGTGTTAATTGAATCATGGGTTCAATTGAGATAGTTCCATTGTTCCACCTAAATTTATAGGAAATAGTATTTTCTTAAACCTTCTTTTTTATTAATTCTATAGGGAATTTATTGTTGTACATTCTTATGATAATTATTTTAAAGGAAGAAGAACTTTAGAAAATAGAGATTGGGATGATTTTTGGCATCCTTTTTTGAATAGTAGTAATTCATAATTGAATTATGGTATAGAATAATCATTTATTGTTAATGAAATAATTAAATGTTATAATAATCAGATAAGGACTTCACTCTTGAATAGGTGGTTGGTACAGGAACATTTGGAATGGTGTATTTGGTAAATTTTTTTAAGAATGAAACTAGGCTACTGATAATAAGACCAAAGAGAAGGTAGCCATAAAGAAAGTGTACCAAGATCGTAGATATAAGAACAGAGAGCACCTTATCATTTAAGAATTGAATCATCCTTGTGTGGTTATGTTAAGACACTCTTTCTTCACACCAGGGGAAAATGTATATCAATTACATATTCATACTCTAGCCATAAGATGTGTACCTAAATCTAGTTATGGAATATGTACCTGAAACACTTTCAAAAATGATTAGATAAATGCGTAAATAGAAACAAAGTGTCCCTGCTCCTTTGATAAAGCTCTACAGTTATTAGATGATAAGAGCATTACTTTATTTGTAGGGTATTAGACAAAATATTTCACTCTAGCAATTGGGATTTGTCACAGAGACATTAAACCTTAAAATATCTTAGTAAATTTAGAGACCAATGTTTTAAAAATATGCGATTTTGGTTCAGCAAAACGACTTGTTGTCGGAGAACCCAATATAGCTTATATATGTTCACGTTACTATCGAGCTCCTGAATTAATTTTTGGAGCCACAGATTACAATACTTAAATAGATATGTGGTCTATTGGTTGTGTGATTGCTGAAATGGTTATCCTTGAACCTTTATTTCCAGGAGAAAGTGCTTAAGATTAATTACTTTAAATCATCAAAATACTTGGTACTCCAACTCCAGAGGATATTAATTAAATGAATCCTGCTAAAGCTGATGTCAGATTACCTATGATTAGAGGGAATCCCTGGACTAGAGTATTTGCAAAATAAAAACCAGAACCACTCTTTTTAGATCTTATTACATAAATGCTTACGTATTTAAGAACATCATAATATAATTAGATATTCACCTAAAACAAGAATCCAACCAATTGATGCTCTTTTACATCCATATTTTGATGATCTTAGAAAAGAAGGATTCTCTAATCAAAATTTTAAGACACCTAATCTTTTCGACTTCAATAAATAAGAACTAAGCATAAAACCAGAACTCTAAACTAAATTAGTTCCATAATGGTATTAAAAGCTAAATAAATGATGAAGATTCTTCAAAACAATATTATATATGTTATTTTATCTTCTTATAATTATATTTAACACTCTTTTTACATTTTCATTTATGTCATTATGTGAATTAAAATTTTCAATAAAAATTTATTATTATTTTTAATAATGTTAGACCCATTTAGAATGGCAACTGTCCGTAGATAATCAGAATTAATTAAATCTAACAATCAATTGATAGAATAACAACCAAGAGGTAGATAATAATGTGCAAATTCAAATCAACATTTAACAGACATAGTCAATTAATGCATTCAACGTTCATAACATTCAATAGATGCATTACAATAAATAAGAGCCAGATCTAAAGACAGAAGAAGTTCTTATAAGAAAACTACCAGATAGTCAACTATTAGTAGTTTTAAAGGATAAACATCTCCTAGTTTTAGACAAGACGATCAATCTGTCACATCATCAATCCAAGAATCATAATAAAGTTAATTGCCTGTCAGATTGTTTAGTTTTATTGAAAATGAACCTAGTTTCAGAGCAAAAGATATGCCCTTATAAATCAATAAATCAAGTTTAGAAGCCAAAAAGAAGCCACTGATTTAACTAAAAGAAAATTAAAGAAGATTAACTAATATTGATCAATTATTTTAAGAAGCATTGCGTAAAAGTTAATAAATCACAGAAAAGTTTTATCAGTGAATACTTATAACTATATATAAATAAATAATTATTACTTAAAGTCAAACATATTTAATTTTTATGACTTTTTGTGAAATGTTATATTATATTATAAAATAATTTAATGAACATTTTATTTTCAGATTTACTTTCTTAAAAATATGAGTGGATTTTAAATTAATATAATTTAGTTTATCTACAATCAGGAATTAGTAAAAAGTATCATTTTTATTAATGTCTTACTAATTAAAATATAATTAAATATATATATTATTATAAATACATAATATTTTTAATTAATTGATTTTAATAGAACAATATTTTAAGAATTATAAAATGAAATTTGTTAAATAATCAGGTGTTATATGTTTAAAATCTTTATGATATTTATTTTTCATTTATTAAATAAATAAATAAATAAATAAATAAAGAAAACAAAATAAATGGAGTTTATAATTATTTAATACTTATAAAATTAATAATAAAAAAATTATCATTTATTAGATAACTTATGTTGATTGTATTTCCTTTAATTAATATGATTCTATGTTGTTTATACTTTATCATTGTAATCTAATTTTGCTTAATTCAAATTATGATTGTATGTAATCATATATTTATTTGATGGTTATGAATCCCAATCCAAAGATTCTTTTTTAACAGGTGATTAAATAGTAAAAATTTATTTAATTTCTTAATCAGCTAAAAAATCATCAGGATCATATGGTATTAGATCTTTATTTATATAAGGTTAAGACATAGATGAATAACTCTTATAATTATTTTATTAAAGGCTTTGACTTCTTAAATTATTGTGATAATATTTTGGCTATTGTAGATTAATTTGAGAATTCATTTCATTTAATTTAGGTAATAACATATTAGAATTATGTTTAATTTATTTATTAGGTTCTAAATTTTATCTAGACCAATACGATTTATCAATTACTTTTTATTATTATGAATATAATTAAGATTGTTTTGCATCCATAATATCTTTTGGTTAGTAATTGCATATTGGATTATTACCTTATAATTTTTTTTCAGCTGATATCAACCAAAAATTACTGTTAAGATAAACTTCAGCATTTTATCTATATCCTTATATATCATTTTATTAAAATTCATTAATTTTTTGTTTTTTTGATTCATTTTATTTATTTGTAATTACTGATAAATCCTGTAAATTTAGTGTATTATTCCCATTTTTGAACTATTCAATATCATTATCCTTTTCTTTAATTATTCTTTCTAAATCTGTTATTCTATCATTCATTTACTATAGTTTATTTTCATAGTTCCTTTAAATAGATGCCATTTATTGATCTTTTTCAATTTACTGTTTTTTTAATTATTTAACTTCTTCTTATAAGTTTAAAATCAATTAATCTTTAGCAATTAATGAGGCTTAGAGTAAACTAATTTTCATAGATGTTAAAGTTTTGGATGATTTAGAAGAATTATATGACATTTATGTTTACTTCTTTAAATCGAGATCATTTAATTAAGCATCTTAATCTTTGGATTCTAATTTAAACTATTATTCATTGCTAAATTAATTGAGTTATTAAATTGAATTTCTTTGAATAGTTTTATTTGTCGATGTCTAAAAATTAGATTCTGTTCGAGATGGTGTAGGTATATTATTTAATAACAATCTGTTTTATAATGAATCTGAATCCTCTTCTTATTCACCATCTTCATTGTTTTCAGATTGTTATTCATTTTATATTTCTAAATTATTCATCATTTATAATAATTTTTTATTGTCCTAAAACCTAAGCAATTTGATCTATTATTAAATATAGAGAAGAGAATCCTTTAAATGAAATTAATAATGTATGAAAAGAGATTTCAAATTTTTTATGTAAATCAAATATTAAATCATAAGAAAGAAATAAAAGATTTCATGTTTTAGGTTTTCTAAAACTACTATAGATAACTTTTTATTTTTTATCGAAAGTGACTTTCTTAATTGATCTCTATGATCCAACAGATTCATTGTCTTTTTAAGCATTATTTGAACTAGAAGAATTTGATCCAGCCATTACTTTGTTTTTAAGAATAGATTTATGTTTAACTATATATAATAAATAATAAACAAATTTACCTTCTTATAATCCACTATTTGAATCATCTCTTGAATTATTTTGAAGATCTAATTGATCATTTAAGGCATTTGTTAAATTAATGTCTAAAGGACCTTATTAATTTTAGTTAAATTCTTATTTAGTAAGAGTATTGTCTGAAGAATTTTATTTAGGTAAAGAATTCATTCGTTCTTTTTCAATCTAATTATTTTCTTCTGGAAACAGTAATTTGATTATTGGCTATGGTTTTTGTAATTAAGGAGGTTTGTAAATATTAACTTAGATTTTCTTCTGAAGAGTTATTTAATCTTCTTTTGACTCTTAAATGTTTTGGCAAATATGAGAACCCATTATATCTTAGGTAATTTAGAAAGATGATAATAATAATTTGAGTTGAAAAATTTAGAAATTAAGATCAACAAATATAATCAAACAAAAAATACTTAATTATTTATAATTTAATCATTATAACTAATATATAATGATGACTTTATTCACTTTTGATTTTATTTTTTTTAATTTCTATTTATAAATTGTTGGACAATAAATGTAATTAAAAACAAAAATAAAATAAAAAATGATTTAATTATCACGCAACTATCTAAAATTTTTAAAGTTTAGAAATATGAATTTTTTGACGTAGATTAAATAATGATTTGGCTTTATCACACCATACAGTAGATGGGATAGTACCTTTACTAGTTATCTTCTTTTTTTAAAGTTATTCTTTTGTAGTTTTACCATTGTAAGCCAAACAAATATGGAAACAAACAAACACTAAAATGCATAATGTCAATAATATTGTTGGAATTCCTAATGCAAATAACACTATTACTAAAATAGTTTAATTCTAAATCACTTTTAATTTATATAGAATATAATTACATATGCCATCCTTTCCTGAAATACCTTCTCCAAAGTTTCCTATAAATAAAATCAAAAATCCTCCTAATTCTCCTATAGCCAATAATAATAATGATATAAGAAAAGCTATAAAAAAACGATAATTCCTTTATCCTATACAATTATTTACAAATGGACAATGATGATCAAATACTTAAACACAATTTCCACAATCTTTACAATGAGAACATCTTAATGGTTTTACAATTAAACAAGTTGAACATACTCTTTATTCTTAATTTTAATATTTCTTTTTTCTTTTATCTGGACAACCACCAGTTCCTTCTATTTTTGCTTCTTCTTTATTAATAAATTGAGTATTCTAATCAGATAATTCTAAAATAGTTTTTCTTGGGATTATTCCTGGATCAGAAAACTATTTAAAAATATAATTTATATAATTACTTAAGTTAACACTAAAAATAGTATTGTACTTAAGAATAAATAAATTACAATTAAAACATAAAGCCAATGCAATTTTTACCAAACATATGGAGCAACAATAACAAAAAAACAAGTACTTATACCAATAATCATTATCCAAGTAAACATATTATGATATCTATCACCTTTTGGACCTGTCATCAATCTACCATAACAAAAAATTTAATTGAATGATGGCCAAAATTCATACAAAAATCTAAAACTTAGACTGTAAATATATTTATAATACTTGTTTTTTTCTGATTTTGGTTCAAATGGGAATAATTCTAAATCAGCAGCTTAAAATCCTTTCAAATCAACCTTATTCCCAAATGGTGGCGTTACATCATTTATATGTTCTGACATTCCATTTAAAGATGAGACAACAGAATTACTTTTATTTTTTGAGAACTCTAAGTTCCCATTAAAATCAGCACTTTATTTTGATTAATTATATAATCCATCAGATGGACCATCCTCTTTTAGTTTACATCCTGAGTTTTGATATTTACTATTCATAAATTTATAATATAAGTATTTATTATTAAACATTCTACACATTAATCGTTTTTAAACTCACAAATTAGTATTTAGAACAATTAATGAACAATAAATTATTTATTCATAAAAATTCAACCATTCAATTATTTACTTATAGGTACTTTATAACCTCTCTATCAGATAGAAATCTTCATATTCAATACAAATTAATATAACAAAAACTCTTTATTTTAACATTATAAAATACTTTATTTCTAAATAAAAGTTTTCTTAATTGCCATATCTTCTTAAATAATATTGATTCTCTTTTATTATAATCTAATAAACAAACAGAAATATTAGTTTATAATTAACCTTATAAATGTAAATGATTTTTAAGATACTTAAAAATAATCCTTGATTTTTAGATGACATACTATTTAGCATAGATAAACAAATTTAAACTTTGCTTATATTGCAATTTTATGGAAAATATGAATACTTTTTAATTTTGAACTTTGAATAGGAAATTTCATTTTAATTTGTATAATATGCTTAGAGGAGTGAGTAATAGATAGAATTTAATTTAAATTATATATATTTCTGATGAAAAGAGAGAAAACTAATTTAGTTGAGAAAATTATTAAAGAATAATAGGAATAACTTAAATTTGAGTCTTAATACAAATTATTTGACTTTAAATAATTTTAATTATGAGTAAGTAATATAACAAGAGAGGTAATTATCAACCTCGTTAAGATGTGTATGAATATGTAACAAAGGAGGAGTATGAGCAATAGTAAATATAGTAGAATAAGGAATAATAGCAAAGACAAGATAATCCTAAGAAAAAATAATAATAATTTTAAAAAAACAAATATGAATAAGAAAAGCAAGAATAATTTCAATAATAATAGAACTAAAATAAATAGTCTGATAATAAATAGTATTAGAAACATAATAATTAAAAAGACAATAAAAATTATTAAAAAAGATTTTAATAGAAAGTTGAGGTAGATGATGATTATAAAAGAGATGATCCATAAGATTTTGAAGGTATTTTAATTAAATAAAATTTAGATGTTGAAAAATTTGATATAACAAAAATAAAGTAAAAAGAATTAACATAGACTTTAATAAAAATGTTAAAGTACAGAAAAATAGAATGTCCAGTATGCTATGATAAAATTCATCCATAATAAAAAATATGGAGTTGTACTTAATGTTTTTCACCTTTCCATTTGTATTGTATGCATAAATGGATAAAGAATTTAAATCCAAAAAATATAAATGAATTGTATTGTTGGAGTTGTCCAAAATGCAATTTATTAATATAAGATAAATTACCAGAATATAAATGCTTTTGTGGAAAATAATAAGATCCAGAAGCAGATTCTTATTCTATTCCTCATTCATGTTCATAGAAATGCTAAAAAAAAAGAGGAAAATATTGTCCTCATCCTTGTCCTATGGATTGTCATCCTGGACCATGTCCTGAATGTCATGTATAAGGAGTAGAAATTAAATGTTTTTGTGAAAAAAAGACTAAGTAAATGTAATGTAGTGAAATAAAAAAGGATTTTTCATGTGGTTAACCATGTGGTAAAATGTTGAATTGTAACAATCACTTTTGTCAAAAACCTGTAAATAATAATATAATAATATTAGTGTCATAATGGTAATTGTTAACCTTGTAATGAATCTCATTAAGTATAATGTTATTGTGGAACTCAAAAGGATATTATAAATTGTGCATAAAAATCATATTCATGTGGTAAAATATGTGGTAGAATACTTGATTGTGGTTAACATTAATGTTTAGAATAATGTCATCCAAATTGTTAACCATGTAAATTAAAACCAGAATTAGTAATTTATTGTGCTTGTGGGAAATATAAAATTAATGATTTAATTAAGGAATAAAGAAAATCTTGTTTAGATCCAATTCCTAATTGTGGTACTCCAATAGAAACTACATTAATATGTGGACATAAAAGTAGAACAATTTGTGGATCTGATTATCCTGAATGTGTTTAAAAAGTAAAAGAGAAATGTAGATGTAAAGATACTACTAGAGTTAAATTATGTAATGATAAATCAATATTTGTGTGTGATGATGTATGCAAAAAAAGAAAATCTTGTGGAGTTCATTTCTGTTAAAAAGAGTGTTGTCCACCTGGAGATTAAGAAGCTCATTTATGTTTAAAAGTATGTAATAAACCACTTCCATGTGGTCAACATAATTGTGATTAATTTTGTCATATTGGTGCATGTTAATAATGTCCAATAATTATTAATCAACCTTTATATTGTCCTTGTGGTAAGAGTGTTAAAAATCCTCCAATAAAATGTGGTACTGCTCCTCCATCATGTTTAGAGATCTGTAAAAAGGTCTTAGAATGTGGACATATATGTTAATCATTATGTCATCCAGGACCATGTCCTGATTGCAGAGAGTAAATTGATAAATTATGTCGATGCAAATAAAATACACTTTCAACCATTTGTTCAAAATAAGCTGTCTGTAGAAATGTTTGCAATAAAATTTTAAATTGTGGACATAAATGTCAAGAAATATGTTAAGCATAAGAAGAATGTCCTGGAAATGGACCTGAAGGTTGTGATTAAAAATGTCATGTTAAAAAAATATGTAATCATTTTTGTTAAGAAATTTGTCATCCAAATTAATAATGTCCAAAACTACCTTGTAAAATCTAAATTAGAGTAGTATGTAGTTGTGGTAATAGAGACTCCTTTATAGAATGTGGAGTTGTTGATGAACTTATAGAAAAAACCTTGAAATGTGATTAAAAATGTTAAAATATAAAAAGATTTGGAGCATTTTATAAATCTAATTCTCTTGTAGATATTGAAAAAACCTATTATCCAGATATCTTACTTAAATATACTCATTATAATTTATAGAATCTCTAAAAAATGGAAGAAAAAGTTGAACATTTCCTTGTACATTCTAAACCTGAATAAGGATATGATTTTTCATTCCCAGTATCTGAATGGTCTGAATTGAAGAAATTGGCCCTATAGACTCTATTTTCTAGACATTATAAATTTGATGTCTAAATTCTGAAGACATAAAATAAATAATATTTGTTTAGTCTTTATAAAACATAGGATACTTGTATTCCTAAAATTAAACTGTCTGAATACTTTATAAAAGTCTAAAAAGGTATAATAAAAAGAGATCATTAACCATTTAAAGCAAAAATTAAAACATTTTTTGAAGTTACATCAACAGATGCTTATAATATTGAAAATGCATTATCAGATTTTAAAGGTGACTTTTATTCTGAAAGATAATCATAATAATATGTACTAAACTTTTGGGATGAGACTTAAGCTGAATTGGCACTTAAAAAAATAAAAAAAGCAGTTGGATTACTAAATGTAAATTGGGTTTTAGAAGTTAATTAATAATGTTTAGATGAATACAAAAGAATATTTGAACCAGCCAAAGAGAATGACATTATTGTTAAACCCAAAAAAATGAAATAATAAGAATATGAAGAAAATACACTTGAAATTTAATATTCATAATTGGAAGAAGAAAAATTCAATAAAATTTAAAAGGAGTATTCTGAAAAAGCTTAATTGATAAAGAGATGTGATAATGAAGAAATAGAAGAAAGAATTAATAATTAATAATTATCTATTTTTGAGTAAGATGGATTTTATTAATATGAAATTTAACCAATTAGAGAAAATATCATTAGATCTTATAAATAAGAATAAAAACCATTTGTACCTGAATATGTGAGAACACCAGATACATTATGTAAAACTGTTGATTTTCTTCTTCAAAATTTTTTGAGAGCAGATGATCCAGATTCAGATTTCAAGAAACCTATGAAAGGTGATACTCCAAGAGATATTGTGTATGAAGATATTTATGAATTCATACATGATAGATTATAATAAATTAGAGTAGAATTGAATTACCTTCAATATGAAGATATGAGCATTTATGGTATTTATTATAATTTATTATTTTAGTGAAAATAATTAGATTTTATATTTTGTCTCATTCTTAATTATAGGATAATTAAGAAAATCTTAAAACCTTATGTGAATTACTAAAGACATTCAAAAATGATGAAACACTATAATATACTTTAATATTATCTTGTTTTAATGAAATTCCAGAATGTTAATAATTCTATTCTCAAATGTTAGAATTAAAGGAATAAGAAAATTTAAGCCCTATTATTTAATCCATAATAAGCTTAACTACTTAAATTAATTAAAAATTATATCACAAATACTTTGATTTTTATCATAATCAAGAAAATATACTAATTAAATCATTGATGCATGGATTCCTCAATAAAATAAAGATATAAATCAATGAGTAATTCTAATAAATTACTTCAAGTTTAGAATAAGATTAAACATTTATATCTGTAAATAAACTATTAGAATAATTACAAATAGAAGACAAGAATAATTTAATTGAATATTTAAATAAATTAGGCTTGAATGATTTGTAATTTTAAATTTCGCAATCAGATTCTGAAATTGAAGAAATAAATATCTCATAAATTTAATTATAATTATAGAAAATGAAACCTTATGGCATTTTAGATCTTGATAGATTAGCATTAATAATAATGTGATATGATTATTTTATAATTTTATTTGTCCAAAAATATTATATATTAATAATAGAATCCGTTTATTGTAATCATTAAAATATTATGTATAAAAAATATATATTCATTTGTCTTTTGTTAACATTAGCTATTTGTGAAGGAGGATATTAGAATCTCAAAATAAAAGAATTTATGAGCTAGAATAATGAAATTTTTACATATATAAATGAAATTTTAGACGACGAAGCTGGACCAGAATATTTTCTATGGAAAATTGAAAGTCTTTAATAATAAATTGTTTCAGGAGTCAATTATAAAATGATTGTTGACTATTAAAAAAAAGATGACCCTAATCAATATATTCAATTTGAGATAATAGTTTATGATTAGTAATACTTTGATAATTATTTATTTTAAGACCATGGACTAACACAAGAAAAGTGACTGCATTGGAATAAAAGAATCTTAGAGTTGATAACAAAAAAGCATATAATTCTAAATATCATGGTTGGGTAGATCTAAATGTCAAATAGTTTAGTGAAAAATTTCCATAAATTTAAACATTATTACTTTCAAAGTTAATACCAAAATTTGATTTAGAAGAAGATACTTCTATAATGGAAATAAAATCAGTTAAAGAGTAATTTATAGCAGGAAAAACATATTTAATCTTTGTATAATTATCTGATGGTAAAAAATATAAGGGAACATTGTATGAAAAGTATTATGTATGATATCAATTAAGTCCATGGTCTAAGAAAATGGAAGTAGTAACAGTAGAATTAGAAGAAGAAGAGTGATTCTTAAATTTTATTAATAATATATGATGATATTTATTTGTTAAGTAAAAAAATATAAGTTGTACTTTTTACATCAATATTTATTAATTATATTTAAGTGAAATATTTTCTAATAAATAATTGATTTAATTTATGAAAATAATTTACTTTAAAATTGCTTAATCTTTCATCTTGTTTTATCTTCGTTTTATAAAGCAAATTCAACAATTTTAGATAATTTTTTATATTTTATATACTTTTACATTCCCATCATCCCTCTTTAGGGATGTATTTCAAATACCCAAAGATTATCTAATTATTGATTAATAATGGAAAATTCATCTAAAATTAAATACTGAATCAGTTTCAATTATTATTTATATATTATTGCAACTAGATTAAGAAATTAGTCTATTACATTAAAAGGTGAAGAGACTTCTATTTGGTATAATTAAAAATAAAATTTTCAAATTATTTGATGATTTGACTATCTTTGGTTGCTTTTTGATTTGCCTTTCGTAATTTATGAGATTTTATATTCTTATTATATATCTATATTTTAAATTTATTAGATTTTATCTTCAAATTAACTTGGTTCTGTGCGAATTTTAATTAAATTCTGCTTTTGTTTATTGACTCAATTATTAAAGATTGCTTATTGTTAATTTCTTTTAGTGTTGTTTTTTTCTAATTTTATATGATTCTTCAACTTTTCTTGATTACTTAAACTTTATCAATAATTTAAGATATTAGAATTTCTGTTAACTATAATTTTGGTTCATCAATTTTGTGTTTTACAATGTTGATTTTTGAATGTTAATCACAGAGATTATTTTTCTCAAAAAATAAAAATAAAAAGAATACATAAATTTATAATATAATAAAATTAAAAAAAATGAACTTTATAGTATTGTCTATGATATATGTCATTTATACATTTGACTTACCAGGGATTCAATAAAAGGTGTATTCTGAGGGGGAATAGATTGCTGTTTTAATAAATGAGATGACTTCAGATTCTACTCAACTTCCATATGATTATTATGATCTTGATATCTGCAAACCAAAGTCCACTGAAAATTAAAATTAAAATATTGGATCCATGATATTAGGCACTTTAACATAATAGTCTAAATATTAAGTAATAAAATAACTAATCTTATAGATATATATGAATTATGAAATAATGGATTAAATAGTTTGTGTTAAAGATTTTACATAAACAGAACAGAATAATTTAAAATGGTTCATTGACCATGATTATAGAGTCAATATGTAAATAGATGATCTGCCAATATTATCTAGAGATTATTTGAATAATACTATAATTGGAGTACCTTTAGGGGTTAGAAATATCAATTAGTATTCTTTTTATAATCATTATAATTTCTTGATAGAAATTTATAACACTACCAAATCAGAAATCAATTAGACTTTTAGTATTAATTCAATAATAGTTGAATTTGAATCTAAATGTATGGATAGTTCTGAAATAGATTCTGGAATCAATTGTCCAATCAATTAAATGATGAATATCACTTATTCTGTTAAATATTTAATGACTAACTCATCTAATAGATGGTCAGCATATTTAAATATAGTAACTGATTCTGATTAATAATGGGTTTCTATTAGTATCACTTTTACTATCACTCTTTTCCTAACTTTTTTAATTGCTTGGTTTATTAGATTTACTATAAAAAGAGATGTGTTAAAATTTGAAGCCTTACCACAAGAAGAGAGTGATGGGTTGATTGATTAAATGGGATGGAAATAAATTAGTAGAGATGTTTTTAGACCTCCATCAGGCATATTATTTTTAAGTGTTTTGATTGGTACTGGCATTCAATTTACTATTATGACTATTTGTGTTTTCTTTTTTTCATCAATAGGATTTCTCTATTCTGCACATACAGGAAATTTAGCAACATTTGTAATTGTTATTTATGCTTTTACAGGCAGTTTGAATGGATTCTATTCTTCTAAATTTTATAAATATTTTAAAGGTGAATATTGGTTATTATGTACATTGGGAAGTAATTTAGCATTTCCAGTTATGGCTTTATTTGTATTTGGCATCGAAAACATTGCACTGATGTTTGAAGAGTCTTCAAGTGGATTAGACTTTAAATCTGGTATTACATTTATTGCTTTATAACTTGGTATTCAAACTCCTCTAAACCTACTTGGATCATTTATTGGATTTAAATTGGAATCCCCTAAAAATCCATGCAAATATGGGTAAATTGCTTAAGAAATTCCATAGCAACCATTTTATATGGATTATTTTTATAGTTGTTTGATTGGAGGACTTATATGTTTTATGTAAGTTTCTTATTTCTAAATAGATCCGTTGGTCTTGAGATTAGTTAAGTAATGTAATTAATTTGGAAGAATTCTTATTATGAATTCTTTGTTTCATTATTTTTTACTGCAATTTTATTGATTATTATAAGTGCTGAAGTTTCAATATTAACTGTTTATTTACTACTATAAAATTAAAATCATAGGTGGTGGTGGAAAGCCTTCTTTGTCCCTTTTACTTCAGGTGTATATTTATTTATATATTCAATCTAATATTACTTGGATTCTTTACAATTTACAAGGTATATTTCATAAAATATCAAGATTTTCAACAATTTTGTATTATTTTGGTACTATGTATATGGTATCTTTATGTTTGGGATTAATATGTGGAACAGTGGGATTTTTAGCAAGTCACATTTTTGTTAAAAAAATATATTCAATGATAAAACTAGATTGAACTGTGTAGATATTTATTCTATTTTATATAAATATATAATTAATTAATTTTAATATCAATTTAGATGGAAGATTTGACTCATTTGGCTTTAGCTATTGGATTTTTTATTGAAATTAAAAATAGTTATAGTCTTTTGATATTCAAAGATTTTTCAGGTGCTGGAGTATTCTTATTTGAAGTAAAAACAAAAGAATTTATTTGACTGTTTTTTTTAAGCCAAGTAAAATCTCTGTTTGATAATGGAGTCTCAATTGAATTCAACTAACATCTACCACTTCATATTGGTTTTGGATCTACATTAGTATTTGCAGGATGGATAATCTATAAAGGTAGTATTTTTGCTTAAGGATTTAAATCATAATATCCTTAAGGATTGGTTGCAGTAAATAATTCAATTGCTGGAGCCAATAGTGGATTTCTTAGTTATTTTATCAGATAGTTCTGATAGGAAACTAAAAATTTAGTAGAATTGCCTAGAGGAGTAGACAGTAGATTGGTTGTTGTTAATGCATCTGCTGATGATGCGAAACTATAGACGGCGTTCATATATGGCTTTGTTGCAGCCCTATTTTAAAGTGTCTGAACCAAAACAAAACACTCAACTCAAATTGATGATCCAACTGAGGTCATCCCAGTTTATTTTGTAAATTACTATATTTATGATGTAGATATATTGGTATCATCTTAACTGAATTTTTGAGATTAATGCTGGAGCATTTCTTGAATTTGGATTTAAATAATTAAGTTATTAATAATTATAGTTATTGATAATCTTTGTTTTGGTTGCTTTCTTCATTTTTCTTACTCTTTTGGCTATGAAAGGGTTTGGAGTAGTCAGAAAATATGATAAAACAGAAAAAATAGGAAAGGATAAAGACTTATATTTCAATTTAGGTTTGGGAAACTGCTCTATTTGCTAACCAGATTGATGAAATATCTCTAATTAGGTTCAGGATATAGATCAGGATTCAAATAAAAAATATTAGATTTCTGTGTTATCAGAGATATTTTATAATTTAATTTCATTACTGAAGTTTTCGTTTTTGATTGTTTTTAGGTACTATTATAGCAATCGTTATTTTAAGTCTTAAAAAAATGTTTATAAAGAATATTTTTTGTTAATTTAATCTAATCATCCTTGTTATTTTTTTTAGAATCAATAATTTTCTAATTTTCTAATTTTATAGTTTGATTTAAAGTTAATAAATGATATTTTAGAGCTTCAATACTGAAGTTATTGATATTTAGTAAGGATTAAAATTATTTGGCATTTTTAACATTAAGACAAATTTTATTTTTAATTATATTAATGATTTAATTATTAATTTAGGTTCAAACTATATAAAATTATTAAAATAATTTATAGTACTTAATAATAAAATCTAAAAATAATATGTTTGAATCGATACTATTTCTGATATTTATTCACATTTCATATGGATATATTAAATATGACACAGGTCTATTTCTAGGATTTGATTATGAAATTGCTAGCTTTAATTGTTAAAATGGATTTTCAAAAACCTCAACAATTCAATTCTCTGGGACTTTTGAGAATATACCTTAAGTTTTTTTTTATATAGAGAGATTAGATTGGAGCAAAGCACAATTAAAATTTACTTTATCAATCACAACAATAACAACGATTAGTAATTAAAGTGTTTTTAATAGGTTTCACATTAACAATTAGTTGTTCTAATAACAAGGTTTATGCAAATTAATTAAGATGGTTTGCTATAGATGATAAACGTATTGAAGTACTTAATAACTTTAATATGGTGAACCCTGATGATAAAACATTTTCAATTTAGAATCCCAACGCCTTGTATGGATTTATAACAGTTACTAGCATTCACTATACAGGTCCAATCGATTTTACATTATCAGTAAATGTAGTTTAATAAACTCTAGATGAATTCAATCACACCTAACTCTGTAACTATTGGTATCACAAAAGTTGCAGGAAAATTTTCTAATCTAAAATAAATTGGTTATTAGGTAGTTGTTGGAGTTGAGGAAGCCTTTATTAATTTAGGATAAAAGTCACCAACAGGTGCATTTAGTAGTGTTATATTACCAATATAATAAAACAGATGGTTTTTCATTCCTTTGTAGGGATTGAATTACAATAACGTTAAAAATATTAGAATTAAAACCATTTTTACAACAACTGAATCAACAATATAGTATACTTATGGCACATGTAAATTTTAATATAGATTTAATATAGGGGATGAAAGTGAAACTCCAAATAGACATTCTTAGGTTTGGGTTGCTTATTAATTTACAAATACATATAAAGCACTTGAATGTTTCAGCATTAGAACAAGTCGTAAGCATCTTCAAAATTTATCTATTGTGCCTCCAATTTATTTTGAACTGGTTTCATTAAATGCAATTTATACTGCATCAGGAAATTATAATTACATTGTAAATAAATCAATTATGCCTCTTTATATGATTATTTAAATTACTTGTCCAAATGGAAAGAAGATCTTAGCAGATTTTAATAAATGTAATTCATGTAGTATCTAAAAATCTTATTCATTTACATTTAATTGTTTTAGTCAAATGAATTACATAGGTTTTTTTCCAAAATTTAAATAAGCATTTCAACAATACAATTAATTAAAAATAAATTTACAATCTTCATCACTAGAAATTATTCAAGTGCTTTATGATTAGAAAATTACAGAATAAACAATAGTCAAAGTTTAGATAGTAGATTAATGATTATAAATGTTACATAAATAATATTTAAGTATTACTATTCTTATTATTTTGGTCAAATTTATTTTATTTCTAAATCTCTAATTAAACCATTATAATAAATTAAGCAAGAAATAATATTCTAATAAAATCCTTAGATTATTCAAATAATTAAAATGTGTTATAAAATCTTCATTCTTCTCCTTTCAAGACTTTCAAATAACATCTAGCTGCATATTCATAATCTGATATTGTGTTATATAAACTGGCAGATAATCTTGACCAATTTAAATCATCATACTTAAATACAACCAAAAATACATTATATTTTTCAAAACACTAAATATTCAATAATATACTTTACCTTTTTTTGACATTCTCTGCAATAATTTTGATCTTAATGAGGTATTTTAACATTTACCATAGCTGAATGCATAGATTTATCATTGACTAATAATTCTGTTTACCAAATTTGTGCAACCAAATTAGCTCCTTCCCAAGCTAAATCTTCAGAATATTTAATTATTTAATTTAATCCATATTTTTTAATAAAATTAACTCCATCAATCAAAGAAAGTGATAAGCTAAAATCTTTTGTACCAGAAAATTCACATTCTTTTGCCAAACCATTTCCATATTGAACAGAAATTGTATTATGATGAATTTTATTTAAATATTGTTCTTTCAAATATAAAATGTTAATGCCTGAAGGACAAAATGCCCATTTATTAAAATTAGTAAATAGAAAGTCTGGATCTAAATCTTTGATATCTAAAACTGTTATTCCAGCACCATGTGCAGCATCAACTATACTTATTACATTATATTTTTTGCATAACGATATTAATTCTTTAATAGGCATTATTAAAGATGGTTATGCTGATATATTATCAAAAACTGCAATTGTAATTTTCTATGTTTTGAGTTATTCTATAAGTTATAAACAAATCTAGTTACCTTCAAATAAGGATAAGATTTTTTATTTTTCCAAATGTTGTCTTTTTAATTCAATCCTATTTTACTTAACATTGTAATTGGAAGTCATGAATTAGATTGTATTTTAAACCATTGGATATGCAGTACTGAAATATAAGATTGTATCATTTTCTGTAAGTCCAAGATCTAATAATGAAAATATGAAAATTACTTCTTATGATACTATTAAAGGCTTCAGCAGAATTACTAGTTAACATACATTAATTAAAATCAGCATTTAGAAATTCTGCAGCTGTCTTTCTTATTTCTATTGTGTATTTAGGATAATCTATTTTTGTGAATCTATCAGGATTTTATAAAAATTTTGTATAATGTTGTATTCTTTACTAAAAAACTTCTTTAGGTACAAAACCAAAACTACTATGATTTACACATACAAATCCATTTTCAATAATAAAATCTTCTTTTATATTTTAACCAAAGGTGTTCATGAAAATATTTCAAATTAAAATAATATTTCAATAAATATTCCTCAAATAAATTACCTTATTGATAAAGAAGTAGGTTTTAATTAAATAAGATACACAATAGAAATATTAGTGATTAGAAAATCAAACAATACTATATTTTTTTGATTTTGTGATCAAAATTAATATAAAGATTAAAATCTTAGAATTTTATTATGAGATGATAAAAAGAGATATTAAAGATATTTTATAAATTTAGAATATTTTGTATAAATTTGATTTTTCTTAAATTTTATTTTTTATTAATATGAACTAAAATTCTTGTCATATACAAATTTAGCTATTCAATTAGTATCTAATTCCTTAATAATGACTATAATATGATAAAAATATCAACCTAACAAATTGAGATATTGCAATAGTAAAGAAGAAAGTATAGTTGATCAATATAATTTTAGATTTAATAATTTATATAAAAAATTAATTAGTTTAAGTAATTGGAGAATATGTTTTTAACCTTATGAATTATTCTATGATTAATACAAGGAAATCTGTATTATATTTTTATAATGAATTCCATACATTAATTATTATTTAATATAGATACAATAATCTAATTTGTGATAAAAATGAATTAAAATATATAGAGTCGAAGAAGTCAACTTTAATTTTATGGAAGAATCACTGTTGGAATCTATCGAAATACTTTTTTTAATTTCTTCTTTCCTTTATTTAAAGGATTAAACTTTTAATGATGTGACCTACATTAAGTAGCTGTTCTTGTGGGTATGAATTAACTCATGAGTTTGAATATTTTCTTAGATTTTTTGTCATATTTTGATTTTAAGATGGATTCATGACTCTTTACAAATTCCAAATACTATAAATGCTCTTATTGAGTCCAATGACCTTAAAAATATAACAATTTTTACCATTTTATTTTGTTTAAGAGTCTTCTTCTCCTAATTAGTATTTTTCTGAATTTCCTAACTCTACTTCAGTTATATGATTATTTTAGTTTGTATTCTTTATTTCAGGAATATCATATTGATAATTCATTTAGATATTTGTTGGTTAGACTCTCCAATCATATTTCAATTATGGAAATTGCATCGGAACATTCTGTTATTAAAATATCACTTTGAGCTAATTTAAACTATTAGTTACTATATTGAATGAATTGCTATTAATAGTTTGGAAACTGTGGGAAATAATATGCAGTAGACTAGTATGGATTATATAATATATCTGAATTCATCTAAAACTATGATTTGAGTTATTTAAAAAAATAATTTATTAAGAAATTTTAATTCTTAATAAAGAGGATATTTAATATTCTTATAATATGAAGGCTTAATCCTAGTCAGTTATTTATTAAGTCTGAAACATAGTAAAGCTTGATCCAGAAATATCAATTCTAAATTTATTTATGAAAATTAAAGATCTTAGCATCTTTTCAACAATCTTAAAAAAATGAAAAAATATACTAAATGAAATGTTAATTCTTATTTAATTTGATAAGGTATCAAAAAATTTATAACATATTATTATTAAATAGAGAATTTAGTAGTTTATTACTATTTTATTATTATTATTATAAAATATAATTTATATTAATAAGAGTATTATGATTCTCTTGTTTATGAGAAATATAAAATTTGATAAATTCTAAATTTTGAATATTTAATTAAAAAGAAAAGAAATTACAAGATGATTAAAGAATATGATTATTTGTTCAAATTAGTTATTATTGGTAACTCTGGAGTGGGAAAGAGTTCATTATTATTGAGATTTGCAGATGATCAATTTAGTGAATCTTACCTAACAACAATAGGTGTTGATTTTAGATTCAGAACGTTGCCTATAGATGGCAAAAATGTAAAATTATAGATTTGGGATACTGCTGGACAAGAAAGATTTAGAACAATTACAAGTGCATATTATAAAGTAATTAAAAATCATTATTAATATTTTAGGGTGCTGATGGAATTGTTATGGTATATGATGTTACATAAGGATAATCATTTGATGATATAGATAAATTTTGGTTACATGAGGTAGAATCATATGGAGAAAAAAATGTGTAATTATTAGTTATTGGAAATAAAAATGATTTAGATGAATAGAAATAGTAACAAAATTATATAATTAAATAAGAGTTGAAACATCAAAGGCTGAAGAATATTGTAAATCTCATAATATGCTTTTTATGGAATGTAGTGCAAAGACAGCTGATCATGTAAATAATGCATTTCTTGAACTATCAAGAAAACTAATGGCTAAAAAAGATGCTTCCTAACCACAAAAAACTACTAATTTGACACCAAATGCTTCATAATAATCATAATCTAGAGGGTATTTATAAATATAATATTATATTTAGATAAACTAATACCAACCCTTCATAATCAAATAAACTGAGTGCAAACACATCAAACTAAAAAAAATAAAAAGATGGAGGATGTTGTTGATTATTTATTAAGAATAAAACATTGTTAAATTTTTATTTTTTCTATTATTTTCTGATTGTTATTATTTTAAATCAATATAAAACAAATTTGTTTTAATAAGAAATAATAGTTAGAATAGTTGGTTGATATTAATGAGGATTGTTATATAAAAAAATTTAAATTAAATGTTCGAAAATCTCTTTTACTAAATTTAAATACATTCTTTATGTTAATTATTAATGAAAGATTTAGTTCATTCAATATTCTTCAATTAATATAATGATATATATATATATATATATATATATATATATCATTCTTAATAATAAAAATTGAATGAATAAACTTAATTCATTCTTAATGAAGTTAAATTATATAAATTAACGTATGTTTAATAATTTTTAGTTGAAAAAGAAAATGGAAATTCATTAACCTCATCTGAATTTAAAACAAAAAGGCTAGGTTATTACTTAATTTTAGAAAAAAAACATTCCTTTAAATTAATAATGCTAATAAAAAAATCAATCAATAAAAATGAATTCAATTGTTAAATCAACCTAAATCTAAAATTAAAGAGTTTAAAAGAGTATATCTAAAGATATTTGGCATAAAAAATCTGTTTCTTTAAAAATGAAAAATGCCATTTTTAAGAATGGATTCAAAATTTATTGTGGGCAATTAGTGAAATACAAAAAAGGAAATCAAATTTATGCTTTTAGATGTATTAAAGACAATATGAAATAATTCAGATTAAAAGAACTACGATAAGATCATGATGTAGATACAGATGATGAATAAATTTAAATGGCTACTAAATAAATGTTTATGAGTTTAACATAATGTATTAGAAATGAAATGGCAAACATAGATTTTCATAATCATTAGAATTTATGCCAAAAAACTTTATCTTTAGTTTAAGATGATTTATGATATAATTACTAATAAATAAATAATTCAAATTGACTTTCATGCATTTTATTGTATAAATTATTTTCTAAACTCTTTCCATGTATAATCACTCTAATAATATAAAAATATTTTACTATTCCTCTCTTAATAATATCTTCAACAAATTTTTAATACAATTCTGGTAGATGATCCTTAAAATTATATGATTAGCATTTTAAGAAAAACATATCTAAACTGCAAAATGAATTTGTTAAAATATTAATTAACATCTAAAGTGGATTGTTTCCTATCAAATTCATCCTATCTTCATGTTGCAAACATAACATGCCTTAAGGATTTGAATTGCAATAATGAGATCGCTATAGTGATTCTTAAGAAAAGTTGCAGATGTTATACATTTCATTTACAATGGCTTTGTCAATTTTCAATAAAGAGTATCCATTTGTTATTCCTCCTTCCCAAAATAATATCAAAGGACCAGTTCTTGTTCTTCTAATCTAAATCATTAAATCTTTTATGCTGTCTCCATCCGTGAAATTTTTGAATCCACATTTACTTATTTAAAATGATTCTAAGATAGCTTTACCATAGCTTATTATTTTGCACTTCACTTTATCTTTTTAAATTGAAATATGAGTAAATGATGGTGAAAAACTAAATTATAAAATATATTACTATGTTATTAAAACAAAAACATCAATTGGGGAAGTTCTTGAACAATAGAAGCAATAGGATTATAAGTTTCCATGTTTAAAATTTGGTGCAGAACTATGAAATAGAGATTTATATTTAAAGTATCCCAAAACTAACAATAGTAATCTTCCACTTATATAATTATGCAATAAGATTATTATTCTAAGAAATTTATGAAATACAATGTGAAATTCAAGTCTTTATATTTAGCGAAATATCAAATCATTTATGATAACTATTTCAACTATTAGAAAAGTAAATAAAGGTAATTTAACAAATAGGAATAAAATATCTAAAGCTATCCTAACAATTGATTTTTAGGTTGTTTATATTGGTATAAAAGGATCCATATAATTGTTTTTATTAATAAATTAATTGAAATTATTAATTGCAATTTAGAAATACTATTTATCAGTATTTGATGGGTTTGATAAAATTAAATTAATATACAAAAATATAAATACTTCAAGTTTTTAAGGCAGTATCAGGAATTGTAATACATCTTAAAGTATCTAATCTTATTTCTGGAGAATCATTATAGCAATTGATGACTGATTAATTTCCAAAATGATTAAGTTATTGCCAATCATCATCTCTTTTGATAAATAAGGAAGGATCAAAGGAATGAATTGGTATTAAATGTAAATCCTAATTCATACTTTTATAAATAAAAAATTAAATTTTGTAGAATTGCTTACCTGTTTTTCTAATTGTCATTTTATCAAAAGGCCCTAGATTTCTAATTATTAATAATGAAATAGACACATCAAGATCCAAAGGCCGTTTATCATTAGTTTTTATTTCTTATAAGGTTTTTGGATTTATTATAGGAAATTTTCTGAGTTCAATTTTAGTACCTGTTGAATTTTTGAATAAAATTTATATATTAATTATAGGTTAAGGGGGATAAGATTGATCAAATCCTTCATCTAAATCTATGTAGATTTCATCTGAATATTGCATAGCAAATTTAGTTAAATTAAAAAATAGCTATGAGATTTGTTTCATATCAGATTTAATATTAAGTTCTTAAATTTTAGTTTTTAAAACAAAATTTCTAGTCATAATTTAATCAATTTTTCTATAATATTTCAATTTTTCAAATAATTCTTCAATAACTTAAATCAAATTAAATCTTGTAATTGAAATTCTTCTAAACTCAGAATTAGCTTAAAAATAATCAGATATATTATAAAATTAATTATATGCAATATAAAGTTAAGAATTTATATACTTTAGAAAAGAATATTCTTTATTTTTTATTACATTCTTTTTATTGTTTTATTGATATTTTAACATTCTATTAAGAACTATCAAAGCAACTCTAATTTAAGTAGTAAATATGTCTGAAAAATAGTTTAGTAATTTCAATGTTGCTTTATTTTGTAATTTAAGTTTATCTACAAATTATTACTTCTATTATTCAGTTATTAATAATATTGCACATGGTTCAGTATCATAACATTTAATAACTTTGATTATGTAAGATTCACCTGTTGTAAATCCAAATATATGATGTTAATGTTCTAAATATTTATTTTCATAACTTTATAAGCTTTGTAATTTTTTTCTATCTGTAAATAAATAAAATAAAAATTGTTCCAAATTCATTTTTGCAGATCTCATTTTCATTGATGTTTGTTTCTCTATATCTTAACTAGAAGATGAGATATTAATTTTGCGTAAAAATTATTAAAAAGCATATTGATCTTCTTCATTCAAATATTAATTATAATCTTCTGATTTTAGAAGGAATGATCGTTTTGTTTCAATAAAATGCACAACATAATATTTCATATCTAGATTTTCCCTTATTGTGTTCTCAATTGTCAAATGCTTAAAATATTGAAGATAAGTTAATCTTAATAATTATTGCTAGTATCTCTATTATTGATAGTAAAGAATGATATATAAGAAGAATTTAACTATTTACTGCCAAATTGGTTCTGCCTTATTGGGAATCATAATGAGATATATTAGGTAAATAAATAACAAAAGGAATGCTTTTTGAATTGTATCCATCATATTTATCATTCTTAAAGTAAAATTAAATATCTATACGTTAAACTTAAAATGGCTAAGAAATAACCATCAATAAACTAATATCTTTCAGGATGTACATTCAAATACTATGAAGTTGCATAGAATAAATTAAATAGTAGAATTCCAATCAGAATTAAAATCTCATATACTCTTATGCATTTTTTCTAAAATTTTAAGCTAAATATCACTATCAATCCCAAAATGATATTTAAACTTACTACAAACCAACTTGATGAAAATACTTTTTCAATTGTGTAATAAATTATAAGTGGGAGTATAATTACCTTCTGAATTAATTGAAACCTTATTCGAAACTTTTTCAAGTATTTCTAAAATTGCCCTTCAAATTTTTCAGAAACAAACTTTTGAGACAAAAATTACATTTTTGTATTTAATAAATTATAATATAAAATATCTCCAAATTCATAATTAATAATTATGATTTTGTAGATAAATAGTAAATAAGTGAACTACAATTTTAATACTGATAAACAATAACATCTATCATATGGATATCATAATTAAAAAATTCACAATTGCTCAAATTTATCTAACTATATTCTGGGACTGAGTGCCATAAGATCCAAATATGCTGCATGTTTACCATGAACGGAAGACTTTGTATTCATTACTAAATAATTTATGGGGTGTTGGGATTAGAGTGACATTAAATGAAAATCTTCATATAATTCTCTAAATATTAAGAATTCCAAATAACTGTTGCCATTTTTATTTTATTTAATATAAATTTTATTGGTGGGTCCAAGTTTTCTAACAATAACAACAGCCATAGGTAAATTTAATTAATAGGCTTTTTCTGTATTATGTCTTAATTCTGATATTGTTACTGGATTTATAAATGGTAATCCTTTTAGAGCATCTTTGCAAAAACACAAACCTTAGTATTCTAATCTTATACGAATAAATGATAATTTTGATTAAGGACCATCACTTTCTTCTAAATAAATAATTATATCTTAACATCGTTCAGTAATAAAATAAAGAATATTTAAAATTAATTGTTTTAGTTATTTTTAATCTTAACAGACTGTCTCTTTTTTCAATCTACTTTTAATTTAAAAGGTGAATTATTTACTTTAATAAAAATAATATTAAATTTCATGTAAAATATCATCTAAAAATGTAATGAGATTAAAGTTTTGAATAATAGTCCTTTGAAAAGAAGAGTTTAAATTAAAGAAATCTTTGATGTTTTAGAAATCATTATAAGCTTTAGCAATCTTACTTTAAACTTTTTTATAGTATGAGATATTCTTATTATATGGTTTTATTTTTTGATATTTATGCAAAGCTAAGAGATAGACAAGGCTCATTTTGATTTAAGTTGAAAATATTTAATCAATAGTTTCTAATGCTTATTAGAATAATTTATATCTCAATTTTAATTCTTCTATAAATACATCTTTCTTATTTTGAGAAATTAATATAATTGCACTAGGTAATTCATCAAAATATTTAAGTATCTAAATATTGTAATTTTCTTAATTAAGAACACCTTATAACTTAATAACAGATTCAGATGATAGTTATTTCATATATTCTTTAAGTTTTTCTGGACAAGTCAAAAAATAATATAACAATTTTTCTAGAGTCATTTTTGCATCTTAATTAATTCCTTCTTGAGATAGATAATTTGTTTATGTTTCTTAATCTTTTATTAAAACTCTCATATTTCTAATTTACATTATAAATTATTATTGATCTTCAAATTTTACTATTTCTTCTTCATTATTAGAAGTTAATAATATTTGATTTGAATCCCTTTAATAGGATATCAAATATGATGTTATACCACAAAAATTAATCATTTATTATTCAGCTTTTTAATGCTTTAATGAACAAAGGTAGTCCTATCTTTGAATCTTTTCTATTTCATAAAGTTAAAACAAACAAAGAAAAAGAAAAAAAATAAACTAAGTAATTTATTTCCATAATTCTTCTTGATTTGGTTTGAACACTTGTAAAGTAATGTAAATAGATCCTAGAATGAAACTTTTTTACATAAAACTTCCTTAATGTATTACTAATCATATATTATATATTATATACATGATATTGTTATGAGTGCGAACATATAACCATCTAAGTAATTTGGATTAATAGCATTATCAGTATAAACATTTTGCACTGCTTTAAAATAATTGAAAAATGTCACACTTATTAATATTGTATTTAAGTAGTAAGACTTTTATTTTCTATTCAAATTCATTCTTATAGATATCAAAAGGATTATAGTAATGAAGCAGCCAACTGTTAATGGGATCCACGCATGCCTTAAAGCACTTACAATTAAAAAAATTATAAGCAGCAGAATAGTAATAATCTGTTGAACTTTTTGAACTTGTTGAAATTTTAGTTTTTTTGTCTTCTAATATTTAGATTCCATTAATTTATCCTTAAACTCTAACGAATATCTGTTCATGTCCTTAAATTGTTTATGTTTTAAAATGTAATAAAAAAATAATTTAATCTGAAATAATATTGAGTGAGAAACCCATATTACTTATATAAGTTTTTTTTTGTTTTTGCCTCTTTAAAACTAAAATATTAATAAATATAACCATATATTCTAGTACCAATTTGAGATGAAGACTCAAGGTTGGTATTAAAGCAAATTATGAGAATAGGAATAAGATAAGTTTCTAAAAACTGCAAAAATGAATGCTAAATAAAATGAATAATTGATTTTAATTATTAATATAATATATTAATTAATATTTTAATTTTTTGAAAAGAAATTAATTAAAATGTTGGATTGATTTTTCAACAAAGTGGTATATAGATATTAATAATAATTAAATAATATAATTATATTTTATAATGCATAGATTTACTTTAACCTTCTTGAACAAGGATGTAGAGTAGTAATACTAATCGTTGAATACAAAATAATCCATAGAATTTCAACAGTAGTAAAAATGGATATTCATAGTAATGGGGCTCTACTTTATTATTATTAAAATTATTGAATAAGAATGGGTAAGCTTGGGATTCATTATATTTAACTGGCTAGTAGTCATTTTTAGTTATAAATTTATTGTTCAACGTCACAAATTATATGATTTCTTTCTGACATTTGTAGTTGTTAGTTATAACCTTTATTTTCCATTAACTAAATACTTCTCATTAACTTCAGGGGAAAACTAATATATTGATGGATATTTCATATCAGTTGGCACTTTTGGGTATATCCAAATTTAATTATTTTAGTGTGATCAATATTTTTAGTTTTAGATTTAAAACTATCATAATAGCTATAATTTTCATATCTCTTGTGAGTTTAAGCGTGCTCTCTGAAACTGAATTTTGGAATTAGCTTATAAAATGCACAATCTTTACATCCCTTTATTTATAACATTTATATTGTTAGGAGAAGGATAGAAAGTACAATTTTCTTGACAATTTGAAAAGAACGACAACTTTGAAGGGTATATATGACTTAACAAATATTTAAACCTTTATTATTCATTATAAAACAGAAACTAAGAAAATTGAATTAATACAGAAGGATGATTTGTAGGAGATACAGAAACAAATTTTGGAAGATTTTGATGATTATTTAAAAAATATGAAAATTTAATAGTGTCAAAATTCAGGAAAGTTCTCATCCATCTTAGGCTAAGAACCTATAAATTAATCTTAAAAGAAATAAGAATTAAAATCCTACTTATTTGAATAATTTCTGAGAGATCAAAGGAATATTAAAAATGGAGATGATGATCAATATGAAAATAATCAAATATTAGGAGAGGCAATTTATGAGTAAGAATATTATTCGATTTAACTTATGAAAGTGTTTGATATCCATCCATGTTTCATATTAATATTATAAGAAAAGAAAAAGTAGGTTTAGCTAGAAGAATTGTCTTTGAAGAATAAGATGTTAAAAAAATCTCTGGATTAGGCTTCATTTATATTCAAGCATCAAGTTCGGGTTTCTTTGATATATTTTAAATGGATTTATAAATATGCAAATAAAAAGGATGAAATTTTGTTAATTAATAGATGTTTATAGTCTATTCATGGATAAATTATTAAGGCTAATAATGACTTTTAAAATATAATTGATTTTAATACCATCAATTCAGACTTCAAAAAGTCAATAATAAAAAAAATTAACATCATTGATTGTCTTAATGAATTAACTAGAACTATATGTTACTAAGATATAAACAAAGATATCAAATTTAACATAATAAATAAATTGAACTCAGAATAATAAAATATATAATAAGATGAAAAATAACTCAAACAATTATTTTACAATTTGCTATTTTTTGTTTCAAATTCTTCTCAAACTGTAACCATTAGCTTATAACATGATACTCATGGACAACCAAGTAAGGCAGTAATCAAAATTAAAATCATTTATTAAGGCCCTTATTTGAGTAATAAATAGTTGTAAGGGCTGCAGATAATTAATCCATAAAATTTAGGAGAATTACTTCATAATACATAAAGGCCCCTGGATTTAGAAATACCATTATCATTGATGATAATTCGAAAGATAGGTCCTTATGATAAAATGCGTTTATAATAGAATAAAAAGACATAGAATTATATGGAATTTTATATTTTTTCAATATTAGAAGAATAATATCATTTAATTCCTATATATTCTTTGCATCCTCTCAATTGTTTAATACTTAGAGATAAGAATATATAGCATTCAAATAAATTTACTTCAATGTATGAAAAGATGTAGGCAAGTCCTCGCATATAACTCTTAAATTATAATGATTTTTGATGCACATAAGTATTTAATAAGGGTTGAGTAATTGACTTTATTATTGTTTTTTAAATTAACTTTTGATTTTATATATTAATTTAATTTATTATGAATTCTTTAACTTTAAGGTTTAATGATTCAGAATTTGAGAGACACTATAAAATATCTAGATAAATTTTACTAAATTAATCATTATTCCAACAGAAGATACTCCTGATGATATTACTTATTTTATAAGTTGCAGATAATGCTCTAAGTGAATCTTGGGTTGAATTGATATATAATACCATAGGATTAATGATCATTTTACTAAGTCACTATTTTAGATTCTACTTACAAGAATTTCAAGAACTCTGTATTTTGATAACTATTTTGATATATAATATCTAATAGCCAATTGATTTACTCCTTAGAGGTAGATTGAGAAACAATTATTTTTCAAATGGTTACTTCATTTCTTTAGCCACACTTGGGTATAAATAAATTATAATAAAGAGTTATTTCACCTATGGATTTTCTTAAGAAGTTATCGATAGCAATTATAATTTTGATTGTTCATTTAATATCAAGTATTTAAACAGATTTATCTTGGAGATAATTAATTATTTATATCATATCAGATGTGATAATAGTGTATTATTTTTATATTTCAGAAAAAGAATCAAGAATAACTTATATTGGAATAAAAAATAAAAATATTATAGAAGAGCATTTTTATAAAGAAATGGATCTATAATCATTTATAGTCCATTATAATAATTAATAAAATTCATTTAATCTAATTGAGTAAAATTAAAATAAGGATATAAATGATGAAACCTAATTCAATTTTATTTAATTGATACGTAAAATTAGAGTGATGGTAGGCTATTAAGGTACTAAACTTTCTGAATTTTATTCTTAAGAATAACTCAATATTTGTAGAAAATTAAATCTAGAGTAATTTTTGTTTTATATGTTTACTAATGAAGAAAAATTATAATATTTAATCTACAATAAATCTAAAACTTAATCTTATTAATTAATTGGATTAATTGATTCTGATGTTAATCACATTAAAATAATCAAAACTTTTGACACTGAACCATGTGTTATTATACTCATCAAATAAAATAAGAAAGAAGCTTAAAAATAATAAATCAAACTTAAACTTAAAATTGCAAATAAACTTATTGATTAAGCATCTCAAACAGTTCAATAATAATTGAGATTGTCACTTATATATTTAAAATAATTATTACATAATCAAATGACTCATTAAATTTAATAACAAAAACTTGATATTAATTAACTGATGAAAATAATTAATAGTAAAGCAATAAAAGTATATAATGATTTAAATAATATATCAGATTTTCATGATATAAATGGAAAATTTAATAAAATAGAACAAACATAATTTAATATTGAAAAAACAATTTAAGAATGTATAATGATAATCAAATATTTCAATTCCAAATAATAATTAGCATTGAATTTTCTTTCTAAAATCAAGAAAAAATGGGTTTATTCAGATCAGAAAAAACTTAAATAATTAATCTTAAATGTACTCTTTTTTCTTTCCAAGACCTGTACAAATTTAAGAATCAATTTGGTTGAAGAAAATAATTAAGAAAATAATGTTAATGAAACCATCTTATTAGTTGATATCTAATTTTAAGGCCTTGCTCTCACTTAAGAAAAACTTAATAACTTTCCTATAATTAATCCACAAAATATAGATGAACTAAAACATAATAATAATAAACAACTCGAACTTGAAATTCCTATTGCCCTAATGATTGTTCGATAACTTGGGCCATTCAATTAAATTAAATTTAAATAAGGAACTAAGAATCAAACCAATTTTATTAAATTTTATATTTTCTAAGAACTTTAAGAATTTAATCTGATACCTATTATATCACTTCATCCTAAAGAATATTTGATTACACATTAAAAATTTGTTAAAAAGCAATCTTAAACCTATAAAATATTAGATCTACCTAATAAAACAGTTGAAATACAAATGAACACTTTTAGAAACTTAAATGATAAAATGATTACTAGATTCTGATATATTAATAATATAAATTAATTTTAAAATTATGTTTCTGATTTTATCTTAAGATGATCATCCACTCTATGAAAGAAGATTTCCTTTAAAAAAAACTACTTTAGGAAGTTAACAACTTTTAAATGCATAATTTATATTACATGCTTCTTTAGATGTGTTTGAAGAGAAATATAAATCATCAAAAGAATTGTACAAATAAATTTAATAATAAGATTTCTAAAAGAAATAGAATAAAAATAGGATTATAGAATCTTTGGATATGTGACACCATCAAATATTAGATTTTTGATTTTGACAGATTAAGAAGAAGAAAAAGTTAAAGGATTTTGTTAATTGGCACATGAATAACTAATTAAAGTATTGATGAATCCACTTTATTAATTGGGATCATCTATTTCTTCTTCTAATTTTGATCATGTAATTTAATAGTTGCTTCAAACCAGATTAAACTAATGAATTGTATAATTTTTATTTAATCTAAACATTTAACATTCGAATAAGAAATCATTATAACAATCATAATTATTATATTATCATTATAAATAATATAAATTTTTTGTTATTTTTATATATCATAAATATTAAATAGAATCAATGATCTCAAATAAGATTTAATAATTCTTCTAATGAAGCATTTTCAGTTTCTTCATAAAATGCATTGAAATCAAAATCAACTTATTTGAAAAAATCATATGGATTCAAACAAATTTTCAAGTAATATATACCAGAATAAACATCTTTTCCTAAAGAAGTAGAAGCAGTCTTTAAAATTTCAATTGCTTTAGATATGATTTATTTATATTATCCTAGAAAATCTTTTACATCTTCTATTTTATCAAAGAATTATTAAAATTATGGACATTTTTCTCTTACTTAAATAAAAACATCTTTTATTATTAGTATATCATTCTTAATAGTTGTAAGCAATCTTGAACAATCCTAAAAAAATATATTTAATTTTACTTTACTAACTATAAATCTTCCCCATAATTCTTAATCAAATTAATCATGTTTATTTGAATTCAAAGCAGAATTGATTTTATCTAAATGTAATAATTGATTTCTAGCTAACATAAAAATTAATTATAAAAATTGTTCTTTAACAAGTGTAATATCTCCAAAAGTCTATAATTTAATGATTCTCAATTAAGTATAATTAATAAAAAAAGCTACATTCCTTTCATAAAGATAATAAGTGTAAAATTTTTAGAAAGACTCTCTTCTTTTCATTTCTTTTTAATATTATGATAATATCAAATCAGGCTTATTTATAAAAATATTAGATTACATTTTCTTCATCAAACATTTGTTTTAGTCCATCTAAATCATTTTTGCTATCATCTCTATAATCTTCAATTTTTGTATGTAAATATCCAACAACTTTATATTGATCCAAATAAATTTTATTTAAACTCATTGATTTTGTCATAGGATCTTCTTTCATTATTTCATTCATATTTTATCTAACCATATCTTCATTCATCTTAATAACTTAATTTTCAAATATTTATTGCCAACTCAATCTATCCTAATTGTCTTTTATAATATAATTACTTTCTCTTCTACTTGAAGCATCATTGCAACTAATTCTTTTACTTTTTAACTTCTAACAGGTTTTGTAGGAAATTTGAGTGGTTTATTTAAAATCAATTATTCTAATTAAATCTAACTTTCAGCTTGCCAAGGTGTTTTTCCATATAACATCTCATAAAAGACAATACCCAATGACCAAACATCACATTTAGCTGAGAATGGTTATCCTCTTAATATTTAAGGTGACATATAGATTGGAGTTCCGTTTCTGGAAAACTTTCCAGGTTCTTAATAAGAAAATTAAAAGTATAGATACCATCCATTTCAACTTCCATTACTCTAGCAAATCCAAAATCTGCAATTTTAGCAATTCCATTTGATAGTAGTATATTTTCTGGTTTAATATCTCTATGAATGATTTTCTTTTGAAACAATTCTTTAAATCCTTCAACAATATGCTTTAAAAATATAATGGCTTCCAACTAAAAGATATTATTATTATATAAACCTCTGATAAGTGCTTCTCCTTCTTACCCTGCATAAACTTTCTCAAATCTCCATCAGGACAGAACTCCAAAAATATATAGATATAATTTAATGTTCGATTGGCATTATAAAGACGTACAATATTAGGATGTTCAACAGCTTTCAAAATGGTTGATTCTCTTTTTATCAGATTTAATATTTGAGGAGATTGTTTCACTGACTAGCCATAATTAATTTATTACATCCATTGGGACAGTTTTGACAGCTATTCTAACTTAATTCTACCCAGTGTCCATATACCCCAAATAGACTGTTCCATAAGTACCTTTGCCTAAGATTTTATTTAAAATGACAAAATTATCTATTTTTTTTTTCTTCCAATCTTCACTCATGTATGAATATTTTAGGACTCAATAAATAAATTATTCAATGCATTTATGAAATGAAATAATAACTCTATTATTATAATTTTATTTAATTTTACATTCATTACAAAATCATATTGTCTAAATTATTATTGAGTGCATTGATAAATGATTGAATTTGGTGATACTTAAACTATTAATTATAAAAAACTTGATTGTCTAATTCAATTAAGATGTAGAAAAAAAAATTGAATTATTAAAAAGATAAATAAATAATCAAATAAAAGTAAAATAATTGAAGATAAAGAAAAATTGCTAGAAAATTAATTAGTTTCTATATTTTGGTCTCTTTATTGATTTCATTTATTAAATTTATTTTACTAAAAGAATAGAGATTTTATTATTAACAATAATTCAGAATTTTTAAATAGTAATCCTTTATTATCTAGGATATTAGATTTGCTATTAATATTTAATATTAAGTTTTATATATTTCTAATACTTTATTTGTTAATTGGATATATAAAATTTATGATAAAAATTGAATCTATAATGCTTTAGTATTGATTTAAGGGTTGGAATCTTTTTAGTTTTATTAATATAATAATTGTTACACAAATAATCGACTTAAACTGCAAGATGTTCAATTATAAAAATGACTATCAAATACTTCTTTATAAAAATGAAAAGTTTTATAATAACTAACTAATATTTATAGCAATCTTACTATCTGATTTATTAAAATAGTAATTGTTTGTTGTATATGCTAATTAATTAGAAAAGATAATCATTGATAATTTAATAAAAGAATTTTGAACTTCTTTATTGAATGGTTATTGGTTGCATTTCAAACTTTTATTTGATAATTATATATATATATATAACTAAAAATCATAAAAATTAAACGCTATTTTAAAAAGAATCCAAACGCAATTCAGTAGAGAAAGAGTTCATTATTATTGAATCCTGTTGTGTTATAATTTTATCAACAGGCTTTAGTGATATAATAGGCATTAGTAAAAAGTCTTCTGTAAGTTACTTAAACAAGTAAAATTCTAGGTAATTTGATCTTCTTTTTTACTGAATAATCTTAAGTTTATCAAATGGTCCCAATCTTCTAATTAACATTACTGAAACTGCTAAATCTAATTCTAATGGAACTTAACTATTATGTTTTAAGTCTGTTAATGACTATGGATTCAGTATAGGGAGATTTTACAATTATTATTTTGATTTATTTGGATGTTGATATATTATTTTAACTTTGATGATTGGCTGTTAAAGTAACTTTGATTAAATTTCCTCTAATTCTATAACAATAGTTTAAGAGGCCTAGGATGTATAAAAGAGCAAATTTAAAAATAATAGTTTTACATACTTATAATCTGATAAAATAAGATTATTGCCTAAAGTATTCTTGATTTCAAAAAAGATGATATTAGCCAAAGAGTCCCTTTAAGTGTGATAATATCCATTACAGATAGCAATTGTGTCCTTTAATAGTAATTAAATGTCGAATTACTTAAGTTTTGGTTATATGGTGTAGATTTAATTGAAATTTTCTAAATTTAGAAAGTCAGTATATCCTTTGGTTAAACAATAATTGATAGTTTTTAAAAGTAAATTAATAACTTTAATGTCATTTTATTTATTAGCATAATTTTATATCCATTTGAAATAGATTAAAGACTTTTTAATTTATTAATCAAAGATTTTTGATAAGTAATTAAATTGTTTTTAGTTATTTCTCATTCTCAATTTAAGTTCTTCCTCTTGTGTTTCAGATTTACTTTCTTTCATTAGAATTATTATTGATGGTTAAATATCTAAACATAAATATACACATAGAGTAAAAACTTATTGTTTATAGAATCCATATAAAACATATTCATTTTTATTTCTTTATGGAGTATCAGGATTATCAGTTTAATTTTCTACAGCCAAATTTAATAAAAGTTATTTTAAAGTTTGTCTATTTGGAGAGAATGCTTAATCCATGTTTATGACCTCAGTTATTCTACTTTTATAACTTTTCATTGACAAATACATAGATGATGCTAACTTATTGAATTCATCTTAATCTTCTTTTTAGATATTTGTTTTATTATTTTTTTGAATCAAAATTAAAGATTTTCTTTCATCATACTTTATAGAATAGCTTAGAATGTCATTAAATTTTGTAATCTTTTATAGTTGTTGTTATAACTTTTTGTATTCAATGAATTAAATTCTAATCAATTTTTCGAAATGATAAGTAAATTGTAAGAAAAATATAGCATACATTATAAATTTAAAATATGAGCCCACAAAAATTGTATTATGATCAATACCAAATATTAAATGTAAAACTACAATTAGAATAGTCATAGCAGTTCTCTCTATAAAACTTAATAAAGTTAATGCACTATTAATTTATGGATTTTTTAATACCTTACACATGATAGAGAAATGAAAAATCCTTCAACGTAATGTGTTTCTATCTAATTTAAATATTTCTCCATTGCAAGGTATGTATTATAAATAAGCAAAAATGTTATTATCAAAACTTCATATATGAGGGGATATTTTTGCTTAAATTTGATTGATATCATGATTAAAATTAATGTACATATGTTCATTGATCCTACTATCCAATCCTTTGTAACAAGACTGCCAACAATTGATATTATATTAATCATTCCAAAAATCCATTTTTAATGTTCCAGAATTATACTGAAAAAGCATTGTTTAGAATCTCTAAAATCTTTTTCTAAATTGGATACTTTGAAATTAAGAGTTAAGGAATTCATAATCTTAATTATTAATCAATAAAATTCTTAATAGTTAGACTAATTTAAAGGTAATTTATAAAATATTAAAAAGTAGCCATCTTATTTTCTATAGTACTAGATTCTAGAGCTAATACTATAAAATTTAGATTAAAATAAGGTTTTTCTCTCTTTTTTAAGTAAAATTCTAATGAATTCATAAAATATTGATTTCTTTTAATCTTTTAATAGAGGCAACTATTTAGGTGAAAATAGATGTGATTCACTTTGAATGTCATTAATTTGAAAGATTTCATTAGGTCTTAAATATAAAGAAATAATCAATAGTTAATTAAATCAGTAAAAAAGTAGTGTGATTAATATTAGTCTTCATCAATTAATTAATTAAATTTTATGTATTTTTAAAGTATATTATGTTTACTGAAATAATAAGTACATGAAATAGATATGAAAAATAACTAAATAAAAGATCAATCCTTAAATAATATTTATTTTGACTTCCATTTTAATAAATATAAATATTTGGGATTGTTTTAATTTGTAACATATAGAATCATTTCAAATTTCAAAATAATAATAAATGAAATAATTTTAATTAGCATCAGCAATATTTTTGAAGGAATTTTTGAAGATAGTCGATTTGTAGAATTTCAATATAGAAAGTATAGATGAAAGAATAGAATAATTAAAAATTCAAATATTATAAAATCAATAATTTAATGGATTTTTAAAAGAAGAGTAGAATTATAATCCATAAACTAAATGTGAATATCCAGAATTAGAAAATCATATTTAATAAAAAACTAAAAAACAACATGGAAACAAAGTTACAAGTAATGGTAAATAGTATTTCTAATGTTCCAAATGCACTAAGATATTCAATCATCCTTCAAGTTTATCAAGACATAAAAAGAATCAACATAAAAATATAAAACATGATAGGTTCAGAGTATAAAAACTTTAAACACAATAATAATAATAAGATATTGTTATTAATTTTACAGATCTCCAAAATTGAATTTGAGTATTTATTGTATACAATAATATTATTTATTTTGATTATCTATTAAGTTACAATTAATGTACTTTAACAAAAAGGAATTTTTATTATTTCTTATTGATTATTATAAGAAAGATAATTAAATAATAAATTCTAGTCTTCTTTCATTTAATGTGATTCAGATGATTAACTTATATTATATTTGATCAATAATATTAATGTTTAAGAAGATTAAAGTTGAAATAATTTTATTATGAATTATATGAGAACAATTAATTGTATAAAAAAGATTTCTATTTTCTTAGTTTATTAATCTATACAGAAGGAAAATAATTTTTATATATTTAAATTAGAATATGTTTATTATTCAAGATTAATAATAGTATGTGATAATTTAAAATATAAGTGTTAATAAATGATGTTATGATAAATATTAACATTAACAATATATATATATTAAATTATAATGAACTCATCATCTTTGAGTGTAAGTGGAATATCTGATAAAGCTCAAATCATTAATAATAAAGAGATTTTAGAATAATTTGAAAATGGAGGTATGATTAGAATAATACAATATAATAGAAAAAATAATGTTATCTACGTTGATCATCAAAGTTAATTAGAATTAAAAGAAATAAGAAAGAATATTTTTAATAACAAATAAATATGTATACAATATTATTCCAAAGTCTGATAGTAGGATTATGTAAATATTTGGTAATTTTAATTGTTTCTATCATTAAATAGGGAAAATTATGTCTAATCAAATTAAAAGAAAAATTAAATTGTCTTCAATTCAGGCAGTAAGTGTTACAAGTCTTGGTGCAGAGTTTGTAATTCATGTTCCTAGTGAATATGATTATCGTTTCTAATCTGCTGATTAGTAATAAGTAAATTAATTATTAGTCGTAAATAAATCTTGGAAACCTTATGTTTATGTTATTAGACAGTTAATTAAAGAAAACTGCCATTCTTCTTTAAAGATGATTTTACATTGGTATCTGTATGTACAACTGAGAATGATGTGAAAAAAGGAATAAAAAGATTTCCTACTGAAAAACCTATTGTATATTCTTATTATTATTTTTTTAGGAATTAGATATAAAGGAATTGAGAGAACATAGTAATAGAAAACCATAAGAATAATTGATTTATAAACGTCCTGGTCTTTAGAAATAAATTAGCAGCACAATGATTTCAATTGAAGATTTTGATCTAATAAAAGTTTTAGGAAGAGGAGCATTTGGAAAAGTATTTCTATTTGTACCCTATACTAAATTAGGTTATGATGTGTGAGAAGAAGGATTCGAAAGAATTATATGCAATTAAATCATTACGTAAAGAACACATTATGGATAAAAATTAAATAGAACATACTAGAGCAGAAAGAAAATTATTGGAAGAAATAGATAATCCATTTTTAATTTCTCTTGAATATGCATTCTAAACAGAAGAGAAACTATTTTTTGTAATGAGATTTATGAGAGGAGGAGAATTATTCAAACATTTAAGAGATAAAAGAAGATTTCCAGAATAAACAGCCTAATTTTATGCTGCATCTATTTTATTAGCATTAGAATATTTACATAAAATGTAAGTTGTTTATAGAGATTTGAAACCTGAAAATATTTTAATGGATGAATTTGGTTATATTAAAATGACTGATTATGGATTGGCTAAATTTTTAAAACCAGGAGATTTCACATATTCTTTTGTTGGAACTCCTGAATATTTGGCTCCAGAAATCATTAGATAGAATGGACATGGTCTTGGTGTAGATTGGTGGTCATTTGGAATCTTAATTTATGAAATGTTAGTAGGCAGACCTCCTTTTTTCTCTTAAAACTAATCATAATTATTTAAATCTATTGTTGAATCTGATGTTGTATTTCCATCTCAATTAACTCTTAGTAATTAAGTCAAAGATCTCATAGTTTAAGTATATTAATTATATTTAGTAGTTATTAATAAAAAATCCTTTTGAAAGATTAGGACATAATGGAGATGCTTAATAAATCAAAGAACATCCTTGGTTTAGAGAATATCCATTTTAGGATTTGATAGATAAAAAACTTTAAGCTCCTATTGTTCCTAAACTATATGATAAATTAGATGTTTAGAACTTTGATTAAGAATTTACTAGAGAAGGTATTTATAAGTATTTATTTTAATAGAGGCTATGAATTCTGTAGTAAATATGGATCCAAAATTGATAGAAAAATTCAAATAAGACTTTGGAGGTGTTACCTATGTACCAAATAACAATGGTTTATAATGATCTTATGTTTGAATTTTCATAGTTATTTGGATTAATTATTTTATGATTTTACTATTATCATTTTTTAATTGTTTTTTAACAGCAGAAGTACTCAATCTCACAAGTAAAACACTCACAATCCAAGATTCTTATGGAGGAATCATAGAAGTTATTTAGGGATCAGAGTATAGACTCAAAAATTTTGAAAATGCTGAATATGCTATAAATATAGAATTGAAATAAAATAGTTCATCTCCTAAGGATATATGCTTTTCTAAATAAAGTACAATCTAATTTGGAGAATATGAAAGTCATCATAAGGTTTTATACAATTCTACACTTAATCCTGATGAAGAACATGCCAATGATCCTTCATATTATTTAAGCTCTCCAATTATGATTAATATGGTCCATACTAAATAAGGTTTAGTAATAGTAACTAGTGATCATACTTTATTGAATTATAAGGTAAGTTAAAATTATAGTAGTAAGACAGGGTTCTCAACTCAATTACTTTCAACTATTGATTTTTAAAATTTAAGAAAACATACTACTGAATTAGAAGTACCATAAATTATATATGTTCCTTTTAATGAATACATTTATATCATTTACTAAGATTAAATTATAGGAGGTAAAATTGATAAGAATATTGAATTGGCAATAATCCCATTTTCAGGTTTTTAAAATCAAAATAGTTACATTAATTAAATCAAAGTATATTAAAACTTCTTATTTGTACCTTCTGGTTAAGATGGCTTAAATGTATATAGATTTCAAGAATCTGGTAATATCAATTATCATAGTACTCTATCTTCATCAAATTTATTCTTTAAAATTGTTCCCATTCATTTAATTGATATAGTTTTTACAATTTCAAATACAACTTATGCATATATATTAGATTAATTTAATGGAGTTTCAAGATTTTAAGTGAAGTTAGATGGAATTAATGTTGAATTGATAAGAGATGATTAATTTGGATTAATTCCTATTAAAAATGCAATGACTTTGGCAGTATCACCAGATGAATTTGTACTTGTGCTAAAATAAGTGTAAATCATTTAAATTTATAAATATTAGGGGTGTATTTCAATAATTAATTGAAATTGGTTTTATCAATTCAGATTGGTTCTTCCTAAAAACACATCATCTTACAGGTTAATATTTTGATATTGATATTGGACCAACCTTTGTTCTTTTAAGAGGAAAAGATGAACATAGAATTATTAGAGTAGGTATATATGAAGAATTCGAACCTGATTATATATTCTATACTTATGATGATTATTATACTGAAAAAGCCAATTCTTTTCATGAATAATATGTTTTCATTCCAAAATTATAGGCTGTAGAATTTTACAATGATAACTTTGCTATTGGTAATGATCCATCTAAATGGTCATTCAATTAATCATATCCATTTATTTTAGGATTAACATAACATACTATTGTAGAACTTCCATATATTAGTCAACCACCATATGTTTATTGCTCTCCTGATTCTAATCAAGATGTTGGAATTGTCTATAAATATGATATCAACTTATACTCTACTGCTTGTCCAGAAAAGGATAAATATTTAGAATAGAATCCAAATATTCCTTATTAAACTGTTTAATGTCTCTATTAGGATTCTTTCAATGTCAAAGCAATCCAAGCAAAAGGCAAATTATATGATACATAATTCTAAGTAATCATTATAATTTGCTTAATTTTGTTTTTAACTGTCTTAATTTCTATATCAATTTTCTTATATAGAAAATATCATAAGTAAGAAGAGAGTTTAACCAGAAGTATTTAAGGATTTGAAAATAATAGAGATTATGATTTTGAACCAAATGAAGCACCATTATGATATATATTATTTAAGTATAATTTTTAATTAGGAAAATTGCTTATAATCAGTATAATCATGCAATCTTTTATCCATTTTTATAATACAATATAATAGATTCTCCAGTTGGCTTAGTTATGGTTGCCTAGCCATCCAATTATCCATTAACCCAAATTCCCTTTAAAATTGTTCCATTACTCCATTTAAACATTCCTATTCCATTTTTCTTATCATTTGCAAATGAACCTAAATCTATTTACAATATAATACCTTTATATACATCATTAGTTTTATTAGTAAACACTCCAATTCCATGCATCTTATTACATTTCCATTCTCCAATATAATTACTTCCATCATTCCAATGATATTCTCCTTATCCTTCATATTGCCCATCTATGAATTCTCCCTTATATAATTAATTATCAATATATTTAATTATTCCAAATCCATGTTTCTTTCCTTTTTTAAACATCCCTTCATATTTAGATTTATTAGTCCTAATCTCTATTCCTTAACCATCCTAACTTAAATAATTAAAAATACTTTTTCTCCATTTTCCCAATTTCCTTCATAAAAATTATCAGAACTAATTAAAGTACCAAATCCATGATACTTTCCTTATTTCCAAAATCCAGTGTAATTGTCATTATTTTCAAATATCATTCTTCCATGACCATCCCTTTAATCATTAATCCAATTTCCAACATAGATTGAACTATTAGAGTAAAAACATAGTCCAAATCCATCTCTTTATTATCTCAACCATTGGCCCTAATAAATAAGTTTTTCATTGCACTTAAGAAATTGAACAATTGGTTAACTGCCCAATGCTTAAGCTTTATGACCAGAGGGAGATTCATAAGAGTTTAATAACTCTCTTGTCTTATCGCCTTTGATTAAAGGGATTTGATTCAAGAGTTCACAATTTTAAGGTATTTCGTTTTCATATAACATGACATTCATTCCTTTAAGATGTTAGTTTGAATAATCTTACTTCTTGTTTTTCCTTAATCCACTTCTAGCATTTCAGAAACCTTCCTTATATCCCCCCTTGCAGTAGAATTAAGTTCTTCCATATATGGAGACCTTATGTCTTCTAAATTGAAAATCGAGCTTTCTTCAAGTGTTTCATCAATTAATTGTTTTTATGGCAAGATATCTAAGGAATATATATAAATAGAAACTTATTAGATGGTCATTATTATTTCTATATTTAGGTGATTATTGTGAGTTACCCATCTTTCAGATTCAACAAATTATAATTTAATTATCACTAATGATGTTTTACCTAAGTTCACTTTTATAATAATTTTTATTGGATCATATTTTTATTCAAAATCTATTTTATTGAGAATTATTGTAAATTTTTAATACAATAAGAAATAAAACTATTCACTGGTTAACATCTTAAATTTTATTTATTTTAAATATATATATACATTTAAATGTGATAAACAACAATTTTATAGAATGATAAATTTTAAATTATGAATTGATATCATTTTTAATGGATACAACACTTCTAACTAAATCAATTAATAAATAAACTAAAAATTATAATTTAAGAATTCCTTAATGAAGAAAAAAGTAGTATTATTTAAATACTTTTAAAATCATTAAATTTTTAAAAATTCATCATTATGGAAATATATATGTATTCTTTTAAATGAAATAATATATATTAAATATAAATCATTCATTTCTTTTTTTTGATACAGTATTCATTAAGATTTATTTTGCTCTCTATTTAAAATTTGATAAATCAAAATAATTGATCCTCTTTTAGATTGACATCAATTTATTATATGTTAATTATTCGTAATCTTTATAAAATATAAATCCATAAATTATTAACAAAATTTAATTAACAACTAAAAATGATTTAATGTAGTTTGAACTTTCATAGTAGTTTTCTAAAACAAAACAAATTAATATCAATAAAAAGTTATTAAATCTTTAATCAATAAATTATTTATTAGAAGTAAATATCCACATTAAAAGCAAATCTCCTAAATAGAAAAAAATTTGATCTTTATTTATATAAAATTATTACTCATTTTAATTCCTTGAACATAAATTAAATCAATATAATATTTTGCTATTTAATAAATTGAACTTAATTCTTAAAAAGAATGCTCTATTTCATTATGATATTTATGAACTTATTAATTGATTTCATTAATATACTCAATCATTACTTTTTGGTTCTATTCCTCATTCTCTCTTTAATTATTAAAATTCAAATATTATGAAGCAACATATTAAAGAAATACCTAAGTCTAATTTTATATTTCATTTTATGTAGCAAGGATTTCAGAAAATATTGATGACTATTATTTTCTAAATTAAATGTCAAAATATTACAAATTTGTATTAAGAAATTACTATTCTATTGAAATTAAAGATAATTTAGATTCTACATTATTTTATAAATAACGCAATATTTAAATTTAACAGAAATGTTAAATTAGAATATAAAATTAAGTAAATATATTCCTTAAAATTTATATTTTATAAATATTACCAATAATTTGAATCCAATTATTTTGTACAATATTGTAAATCATTCAATTCATAATTACAATCAATAGTCTTTCTTCCAGATCTCTAATAATGACAATTCATCATCATAAAAGATAAAACACCTTTTTCTAATTCTGTTAAATTCGAGCAATTTTGTTTCTTCTCTAAAAATTGATCTTATAAACACTGATTTTTCTCATTAACTAAATTAGATATATTATACTTGCAAATTGACATTAAGTTATTATTATAGCATAGTTAATTATTAGAAATGTTCTTAAACACATCATTTAATATTTAAATTTTAATTGTATATTTTATAATTTATTTATAATAATAGTACACAAATATCTATTAATTTATTATAATATAATAAAGAAACAAATTGTAAATTACAATAAGATTCTTTGTAAAATAATAAAAATCATGAAAAATTCATTACTTATTCTATTTTATTTAGAAAAGGATTGTAATATAATGAAAAACCTATTAATAAAACTTATATATTTCAAAATTTACATAAATGAATAAATGCCAAATTGAAATTTCAAAATAAATATTTTTTTTTATATTTTTCAATTATGGTTTCCTCCTTATGGATTTTGATATTATTTAATTCTGCAAGTAGATTTTAAAAGTCTTATTGTAATTTATCCTTGTGATACCTTTTTAAATGAGATGTTTATAATAATCTTCTTTGCTCATTTATCAACCCTTCAAATTCAACTTTTTAAGGATTCATAGTTTTTCTCTTTGTTAAAGTAATTGTCCTAGTTCGAACAGTACAAGAACGATCTTTTTAAAAAATAGTTCTTGGTGAGGATTTTTTAGAAACATTTGTGGCTTTATCGAAACGCTGAGATAGTACTGATTTTAATGTTCGATTAACTAATGATTAGTATGATTAACAAGATGTTTCTATTTTTTCTTCGCTGACTTACTTTTAACTTTTTATGAATTGTAACGTTTTAAATGAATTCTAATCAAACATATACTAATTCTTTTTTTCAAAATCAATGAATACTCTATCGTTATTTTTTTGAATCTTTTTGTACATCCTTATATTTTCATCTAGTTCTTTAATTGAATCCCTTTATTCAAATGTTTTAATTTAAAATGGATTAGAGTCTGGAAAAACAATGCCGAACTATTCTTATGCTATTTTACGCATCTCTAGAATCTTTTATTTAGTTTGCTCTGCTTTTTTATTGATTCTATCTGATTCTTCAGGAAAATAAATTGCCATAAGTTTTATTTATGATTTTATATATCATTCTTGTTCTTCTTGGTTTAACTTAGATGATTCAATTTTTTGCAAAAAGAATTACTATGTATCCTTAACAATTCTTCCTGAATTGAATCCTTAGTTGGCTAACAGAGCAGATAAAATCCTATCAGGAGGAGGAGCTGGATCAACTGGCCACTCTCTTGGTTCTGGATTTGTAGTAAAGGCTCCATCTCCTATACCCAAATACCAATCAAAAGCTTCACCCTAAAGAAATAAAATAGATAATTACATCAAATTATTTTCCATAGCCATCTTCAGAGAAGAACACACTCAAATAGTTTGGAACAAAATGATACACTTCTTCAAAGAGATAAGAGTTAGAAGTCTAATCAATCTATCTAATGTAAGCATATGCTTATTTCAGATGGAAGGAATAACCAAAATAGAAATAAGTCCATTTACCCCAATATTTACCAATATCAAACTTTTTATCAACTAAACATTTATATATAAATATATACTTGAACCAATATCATCATCTATAGTTTCAATATCTCCATAATCATAAGTACTGAAATACCATACACCTTTATCAATAAAGATTGAAAGTGTTCTATCGCCTGCATTATCATTATCAGCCTATATATCTGGAGTATTTTGAGTGACTCTGACAAGTGAAGTCCAATCAGTTACATTCTTTAATTTATTACCTTTAGCAAATCCATAAACACTGTATTCAAAAACTCCACTATATTTCTCTTCATATTATTTAAACACTCTTTGAGTCATTTTAGCCTTCTCCACTTAAACAGGTTCATTATCTTATTTATCTTTATAAGGTGGATATGGTCTAAATTTAGGAACAACAATATTGAGTAAATCTTCACTTGAATCAATGTAACTATTCTTTCCCAAAAATGCTCTTGGATCAAATAATTTACCCTAAAATGCTGAATGTCCAAATTCTTTCTTTCCTATTACAAGTCTAGCATAATCTCTCAATAACCAATGTTTAGCACTATCAATTTCAACTCTCTTAACAACATTTTGATGAGTAAGATAAACATATCCAATACCTTTTGGTCCTGTTGGAATTCTCTTGTAACAGAAATAAACGAAATTCCAATATCCTTCTAATTCTTTATCAAATTTTGTTCCTGTTGTAATCTCATTCTTATCAAGAACTGCATCATAAGTACTAAATCTATACTCCCCTCTACCAACAAATGCTGATACTGTTCTATCTCCATTCTTTTAAGCATCTTCATATTGAGCATTAGTAGTGAATCTAAATATTGAATGAGATTCAGCTTTCTCTAATAATATAAATGGATAATTCATTAACCATCTTGTCCATAAACCAATACCATATTCATAAATGGCTTCAATATCAGAACCTGGGAAATTAGTCTCTGTAAATTCAACATCTAAAGCAGGATCATCACCTTTAGCAACAATCAAAGCATCAGCATCATTTTAAACATAGAATTCAAAGTAATTATTAAGTTTATAAGGTATCCAAGCTGGAAGATCAACTTCTACTTCAACCTTATCAACATAGTGCCAGCATTAAGTACTACCATAACAAGCATGAACATGTCTAGATTTACCAACGAAATTCTTATTAATTCCATCTTTTCCGAAATATACAGCAAGGTATTTTGGAGAGAAATGCAATACCTTCTTTAATAAACCACCTTTGCTGATATCTGGGAAACCAAAGAACCAACCAGCATATTCATCTTATCTGGAATATCCAACCCAAATATACATCCAAATACCTCTATATTCTCCTAAAGCAATATTAGTATTTCTATTAAGATTGAAATCAGTATCAATGAATCCAATATCATATGTTCCAATCTCCATATCTCCACCTTTTTGAATTACTGATAATGTTCTATCTCCTAATAAATCAGCATCTTTCAAGAATCCTGGTTCATTATTAGTTAATCTGATTACTGTTTATGCTTCATTATCATCTAAACCTCCATAATATTTGAACCATCCATAAACTGAATATTATTCTGTTTCAATTGCTCCATCTTCATAAACAAAAGTATCATATGTTTCAGTATCTTTATTATCTGCACCTTAAATTTCATAATCTTTTGTTCCTAATTCTTCATCAACTGGTACCTTATATTATTCAATCCATGTCTCATATTCTTCTATTTCATTGATAAATGATCCTCTACCAAATCTAACAACTGCATGAGCTATTCTTCCATTAAATCCATAAACACTAGTTTTCCATAATCCAACATAAAATCTAACATAATTATTAGCAGGATCAGCATCAAATGGATCAAAGACTGTTCTTTATACTTATTTTAATTTATTGAAATTAACATAACCAACAGCTATTTATTTCAATTTTGAATAACTGAAATAAATATAATTCCAATATCCATCTAAATTCTTTCCATAATTAACTGGTCTTCCTGAATTAGCCCAGAATTCATAATTTCCTCTTCCAATATAGACTGCAAATTCAGCTTCATCTTAATCTGTAAATCCTAATCTTCCAACCAAGATGCGATCTGGTTTTTCATATATTCTAGAAGGATTTGTGATGAAGAATTTAGTCCACATACCAAATCCATATTCATAAACACCATCTGTTACCCAATCTGGTTCTTCATGTAATAAAGTATCATATTCAGATTCTGTTTTGTGATTCATCCATTTAGGATCATATGTCTTAAGTTATACACCAGGCCATAATTTAATTTTACCAATCTTATAATCATCAAAATTTGTTGCATATCCCCATGCACCTTTTCCAAATCTAATAGTTGTATAGGCAGTCTTTCCATGGAAGAAATACCTTAATCCTTGTCCTAAATATAAAGCCCAATATTTTGCTACAACATGCCAACCTTTAAATTATTTTTCAACTTTGCTATCAGGCCATTCCATATAATATTAGAAATCTCCATGATTATATCCAAAGTATGCATAAGTCCATAATTATTGTGATTCTTAAGATATGGTGACTTTCTCATCAATATCACTGAATTAATCCTTCTCCTCTACTGTATATGTAGAAAATTCATATTCATTGTTTTCAGTTTACCATAAAGATAGTACTTTGAGTCCATGAGCAACAAGTCCTGAATCTGGTTCATTTGATGTAAATCTAAATATAATTTAATGTGCTTTTTCAGTTCTTCTGACATATCTAAACCAAGTAGATACTGAATATTCTCTATATCCATCTAAATCCCAATGGAATTTAGTTTCAGTTGCTAATCCATCATATTCGACTTTATCATAATGTTATACTTCCTTATATTCCAAATCAGGATCTGTTGGAACAGTGTATTTAGTTTCAATCAATGTTTTCATTTCTTCCTCTGTCTCTACAAATGAATTCTTATTCAAAACAACTCTAACATTGGTGATGATTCCATTGAATCCTTTGAATCCCTTCCAAATTCCAGATTAGAATTTAATAGTTCTAACAATAGCTGGTTATGTAACTGTGAATGTAACAGTCTTAATTACTTAAGTTCTACCCCAATATATATAACCATTAGCCTTTCCTTCTTTATATCCGAAATAAACATAAATCCATTCAGCATCTAAATACTTTCCATAATCTAATTATAATTCAGTTACAACATCTCCCTCAAATACTTAGAAATTATAGAATCCTTCTCCTATTGTTGTCACTAATCTATTAGTGTCATCTCCACTTAAACCTCCAACTGCCAAGACTTCTTTCTTTTCTGAAATCTTTACCTTTCCATTATATCTAAAATATGTCCACAAACCATAACTATATTCAACTGATTTCTTAATTCTGCTATCAGGTCCATCTTCAACTTCTTTTTCCCAAGGTGAAGTTTCTTATGTAACAACACTGTCAGTTTTCTCATCTAAAGTATAAACAAGTTATTCTAATTCTGGTTCATCTGGGAATTCTAATCTACCAAAATCATCATCTTCCTCCTCTTCAACCAACTCCTCAACAATCTCTTCAAAAATTTCTTCTACTATCTCTTCTACTATCTCTTCAACAATTTCTTCTACAGTTTCTTCTTATTCTTCAACCTTTTCATCATCTGGTGTTGGTTCAATAACAACTTCCTCTTCTGGTTACTCTTCAACAACAACAACTTCTTCTTCAGGTTCAGGTTAAGGTTCAGGTTCTGGTTAAGGTTCTGGTTATGGCTTAGGTTCATCCTCATCATCTTCAACAATAATAATGATTGGTTATTCTTAACATCCTGGATATCCACAACTTGGTTGATAAGCACTTGGACCTGTTGCTGCATCAATTAATGTATCAATCAAATCTTCCAAAACATCATCTCCACAACCATCTTCTTCTTCTGATTCCCATTCAAATTCCTCTTCCTCTTCTTCCTCTTCTTCTGCTACTGATTCAGGTTCAGGAACAGGTTCACATTCTTTAGCCTTTTTAGCTTCTTCAGCTAATCTCTCTGCTTCCTCTGCTCTTTTTCTTGCCTCTTCTGCAGCTTCTTAAGCTTCTTTCAATCTTCTCTAAGCCTCTTCTGCATCCAAACAAGCTTCTTCCTCTTTATTTTAAGCATCTTCCAAAGCTTATTATGAAGCAGCTGCCTTTTCTGCAGCTTCTTATGCCTCTCTTGCATCTCTTTCAGCATCTGTTTCTGCCTCTTATTCAGCCTACTTAGCAGAATCTAATTCTGCTTCTGCCTCTTATTCTAATTCTTCTGCTAATTCTAATTCTTTTTCAGCTTCTTATTCTAATTTTTCAGCCTCTTCTGGTGTAATATCAATTCTATTTTTAAGTTCTTCTAATTCTCTTGCTTCCTCCTCTTTTCTTCTTTCTTCTTCAGCGGCTGCTTCTGCTGCCTCTCTAGCCTCTTGTTCAGCTCTCTCTCTTGCTTCTTCTTGTTCTTATTCCTTTCTTCTCTCTTCTTCTTCGGCTTTAGCATCAGCTTCCAATTATGAAGCCCATTAATCTTTACACTAAGATGTCTTTTCATTCACTCTTGTTGCCAGATCATATAATTAATCTATATCAACTGGAATTGTATTCAATTATAATTAGATCTCAGTTATTTATTAAATCAACTCTGAAATCTTTGTGGCTATTGTTTATGCAAGTTATAATTTATCTTCATCACCTAAAATATTTATATGGTTATTTACTTTTTGCTTTGTTCAACACTTCCAAATATCCCAAAATATCATTAATATCATACCAACTTGATGTTGACTCTATCTAGGATAATGATTTAAAATGCTTGGATATTTAATGATGCAACTATTTAACTTAAATAAATGATCCATCTTAAATATGCTAAACTGTCAATAATACTCTATCAACTAGAGCTTTCACCATAGCTAAAACTTGTAAATCACCATCAAATCCATCCTTGTGTTTGACTATATCAATCCATTAATCAATGTCATGTTATGCTCCCAATTATTCCTTGTATCCAGGGTTTTCACATGTCCAACCTGATGGGTCTATTGAGAGAATAGATTCTAGTGGAGTAATCTGCATTCTCGCAGAAGTTTTGAACTGTAAAGACACGCTGACTAGCAGCCATGCCACTAACAATTACTTAAACATAATTTTAATTATAATCCGTTTTTCATTACAATTATTACATTATAAAAAAATTAACAAAATTTAGATTTTGTTATTTCCCTATTTCATAAAAGCTATTTTATTACTTCTTATTTGCTTATCACATATATTTGAAATAATTTCAACTCAAATGAAGAGAGTTAAAAATTTGATCTATTACCTTTATTAAGATTAATATATAAATTATGTATTTCTCTGATAAATAGAAAAAATCATAATTCTTCCTTTACTTTACTTTACAAATAAATGACATAAATTATTTATAAGAATTTCATTAATTTGTGTTAACTAAAGTTCATTAATTATAAATAACTTGGAATCTTAATAGATATTAATGAAATAATAAGAATTCAATTCAAAGAAAAAATGATTTAATTTCAAAAAGATATTAAATATTTTTTTATCTAAAATACTTGATTTACATCAACATTATAAAAAAATTTAATAATACCCTAATTATGTTAATAGAATCTTACTCAATGATCATTTCTGATTTTGTACTATATAATTTACATTTACAATATATAATAATTATGATATTTAAATAGATTAATAACTTTAGATATTAATAGGATAAATAATAAAATGATTATGATTGCTTTACTAAATATTTTTTATATTATCTAAAAGCAACTAATATAGATATAAAATATTATTGGATGAGGATAATAATAAATTTGCAATTAACAAAAAAATTATAAATTATGATTATAAGTCCTTTTTGATTATAGATTAAAAAGATTAAAAGGTTTATGAAATATGTATTTAAATATATCAAATAGATGATTATTTCTATTTAAATGGAAATGAAAAATTTAATTTTAATTAAATATGGCATTAAATAATTCAGAATAGGTGATTAAATTTTTAAGAGAAAGTGAGAAATTGGATTCAAATGCATATTAATCATTATTGAAATTAGCTGAGAATAAGCCAATTCATCTTTATGAAATAGGAAAACTCACTAAATTATTATTATTAGGTTCTAGATATTAAGTAATATTTTATACATTATTTGGTCTTGGATACATGGGTATAATAGGATAATAAAAGTATAAATAACTGTAGATTGATCTAGAAAATGTAGATAAAACACAGAAGTATTATGAAATGTAATACTAAATTATAATATAGAAAATAAGATCGAATAGAGTCTAAAATTAAGAAATTATAAGTAGTAGCTATATTATTTGGATTAACATCAACACTTGGTCTTTTTGTAACTTAAAGAATGGGTTAAAAAATACCCAAAAGTTTATGGTTTTTACCAAATGGTGAATTTAAATTAACATTTTATTCTTTTTTTGGATTTAAGAAGCACATTAATGCTCCAATATCTGATTTTTAACTTTGCACTTCATCAAGTAAAATAAATAAGACAGTGATGATGAGATATAAAAATAGAGAATTATCAACAATTGGTACAGGAGTATCACATAGTAATCTAATTAGATATTTGATATCAGCATAAACAAAGAGTGATTAAAAGATTTGAATGGTTTGATAGAACTATTTTATTTTTTGTTTTAGTAATGATTATGCAATAAATATAAATTAAATTTGCAGAATAAACATGAAATAAAAGGAAAGTTTTTAATTCTTAAATAATTACATGTTCTTTGATTAATAGGTAAATAATAAAAATCAAAAGGATACATAAAACTAAAATAAACAAATTGAAGTTTCACCAAAAAAAAAAGAATAGAAGAAAACAAATTAAGGAATAAATTATCAAAGTTTATTAGAATTTTAGTAAACACCAGTAATTAAACTGTAAGAATTACTTAATTATGAACCAACAAAATGTTCATCTGTATAAAATGGATTAGTTAAGGCTTATGCAGCTAATACACATTAAGGCTTAATAAGAAATTATAATGAGGATAGAGTTTCTATTATTTTAAATATACTCAAACCTTAAACTAGAATCAATGAAAATTGGCCAAAATGTTCATTCTTTGGAGTATATGATGGACATGCAGGTTCAGGTTGTGTTGATTTTTTAAGAGATAATTTACATTAATACATATCCAAATAAAAAGAATTTCCTTGGAATCCAATAGCTGCAATTAAAAAAGGATTGGAAGCAGCTGAAAAAGATTTTTTAACTTATGCTCTTGAATAGTATAGTAAAAATTAAGTAGAAAGAAGTGGATCTTGTGCTATTATTAGCCTTATTGTAGGTGATTATTGTTATGTTGCAAATGTTGGAGATTGTAGAGCTATCTTAAGTTCTGAAAAAGGGAAAAAGTATTTTGATTTATCCATTGATCATAAACCATAGAATGAGTCAATAAGAATTTAATAAGGGGGAGGCTAAATCTATTAAACAAGTATAACGAATGATAAAGGTATTCAAATTTAAGGACCAATGAGAGTTTTTCCAGGTAGATTATCTGTTTCTAGAGCATTTGGAGATATTGAGGCTAAAAATGAATAATTTGGAGGAAATCCTAATGTAGTTATAGCTTAACCTGATATAAAAATATTTCGTATTACTAATTAACATGATTTCATGGTATTAGGATGTAAAATAAAAAAATATTATAGGTGATGGAATTTTTGATAAAATGGATTCTTAAGAAGTTATTGATAAAATATGGAATGATTTGAAAAAAAACAAAGATAATTAAAATCTACATGCTTAAATTTCTTCAGCTGTTGATGCTGTATTAAAAGAAGTTGTTATCAGAAAGAGTAGTGATAATATAACTTTACTTATTATTGCTTTTAATGAACTAATTTAACATCAATAAAAAAATACCTATATCAAATCTAATTCAATTTCGAGTCATATTGAAATATTATAATCATATTTAAAGAAAGAATAAGACAATACTGAAAATAATAAAGATATTAATCATAAAAAAGTTAATTATTTTAATCCATCTCAATCATTATTTAATAGAGTATTAACATAACAATATCCTTAATAAGCAAAATAAGATGAAAATTTTAATAAAGTAAGATTAAGTTTTAACATGTGATTATAAGTTTCATATTTTTTATATAATAAACTAAAAGAAAATATCTTAAGATTTTAATCTATTAATTAAAAATTCAAATAGACTATTTTAATTATTATTTCATATCAAATTATTTTTCAAATAAATGAATTAAAATTGTTAAGATTTATATATTTTATCAATTCACAATAAATATAGTTTCATTAAATCATTATTCTGATATTTTTTATAGTATTTGAAGTTGTCCATTAGAACCAGGTACAGATTCTGAGGAAAACAAAGTCACACATTATGAAAATGTTATTTATTAATGACTATAAGGATCTATAATATTCAAATATTTTTAAATGTCAAGATCTTCTGCTCCAAAATTTAAAATATCAATCAAATTTCTAAATTCGTTCTATTTAAATTATACTATATTATTTACTTCATCAATAATTCCATTAGCATCTGTATCCATTTATTTAAAAGTCATAATAAATTTCTTCAAATATTTTTCATGTGATTTTAGTTAGAAATCTAATATTATTTTCTAAAAGACTGAATATTCTAATTTATATTTATCTTTTTCTTAAAGCAATGATAATTATTCTTCCCTTGTTAATCTTCTATCTGGATTTTTCTGAGGTACAATATAATATGATTTTAATTTATTTAGCAGTAATTCAGAATCTTCTTAATTGTACATATATTTGATAATATCTACAGCTTCCTCTTCATAAAGTTACCCATTTATCCTTTAATTGAGCATTTCCTTAATTTCTGCTTAATGTTTCAATGGAAATTTCCCTCTTAAATACATCTATAATTTTATTATAATGAATACTTTTAATAATTCTTGCATAGTATTTTTAACTTATGTCTAAACAAATCGAAATTCTTCATCACATTCATTTCTAAGGATTTTACCAAATACAGCCACATCATTATCTTCTGCTGAATACTTTTTAAGTGCATTAATAATTGATGTTGCCCATTCTATTATAAGACTTTTAAGTCCATATTTCTAATTTAGATAAGTATACATATGTTATTCCATAGTTTCTCTAGGTAATTTAGAATCAGCACATTTTTAATCAAATTTTTGTTTACTTTCATAAATTTCATTAATAACATCTTTTAATTGCTTCAATGTCAAGTGTCTAACATTTATTTATTAAGGTACTGAATTAAGATTTTAAGATTATTTTGATTAAAATATAGCATTATTTTATTGAATAGAGGATGATTGATTTTTTGAATAATTTTAAGATTGATAAGAGTCATTTTATTATTTGAGTGTATGTTCAGAATTAGGCAATGATGCCCTATCACCTTTTGAATGTTTTATGAGTAAATCTAAATATCTTTTATTTTCTTTTTCTAATTCAGCATTTTATTATTAAAGTTCAGATAATTCTAATCTTAATCTATTTTCAATTGTTTTATCTCCTTATTGTGATTGATTCACTTATTTTTTATTATCATTAATTAAAGATTAATTTTTAGACTATGGTTTGAAATTTTAAATCACATTAGACATATCATTAAATATTTACAAATGCATATCATGAATTTTAGTAATTATAACATCTAATTTTTTATCATTTACTTTAAAATATTTAATTATTGATTTAAAGCAGATTTCATATAAGTTAAATTTTGCCTAAGTTTATAATGAAGATTTACTGTTAAAATATAAAGATTGGTTAAATGATCAGGATTGTTTTATTTTAATTTAGATTATAGATCAAGCATTATTGTTCTTATTTATTGATCAAATTATTTATCTTCTTAATCTTCCTTCTTATATTCTCTTATGCTATCATATAATATCTAAAACTATTCATTATTAAAATACAGCCATCTATTCAAGATCATATTGTTAAAGTGTAATATCTTAAACTGCACTAATGGATCTCTCAGATTATTATTCACTTTATTATTCTAAGGTTTCATCACCTCCATCCTAATCTCCATTCACTTTTTGAGAATTCAAAATTTGGAGATTCGTAAGGCATTCTAAAATATATTGTTCCTCCTCTTTTGATTATAATGTAATCTCAAGATGAATCAAATTAGGCATTGTTGATAAAGCATCTACTACTTAGCCTAACTAAAATAATTGTATATATATAGATTTACATCAGAGAATATATTATTAGAAATATCAAGAACTTCAACAGTGTCTAGCAAACTTAAATCATCAGGCAAGTAAGCCAAACGATTCCCATGTAAATTGAGCTAGTTATATTATTTAGAAATTACTTCTTTTAAATTGCTAAAATTTGCTAATTATGGTAATAATTCCTCTAAATTTTCAATTGATCTATTGATATAGATATCAAATGATACTTAAATTCTAGATCTATAATTGTTACATTAGTTCCTTAAGTTTTTAATATATGTTATAAGACTTCCATGAAAATAATTGAATTTTGAAATAAATTTTTAATTATAATTTTAATCAGAATTGATATCATATTAGATAAAAGGAATTCATTTATAATCATTCAAAAAGAATATATATAATCTCAACAAATTTTAGTTTTAACTTAACTGATTTAACTTAATACTAAATTTAAAGTTGTTATTAAATAAATTCTTAACATTATTAATTAATAGCTATTAGTTTAAAATAATATCATAATAATAATTGATATAGATTTTAAAATAAAGTTTAGATAGAATAATTAATTATTAAAGTACATATATTAAAATCAAATACTTTTATAATTAGAAGAATAATAAAAATATATTAGTAGAGTATTGAAATCTATTATATATATATGTAATTAATTTTAGAATTTATTCATAAAAATAAAAAATTTGGTTTTAAATTCTTATATCTAATAATGATCAATTTAACTATTGATATGTAAATTAATTTAATCTTTTAATAAATTCAGGACTAATAAATTTAGCTACAAAATATAAAAATCTTTTAATCAGTATATAAAAATAATTTAAGATATTATTGTAAGAGAACATATAATTTTAGATTACTTATATATTAGATTAATATTAAATTAATAGAAATTATTATCTAATGTATTTATTTATGAAATATTAGAATTTAAAATAACTATAATTGGATTTAAGATTCTTAATCAAATGAATAAGTAAATGATAATTTCTATATTTTTATAAGCATTTCTATTCAGATTAATTTTAGAATATGAAATAATTATGATTTTGATAATGATTTTGGTTGAATATGTTTGAATAATATCAGATAATGTCATCGTGATAATTTCTATATCTTGTTAGACGAACAGAATTTTCAGCATAAGCAAATTAATGGGTGTTGTATGTGGCTATAATTGTTTATGATAGTGATACTTAAAAATGGGATTAGACTTGAAGCTGCAAATATTGTTCTGGCTGTGAAATTATAAATGTGTTGGACTGTTTAGAAACTCTATAAACCAAACACAAAATTCCAAGGCCATGTTACAAGTTTTCTTACTTAATTTCTTTAATCAATAAAATCGAGTGTTCTTTCTGACATTTATACTTTTGATATTTATATTATTAATTGATTAGATTTTATTTTTTAATTTTATATAAAATTATTAAACATGGGTATCTGTAGATCTGAACCTTTGCCAGGAGGACTTTAACAATAAGAGGGAAAGCCTGAAGATATTAAATAAGGTTTAGAAGAAAACCCACAATAAATAGAAAACCCAAAATAAAATGAAAACCAACAATAAAATGAAAATAATGAAAATGAAGCAGCAGTCAAAATTTAAAGTGGTATTAGAGGAAAGAAAGCAAAATAAGAGTTATAAAAAAAAAAAGAGGAACTGGAGTCAGACAAACCTAAAGATTGGACAGAATATTAATAATAATTTATAGAGCCTCCTTTGCCTACTTAATTTAAAGATTTAGTCAATTATAAACCAACAAATGAAAATCGAATCCTTCCTCCTTACTTAGGACCAGATGGAAGTGTTTACAATGGATAATGGAATAAAGGAGAAGCAAATGGATTTGGATAAATGTTAAAACCTGATGGAACATATCTAAAAGGATTGTGGAAATATAATATCTTTACAGAAGGAGGCATTCTTTATCCAAATGGAGATTTTTTTGTAAATCTTATTTTCATTATTTTTTAAGATTGGAAATTCAAAATATGGTCAAAGATTCTTTGCAAATGGTGTAATTTATAAAGGAGAAGCTGATTATGGGATTCCTCATGGATAAGGTGAAGAAACACATCCAAATGGTAATAAAAATCCAGCACTTTATAGATATGGTAAAAAAGTGGAATAAGACATTAGTCAACAGAATCAATGATTTCTTCTTATTTGAATTATAACATAAAATGTTGTCGAGAAATGTTTTTAACATTTTATTCAATTCATTCATTTCAAATAGATTTTATGATCTTTTAATATAAGATATGTAAAAGAATAAAGCAATTCTTATTAAAAAGAAATTTTGTATTTATTTTAGAAATCAAAAAAAATTAATAAATAAGATATAGGAAGAATCATTTTTAAATTTGTAAAAACTATGAATCAATTTATCAAACAATATCATTACCAGAAAACATATTGTCTATTCTTTCCTACTTTATATTCGATATTCCAGATTTTAAAAATATATGATTTGACTGGATCGAGTGACTCTTTGTAAAATTAATATAAATAATAAAATACAAGAAACTATCATAACCTTAATTCTTACTTTATAAAAGAATTAGATGTATGTCAGTACCAGTATTATTTTTAATAATATTGCAGCTTTTTCTCCCCATTCAGGATTATTCTAATCATTACTATCCCACCATGAATGATATTGTGATAACCATAGAATATCATAGATTATAGATGCCATTAATCCTAAACCTACAAGTTTTACATGTTCAGGTTCAAATCTATCAAGAAAAACAGTAAACATCAATCCATGACATACTAGCACATCTAAAAATGATGGCTTAGCAGAGCATACAAATAGAGTAATCAAGCCATAAAAAGAAAAGATAGTCATCCCTAAATCTAAATCATATGGTGCTTATGGGTATTCATCTTCTGGTAAAGAATTTTAATCTGTTTTATTTATCTCTACTTTTGATGTTTATAAAGGATCTGCAGCCACTTCTTCTGGTTTCTTTTATTATAGAAAACTGCTTTCTTATTAGATTGAAGTTTAACCATTCTCATTATTTATTCTGTCCTCTTCTCTATGTCTAAACGGCCTAGTTAGTAAGTCATATTAGTAAGCTACTTGCTTGTTCAATTCTGTTAGTTAATCTATTTTATCACCTGATTATCCAACTTAATTTTGGAGATATTCATACTAATTTTAGGATATCAAAATATTACTCTATTGAGAATGAGTTAAACTTGCATATCTATAAAACATCCAACTTCTTTTCCTAAGGGATCTTTCAATTATAATTTTAACGTTTTAAGCTATTCTTCTAAAGTACTCAATGAGATTTATGCTTATCCCATTAAAGTTGGAAGGGGAGAGTCATTCTATTTTGTGTACAATTAAATAGTTAAAATGTAGATGTTATTAGGAATGGAACTAAATTGATAATTATTAATATATCCTTACAATTCAATTTCTCTATTGAACTCAGGGTTGACTTTATCGAAGTGTTCTATAGGTTTTAACCTCTGAGACTAAGAACCTAAAGCAACTTAAAGATAACAATCAATGTATGAAATCTTTTTAGAGATATTATTTGCACTATTAATCATTAGATAGATATGTTTGAACTCTGAACTATTGGCTTAATTATTTAGAAAATTCTTACATGTTGCTGACATTTAGGATTAATGTTTTTTCTATTTTTCTCTAAATGTATGAATATCTGACTTTATTTTTTCTAATTTATTGCCAAGTATTATTATTGCACTATGTATAGTTTATGCTAAATCTTGCATGCGATATGTTTGTTCATAATTTTAATTAATCGTTTTATGACATTATGCTAAAATCTAATTAAGTACATCCCTATCCATATCTTTAGTTCCAATCATCTGATCCATTTTCTATTAAATCTCATTCCCAGTAAGTAGTTAATTTTTTAAATAGCCAAATCTTTCGAATGTTGTCTCAATATGTTTGAGTGCTATCATCTTTTAATTGAATTATATAATAATAATAATATTGATTGTGTTTATATTAAAGTGACATTGGGATATAAATACGTATTGTATAATTGATAATTATAAATCTATTTTAATTAAGTTTAGATAGAAATAATATTAATATATCACCTAAAAAATAATTCTAATCAAATTTAACTATTTTCTCAAATACAAAAAAGTATTAATAAAAATATATATATATTTAAAGATTATAGAACAAGACTAAAAGTAAATTAATTTAATCTCAATTTTCTTATTTAACTACTAGTAAGGATTAAAAGTTTATAATATTTTATATTATAGAGATCTTCTTTGCAGAATTTTCTTTAGTTTAAATCATTTCAGGTATTTATGTTATTATGATAATTTTGTCAATGTTCTAGTAATTACAATAAATTCTACTTTAATAATGCTTTCAATTCTAGAACCTATTTATTCTTTAAATGCTTTTTCTCTTTTGAAAATATTTTTAAATTATTTGCAAAATAATTCATTGTTTTCTATTAAAAGAGGAGCTAACATCAAAATATGTAAGACTCTTTTGACATGATTAGTTAAATTGATTTCAATTTTTAAGTGAAATTAACTTGTTTTGAATATATCCTTACTCTTTAAACAATCAAGCATCATTTCTATATTTGAAGCATTACATTCTAAAATATCTTCACACTATTAATCTTTTATTTAAAATTTTGTAAGTGTTAATATTAAATTATTCACTTCAATCAATTAATTATTAAAATGAGAAAGAATCTTAACTATATCATTTACTAAATTTTCTATTAATCCTCTATTTTTATCACATAGTAATACAATTAATTTCTAAAATACAAATAAATTCTTACATTGCATGTATCAGGTTTTTCTTTATCACATAATTTTCTAATTTTTTCTACATTTTCATTTAAATCTTGATTATAAATTAAATGATATTCTGAACTATTAAATGCATAACTTTTAAGAATTAAATCAATTTATTTATAAAGTGTTCCTTTAATGAACAATTCTAATTAATTAAATAATTATTCATATTGATTAAGCCTTTAATTTTCCTTTCTTTAAAAGATTTAATCAAATTTATAGAATTGACAACGATAAGGATTAAGTTTTTTAACCTTTTATTTTGAACTTGACCATAAATTAATTGAAGTGTTTTCATTATTCAATTATTCATTATTTTCAAATGTAATTTACTTTTGATTCTTTATTTTAAAATATGGTTAATATGTTTAATCATATTCATTAGTTTTATTATAAAATATACAAAATGTTCTAATTTTTTTCTTTTGACAATAAAATTACTCTTATATCAATTATAAACTAAATTATTTGTTTTTTGCTTAACCTTAAAGCATATAATTTTATAAATTGTTAGTCTAATTCAATTATTGATATTTCTCTAATTCTGCATTAATGATTTTTAATTCTTCCTACATTTAATATTAGATTTCAAAGAAATCTCCATATTCTTATGATTATTATTGATAAATTGATTAATCCATCTAATTAATTTTTTTGAATTCTGCAATTAAATATTCTCCCTCCAATATTTACATATTCTAATGATTTGCATTAAAATCACTTTATAATCTATTTAATATTTAATTTCTATCTGCTTATTGATTAATAAAGTGATCAAGCTAGCTACTTAAAACAGAATTCATGTCCTCCATTATTTTTTATTATTGCAATAAATCATTCTTTTGAATTTAATCATCAAGTTATCGATTTAAATTAACTAATTGATTCACTCGTCTCTATATTATACTTAATTCATCCAACTCTTAAACTTATTCTATTAATATTCCTTTTTATTCTTTTTCAATGCTTTTTTTTTAAAATGTCTTTTAAAGTTCTTGATGATAAGTATTATGTAGAATTGACTTATCAAGCATATCTAATTTTTACACTAAAGCAGCTCTTTTTGATGCATTTTTTCTAGCGCTATCCATTTTTTATTTTAATTTAAATTACAATATATAATTGTAATATTTATTGGTAATTTTTATATCTAAATAAGATCTCTTATATAGGATTATTTAATATTCAAAAATAGTATAATAAATTTATAACAATTTCATTGATCTTAAATAAATGGATAATGTATATAATATATATACATATATTAATATATATATAATAAAAAGTAGGAGAGTATAAGATAATTGAATTAACTCTATATATATTATATTGATGAAAACTTCTTTATAAAATATAAATTAAATTTAACGACTAGTCATTATATTATTAATTAAAATATATGCACTTAGAAATACATCCATAGAATAGTAAACATCGTTAAAATTAAGCTGTTTTACAAAGTAAAAGAGAGACTTCTTCTAAATTATTTTAACATTAATCTCCTATAATTCCTATTTGTTTAAAGTAGAGTACTAATAGAGAAAATGAAGTTCCTTAAGAATTTGATGGAGAGAAAAGCATTTATAAAAGTTTTATAGATGAATATTACAGTGTAAGATCTAATTTTCCTAACTCTCCTTCAGTGAAATTTCAAAAGAAAAAAATATTTGATGATATTTATATTCCATCTTAAAAGACAAGCTAAATTAAAACAAATTAAATCTTAAATGAGAAAACTTAAACAAATAATTAAGAGATTTATCATACTTATTAATAATTATCATAAAGAGATGCTACTTTAATTTAATAACATCCTTATTTTGAAAATTAAATCAAATCACTTTAAATAGATTCATAGTAATAATTTAAATTAGAATGTTTAAAAGATTCAAATAAGGAAAATTAAATAGTTTTTAAAAATAAATAAATTCTTATAACACTTAAAAGAATAAGTTTAATAAAGAACATATTAAATTGTGAATTGACTTTTTAAAACATAGGTAATATTCCAATATCTGTGTTAGATGTACTTTATTCAAATGATCAAAGTAATTTATTTATGTAATTATTCTATAGCATTAAGATTATCGAAAGAAAATGATTGTATAAAATCTTTAACTCCAGGTTATGGATAAATGAGTACTATTACAATTGAGATTGTAAATGTTCCTTTTACAATAGTAAATGTATCTCTAGAGTATAATAATCAATTCTTTAAAACTTATTTACCAATTACTATATTGAATTTTATTTAGGATTATCAAACTACTCAATCTCGTTGTGTTAATAATCATAACCATTATAATAAACTAATTATAAATAAAAAGAATTGGAATATTGAGAGTAGAATAATAATTGGTAATATATTAAATTCAGAAGTTGAAATAAGAGTTGAAAATTAGAATAATTAATTAGTATTGTATTGCCAAAGTGACTTAGAACAATTAAATTGGTAAATTCTAAATACACTTTATGTTTTATTTGACTTATGAATATTGTTATTTCTATTTTATTATTATTATTAAAGGTTGCCATTTTAAAAAGAATTCTTTTATATATTACATATTAAATTGAGTAGAAAATGCTGAATAATTAGTTAATTTAAAAATTAAAAATCACAAACATAATCTTTTGATGCTTTTTTTAATTATTTTTACATTATTAAATAATGTCTTTGCTTTAGTTACTCTGACAATTGATGAGAAATTTTAAGAGTCTGAAACCATTTTCTAATTGTTACAATCTTAATATCAAGTTTTTTAGAGTATTCAAAACACTACTTTCTTTTTTTAACCTTATTAAATAGATTAAGATAAACATATAACAGTTGAGTATGAACTATTATCTAAATATATAGATTAATTTTTGGGTTTCCTCAAGATGGTGATGTTAATTTAGAGTTTTCAATTACAAAAAATAAATATGATAATACTAGTTCTCAAAATGATGTATTTTATGACTTAAATGGAAAATATTTATTCAAATCATATTAGATGATTCAAATAAACCCATTTACTTTTGATAAGAATGATAAATTCTACATTGATATAAATATTAGAGATACCAATTTTACAGACTATTAATATTTATTAAAAATTACTAAAACTTAGAATAAGCTTTGTCCAAATTATTGTGGAAATTCATAATCAGGACTATGTAATACAGAAACAGGAATATGTTCATGTTCATCTTAATTTGTAGATTTAGATTGTTCTAAATAAGCTTAACCTTTATCTTTGAAAGAGCCCCTTTAAAATATAATGATAGAAAAAAAAGAATATTTTTATTTTGAAAGAGATTTATTAAACACTAATATAACTTTGAGTTTAGGTTTAATGAATTCCTAATATCTAGGATCTAAAGTTTAAGCCTATGTTATGTATGAAAACTTTGAATTAGGAGTACCATGTGATCAATTTTTCAATAATTACATTTCTTTTCATAATAAATCTTCTCAATCTGAATAAATAGATTTGACACCTTTAATATACGACCAAAATAATCAAAGATTTTAAAGATTATTGATTACTGTCACAACAGAATCACCAGTTCTCATTTATCTTTCAGTTAGCATAACTTCTTCAGATAGTAATTTTGATATAGATTCAAGTTTAATTATTGTATACGTCCTAGTTTCAATTGCAATTATATTGTTGTTAACCTGGATTATTGTAATTGTTATCAGGTATAGAAAAAGTTCAAGAATACATGATGAAGTTAATACTGTATCTCATCCTCCAAACAATAATAATAGAATAAATTAATCTTCTTTGGTTATAAATATTATAGATTAATATATGCCAAAATTAAAATACTCGGAAATTTTAGAATTTCCAGAATTTTAGGAATTAGAAATTTAGGAAACATGTTCTGTTTGTTTATAAGAATATTAAAAGTAAACACTTTGTAGATTTACTCCTTGTCATCATATTTTTCATTTTAATTGTTTAGAATAATGGATAATAAAACATGAAAATTGTCCTCTATGTAGAACAGCCTTAGATTAAAAGTCATTGAAAGAATTGCTTAATTAAAATATTCTTGACACTTTTAAGAAAAATCAATAATAAAACAAAAAAAAATAACATAATGTTGTTATACAAAGTTAATTGTTTTCTAATGCTCACACTAGATTGAGAATGATTGCTAATAATTCAATCGATAACCACTGATTTAATTATGATTTTTATTGAATTAATTAATTTATATTATAAATATAATATTTAAAAATTGATGGGAGATTAATCAAATTGGGAAATCAATGATCATAGTGAAATATATATTATTAAAACAGAATCTATGAAGAAATCATATGAAGGAATTGTAAAAAAGCTGTAAAAAGAAAGAGTAAAATATGTTAAATAATAATAATAATCCAATCAAGAACATCAATAAGAAAATCCTATTTCAGATCTTATTTAATAATTCTCACTTCTAAAATAAGAATTTATTATGAGATATTAAACAAAAGTATCATCTCAAAGAGGTTAAGTAAAGCTAAAGAAAAGAGTAGAATTAGTTTAAGAATAGCTAAAAAATTAATAATAATAATAATAGTAATTAAATTAATTAAGAAAAATGACTTGAAATTAAATTTATTAAATGATTTTAAAGTAATCTAAACTATCAATTTATATATTTCATATTTATATGTGTTTATGATCTTTGTCTTGAAGGTAAAGGTTAATTTAATTTTCTAACAGAAGAATAATTCTACTAACTGTTCTATTATTTTTATTAACTTGTTGTTCTCTAATTATTTATTAAAGCTTAGTTATTTTCTTTATTATTATTATAATGTATAGAGTTATCTCTATGACCAACCAAAGCTCTTACACTAATAACATCTTTATGAGGTTAACCTTCATTCATTATTTAACTTTATTATAAATTTCGCGCTTTTTAATCTGAACCTTATAAAGTTGTAGTAGACTTTTGTAATGTGTTTTAAGAAGGTTATTAGAAGTATTTTTATGATTATTTTTACATTGATTAAATTTAATAATTGAGAGTGTCAAAATTTTGTTTAATTTTTTATAAGCCATCTATTTATTTAAGCAATTTAACTAATTCATTTTTAGATATTAGATAGAAATCAAATTAATCTGAATTATCAACTGATCCTTAAAAATAACCTACTTTCTAATCAAATATATTAGTATGATCAGTAAAAAAAGATTATATGTTTGGAATTGACATTTCTTCTGTTTTTAGATTGAGTGTATTTTATTCTTCCTGATTGGGACTAAATGATAAGTATATTTGATCTATTGGCTCCATTTAATATTTTCTAAAATCTATCTATTTCTCGTTATTATTCAGTTAAAACATTATTAATATTTAATTAATAAAATGAAAATAATAATTGATTTTGGTGGTGGATTGGATGTTTGTTTTGAAAACAAAAAAGAGCTTACTTTAGAATTTGAAGAATAATAAATTAAAATGACAGATGTAATAACAAGATTGAAAACACTTTGTAATCCAAAGAAATTGGACTTCTTCTATACCTAATAGCTTAGACCAGGAATTCTCGTTTTAATAAATGATGCTGATTGGGAATTAGAAGATAAAGAAGAAGCATAATTATAACATAATGATAGAGTTAGCTTTATTTCAACATTACATGGTGGTTGATTGACAGAAATTTCATATACATTATATTAAAATTCTTTCATTAATAAAACAAAGATTAATTCACATTTTGATTTTTGTTTATGATTTCTTAGATCCATATATGAATCGATCCATTTTCTCTTTTTTTAATATTTAATGATTCAATTATTTAGTTAATGACATTTTCTCTTTTTAAAATAATTCATTTTCTTTTTAGTATATAGATATCTCAGATTATAGATTTTTTATTTCTTTTTTCAAAGCTTCACAATTATCCTTACTTTATATGTATTTAATTCTATCAATTAAATTATCTATTACTTTAACTCTTCCTATTATTACTATTCATATTATAATTTCTTTAACCATATAAATTCAATATCCTTTTAACTATTTTGTAATTATTAAATTTATTAATGCATACATTAAATTTATTCATTTTTTCCTACTAATTTTTAGTTAAATTCTTCTATTTAAAAAGCACAATCATTTTTCATTATTGTTATATTTTTTTCAAATTCTTATTATAGTTCTTTCTTCAAATTAATCTGTTTATTTTCAGCATCAATTTAAATCTATTCTTCTGTAAACTTTCTTCTTTCAATTTCAGCTCTTAATTGAGATATTGTTTATTATGTTTCTTATTATTTTATTTAATGAACATTTCTTGTAAAATATATAATAGTATTACCTTAACTCATCTAATTTTGATTAAAGAGAATTATTAAATTGAGTTTCACTATCAATTTAAGAGACATATTAAGCTATTTTATCATCATAAGATTTTCTCAATTTATTAATTTCATAAATTTATTCTTCTTATTTTTTATATATCTCATCTTGTGCTTTAATCTATTGATCTCTCATCTTTGATATGTTTTCTTTATGTTTATTCTCAATATTCTCTATATGTTATTTCAATAAATTAATAGTATTCTCCTATTCTTACAATTTTATTTTATATTTTAGTTCTATAGACTTAATTTAATTATTATTTAATTATTCATCATTATTGTTTAAATAATTAGTATTTTCTTCATTTTTTTAAATTCTAGATCTCAAAATAGAACTCAAATGAGGTGTAGACTCTTATTATTTTTCAGGAGTCACTGATTTTGTTTTTTCTTCATTTATAACCATTTGATCATAAGGAATTATTTATTTTTAATGATCTTATTCAATATGCAAAGCAGAATCACAATGATAACATAATTTTGTTACTTCATTTTTATTACAATCAAAACATTTGAGAGTTGCAGGTTTGATATTACAATTGAAACATCTAACGAATTTCCTTTAATTTTGATTCATATTTTTTATAATAAAACAAAAATTCAAAACATTAAGCATTCAATTCCATTTGGATTAAACTCATCATCATCATTTTCTTCTATTCTTATTTAGTGCTTTTCAAAATCATCAAATTTAAATTCTTATAAATTTATACTATTTTAGGTCTAAAACATTGTCCTGGTAATATCTCAAAAGATATTTGAATTTACTTAGGCTAATTTCTGAGTAACATCTTAATATAATTCTTTAGGAATCTGAATGTAAAATTAAACATGTAAGTCACCAAAATGAAGCTCATCTTTAAATATAGGTAAACCTTTCTCTTTTATTATTAATATTAAATTTTGTTTGATTACTTTTTTTGTTGTAATTTTAATAATTTTCTCATCCAAAGTTTCTAATTATATATTAACACCAACTAAGGCTTCTTTTAAAGATATTGTATGTTAATAAAATAAATCATTCCCTTTCTAATGAATATTTTATGTTATTCAATTTCTAGATATATTTAGATATCTCCATTTTCATAATCAAGCTAATATGTTTAATAGAATTACTTTAGAATTGCCTTTGAATAGATTATTTGCCTCCTTAACATTAACATTTTTCACATGATCTTTTGATATCATTTAAGGATTTTTATGATAAGCTTCCAAAGCTACATCTTTAAGTGCTATTTTATGTCCGAGATTATGAGGTTCAAATTTTTAAATTATTGATTCTTGATATTAAATTATTTAGGTAATCCTTTATTTTCCAAATTTGTCATAAATTTTCTTTTTTTCAGGATATGATAAAACTTCATTAGCCTTTTAAATCAATTAGAAATTTGATGAATCTCCTCCTAATTTATCTGGATGATATTTTATTTTATAAGTATATTTTAACATCAGGAATATCTGATTAAGGAGGTATTTCTAATATTTAATATAGTTCTTTATTATCTACATTTTGGGGTGGAAGTTATTCATCAAATTCATCTTCGAAATCTTCATTATGATAAGCAAAATGGCCAAAAGCTCCTGGTAAAGGTATTCCAAATATTAGTTTTAAAATATAATTTTTTTATAAATAGTTAGTATAATAATAATAGAATGTAATTCAAAATTTATTATGAGTTGCCATATAATTATTTTATTTTTTTAAAGGAGTACTTGGTTTACAAGGTGACTTTTCATTTGCTACAGCAGATCTAAATGATAATTCATTATATTAACGAATTATTGTATTGAACTAATTTCCTCTAATTTGAGAATCATTCACAAAGTTCATCAATTCTATAAAGAGTTATTACAATTTAGAGGATTAATTAACTAATTAATCATACCTTGCTTATCTTTTGATATCAATTTATTATAAATAATTTAGTTGTTCTCTCATTTAAGTTAATTAGATATCCATTGATTAAGGTTGATTCTCACTCTATATTTTATTCAACAACTCATTGTTTTCTTTGATTATATCTTCAATATTCATTTGTTTCAACCTATCGTTATATTAATTATTATTATAATTTAGTTGGAATATTAAAACAAAAATCAGTAATATTAAGGAACTCTGTCTTTATATCCTAATTAGGATTTTGATATTTCTCTTATTTGATTTTATTGATCTGATAATTTAGATCTTAGAAATTCATTATCAGATTTATGATTTTTATGATCTTCTAATTCATGTCTCATTTCTGTCAACTAAAAATATTAGATTATCTATATACTTATCTATTCAAACGTCTAATTTCATTTTCTAATATTTAAACTTTATCCTTATAATCTTCAATTTCTTCTAAATTATCTGTGTGACCACCATTCATTAATTATTATTTGTAATACATTATCTCTTATTTAGCTTATTCTAATTCTTAATATAATTATTGATCATTATTGTTTTATTATCCATATTAAAACTTAAATATAATAAATAGTATACTTTCAATCGTAAAGTGTTGACTTCAGATTCCTTTTCTTGTAATTAAGCTCTCAACATTTAATTTTCATTGACTACTTAATTATCTTATGAAGAATATCTAAGTCTATCCATTAATTAATCTTTCTCTTATTGTAATAAATAGATTTTTTATTTTAATTAGTTAATTTCTTAAGAATATACATCTCCATTATTCTTTCTAGATCTCCATTCTTGTACTTCTTATTCTCTAAGGACTAGAAGACTTTTAGCTTAATCAAGTTCTATCATTTTTTCTTTGGCAAATTAATTCATTTAATCCAATTTGTCAGTTAAAACTAAAGCAATTTATTCATTATCTGTTTTCAATTCCTAATTTTCATTGAAATGTTATTCTTTTAATTTATCTATTTATGAATTCAAGAAATCTATTTCTTAGTTCTTATTATTAATTGTAGATTAAAATGCTTCTCTTTCTTGTTAAAAATATAACAATTTATTGTTTAATTCTGTTTAAGCTATTGTTAATTAATTTTATAAATAAATTTCTTTCTAAGCAGCCTTTTATAATTCTTAAGCTAATCTATCATAACGTTTCATTAAATCTTCAAGGAAAGCCTTAAGTTCAGGTAATGATAATCCATTAAATTAATTTTGATCTTATTATGGTATTTATTAGGGTTCACTTGGTATAATACGAATGATTTCTGTAGTTGGTACAATTTATTTAGGTTAAACATATTGATTAGGAATAATCTTTTATGAATGTAGTTAAGGTGAAGGCTAAAGTATATTATGAATAATTTACAACTGCTAAATAAGAGGGTTTTGGAGTAATAGATCTGGGTGGAACATTTGAATAGGTGATCATAATTATCGAACTTTATAATAAAAATAAAAATGAATATTATTATTATATAATTTCACTTATTACAAGATATTTCTTAATATAAATTGGGATTACTTATAAACCCGATAATAAAATTCATAAATAAACAGAAGGATCTACTCTATTACAATCTTTGAGATTATAGTTGAATTAGAAACCTTTATATAGTAAATTAATCTTTATTGATTGAATTCTTGTTAGGTTTTTTACTAACAGCAATTTAATTTAACAGATTCATTAAAGAATTCAAATAAAATTAGATGGAAGATAGAGCTCTAAGAACAAATTTAATAATCAATAGATATTAGGATTATTAAACTACAAAATTGGGAACTCCAGGAGACAACCATTATTTGAAGAAAGAAAATTGGAAATAAATTGAAGAGAAAAATAAAAACTAATTTAGAAGTAATGATAAATAAACATAAAATTTTGAATCAAAAACTCATTATCAATAGGCTGGTATTAGTTTAAGAGATAAAGAATAATATAATAATAATACAAATCTAAAATAATCATATTATTATGAACAAACTAAACCTTAAACAGCAACTTATTAATAAAGAGATGACAGATAAGATTAACTACAAATTAAAACAGAAAATAGAAAATATAGAGATTAACAAATTCCACATTCATCTGATAAATATTATTCAAAATAAAGTGGATTACCTTTTTGTAATAGAACTCCAATGGATCCAAGATCAAATTTCAATTCAAAAACTCCATAAGAGAATGACAGTTAAAATAAATTTAAAAATTCATATTCAGGTTTCAAGACAGATTTTAAATGGCCAGAATACTAAAGAATGTATCCTGAAATATCAAGTAATAAAAACAACTAATAAGAAAAAACCAATCTAATTTAAAAAGAGCAAAAATAAGACTAGAGAGGTTTATTAGATATTGAATTAAGATTATAACAGAGAAGAGAATAAGCTCAGAAAATAGCAGGATAATAGGAGGGAAGATTAAATTATTATTCAAAATCTTTAGAATATTCATAAAGATAATAATAAGTAGGATTAGAAAATAGCCAAGAGAGAATGAAATAATTTTAAAAAGAACTTCGTAATGAAGTATAAGAAAGATTAAAAGAATAGTCTAATCAATAAGTTAAATAAGATTATAGAAATTTTGAGTTAAATTCATAGAGAAGTAAATTTGAAAGAGAATTAGATAATAAATAAAAGAAAAATGAAATTCTTGAATTAGATTAATTCAAAGGGAAATTAAATTTAAATGAAAGGAAAAATAATGATTATGATAATTCAAAAAAGGATTATGGAATGAATATTAGAGGATAGCAATTTGATGAATAAACTTCATTCTAAACAAGATTTAATGATGACTCCAAATACTAATAAGTATCAGATTTACCAAAATATCACTTTGGTAAGAGATAAGAATTAGATACACATCTAAAATATGATGATAAAATTAAATATATTGATAGATCACTAAAGCATAACAAATCTTAAACTGAAGATATAATTAGATACGATCTTAAATCTGAAGGAAACAACTTTAAAGAATCAAATGATAGATTAAAATATAAAGAAAAATTGAATTATGAAACAAAATAACATAATTAATTCAAGAGAGATGATAATTATGAAAAAAAATAATATTATCATTTATAGAAAGAAAATGATTAATCTCAAGGGGTTTAAAGAAGGCTTGACTTATATGAAAAATTATAATAATTTGACTAGAAAAATAACAAAAAATATTATGATGGTCATGTATTTTAAGTTGAAAAATTATAGAGTAATAATAATTAAAGATAGGAAACAAGGCCTTATGAATATAAATAATCAATTGAACCTACTATTGGATATAGTATTGATAAATATGAGATTAAAAAGAGTGATTAAGACATTTAATAAATAGATAGAATGGAATTTAAAAGATCTTAGTTCTAACCTGAAATAAATTAAATTAAAATAGAGTTTGAAAAAAAATATGGTTAATTCAATCCAGAAACAAGTTTGAAATAATCTGAATTTGATAAAAGAAGAGTATTTGAAGATAAATTTAGGCCAGAACCAATTCAAACAAAAATAGCAGGTGCTCGAGAGTATCTAGATTAAAAGTATTATTAAAGAGACCCATATAGATATGAATAAAGAAATAGTTATCATGAAGAATCATCTATTCAAGATAGGTTAAGATTAGATAAAGGAAACAATAAAATTAATATTAATAATAAGGCTATTGAAGATATACTTCAAGGGACAGCATTAAACAAATATATTGAAAAAGAGAAGAATTAAAGTAAAATGATGGATAGAGTTGTAAGTTTTACAAGTAGCAAAATTAATTATTAAAAGTCTCCAGTAAATGATAAAGAAGAAAAGTTAGGGTATGATAGATTAAATTAATTATAAAGAGGACTTGGAAATGATAGATATGCTATAAATTAATATACAAAAAGATTACCTTCAGATCAAAATTTATAAAGATGTAATTTTTTAACTTATTTTTAGATGGTAATTCTTCTGGTTTAATAGTCAAGCAATTTAAAAATTATGATACAATGGATAGAAGAATTTGATCAATTATTTAAATTCACTTTTTTATAAAAAATTCATACATTTAAGATTTTTATGGATATTTAAATATTCATATCTATTTTGTAAAACATTTAAGAATATTTTTAGATTTTTATGAAATCATTAATTATTTAATCAAATTATAAATTCAAAATCACTTCATCTTGATTGATTCATAATATATAAATTGAATAAGTTAAGAAAAGACAATAATTTACTATGTGTTAAGAGAATAAGTTTAATTATTTCTATAATTAGTGGCTTAATGATTTAATTAAAAAAAATAAATCATATATTTAAGCTATTTGATATTATAATCAATTAAGAATTAAAAGCTTCTTTAAACACCAGAGTCTACATGTATAGTCTTCATTTTCATCATAAAGATTGAGTAATAAATGTATTTTGATTTATTTAATTTATTTTAATGTATATGTTGAGTTGAGAATACTCATAGTAGAATCAAATGTATCAAAAGTACAATTTAAAGTAGAAACTTCTCCATTGAACTTTAATTAGAAAGTTAATTCTATTAATTATATTAAGTAATACTTGGATCTTCTTTTGTTTATGATATTTATGAGAGATCAGCATGATTGATTTCATAAAGATTTTCAGTTTCCATTTCTGTAATTGTTTAATCATTAGATTATGGTTTCAAGAATTCATTGAAATCATTTTCAATTGATTCAACTTCTGATTTATCATATTATACTTGTTCTATTACTTCAATTTAAGTAGTTTGTTAAGATTTTTATAGTTTTTGTAAAGGTTTCTCTTTTTTTTTACTTAAAACCATTTTCCTTTGATTTTGCTTCTTAATTTGCTTTTATTCTTTAAAGCTATCTTATTTTATTATTTATGATGTTTGTTGAATATTATCATAATAAAAGGATAGTAATTAAAATAGCTGAGCAATTAATGCAATAAGTGATAAATATATTGTTATCATATTAAATGTTTTAGGCAAGAATAGACTTTAGATAAATATAAAAGATTACTTTAAATCTTATATAATAACAGAAGTTCCTGTTAAAATACTATTAGTCATAAGCAATTTTTGTTTCTTATCTATTAGTATTAATGTAGCTAAACCTGCTAATAAATTAATATACTAAAATGAGTTTTATAATTACCTAATTCGATTAGAATATGGGTGTAAGTCTAGGATGTGACATCATTTGATTAGAATCCCAGAATTCTACTGGTTGATTTTCATAAGTTTAAAGCAAAGCATTTAATGATAACAATGAAAATATTGATCTTACAGCTGAAATGTTCATTTTTATTAATAAAAATAAGTATTTGAAAACACGATTATCAATTATATAGCTTAATTCATATAAACATTAAAATAAATTTTATGCATTTTTATCAAATTTTCATCCTTTTTCATAGTTATATTCAAAAACTGATTATCAAAATTCTTTTACAACATTTAAAGTTTAATTATTTATATAATTATAGAATTCATTGATAATTAATAAAAATGGTTTTAGAAATATATCAATTATAATAAAATAATAGAAATCATTAAAAACCATAAATACAATTTTTATAAGAAAATAAAAACCTTAATAAAGTTTATAATAATATTTCTATAAAATAATTTTTAATATGAAAATGAGATTATTCAAAAATAAATAGATATTCATAATAAAATAGATTTATAATATTCTACTTTTTATAAGTAATTTGGATTAAAGAATATATAATATTTTTGATATTATAAAAAATAAAGTATTTATAAAATATTCATAAATGCAATTTGATAAAAAACATTTGAAAAGTGATAATTGTAATTTTCTTTAAAAATAATTAAATATATGGCAAATTGTATATGTAATGTACTTATTTCATCTTAATCTTCTGGCTTCTCTTTCACATTCCATGAGTTCAAGAGTGTCACCTTTTCTCACTGGTCCCATGACATTTCTAATTAGGGTTCTTTATTGACCAACCAATTGAACCTTAACTTATGTAATGCCACCTCTAGAACCTGCACAATATATAATTAATTGATACCTGTTCTTCCAATGATTTCGATAACTGTGGCTCTTGTTCCTTCTACTCTTTCTTTAGTTGAATCCATAATGAGTTTATCGAATTTTAATTAAATGATTTAATTTATTTTTTGTATATAATGCAAATATTAATAAAGTAAATAAATTGTCACTCTTTATGTTTAGGTGATCTATATGGATTGCTAGGACTTCCTTTTCGATTTACAAATCTGATAGGACTATTCCTATTGACTTACCTAATTTCACTAGGATCAGAAAATAATTGTTTTCTGCCTTCTCTAATAAATTCTTTGGTTTCGGATTAGGCAGGGAATAAAATGAGTTACTAAAATAAAGAAATTAGTTTCCTACTTATAGTTCTGAGTTCTCTTTGCATAATTTATTATTCTTTTATTCTAAGAAGGTGACTTTGCTTTTCAATTCACTTATGACTTCAGCCGTTTCTTCAGTAGGTAGTGTTTAATTGTTTTTAAGGGGACTTGTTTTTCTTTTCTGTAAAACAGTTTTCAACTATTCTAATTACTCCAATGCTTTTTAGAGTACTACTAATTCGAAAGTAGTTGTCTTAAATATTGCTTAACTATTGTAAGTGTTAATTTTGGTTGATAATTATTTAATCTAAAGATTAGCATTTTCCAATTAAGTTTTAAGCATTTTATTTTCATTTTGTAGTAAATGGATTTTCTAATAGAGTAATTCTAATTCTCCTAATTGTTTAACAGGTGTATAGCTATTGGAATCTTATATAGGGGAAGATGATTAAAAGAGCATTCTTTAATTAGGAGAATGTGAAGTGTTAGTTTTATTGATTGGTGTTTGATTTGTAAACGGGATATTTGGATATTGTGAAGGTACATTAACTTATTACATTAATTAATTTAACTGTCATATGAAAAAAAATAGCATTTTATCAGTGCCTATTAAGTATTAAAATTAGATATATTAAGTAGAAGTAAGAATTATATATTATATAGATATTTGCATTTGATACACCATTATAAATAGCCTATAGATTTTGTACTTAACAGAATTTAGAATTCAATTTTATATCACCACTTTCAAAATAAATTATATCCTTTGTGTCTATGCTTTTGGATTCTTCTATTATTGATAACACTATTAAAGCATAAATACGATTACACTTTGATAAATTTATAAATAATGCAAGTATTAGAGAGAGTATTAAAATTGTGGACACTTCCATATAAATTCGAAATGATTGCATACAAATTACAAAATAATAAGAATCAACAAAAAATAAAGATGAAAATTTCAATTTTTCATTTGATAAAGACAATAATGAAGATAACACATCAAACCTTTAGGATTAATTTCAATTTTCATTTAAAAACAAATTATAAGACATGTTAAATCCAGAAAAAAATTAACCTTCTTCTAGAGGTAGTAGTCGTATAGATCATTATGTTAAGAATAATTCAGTTCATTAGATTGAGAATCTTCAAAAATAGGAGAAATTGAATTAGAAAATAATGAATAGATTAAAAAACAAATCACCTAGTAAATCACCTAATAAAAGAATTGGCATTCCTTATTAAGAGTATATGAAAAGACCAAGTGTTTAAATTGATAATTCTAAGGATAGTTTTCATTCAAATCATGGTCTCAGAAATAGGCCTAGTCAATTCATCTCTGTTTAATAAAGTCCCATCTATACACCAGAAAAGCAGGAACAATATACTATTTAAACTTTACCAAAAGGTAGAATAAGTATGGAAAAATCAAAGCAATCTAATTCAAGAAATATCTCACCATAAGAAATTAGTTTCTCTTAATAATAGATAGATTAAAGCATATAATCAGTAAAGAATTGAATTAAATTATTTAGTCTATGATTAGTAATGGAACATTATGTAATAGTAGAATTGAACATTAATCTAAGTAAGACAGAATGAAGAGTTTCAAAGATTTGATGAATAAATTGTAATGTATTTCAACTCCTCAAAAGAGTTAAAGAAATTATGAAATTTATATCAAACAATAAAACAATGCATATGCAAAAATAGTAAACACCATTTTTAGTGTAAAGTTATTAGGAATAAAAAATTAATGAAATATTTGCTATACTTGATACTAATAAAGATGGTTACATAGATCATGAAGTCAATTTATAATAATTAAGATAATAAATTATAGATTTGTTCGAACCAGTTTGGTTTCAAATATTGTGGAAGAAGATTAAGATTAATAAAAGATAGTTTTAAGATATGATGTAAAAAAGGTAATGATTTAAGTAATTAAGAATTAAGGATCTTGATTAATAAGATATTGGAAAATTTATATTTAATGGAATTAAAAAGTGATAATACAACAGTTTTTATACAAATAAATTATTATTTATTAATTCAAAATTATTTGAATTTCGATGTTACCTGAATTTGGTGAAAGTGATGCGGAAAGATATGAAAAATTAGAAAAAATAGGGAGTGGAACCTATGGAGTTGTATATAAAGCATTGGATAAATTAAATGGATAAATTGTAGCTGTTAAAAAAATGACCTAAGAAGTATTGAAAATCCGCCAAATCATTAGTTAGAGTAGGAAGGTGTGCCTTCAACTGCTATTAGAGAGATCAGTTTACTTAGAGAGCTCAACAATCCACATATCGTTTAATTAAAGGACGTAGTTATTAGAAATAAGAAACTTTAACTAGTCTTTGAATATATGGAAAGAGACCTTAAAGCACTTTTGGATAGTTCTCCAAAAGATCAATCTCTCGATAAAATTACCATTAAAAAAATAATTCATCAAATATTGAAGGGTATTCAAGCTTGTCATCAGAGACGTATTTTGCATAGAGATCTTAAGCCTCAAAATATTTTAATTGACAAATAAGGTATTCTGTTTAAAATAATTTAGGCAATACAAAAATAGCTGATTTTGGTTTAGCAAGACCCTTCCAAGTACCAATTAGACCTTATACTCATGAAGTTGTAACTTTATGGTATAGAGCCCCTGAAGTATTATTGGGAGCTGTTGAATATAGTACTCCAGTAGATATTTGGTCAGTTGGATGCATATTTTATGAATTAATTACTAAAAAAGCACTCTTTACAGGAGATTCAGAAATTGATTAATTATTTAGAATATTTAGGATTCTAGGTACTCCAAATGAAAATACATGGCCGGTACTTATTAAAATTCTATTTATTTAGGGTGTTACTAATTTGAAGGATTATAAAACAACATTTCCTAATTGGAGTCCTCAAGGATTTAAATAATTGTTAAATAGAGATGTAGATTAATTAGCAATTGATTTATTAACAAGAATGCTTAGATTGGATCCTACATAAAGAATTAGTGCTAAATAAGCACTTAATCATGTAAACAATTTAAATTATCTTAGTAATACTTTTAAGAATTTTAAATCAAACCGATACCAAAGAAATCAGATTATTAATCCTTAATTAAATTTCCATGAATTTATTATATCATATAATTTTATGTCTGAGAGGTCTTTATCTCCAACAGATTATTATGAATTGAAACATGTTAAATCAATCAAAGTCAATTAAACATCTATTAAAAAGAGAAGATCAATTCATTAAAAAAGTAATCTAGAAATGCAACTGGAATTAAATAGATGTAATCTATCATGTGAATGTTCAAATTGTGGTAAATCTACTGGATTTTCATTAAAAATAAATGGGGAATTACCACTCAAAGAAACTAGGTATTATTTGACAAATATCTTAGATATTAAAAAAAGCAAAGGATCTTAAAAAAATTAAAAGCTATTGGAAATGCTATTATTTTCATTTATTTATATAAAATGGAAGCTATTAAAAAATGGAAAAAGAAAATGCATCATCTTAAATTATCTAAGAACTTAACAATCTTAAGAAGACCTGCAGTTTTGTAATTTGTTAATTAATTACCAAATGCTCAACCTATTAAATAACTTATGAAGTACATTATATCTTTTGAAAGATTGAAATAATATCCTAATTCATCAACTTCCATTCAAGAATTCACTTGAATTATAAAAAGGTGTAACCAATGAGTATTCTCATACAATTTATACTCAATAAACTTCTAGTAATCCAAAAGAGCCAAGACCTTTTGATCCATCTCCTGTGAGACCTAAATCTCGTCATTTGATTGAGAATTTAGGTAAGAATCTCACTAATTCAAAGGATATGTAAAAAATGGAAATGAGTAATTTTCTGAATAATAGCAATAATAAATGAGTAGGGAATCTTAAATTGAATTAAAGAGATTAGGAAGATAGAAAGCATTCTAGAAAACAGTTGAAATGTGTTCAAATAAATCATAAAATGTATTACAAAACAGTTAAGATGAAGAAGTATTAATGAATGAATCTGTGCATAGAATATAATAATCAAATTAAAAAGTAGCAAGAAAAAGTTCAATTTAATAATATTTGGAAAAGATATTCAGAAATGTAGAATGTGTAAATAAAAAAGAAAATAATATTAAACCTTTGAGCATATTTAATGAAGAAATAAATAAATCAAAAAGCAAATATCATTTCAGATCTAATTCTTAATTGTATTTAACTAATTATTAATCTTAATTGGTACCATATTATGAACAAATTAGAACTACAACTAACAGTTCTTATTATAATAATAAAAAGTATAGTATTAAGCCATTAGGTATGATTAAAAATAAAAATAAAGTTATTAAAGTAAAAAAGTGATTATTATAAGAATAACACATCCTTTTATTATAAAATTTATAAAAATGATAGAAAAAACTAAATTTTAAATTTTTTTTAAATCTCACCATCATGATATCAATAATATTCTGTCATTTATTATGTTTTTATCTTTGAGTCTATAAGCTAGGAAATGAGTTTTATTGATTTTATATTAAATTCTTGATAGAAATATAATTATATAAATTTCATTTCAGCCCAAGGTTTCTTAGTTATTGTAGGTTAGATAGAGGAACCCATCTTCATCTTTATGATTCTAGGCCGCTTCTTTCATTTATGATTCAAGAGGGAATTAGGTATTTGTATTTGTATAAAAAATAAAAATAGAGCAATTTTTTGAATTTTCTTATAGCTTTTCTTATAATATTTACAATAGTTTAGTTCCTTTTTATGTTTCATCTATTAAAACTCTATAAAATTATTTAATATATATACTCAGGTCTGTCAAGTAATTTTAAAGTACATTTTGGATGCCTCTCTATAATTAAAGGAATTTTAGTTGGGTGTTTTTATTAATATATCTAAAATTTCTCTTTTCTTTCTTCAAAAGAGTTATTATCCTTGTAAGACAGATTTTAGAATTGCATTTTTATTTTAATAATAATCAACTTTTTGTTTAAATTTCACATAAATATTTATATAGGAAAGTAATATTATATAGAATTTAATAATTAAATGAAATAAATTTTATTAATCTTATTTACATTAAAAATATATAATAATGTCTTAAATTCATAACGATCTTTGTATAAAGAGTATAGATGAATTGAGACAAGTATTTAAGTAAGTTCAAATTCCAAATAAATAACCATAACAATAATAATAGTCTTAACAATAAAGCCCATAGAAAGAAGTCGAAAGAATTATTGAAACTACAGCACCTACTTCTTAACATTAATAATTACATTGTCATCCAATTTGTTTCCCTTCTCATATTTGTCATCCTATTAATTATTAGCCTTTTGTAATAGTCCAAGAGTAACCTATAATAGAAAGGAAATCGAATAAAAAGAAGAAGAAATACGTTAAGGAAGTCTAAGAAGAAATTTAAGTTCAAATACCAGTCAAAAAATCTCGATAAAAAATTGAATAACCCAACTTTAATGTATAAAGGGAAGTCGATCTTTTAGAATAGCTTATAAGATAGGTCAAGATTCAAGAATAACCAGCTTAAGTGTTAGAATATCACATTAGTGTTCCTGAATAGGAGAAACCAAAAGATAACACAGAAATGATTGCTATGTTATCAGCATTAAAATAAGAACCAATATAATTACCTAAAGATGATTATCTAAAAATTGAAAATGCTAGATTACAAGAAGAAATTAAAAATACAAAAATTTAATATCATGAGCTATCAGTCAAATATGAAGAATTATAAAAAAGAAAGAGAAAAGAAAAAATAGTTAAGGAGATTGAATATAAGGAAATACCAAAAATTATTGAAGTGCCTAGAGATGTTATTAAAGAAGTAGTAAAACCATTTGAAGTTATTAAAGAAGTAATTAAAGAAGTTGAAAAACCATCTTAAATGAATACAAAAGAAATACCAATTTATATACCTTAATATAAGGAAGTCACAGTCAACAAAGAAGTTCCAGTTTATAAAGAAGTTCAAGTGGAAAAAGAAGTAAAAGTTTATAAGGATATTCCTGTATACAAAGATGTCCCTGTATATTATGATGTTCCTGTTTATAGAGATGTTCCTATATATTAGAAAGTACCTGTTTATAAGGAAGTACCAGTTTATTCAGAACCAATAAATGTTTACAGAGAAATACCAATAATTAAATAGACAGAACGTATTCCAGAAACAATAGTAGAGTATCCAAATTTATCCAGGACAAGAAGAGTGATCTCACCCAGTTAAAATGGTAGATCATATATACGATCTCCATAATCAAGAATAGAATATTGATTATTAATGAATATTATGATTATTGTAATTATTTTTAGATGTTAAATTTATAATAATAATATGAGTAAAACACATTGAGTTAATTAACTACAAATTCCTCAAAAATCTTTGATTACCCTTCTGTATATAATAGAAATGAGAAGATAAGAAAATATTGTCATTAATTGGTAGATTTAAATCCTAAATAATTCAAGAAATATTTCATATCAGAATAATATATAGATGAATTATTGAATAGAATGGATTATGAAAAATTACTAAAATTTCATTGAAGTTTAACTTTAAATATTTATTGAATAAAAATGATGAAAAAAGTTAACAAAATGAAATAAATTCATCAAATAATATAAGAAATGTTGAAAAACTAAATAAAATTATCAGAGATATTGTTTCACCAATAAAGACTAAAATTATAACATAATCATAATTCTTTGATTAAAATTTAAGAGGTATCCATAATTAATCTCAAATTTAAACTAAAAATTAAGAATCACAATCAAACACTAATTTAAATTTTGACATTCATAAATAATCCTTTATATTATCTTCGATATAATAGGACAAATTAAATTCACCAAAAATTAATAATAAGAAAATTGATGAAATCTCATTTGAAAGATCTTCTATTAAAAAAGATAAATAGAATATGAATGAATTGGATTAATAAAGTTAACTACAAAGTTAAAAATTAAATAATCCATTTTAAAAAATGATATAAAAATGGATTATAATATTAATTTAATAACTACTCCAAAATAAACAGAATTAGATATTTATTAATAGACATTAAATATTAGTATGAATAGTTCATTCAAAGACATAAAAAGAAAAATGAAAAATAAATCTTTACTTCAATATAAGTATTTCTAAAAGTTAGTAGATAAAAGATTTCCTAAAAAAGATATTCCATTTACAATGCTTTTTGTTGATTATATACAAAAAAAGAAAAAAAAACTCGAGAAACTTTAATATTATTACAAATTCTTGATAAAATATTTATATTTATTTTAATATTAAAAATGTAGTTAGATTAATTAATAACAACATTTGGTTTGGATTCTTGTGATGAAATACCATTTCTTAAATTATATGCTAGAAAATTCAAAATATCTCGTCCTTCATATATTGCTTTCCTTATTGTATTATTGGGATTGGCTTGTATTATATTTGGAATAGGTAGAGGATTCTTTATTAAAATTATGACATTGATTTATCCATTTATTATGACATTAGAAATCATTGAAACATAAAGTAATATAATGTATGATTTATATTTAGATTACAAAAATACTAAATAATGGTTATCATATTGGGTTATTGTTATGATTGTTCATTTGTTAGATGATTACTTTTATTGGATATTATATTATTTACCTTATTATCATTTCATGAAATTCATATTTTTTGTATTACTTTTTCATCCGAAAACATAGTTTGCAGAACATTTCTATGATGCAGTATAGATATATAATTACATATAATTAGGTATTTCATAAATGTTATGTTAATTATTAAAAATACATATATTCAAGTAAAAGAAATCCCAGTTTCAATTATTGAATTTAAATAACTTTTCATATGCTTTTATTATTAAAAAGTTTTTATAAGTTGATAACAATCTTTATCCAATTATATATTCTTATTAACATTGTAGAAGCATTGATATATGAGGAATGTTATCTTAAACAGATTTGATTGACATTTTGATTGAAAATTCTATTTGTTTTTAACAATCTTCCAAATAAAAATAAAATCTTTCATTTTTATATAAAATAGTCACTATTACATTCATCATTAATCTCGATGAATATATAAACTTATATTTAGAATGACTAAATATATTATTTTTTTATATACTTATTAATATAAGTTTCTAATTTTATCGATTTTTTATTGGTTCTTAATGCTTATATACTTTTAATATCAACTTTAGGAAATTCAATTACTTTTTTTTTATTCTTTATTTAATCAGTTAAGTATTCACTACTTTATTTAAGAATCCTTAATGCTGTATTATAAGAAATTTGATTCAACTAAATTTTATATATAAATATTTTACTGATGAGTAATTATAAATACATTGTCTAAATTGACATTTCAAATTGATAGTTTTTTAAATTGAACCATCTAATTTTTTATATGAAAAATAGATATTTGTGCTTTATGATTCTTTGAGAGATATGAAACTATATTTCTCAAACATTGAACCATATTCAACTTATTATTACTCAAAAAATATTTCTGCTTAATAATCATCTTCAATAAAAACTTATTTAGAAACTCTAAAATTAACATAAAATGAAATACCCCAATTATCTTAATATACCTCTATAAGTATCTATTTATAATATATATTTATTGTAATTAGTCATTATGATATTACAATCTTCAATCATTTATTCCCAGAACTATTTAAATAATTAATAGTACATAACACATTATGAATTTATAAGAAATATTTTTGGATAATGCTGCAATTTTTAAGATTTTTTACAATTTTATGCTATCATAAAATGTATCAAATTTGCTTATTGATGGTTTTACACTAACTCTTTCTTTGAATACTAAATATATAAATTAAATACATACTTTATACATCATGTGATACTCTTTATGGATGTGATTATTTTCCAAAATATGTTCTTGATGAAGGTTTCTTACTTTCACTTCTCAAAATCTTATGACTTTATTTCATTTAAGTCTATTATTGATGACCAGTTTAAGATTAGGCTTAAGAACGATAATGGTTAAATCCATTAGATTAATCAGATTATTATTAATTCATTAGCATTTATTCATATTGATCTTTAAATTTTTAAATACTAATAGAAGAGATTCCTGATCTTTCACTTAATCTTGATTTTATTGAAAACTAATCATCTATCTGTTACAATTTTTTCTATCTCATAAATTATATGAAATTATTATATCTCTATGGAAATTGATTCAAATACTCATCCAAATTTTCTAAGATATTTCCAGGAATAATCTTATCTAATGTTGATTGATGTAAATGTCCAAATTCATAATCTGACATAACACTTCTAAATTATTTACATAAATTTGGAATATAAATTTGTATTATTAAATCATGATTTAAAGTATTTTAAAATAAAGAAACAATTAAGAAATGCTTACTCAATTTCTTAACTTTTTAAAATATTAATTTTATAGCTTATTTCTATTTTATAAAAAGATTCGTTTTTTCCTTTTATCCTAGATTCTCAATTATCTAATTCACATATTTAAAATTTGAATTTAGAGACAAATGAACCTATTAAGAATTACCATTATATGATAAACTTAGTAAATTCTTTAAGAATAAAGCTTTCTCTTCTACAGAATGATTCAAGATTTAGAATGTCTATAAATCATTATGATTGAGATAAGTTTTAAAAGATGATAATCGTTTTTCAAATGGAAATATTAGAATCTCTAAAATCATTATATCTTCCTCCATTAAATATTAAGTAAATTATAATAAATTCATCCCTTTAAAATTATTTAATTTTGAAACTACTTAAAATTTAGTTATTTTACAATAAGTTCTTAATAAATTCTTAATATGACTTTATTCATTAGCAACTAAATGTTTTAGTAATATTTTATAAATCTCTTAAGTTGAACTTGATTTCAATTCATAATTAAAAATTTATTTTGTTTAATTTTAAAAACCCAATGTTACAAAGCTTCCATTAGCCTTATATTCTTAAAGGATATAATAATTTAAGACTCTTTATAATTATTAAAATTCACCAATAGTAGGTCTACTCTATTAATTAATGATTTTCTAAAACAATTCTTACAATTTTTTTAAACTTTATAAATTATTTATTTATATAAATTTTGGTTATGAAATTTTGTACATATATAATTCATAGATTTCTTTACCTTTAAAGAATGATTATTTAATTTTAAATACAATTCTTAATTGATTTAAGGGTTTAAAAATAAAAATATAATAATGATCTTTATTTATTTATGAATTGTCATTAATTAATGATTTTCTTTCAATCCTTTTTGATATTTTATATTCTGGACACTCATAAAAATTATTATTAACGATTGAATTATAAGTAAATCCTTATAATTGATTGATTTATTTGATATAATTGAGTTTTGCTATATATGGAATATTTCTATAATATCCCAAATAAATTTTTAATATGTATATATCAATATTTACAATTTTACTGAATTGTTGTAATGAATAGCAAATTTAAATAATTTCCTTTTCTTAAAATTAATAAGTATGTAGAAGAAAATGACCAAAATTTTCTGGATTTTCAAAATTAAATGTAAATGTCAGATAATTAATATGCCAGCCTTCTTTATTACGTGTTAAATAAAGAAGTAAAATCTATCTAAAATCATTATATAATTACTTATTGACTCTAATAAGGATTAAAAGGAATGGAATCTTTTAATATTATTTCTCTTTATTTTGGATAATTTTTAAAATAATCATCTATAATAGGTTTTTACTTTTTATTAGTTTTTTTGATAAGGTTTGAAGAGCTTTAGGAAAATGAAGAAATTGTATTATTTTTTTATCTAATTTAAGGGGAAATAGAAGATCTAGGTGAAGCTTAGGAGAATCCTGATTTTGGTGTAAAACTGGATTCTTCAATTATTTCATCTTAAAATTCTACTTTAAATGATTAAGATCTCAAACCCTACCAGTAATTATAAGGTGACATTCCTCTTGACTATAAAACTGGAGATTATAATTCTATTGCAATAGACAAAGATTTTAATAATTTTTGATTTCTTAAATTAGAATTTTTAATACCAAAATATCTACTACCAACATGAAATGGAGAAAATGTCTTTTTAATGAGATTTCTTCGTTATTCAATTTATCTATATAATTCCACTTAATTTTCAAGAACTTATTCAGAAAATGTAACTCTTCTAAATTTATATCCATTTTCAGTTCTCATATATAGAAAATTATTTAAAAATAATTAGTTTAAATGATTTGATATATTTTAACATCCTTTTTTTAAAATATCTTATCTCAATAATGTTTATTTAGTCTGAATAAATTAAGTTGTAGGTTTAATAGAATGATTATATTGTATACCATGTGATTAAAAATAAACATTTATTAATTAAGAAATGAGTTCTGTACTTGAAAATGTATTTTCAAAATCTTTAGAAATATTTTATATATTTTTTAAATGTAATCTGATATCATATTATTTACCTTTAATTTCAATTGAAATACTTAAAACAAATATAGCATTAGTACCATCAATACTATTACTCCATACTTCTATAATTTATCTATATTTAGGTGTTTCTTTATATAATTTTATTATATCTGGATGGATTTATGTTTTCTTAGTTTTTAATCGTTTGAATATGATCCATGAAAAATTCTTAATTTTCCAAGAGACTGCATTAATTTATTTAATTGGTGAATAAATCATCCATGATTTTAATGAACCTTAATCTATCACCTAACATATATGAAGAATCTATTTAATTCTAGCAATCTTCTCTTCTATTAACATATTTTTAGTTGCACCAACTTCAACTACTAAATTAGAAAAATGTTATTTAGCTGTACTCTTTTTCATTAAATCTTAACTTTTTTATATCTTTTACTTTTATACAAAACTTCTAAAATTCTTTATTATCATTCTTAAGGCATGTTCTTATTAGATTTTATATAATCCATCTAATCTATTATGTAAATATTCATTATCAATTTAATGTTTACTTCTACCAGTACTAGTATTTAAACTATAATAAGATTAACCAATTCTAGGAGAAAAATGAAAGTCTAAATCTTATTATACTCTTTATTAATCAATCTTAAAATAACTTGATTATTCTGACATTTCACATTATATTGATTTAGAATCCAAAATTTTTTATTAAGATTATTCTTTTATATCTATACGTTATTTAGAACTACTTTTCATTAAATTTTATTAATGTAATTTTATTTAACTTCTTTTTAATAAAGTATTCCTATTTTATTATTATTATTAAGATAAACTTGATTATTAATGATGATGTTTTTAAGGAGATGGTTAATTTTTAATTAATTTTTTAGGATGTCTCTATTTACATGATTAAGGTCTTTATAAAAGTAATTCTTGTATATTACTTCCTTCAATTGGTACATCTTAAACAGAATCTAGTTTATGAGATCCTCTTAATTCACTTGTAATATTATTCTATCTGAATTAAATTATTGATTTTGAATTTATATTAGAACTTTAAAGAGGAAGAAATAAATTCATTTTTTAATCAGATATTTTAAGTAATGATTCATTACCTTTATATCTAATTCTTTTAGATGGTTCAAAGGTTGATGCTTCAGTTGTTAATTTTTCAATTTCACTTAAATGCATATTTCTACCTTTTTTTTAATTGATTTCTTTTTTGCTTTAATGTTTAAAATATTAAAATTCTAATCCTTGTTTAAAAACTTCAAAATTAGGTATTGATTATAACTATAAGAATTTAATTTTTCTTTATCTCTACTCTAATTCAGTTTAATATAACTAACTGATTTTATGATCAGTTCCAAAAAACTATTCTGCTAATTTAGCTGCATATTCAATGTGTTCAATTTTATTAGTTTACTTATATAACATGAAATATGTTTTAGCTTTTATTTAATTAATCTTTTCATCATTTGTATCAAGATCCAATAATCCCTCTGCTGTTAAACTTTATTTTAAGTGATATTGGGCTTCAGCTAAAAAAAAATATAATGAGCTTTTTGTAAATTAATCTACTTTTTGTTTGACTCCATTTGGTAGCTTATCAAATTCTTTAATATGATCTCCTATTAAATGAACAATCTAATCCCATTCCTTGTCCCTTCTATATTATATACAAAGTGGTAAAGATTCTTAAAATATATGAGTATATTTGTTTATATAATCCTTTGAAGTTAGACTTTTCATTAAACTATTAAATTTATTCATTTTGAAATAAAGTAAGAAAATTATAATGAAATTAAACTTAAGAATTTCATATAATTATTTTATAAACTTTTTATATAAACTTTATACAATAATATATCATATTCTAATACTATCCTTTTAATCATCTACTAAATTGATTTAGTATCAATTTATTTATGAATTTTATAAGAATGAATAAATTAATCAATATATTTTATTATAAGAAGAATAATTATGTTTATGTATAAATAATTTAATAGTTTCTAATGTTATTTATCTATTTTTATTTATCAAACTAACTATCAATTCAAATAAACTTCGAATTAATTATTTAAGAATAATAATTAATTTATCGACTATTATTACAATACTAACATATTTTACATAGATATGAACTAAATTAGAATTATTGATCATTTATACTGCATACCAATTTCAATCTCTTACAATATTATTTTATTTACTTTATGAATTAGATAAATTATATAAATTGTATGAAAAATTGATGCTTTCATATCATAAATATAAATTTAATGTTATTGATATTAAGTCATTTGTGCCAAAATTAAGTAATAGATTCTTTTTGAAATATTATTTAATTTAATATAGAGAATTCTTAATTTCTTTAATTTATCAAAAAAAATTAGGTTTTTTGTTCAAATTTAAATAAAATCAAACATAAAACATACAGAAGGTGAGATTTTGGCTAAAGAATTAAAAAAAACATAAAGTTCCATTACTTTTTGAGAGTGGATTTTTATGTTTATGTTCCACTTGTTCAGTCTTATTAAGTAATTCTAATGATTTTAATAAAATTTAAATTGCTTAACTATAAAGTTATGAAGAGATAAAGGAAAATTGGAAGGCATTTATTCTAAAAGAAAATTTAAGAGTGCTTCTTTCTTGTTAAATTAATGTATACAAAGAATTGGAAAAATGTTACATTATTAATTTGAGCATTTTCATTTATAAAGTAATGTTATAAATGATCTTTTGTTAAAGTCTTGAAACTTATATTAATATAATTTATATTCAAATGTCTTTCGATAAATTACAACCTGTCATTAAACAAATAGATATGAGTGATGAAATGTAAAGAGAAGTCATTGAAGTATCAAGATAAGCCATAGACAAGAGTTCTACTGTATAAGCATTTATAATATGTAGGATTAATAAATTGCATCATATATCAAAGATGAATTAAGAGCAAAATATCATGGAACGTGGCATTGTATTGTAGGAAGAAACTTTGGGTCGTATGTAACTCATGAAACAAAACATTATATATATTTTTACATTGGATAACTGGCCATCATGCTCTTCAAAACAGGATGATTTATATATTAAATAACAGAATATAAATATTGGTAATATGAATTACTTCTTTTTAAAATCATAAATGCTTAATATTGAGAGGATCTCAAAATATCAGTTTTTTAATTATTATATTATATTTGTAAAAAAGTGAACTATTCTTAATCAAATAGAATCTTGAATATATTAACTTTATGCTTTTGAATAGAATACTTTTTATTTATTAGGATTTTATGTTTTTTCTCTGGATTGGATTTATTAGAAATTTAATTTAACAATGAAATCATCATCATTTGGCATAAAATTTTTATATTCTTATTAAATTGAATTGAGTGGATTGAATTATATGCATTTAATTAATTTATTTGTTTAAGAATCAGTATCATCTAACATAAATGTAGGTTAGATATCATGATTTTCTAAATCATATTTTTTTAGATTAACTTTTTTATGTATTTATGATTTTTTCATTATTTTAGCAATTATTGATAAATTTGATTTTTCTAACACAAAATTTTTAATTTATTATCCTGATTATACTCTTTTACTAGTAGTTCTTGCACTTATTTAAAATTTTTAATCTAAATCATAAGTTTTTTCATTTCGAAATGAATATGTCTTTCTTGCTGAAAAGGTAGTTTAAGGACGAATAAAGTTTGTGTTTTTTGTTTATTAAATATTTGTATTTTATGAATAATAGTCCATATATTTACTTTTTACTTCCATTTAATTTGTTTTCATAGCATATTTTTAATTTATACTATTTAATTTTTATTCTAATTCTTTGCTTATTAATTTACATTTCTTAGGTTATTGAATTGTTTTTGGTTATATTGATTAAGATTTATATGATCTATATATCACTCTATTTTTGAAGTTTTTGATGACTTATTGAATTCTTTATGGTTTATTATCATATTTTTAAGAATGTTAAAATGAACTGTACAAATTATCAAAATTACCAATTTTATCTAATGATGTTTCATTCTCTTAAGAAATCTTTGGTGGATCTATAATATTATGACTTTTATTATTTTATTAGGCAAGATTCTTTATTTTATTCAAAATGTCTTTTATTTTTCCTAAATCCCAACTGCCGCTTATTTTATTACATTTCAAAGTACGCAACATTTCTAATGGATTATGTAAAAAATCCTCAATCATTCCACTTGCTAAACCAAAAGATTTTTGTTTATTAGGACTGTTCTCCAAGTTAATATAAGTCAAAGACATAAAAAAATTAAATTAGTAAACAAATACAAATCATACTTACATTCTTCTTTAATCAATTACTAGGATATTTGGTTTTGCTCTATTAGCTATTCTGCTTTTTAAGATTCTCATTTCTTGGTCAACTAAAAATTTATTACATTTTGGTATTTCAAAAGAAAGATTACCTAATTAAATTTAATTGTTAACTAATTATTAATCTCTTATATTATTAGGAGTATATGAACCATATTAATTATATAATGTTTTTCTTAATTTTTTCTTGATGGTTGCAGATTCAATAATAGATTGAGCTCTATTCGTGAGTTCATCTAAAAAAATAGATTATCCTTTCTTAATATTTGAAACTTTCTTAATTATTGGAGGAGAGTTTCTTTTCTCACATTTAATCCATTGTTAAGTAAAATCATTGAAGGTTTTATTTAATATAATTCTTGCTTTATCAAATCTGATTCTTTCTGTATGAGAAGATGTTACAGGTTTTATTGATTATTTAATCGGATTACTTAGATGTTCACTATTTTTAAGTGATGGTAAACCCATTTTTTAATTTTTTGGTGTATTTCGATTTTAATATTCAATGAGTTTTTTATTAATATTTCTTGATCTTAAATTAGATCTTTCTACTATGTCAATTGACTTATATTGATTTCTATAATATTATGCTATTTCATTTAAATCTTGATTCTTATAATTCTCTTCTATTTTTATAGGCTATTAAATTTGTTTTTTATATATGTTTTCAAAGGCAATTATTTTTATAGAATTTAAGATCTATTTGATTTATTCAGTATCATTCTAATAATACCCATGTTCTATTTATCTCAATTATATTTATTCTAATTCTTTTAGAGGTGAACTCATTATAAGTTAATTAATATTAATATTTTTATTTTACTTAATTATAAAATTGTATCAAAGAGTTTCAAAAGAACTACTCATATAGATTAAATTGATTTTTTAAATGAGTAAAGATGAAATGATGTTATTAAACAAATAGTCTTAAATTAATATAATATTTTTGATTATTTTATTTTTGTTATTGAAAACCATTGAATTTTCGAATTGTTTTTATTACAATATATCTGATAATATGATAATCATTTTCAGATTGAATTCACGAATAATTATATCTAAAATTTTTTGATTAATAAATATAATATCAACTTATTTTATGATATATACATTTTAATGAAATTTAAATTATATTACTAAATCTAATTTTTATTATAATATTTAGAAATTTTTAAATCAAAAATAGATCTAAACTTAATTATGTTTTTGAATTTATTTTTTAAAATGAAAGATTCCTCAGAAGAATTAAATTTTATGTATTATAATATCTTCATATATTGAAAAGTAACGAGATTAGAATATTAAATCCTTATCTTTTAGTTTATGGTTTAAAGAATCTTTTTTTTATTTTCAACATATAAATAAGATTAGAAAATACTTATTGTTCTCAACTTATTAGCAATAAATATTGAAAAAAAACACTGTGATTTATGACTAATTTAGTAATATTTTTAATTAATTATTATTTAAATGTTGCTAACCAATGAAACCTGTTAATTTTGTTTTAAGAATAAAAATGAACCTACATGTTGTTGGGTAAAATGTCTTATAGGACTTGCATTAATTGCATTGGCGGTGCTCCTATTTTTGACTATCATTTTTTTTTGGATTGAGTTAGTCTTTATCATTTTTATCCCTGTGTTGTTATTTGCAGCTGGCTTTGGTTTTATTATATGTTCTTGTGAACATAAACCAATAAATTAAGGATAAATTGATGATGACTGAATTATTAATAATCTAGTATTGTTTTGAAAATCAATTATTATTTTGCAGAATATCATTGATTCTTATTTGTGATATGCAATTAACTTAAATTAATCTAATCTTCAAGTTGATATAGATCAATAAGTCTTGCAACTTTTATAAAATATTTGAATTTTCTATAAAGTATATATAATTTTATTAATTTTGGTTTAATTGGGTCTATTATATATTTTAAATAAAACCAAAAAATTCAAAAGAAATATATTGATATCTAACATTTATGTTGAATTAGAGTTTAATTAGATTTGCCAAATAATAATTATCAATTATTGGTCTAAATTTAATAATAACAATTTTATAATTATATAGATTATATATATTTAACACTATTCATTGAAGATAAAATTAATGTCTTAAATCCAAAAATAATATATAATTTTAATTAAATAAATCATTATTGCTGACACTAAAATAAAAATATGTTCTTGAAAACAGTAGAGAAAAATAATATTTGATAAATCAAGTAAAAAACTCAATATCACCTTATATTTTGATAACAAAATTAAGAATTTATTAATAAAACAAATTTAATAATAATATATAAATGATATTAAATTAAAAAAACAATTATACAAAAAAATTTAGTCAAAATATTATAACTGTTTTATTGACAAAATATATAAATTAAATTTATTATGATAAGGATAATTGTGTTCTTTAAATTTTTATTAATATAAATTTTTAATAACAATTATTTGCTCATTTAAAGTATAGATATATATATTGATAATTTATTTGATATACTTAGAAATATAATATATATTTAATATATTTAAATGATTATGATTGAATTTGTAGTGGATATTTGTATTTGTGTATTATTGAAAGTATAATTAAATAAATGTATTAAAATAAAATATTTTGTGCATTATCAAGTATTGCCTTAATATTTTTTTGTGTTAATTTCAGAGCATCTTTACCAGCATTTTATTTAATAGAATGCTTGATTCTTTTCAAAACAAGTATTTAAGTGAGTTTTAAAAGAAATGATAGAATTTTTAATGAATTAATGCAACATAAAGAGTATTGTGTATTTTTAATGATAAAAGGACTCTTTCTCAAAAAGAAAAGTTGATTTTAATAGATAAATCATTTAGAATAAGTAGATTGTATAAATTGAAAGTAATGATAATTGTTGGAATCAACATAATAATATTACTATATTTAGGTGCCAATTTTTATGCACCTGAACTTTTAAAGTCTTTATTAAACAAATATAAAGAGTATACTAATATAATTCAAGAAAGAGTAAAATATTATCCTTCTATTTTTAGATGTAAGATTTAACTCTATTTTAAAATGTCATCTACAACAGCATTTTCTTTTTAATCAGTTTTCCATACATGTCATCAGAATTTACGATATACTCAAAGGTGAATTGGAGTTATTTTCGATTCTTCAATACAATTTCAGCATCATATCGTTATCTTTAAGTATAAGAATTTCAATTTATTCTAGTTCTTAGAAGCAATACTATTGTTGACAGCTTCATTTCTGAAACCAACATTAGCAGCATATCCTTTGAATTTGTTTGCATTTATTTTGATTTATGAAATAAGTATACAGGAGCCATTCTTTTTTAAAACTGTATAATTGTATAGTAATTAGCATTCAGATGAAACAAAGCATTAAACATCGAATATTATGCAAGTTATAGATTGTGATATAATACTTTTTGATAATAATTTTAGCTTTAGAATATTCTGGATTACCTGAATATGGATTAAATAGTTTTTAAGCATTGTTATCTGGATTAAAGACATCATATGATGGTCCTTATTTACTAATATTGGCAATAGCTTATTTTTTAAATATTATAATAGATGTGTTATATAATGTGAGATAATTAAGAGGTTAAGTGAGTATAGCAAGTGATTTATCTAATGATTTTGATTTAGATTTAATCAGTTATTTAGCTTAAAAAGAAAGATAGGAAAGAAGATAGACAGTTGTAGCATTGATAATTTAAACTTAAGAGAATGTAATACAAGATCAAAAAGAGTCACCATAGAATAATAATTAAATTGAATTGAATGGAGAAGTAAAGAGAAATTATATAGAATAGGATTAGGAATAGGAAATGATTGAGGATAATTAAGAAGGGTAAGAAAAAATAAGGAAAAATCATTAGTTTTTGATAATAAGAATATTAATTGCTATTTAATAATTATATTGTGTATTTATTATAATGAGATTTCCTTATTTAGGATTTACATTATCAATTTTATGGATATTTTAAAGTTCAATAACTAGAAATCCAGAATAGATAATTTAATTTTTATATTTAATTTATTATCCAACTACATATTATTAAATAAGAGAATGTGAAAAACTTGATGTATTTGATTAATGTTTAATTTGGATTTAAATTATTATATGTTTTGGAACATATAAATTTTATTTAAATAATAAATAATAGATTTAAAATGCACTTAATTCAAAATAATCATTATTTTAGACATATTTTAATTAAGAATAAGAAGAGGAAGCATTTTAGATTGCATAATTAATATGGGCATTTATATTGAGGAATAGTTATTCAATTACATTAGTAATAGTATTTTGGATTAGTTTATTTACAGCTAATATAATTCATACACTTTTATTGGTTACAACAATATTATTTATAGTGAGACATGAAAATAAAAATAGATCTCATTCATAACATTCATTTAGACATAGAAATTGGATATGGATGGTTGTTATAATTAATATGATTATATTACTTAAATATGTATATATGTTGGAGATGGTAGTATTTGGTGATTTTGGTTATAATATAATTGAATTATTTGGATTTTAATTTGAATACAATTTACCATTTAATTTAGGATTTAATGATAAAGATTTTGGATCTTTAAGTGTATTTTGGATGCTTGATTGTTTTGTTGTGCTTTAATATGAAACATATAAAAGTACAACATATAAATAATTACAGGAGAATTATTAAAAAATGATATCAAAAATTGGTATATTTTCATCAATAAGATAATTGTATAATGTATTGTATATTAAATTTATTTTATGGATTTGTTATTGGATATCTTTATTAATATTAACTTTTTAATCTTTCAATATTATAAATCTATTTTAGATTTTACTATTAATATATATAATAAAGACTCATATTTCAGGAATGATAAATAAGGATATTCAATATAGAAAGATACAAATATGTTGGAGTATATTTTTAATGTAAGTTGGATTTGCTACATTATTTAGATATTTATTTGATTTCTCTTGGTAATTAATTATATATATTATTTTAAGTTTATAATTATTGTAATCTTAATTAAGAAAGATAACTATTTATGAATATATGTATACACATTAAGTTTTTATTGGATTAAGTAAAAGAGTACCATTTTTAATATTTCCAAATCTTGTTTTAGATATTGCAGTTTTATGTTTAGGATATTTGGGTTAAGATTATTTATAATAAATGATATCAATAAATGATTTAACAGTTCATATATAGAGATAAAATAAACATATGAATGAAAATAATGAAATTGAATTAGAAGATTTAAGTAAAAGTCTTAAGGAAAATTTAATCAATTCTAATAATGAATCTTAAATGGAAGATAGATAATCTATAGCAGCCAATTTTGCATATGATTTCTCTATCTAATTGTAATATTATATAATTATATATTAATAGTCCTTTTTTAAATGTGATTTATAAATATGTAAGTTTAGTATTACCAATAACTATTTATATAGTTATTGTTATAACATCAATTAAATATAAGATTTCCTGTAGTATGCTAGTTTATTTATTAATTATGTTTTATTACATATACAAAACTAGATCATATTTTATTGACCAATTTTAGAATCATTAAATCACAAGCAAACTCAATGAAAGTATTAAATGAATTTAATTAGAAATTATAAGATGGAAATATATATTTATAACTAAAGTAGAAAAGGAAGGAATGCGTGTTAGAATGGAAGATTCTCTAACATCAAAATATAATACTAATCTTATTTTAACTATTGCAATGATTACCAAAGACATAAAATTAAAATCATTTGAATATAAAAAAGCTTGTTGGGTTGGTACACTTATGTTTAGTTTATTATTCTTATTAATTACATACTTATCTTAATCATTAAAATATTTTGAGGATTATATTGATATCAAAACAATGGTAAATATTAAATATATTTTATTTGCATTTGGAACTTATAATGATTATCAAAGAGATGATTTGATAGTTAAAGACATATATCCATATTTAATTGCTTTGATAATTGTTATTATTGATGTTAAAGCTTCAGATTTTTTAAATTCTATTGATAATGATGATTAACATTAAGAATAAATTACTAAATCACTATAAATGACTGAATAATATAGAGTTTCTGAGAGAGAATCACTATAAAATTCTACTTCTTATTTGATTGATAATTTCTATTACAATAAATATCAATTATTAAAGCTGAATTTTTAGAAAGGAGCTATACATTCATCAGAAAGAATGTATATGATAATCTTATTCTTTCTGGCTGCTATTTCTGAAGGTATATTTAGTATTATATATATCCTATTATTTGCACTAGTCTTTTACTCATCAACCAATTCCAAATCAACTATAAATAAGTATTTTATTTCATTTATTTTAAAGAGTGAGTGTATTAGTTGTAATATTTCAATATGTTAGTTATTTAATAACATTATCATCAGGCTCATCTCCAAGAATATTACCTGAAGAATTCAATAAAACTGAATATTTAATATTCAATTTCTCAAATACCGATTTATTAGATTAATGGGGATTATCTGGGAAAGGAAGAAGCAAAGGTACTTTCATATTTAATTGCATAATCATATTTGCAATTTGGCTATTTTATTATTTTTAGGAAGTATTAAGTATTAAGATGATCTTATTTATTGATTAATGTTACATTAATATGAAATTAAGAAAAAAAGAAAAACATATCTCATCTAAATTTTACATTATTATTAAAAGACTGTATATAATTAGCATTGTTTATTTTATATTATTAGTATAACTTTCAGTTTTATGCTATTATTTATTTATAGTCTACTCAACTAGAATATTAAAAACTATTAATTTGGTTATGTTTCTATTTACTATGTAAATAAATTATATTATATTTTAGATTATCATTATATATTATTGAAATATAATTAAAGATTCCAAAGAAATAAACTGAAAAAAGAACTGATATTTATAAAAGAATAATATTTGTTTAAGAAGGAGCTATTCTAATAATATTTACAATCTTATTTGCATAGAAATTATTTAAGGATGAAAATAATACATAAAGTAATATTTCAATAGTAGAAATTTTGATATTTTATTTGTTGTAATTAGGCAAAGATCTCTTGGAATCTGAATAATATGAGAAGATATCAAAGGATTTCTATGATAATCTTGATACTAGATCAGAAGCTGTGGGATTAGCTATGAGTTTTGAAGCTAATAATAGAAAATTGATGAAATTAATTGAAAGATATAAAGATAGAAATGATTTAAAAGAAAGAATAGATACAATTACTAAAATGATAAATGAATTTAATTAAGATAAGTAAGATTTCTATTTTGAAATAGTCGATAATCTGATTGTTAAGTCATAAATATATAAGATCAATATAATCCAATGGCTGAACCTTTGAAACTTACAATTTACAAATGGATTGAATCTCATAGAAATCGATTCTTATTTGAACCTACTTTATAGATTTTCCATTTCATTGCTTGTTCCAATTTGTAAGTATTAGAAATTGCAGAACATGAAATTTAATATATTTAGAATCAAGATTTTGAGGCTGTTATTTCTTATTTATAAAGTTTTTACAAAGAGGCTACAAAATACATATCACCTACTTTAAGTAAAGAAAGTTTCATGTAGTAATTCTTATAAAATAAGAAGAGTGTTGGATTTAGTTAAAATAATGAGATTAGATAAATAAAGAAAGATTGGTAAAGTTTAAAAGAGAAGATATCAGAACATGCTTCATCAAATAATTTAACTAGAGAAGATATTTCATAATACATTAATTAATATGATATGATGAGATTTCTTTTAGTAATTGGATAATTTATATTTTCTTTTTGGCATTTCATTTGTTTCATACTATTAATCACATATTATTTTTTAAATCATGGTTTTTTTACTACAATATTACCATTATTAGTATTTGCTTATGGTGCAATTGAAGAATAATAACCAGATAAATTAATGTGGATATTTCCTTTTATTTATTTAAATTTTCTTTGTGCTTTAGAGAAATTGGATGATCTTACTCCATTTTTATAAGACAATTCTTTTTTAGTATTTTTATTTGGTGAAAATTCAGTAGTCTTTTAATTTATAACAATAGTAGCTATAATAATATAAGTAAATATTATGAAAAATATTGGTCTCTATGAGAAATTTATTAATCAATATGAGACCATATATGGTAGTATTTTAAGACATCTTTGTAATGGTACTTTAAATTTGGAAGATGGTATAAAGAGACCAAAATAATAAAAAATAGTAAGATCAAAAAGTTAAGAGAGATTCTAATGTTTAAATACAGCATTATAAGCTTAACGTGTTTCAATATAGATGAATCAAACTTTTACAGTTTTATAAAAATTAGAAGATGATCTAATAGATTATTTAACAAGAATCAAATTAATTAAACCTAATTTTTTCTTTAGAGCTTTCAGTAATATGAAACCTGGAAAAGATGTATATCCATTTATGGCTGGTATATAAATAATATTGGCTATTTATATATTTTTATTTTATGATTAAATGAAATCAATGGATTCACCTTCAATTTCAGAATTATTAAAATATAGTTAATTTTCTGGTCATATGGTTGTTGCTTTATTATTTTAAATACTATGTATATTAATAGATAGATATATACTATAATACAAACCTAAATCTGCTTAATATAGTATAATAGATGTATTTTTTAAGAGTGGAAATAATTTAAATTAGAATTAAGCAATGATTTAGTAATTTAATCAATCGAAAGATTAATTAGAACCTGAAGAAGTTAAATAAATTGAAATTCAAATGAGATAAACAGTTGGAGGAGGATAAAAATAAGATGATAATAATCCTCCAATTATTAGAAAGGCAAGATCATTATCATATTCAGAAAAGAAATAAATAGAATAGAAATAAGTAGAATAAGTTGCTTTAAGATACAAATATTATTTTTAGGTAATATTATTAGTTTCTATAAATCTATATTTATTGTATTAAATAAGATAAAGTACTTGTAATGCAGCTGGAGAATGTTAATATATTACTTATAATATATTTATGATCCTCTTTTATATGTTAATTTGTTTGTATTTCTTTTTGTCTTCCATTCAAATTAAATATGGGATTAATGATCAAATAGTAAACAAATATATAATTATTATTATTAGGCATAAAATACTTTGATGAAAGGATATAAATTCCATAATTTTGTTATATTTAAGATTTATAAATTAATGCCATTTTTATTTGAATTAAGAACTATATGTGATTGGGCATTTTCAGAAACTTCATTAACTTTATTTTAATGGATAAAATTAGAAGAAATACATTCTTTATTATATTTGGCCAAATGTAATTCCTATTTCTTTTCTAATAAAAAGGTTGGGGCTAAGATTGCATTTCATACTAAATTTTCATTAGGATTCTTAGTAATTTTAGTATTATTAGCTTTATTATTTGGTCCAATATTTTTATATTCTCCATTAAATCCAACATTTTAGAATGATAATTTAATAGGAGCTAATATAGAAGTTGGTTTGAAAATAAATAAAACAAATTATTTTACATTATTTGTTAATTCACATGTTAGTGATATACATTAGATTAGTGAATATGAGTGGAATGCTAAAAATTTATCATAATATAAATTCTTAAATAATATTGATAAAGAATCATTATAAATAGTTAAATTAACTCATTTTTCAGATACATATTGGGATATTAGTTATCCTAGTTTATATTCATTATCAGAGAATTTGAAAAATGTTATTGATAAGAAAGGTGCATCAACATTTAATTTAATATAAACATATAGATTTATGAGATAATATACAGATTAAACATCATAATTTGTAAGTGATAATTATGAATTAAATATAAATACATTGAAATAGATATATGAATCAATAGTAAGTTGTTAAGAGAATAAATAAATGATGAATCCAATTTAATTATAAAAATTTTATCATGATTTTATTAGAATAGATAAAAATAAAGATATATCTATATTAGATGAAGGATTGATGAATTCAGTAATGATATAATTAAATTGTACAGCAAATGATTAATTTTGGTGGTCAATATATTCAGATTATAAATAATCAGTAGGAATTAAATTCTATATTGTAAGTGATAAATATTCAAGTGCTTTGTTGGGATATTCCATATTGGGATTTTATATAACTATAGTATATGTTGCTGGTAAGATGGCAAGAGGAATAATGTCAGGTGGAATAGATTTGATAATGTTATAAGATATGCCATATCCTGATAATTTATTAAAAATTTGTGAAGCAATAATAATGGCAAGAGTAGAAAAGGATTTGATATAAGAAGAATTATTATACTTTTAATTAATAGATGTAATAAGATCACCATAATTGATGAGGAATATATCTGGAAGTTTTGTTGCTTAGAGATTATAGAGATTAGAAATAGATAAATAATTGTAGAAAAAGAAATGATTTTTGTTATTAAATTAAAAAGTATTTAAGTATTATTATAGAAAATGAATATAAATTATGTAATTGAATATAGAATATTCATTGATCATTTGGAACTATGATAAATCCTACTGTTATTGAATGTTATAAATTCTATTCTTGTGCATAAATTTCAGTTGGAGCAGCAGCACCATCCATAGAATTCATAGCTAATGCTTTATTTGTATACATAGGTCTAGGTGCATATTGTTAATCAATGGAAATGCTTTTAATGGAATGGATTTTCATGTCTAAAGACTTTAATGCAATTTCAGCCTATTGAAATTAATAAGTAGACAAACTTTATGTGTTGCATCTTTAATAGCTAATTAAAGAATTTAATCTTTTAATTCTGATTTTTGTTCTGGTTTAACATCAAAAGAAACATTATTGATATTAGTTATTCCTGCATTTATAGCAGCATCAATTAATTTTCCAACGATCTTTAAATTAGAGGTTTCCAATTTTTGACTTATGATTACTTTATAACCTTTGAATTTAAGTTCAGGATTTCCATTATTAGTATAATCATATTCTTAATGAGGATACATCTAAAATTAAGTAGTAGAAATCTTCACTCCTGCATTTGATGTATCAACTGATTACAATGATCTATTTCATTTTTATATAAAATCTACTTAAAGGCTGTTGCTTATATTTTATTTGCTGTATTTAATGCTATTTCAGCAAATTCATTTAAAATTTCAATTGCAAAGTTAACTGTGACAATAGTTGGTTCAACACTTAGAGAACCTGTTCCTGTAACATAAAAAACATCAGGTCTCCTATGTTCAACTTCAGAACACTAAAAAAGAATTTTAATTAATTATTACTTCTACATTATTGATTGCTGATTAATCTTTGATGAATGATCCAAAAATAAGTGTGATGCAGATAGCAATTGTTAAAATTCTAATCATTATTTATATTAAATATTAATTTCAATTATAATAATTGAAGGACCTCTTAATTACTATAAATAGTGATATTATTTAAAATTCCCATTATTAGGTGGAAATCAGAAATCTTATCAACTAATTGTTGTTTTAATTTGATTAATTACTAAATATAGTGAAAAAACTAAATAATTATATTATTCTTATGATTTCTCATTAATCTATATGGTTTATTACAAATCCTACACTAACTTATTAATCCATTTAAGTGCTAACTCCATATCCATAATTTTCTAATATTTGAACAGACTTGACTGATTCAACTCTCATATTCAATTCCTTTAATACAACATTAGCCTAAGATAATTTTAATTTACTACTGTATGTTTAGCATCTTCAATAGCTTATTCAACAAGAACATCTTTCAATCTTTTCTTTTCTTCTTTACTTACATCAAATTGAATTCCATTAACCTTATTTACTTTATGTTTCACTGCTATATCAATAATTCTAATATTTAATACAATATCTTACTTTCCTACATCACTAATATTGAGTGTTTCCACTGTTATCCTATTGATTACAATAAATCCTGAAAATGTCACATAGTAAGGTTAATTCTGACTGTACTCTTTATGTGGTGAAATAGTGAAATCTGCTGTTTGAATCTTCAATTCTCCTTTGCAGTTCTCTTTAATAGCTCTATCCAATTAAGTCTATCATATATACTTGATAGCATCATCAGCTATTGAGGCTGCTTATTGTAAAGCATTCTAAGCCTTCTCTTCCTTTACTTCTACTTCCAAAGTTACTACTGCTTAAGTTGGCTCAATATTTGTTGTTGCACTTCCTTATACATAATAGATGTCTGGTCGTAAGTAGATATGAGCATCACACTTTGATAAATTAAATCAACTCTCTTACCAAATTTAGAGTGGATGTCTTAATAAATTAAGAGTTCAATGTCATTAATGTAATAGATAATACTAGTATTGCTTTCATTTATTTATATAATGAATAATAATTAAACTTCTCATTAAATTTAATCTTCTAAAAATGGTAAGAAATCTTTCTTCATTAATTCTTTATAAGCTAAACTAAGTAATAATAATATACTCAACAATATTATATAAATTACTTATGAAAATTCTATGAGTAGAATGTCATATGTTGATAAAGAAAATTATATTGATTAGAGATAAAAAATAAAAAAAGAATAATAATCTACTTAAAGTTGAACTTAAGTCATAATTTAAGTATTATCAGGTATAATAATTATAACTCATATTATATAAAGTATTTAATTAAGAAAGAACTCTATACTTTATAATCATAATGTTAAGAATCTGTTCATATTTCTGATTCACTTCAATAATAAATTTAAATCAAATAATTTCTTAAAACTCTTTAATAAAAGGAATCTGACATCGATTAACTTAAAAAATAATTAAAGATTGATTAATTAAATGAATAATAAGAACAATTGTAAAATTTAAGAGCAATTTATGAAATACAAAAATAAAACTTCTTAATAGTGAAACTGAAATTATCATTCCATCTAAATCTTATATATTAAAAGATTTAGAATAAGATAATATTCGATTTGTCTAAATTGTAACTGCCCTAGAAGACAAGTTGAAGAATTTTGAATAGATTATAAACAGGTTCTTTAATAAGTTCTTACAATTTTAAAATACTAATTAATTAAATTAGTCTTAAGAACATTGATTAAGTATTTTATTATTATATATATTAGTATTTATTCTTCTAAATTTAAGAGGAGGATATTCGGCTGAAAGATTTAATTGTAATCCTTCTAAAAAGTCAATCTTCAAGTTAAATTATTAATAAGATGATTAATTTGTCCTTTATTTAATGGGATCTGAAGAGGGGAATGAGACATAATAATTTTTAGTGAATAGGAATTCTAATATATAAAAAATCAAGTATTAAATTTATGTAAATGAATAATATATATTTAGGATTTGTTTGAAATATTATAATTGAAGGATATTAAAATATCAAATCTAACTAAAGAGTATATGGAAGCTATGCTATTTAAATAAAATACTCAAATACCTAAAGTTTTTTAATAGATTAATTTATTTTTTGTGATAATGTGTGAAATTTATTTAATATTATAAAATTTATATGAAAAATTACTATGTAATAAATTGACTAAGATAAAAAGTGTATCTTAATTGAATTAAGATTAAATGATGAATAAATGTAATTAAGAAAAAATAATAATTAAAAAGTAAACTATAACAAAAGATTAAAGTTGATGTATAAAGATTATTGTTATCTTATTTATTGTCAATCAAATAAATTTAATAATAATCTAAAACAGATCTTAAATTTTATATTAATCAAGATCAATCAAGATACTATTCTATTTTATTCATAAATAATAAGATTTACTTAATAGTAATATTTCTACTTTTAACTATTTTCTCTATTAATAAAATTGATAAGGCTTAGAAGAGAAAGTAAAATATATTTTATTGAGTTATTTTATACAATTTATTTAATCAATAAAAAAATGAGAGGCAATCAAAAATAATAATAATAAGTTCCAATACCAACTTATCCATTTCCTTATTCATTTTGGTCATATAATAATTTTGAAACTAAAGAGTTGGAAACTTACCTCTCATCTTAATCCCAAACTTTATAAACATAAATTCCAAAAACATGCATTTAAGATGGATATTAATAATTATGTAAAATTTTAAATTAATATCCACATCCTTTATTACATGCCAAACAAACCAAATAATAACAACCAATTACTAATTTACTTGGTGAATAATCAATTGATAGCATTAAAAATACTTCAGAAATTACATAATTTTTGGTATTTCAAAATACTCAAATTGATGCAATCACATTAACTTTACTCTAATTTTTATGGCCTCTTTATTAAAATCTAAATGTCTTTAAATTATACAATATTAAATTTTCTGAAACTGAAATGGAAATTTTATAAAAAATAATTGAAAATAACAAACTTATTAAATTATTTATAGAATATACTAATATAATACCTCAAATAAATTGTCCAACACTTACATAAATATATTTAAGAGGAAATTAAATAACTTAATCAAAATTAAATCAAATATTTTAACCAGGTTCTTTTTAGGCTTTATAAGTTATAGAGTTAAGTGATAATCCTCTTGGAAAAGAATGTATATAATTTAAATTTATTAAAGCTATTTAAATCTTGGCTAATTTTATGAGTAAAAAGAATAGTATTTAATATATTGGATTATCAAGATGTGAAATAGCAGCTTGGGAGGATTTAAAACCTCTTATAGAAACTATAGGACCTGAAAAATTAAATGAAGCAAAATTATAGGCTTATAGAGAATTAGAAGAAAAGAGGGATAAATAAATTAAAGATTAATTGAAAGCTAAAAAGAAAGAAGTTGTTACTGAGATTGAATTAGAACCATTAATATAAAATACAGATGGAAGTAATATTCATTTTTTAAAATATAGGTTATTCAATTATACATAATTAATAATTACAAATTCTATTTTTGGCTGTCAATCCATTCAAAGATAGTGATAAAGATTAAATTGAAAGATTTATTTAAGCAAATCCAAATGTTTATGTTGTGTTACAAGGATGTTCATTTGAAACTAAAACAAAAGAGAGACTCAAAAAACGCTACAATAATATAATATTTTGATTTATATAATTATTGTAATTATATATATTTATATATTACTGGTATGCATCACAAATGTATTTTTGATATTTTATATTAATTATCTCACATCAATCTTTAATTTTAAAGTAATACTTATCAATAATATTTATATATTCATTAAAAGATTTATTTCAAATATGATTATAAATTTTATATTAGAAATTAAGAAAATTAAATAAAATTTAGTTAGATTTTTGTTCAATGATTAAGATTGTCATTTATGAAAGAATTTTTTGTTTTTGATTTTCCAATATTATAATTACAATAATACTTATAAACATTATTAATTGGATAACAAATGTCTTAATAATTAATTTGAGGTTCTTGGTAAGATTGGAGAAAATGTATATAAATTAATCATCATAATTTAAAGAACTCGAGTTTCAGTTAGATATTATCTGATAAAGATATCTATTTCATTATACTTAATGAGATAATAAATCAAGTGTTTCTTCAGAATAGAATTTTTACGGAATCATTAAATTTCCAAGAGTTAATCTTTTTTTAAAGGTATCCATCAATACATTATTAAGTTTTTGATTACGAAACTAATTGTTTAATGACATTATTAGATATATTTGAATTTTGTTTCCTAGGTTTATGTCCTTCAACTTTTTGAATGGAACGAAGTTATTTATTTCTTGATAATGATCTGCTAGTTGGTTTTATTTTCTTTTGATTTGAATGTTCAGGAATTTCATAAACAATGTATTTACTTTTATTCATACTGACATATGGACGTTTTTTGGTTTTTTATACAGGGGCTGAGTTATTTCTTTAAACTAAATAATTCTTTAGATTCTAGTTTCGAAATGTTGGAGATTCTACAACAAAATCTATTGAATCCTCTTGTTGAGTTTTTAATATATCATCTTAAACAGGAGAGTTGATAATGTATTCTTTTTAAAAAAACTCATCTTCAAAAGAATCCAAATTAAGTTTCATATCGTATGTAAATTATTCAAGTGAATGTTATTTTTAAGGAATCATCAAGGGATATCCTCCCTTTAATATTAAGAATTGATTTTCTTTGTTTTTTATGCATTTATTACCCATTAAATTATATTTTTACTAAGAATCTTTAAGTATTTTTTAAATTATTTGGTAAATATAGCATTTTATATGAATTATAATTTAATTTAATAGTTTATTTGGTATATAAATTATTTATTAATTATATAGATTACAATGAAATCAGGGAACAAATGTCTTTATTATTGCAAACAATTTTTTAATCTCCTATTAGGAGTGAGTGGCCTCATTATGATAGCTATAGCAATTTACATTTGGGTCGTAGCTAAAATATTCTCAGTTATAGTTATGAGCATAATGATATTAGGTGGAATTCAATTATTTCTATCTTTAATATGTATAATTAAGTTATTCTATTTTGTTTAGCTTTGGGTACTAAGAAAGCAATGTTTAGAATCAAAGTTTATAACTTTTTCTTAGGATTAATACTATTGGGATAAATCACAATTACAATATTAGCATTTGTTTTAGAAGATGCATTTATTGATAAGGGTATAGATTGATCTAAGAGTATAGCAATTGAAAAACTTGATGAACCATAGGAGACAGCTGATGCTTTAAAGGAATAATTAAAAGATTAATATACAAGGTCCATTTTAATTACACTAACAAGTTTAGGAATATAAATCATGTGTTTTTTATTTAGTGTTTGGTATAGGGATTCACTTGAAAATGCAAATGATAATAGCAAACTTTTATATGATGAAAAAGAAAAGTATAATGAATATAGATTTATATAGAAAATATATGAGTTTTGAAGAATATTCTTAAAAATAGTAAGCATAAGTTAAAGAGAAATCAAACAATAATAGAAATGAAGTATATTCAAGAAATCCTGAATTTTATGAATGGAAACAATAATAACAAGGCAAGAAATGATTTATTAAATGATTTAACATCATTCATTTTTTCAATTATATTATCTATAAATAAGTTTGTTAAAAACTAATACTTATCTCAATATTAAAAATAAGATATTAATCATAATTCATTTAGATATATATATAATATGAGAATTATAAAGAGATTTTAATTTGGAATATTTGAATATAGATATTGAATATTAATAATATCTCAATCAGAGGACTCAGAGGGAAAAGAACTATCTTCTTAATTGTTGGATTTTTGGGAGCTATAATTGATTGATGGATCAGCTTTTACTTTTTTTGTTTTTCTATTTAATATTAATATTATACTATTTTGATTAGACAAATTCTTATAATTTGCGAATAACTTTGGCTGGTAATTAATCAATATCAAATTCTAATTCTTCAGCTTCTTGATTTTATACACTTTATTATACTATCTCCCAAACTCCCTTCAAATGTTCTGAAGGTAATTCTCTTATATGTTATCCTAATTATCTCTTTTCTTCAAATGAAATATGAGTATCTTATTTTTTTTAAGATTAAGGTTCTTTCACTTTATTGGATGTCATTTTATTAGTTATTGGTATACTTCTATATATATTATTTTTAAGATATACTTTGTAGATGTTGGTGTTTATTTCTGATCATTTTAGAATGCTTTAAATACATGATAAAAATGATTTTCTAATTGTGTGACTTGATCTTGCATTTAGGTAGATGAAGCAGATTAAGTTAATTTTTGTAATGCAATTCTAATTTGATTCCAAAGATTCATCAAATTACCTTTTAATTTACAAGTAAGTAATACCCTCCTATTTGAAGGAAGCTTCAATTTTATCGATATTTAAATACCCAGAAGCATTGATCTCATTAAATGCTGGATGGGATTTGAATTTTTATAGAAGGTATAATCCCTTCTTGCAATTATCATCTTAAGGAATTTTGACTTATTCTTTTTAAACTGGAGTAATTCTTTGAGATCTTTTACTTTTATCTTCTACTACTTCTTATTTATTGCTTTGGAAAGAGGCATCATATTTATTAACCTTTTTAGGCTATTTTACAAATAAGGATGACAATTATTACCACTCTTTATTCACGTGATTTTAATAAATTAGATTACAAAAGTGAGTATCCCTTAGGCATTTTACTTAAAATAAAATCAACTTATATCTGATTAAGATTGAATTCTAATTAGCTTGCCATAAATATGTTATTATTTATTTATATTTCTCAATAATTTACAATTAAATTAAACATACTATCATAAAATTTATTATGACTATTCTCTAGTTATATATAAATATAATAATTAATAATACTTAGAGAAATGGAGAAATATAGAAGAATAAGGAAGATTGGAAAAGGAAATTTTGGAGATGTTTGGTTAGTGGAAGATAATAAAGGAAGAGTATTTCAAAATAACTATTTTATAGTAATATGCTATGAAAAGAATAGATTTAGTATTTGATACTGTAGATCCTCAAAATGAAGTTAGTATAATGAAAGTTCTTAAGCATCCTAACATTATTAAGTTTTATGATTCCTTTGAACATAATGACAAATTGTGCATTATCATGGAATATGCTAAAAATTGTAAGTAATTACACTAAATCTAAGCTGATCTTTCAATATACATTAAAACTAAATAGCCAGACATTCTGAACTATTTTACTTAATTATGTTTAGGAGTCTAATATTTACATTAACAAAATATTGTTCATAGAGATATTAAATTAAGAAATGTATTTATTACTGATGATGGAATTGTATGTATTTATACTTAATTCTTTTATAGATTAAATTGGGTGATTTTAGTATCTCTAAAAAATTGATTGATCTATCTACTAATACAACTTTAGGTAATTTAAATTATATAAATAAGGAACTCCATATTATTTATCTCCTGAAATATGCTAATCTAAAAATTATAATTCAAAAACTGATATCTGGAATTTAGGGTGTTTATTATATGAATTATGCACATAATAAAAACCATTTTAAGGAGAATCTCTACCTGCTATTCTCAATTCTATTATTAATGGCTAAACTCCTCAACTAACAGAGGCTTTTCCTAAGTTCTATTAAGATATCCTTAATATTACATTATAGAAAGATCCAGAACTTCGACCAGATATAGATCAAATACTCAATATACCTTAAATAAAGGAAGAGTAAATCAAATTGTAAATACTTTATAAAAGTAAAGGACTATTAAATAAAAGAATATGTCCTATTGAATGTCCAGGCTTTGATGAAAAATAAGAATTCAAATAAGACAAATAATCAATCAATAAAGATATGTCAAATATACTTAAATAATCTATTACTCCATAATATAGATAAACTTAATTAGGTTTATAAAATATATTTTCAGAATGTGTATCACCCAATAATAATTATTGTTAAATTCAGAAAAAGCCTTACAAAAAGATTATGACCATTAATACTTAATTGGATGAAAAAGTAGAATAGGAAATAACCTAAAAGAAACCATCTTTTGCTAAATTGCTATTTAATCCAAAAACTCCTACATCACCAAATAGAAATATATTATTGGCAGATTTTTTGAAAAATAAATTAGGATAGGAAATATTTTAAAGAATGAAAGATTTATTAGAAAACAGCAAAGATCCAATATAATTATTAGAAAATAGAGAAGAAATGATGTAAATTTTAGGAGAATAGAATTTAGATTGTATAAAAGTAAATCCAAAATTAATTTTAGATTTTTAAAATAATTATAAGTAACAGTATAACTCCACCTAGTAGCCATTTTAGAACAATGAGTGCTTCATATTAATTTATTACTTAAAGGATTAAAACAGTTAATAACCATGATAATAATATTCCAACATCTGCATGGGATGAATAATTTTGATTATAATTAGCTTCTAATATATATATATATATAAAGCAATTTTTATAAATTTATTTCATGAACTATTATTATTATTATTATTGTTTAATTTTTGTATTGCTAGTATCTATTAAGTATTTTTTGATTCAAAAGTATTTATCATATGAGAATTACCTTAAGTTTATGTAACTTAATTTTGATGGTACTTTTATGTTGTGGGTTCTAATGACGTAATCAAGTATTGCTTTTTACTAATAAATAATGCTTATTACATCATTCTCAATAAGACTCTCAATAATTTGATCTTTATTGAGGCTTTTTTTCTTTTTATACCCAATTAATATTTGTATAATAAGAACTATTGTGCAGGTAGAATATTCAATTATTCGAGAAATCTTTTTTAATCTATACCAATCAGAATCATGTGGATCAATAATAGGTACTTTTCCATTACCTAATTTCTGTATTTAGATAAATATACCATTATCATCTAATAAGGCATGAGAAATTTGAGTTATGGCTGAATATAACATTACTAAAATAGCTAGAATTAAAAGACTTGTTAAATAGTAAATATATTAACATCATTCGAGGGAATTAAATATGTCTACTTTTTGGTTTAAATTAATAGAGGTAACCTTCAAATATGATTAAACTAATAAACACTCCTGACTACATGCATCATATTAAATTACTACACAACAAATTATAAAGTAGTTTGTAAATCTACTACTATCATCATCTAAATCTACGATTATCACTATTAAAGTGCAGCATAATGCTAGAATTATAACCATCAAGGTAAGAATTGTAATTTTGATTATATTCATAATTATAAACTTATAAATATATTATATAATTAACAATTATTATTACTATAATGCAATTGTTCATCTTATATCAATTTACTTAGATTCAAATTTCATTTTAATTTTTGAATAAATACTCTTAATTTTCATTATGTTAAATATATTTATAAGATTTTAGAATTTGATGAGTATAATCAAATCAATCGTATCAAAAGGTGGCAATTATAAATAAGAATCAAATTAATCTTAATCAATTAATACTATAAATTATATTAAATTATTTATAAATAAAATATAATAATGGAACAATAAAATAATATTTAAATGTATATTATTTTTTCTTGAATTTTACAATTATCTAAATCTATAAAAGGCTAATAATTTTATTTATCAACAGATAATTGATTTACTTCTTTAAATTAAATGTAATATTCATTCTTAGAATAAATACAATAAATAAATGATTCACTTTTTCCATTTATTTAATCATATTACAATATCTATGATTACTATTCTATTTATATAAATAATATTTTTTGAATTATAATATCGTGATAGTTAGTTAGTTTATTATTTTCAAAAATAAAATAATTAATATAATTTAGAATAAATAATTTATTAAGTGTTTTGTCTTTAGTTTTTTATTAGAATTTTTTTATTTAGAATTTATCATGATTTTACATAATGAATCATAAACTATTGATTAAGAACAATTTAAGAATATCAATTTTCTATTAATCAAATGTAGAATGGCAATATTTAAATATAAATTTATTTAATTGAAAAAAAATACAAAAACCATTCAATAATTATATAAATTATAAAAAAGAGAATCCTTTTTATTTTAATAAAATTAAAGTTTATATAATGTTTTAAATTTAATAATAAAATAATATATAATATCAACTACTATGTATGACAATTCCTGGAATGCAAGATTGGGTAAGACTTTATTTAACTTAAACAGATTAGTTTATATTTTCAGTTTCTTTATTAAGAAACTTTATTTCTCCAAAGCTTACACTCTTACCAGCAAACATATATAAATTAAAAGCTTCATTTGTTTAAGAGACTAAGGATAATGAATAAGTCATTCCTTTTTTTAAGAAAACTTCTTATTCTAATTCAATGTAATAACAATCATTAACAATTTTGAATTTTGAATGTTTAATGTTAATATTTTCATCATAAATAGATATACTTAAATCTAATCCTTCATGTATTCTAAATAAAACAACCACTTCTTTATTTTAATCATTAATATTTTAATCAAATTGATTTAATCCTTAAAATAGTTATGTTAATAGGAATCCAGATAAAACTAAATTTTAAAGTGGTAAAATATTCTCAGCAACACCACAATTTTTACTAAAATTAAATGCTACTTTTCTATCATTTGATTTAGCAAATGTTTTATGTTTCCATATTTCATTATTAATATTTGATTGTCCTTAATTCATTATCTTTTTAGTATCTTTTTTATTTTATTCAATCAAATTGAAGATATTATTGATCATAAATTAAGTTGATAATTACAATTCCATCATTTTTCTAATAGCCTATTAAAAATTTAAGAGATTTAACTATTCAACATTATCATGGAATATTAAATTTTCTTTACAATTTGAAAAAGTAGGGATTATTTAAAATAAGTCTGTTGATTTTTAATCAAAATTTCTATCATTTGATTGTATGAATAAAGTTTCCATTTGATTTAATTGTTTAAATATTTCATTTTCATGTAAGAGATGTATTTTTTCATAAATCAATTTTTCTAAATCATTTAATTATTAATTGAATTGAATTCTTATCTTATTTATTAGTTGAATAGCCTTGTCCAATTATTATTAATCATCTATACACAATTTTAGTTTAAAGTAATTCATTTAGAAATTGTAGATGAAAATTAATAAGAAATTAATAAAAGAAAATTAATTTTTCAATTATTTTCTGTACAATTACGATGATTATTAAATTATATGAGCAAAAATAAAATAAAAATAAAATGTTCTTGAATTGTTGTCCTAATGTTTACTCTTTGATCTTAAAAACATAAATCTAATTTATTGACCCTGATATACTATTACAGATTGATTTAAAAGACTCTTATTAAGTAATTTTAAAGAAAGACTTTTTACACATATATAAAAAAGGAGAACCTATTTCCTCATTCAAATTGCATTTTCCTAATTTGATTAAATGGAAATTTGATAAAGGATTAATAGGATTCACTATAGATAATGAAACTTATTTAACAGAAGAAACATATAAATTAAAAGAGTACTTAAATGGAAGATTATTTTTTTCTAAAATTCAAGATTTTTATACTCCTCTATAAATATTAGGAAAAGGAGGTAATGCAAAAGTTCTTCTAGTCAAATAAAAAATTGGTGAAACATATTATGCTGCAAAATGTATTCCCAAGACTGAATCAATAATTTAAGAGATCGAAATTAATAATCTATTGGATCATCCAGCTTTTGTAAAAATAAAAGAAGTGTTTTTAGGAGATACAAGTTATTATATAATAATGGATTTATTATCTGGAAAGAACCTTTTATAATTACTTAAGAATCAACATTCAGGTTTGACAGTTGAATAGTCTAAATTGATTATGCATGTAAATTAATAGTTAAATAGGCATTATTAAGTGGAATTGATTATATGCATTCAAAAAATATTATACATAGAGATATTAAACCAGAAAATATAGTTTTAGAAAAAATCAATAATCTTACAACATTAAAATTAGTAGATTTTGGTTTAGCTACTTATTCTAATATCAAAAAGTAATTCAATAATTCTAAATATAGATTTAAGTATCCTAAATGTGGTACTCCAGGATATGTTGCACCAGAAATTGCAAATTTGACTGATTAAAATTCTATATATGATAAGAAATGTGATATCTTTAGTGCAGGAGCAGTTTTCTATAAATTATTAACTGGAAGAGATGTATTTCCAGGAACAGGATTTGCTTATGTTTTAGCATAAAATAAAAAATGTCAAATAGATTTTACACTTTTATAATTAAGAAAATTGCCATCAGATGTTATAGTATCTAATATTATAATTAAAGATATTGTTAAAATAAATGTTATAAAAAGATCCAATCCTAAGACCAACTGCTTAAGAATGTTTAAAATTTCCATTTTTTACATCTAATAAATAAAATGAAACTGATTAATAACCAATAACTAATGGGACTTAAAATTCAAATTCTGCACCAACAGGACCATCTAATGCACATAAAAGATAATTTTTTGCTTAATAAAAACAGATGATGTAGACTGTAGATTTCCCAACTGAAGAAAAAACTGAATATAAAGGATCCTTCGTTACCAATGATATGGTGTAATACCCTTAAATGCCTAAGATGGTAATGAAATTCAATACAACTGAATTTGAAACAATATGATCAATTACATAATTAACATAAATTAAAAAAAAAATAATATATCAATCAATTTTAACTTTTTTACTTGCACATTCATCATCTGATTAATTTACTTCTTATTTTTCTTAATTATTACTTTATGCATTACCGAAATTCCCTAATGAAATTATTGGTCTTTCTTTGCAACTTCTAAGTTTTCCCATGCAATATGAAAGTCATCTAAATCTTGAATGTTTTCTTGAACCTTGTTTTCTTAAACTTTATGTTCTTCATCTAAACTTACTTCTTCAATTTATTCTCCTTCATTTTCACTATGAGTATCTTTATCTTCAGATTCTTAAACACCTAGGATATTATTTTCAGCTTCTCTTGTTCTTTGTCCAAATACATCTTGATTTTCACTTAATTTCAAAATAATTATTGTCCCATACATATAATAATATTAATTAAAGAATTAAGATTACTTCTGCCATTTCGATTGCCAATTCATTTTTATAATAATTTAATGCTTATAACATAACTCCTTGCATCAGCCTCATTATGTTTACCTTCATTGAAAAGTTCTTTGGCCTTTTTTGCTTAAAGATTTATGGTTTCAATATCAATCTAATCCATATTTAAATCTTGACACTTTATATATATTTTAATTAAGAAAAGAATATAATGATGAGTGGTACAAAATTATTTACAAAATTTAATAGTGTTTAAAAAACAATAAAGTCAATTAAATGATAATTTAAAAAAGTCATGTTCTAATGCTTATTTTGGCGTCAATCTTTTTAATGGTTCTATTACAATTAAATTCTCTATTAGATTTAGCAATTCCTATTAATTTTATGGAATTAATGCTTTAAACAATTTCATGAGACTCAATTCTTAAACCATGAATGAATCATCTGGCCATTTTAAAAATGAATCATTCAATTAGTATTCATTAAAATATTCTCTTGCTTCATTTCTACATTATTATATCATCTTAATAGGAATAGGTCCACAATGTTTTTCAATCATAGCTAAATGATAAAAATCATTTCCTTTTGGTTTAAATAATTATTGACCTATAATTAATTATATATAATTAAATAACCTGTAAATAATTCTACTGCTATACATCCCATACACCACATATCACTTAAATTAGTCCAATTATTTTTGAGGATTACTTCTGGTGCTCTATATTATCTAGTATTAATCAATTATGAATGACATTCTGTCTAAAAGACTGCTCCTCCAAGATCTATTATTTTTACATGATAATGACCTTCTTTTTTCCTAATAATATATTAATTTATATGATTACCCTTTCTATTATTTATCTATTAATAGAATATTCTCTGGTTTAAGATCTGTATGAGTGTATCCACTTGTATGCATAAAATCTAAACCTTAGAGACAATCATATAATATTTATTAAACGGCTTTTAATTCAAATCCTCCGAAATATTTTCCTCTCATAAAATCATACAAAGATAATCCAAGCTAAAAATTACTATGCCAATCTTACATCCTCAAAAACTATACAATAATTATCCTTATGACTAAATGCTTCATATGCTCTTACAATTTTCTCATTACCTGGATGATATTAATTTTGTTAATGAATAGTTCTCAGTATTCCATATTCAATTTTGGCACTTTAAATATGTCTCTTAACTGATTTAATGATCTTTATAGCCTTGAAATCATTCTCTCCTCCATCAAACACTCTTACTACTCTTCCAAATGTACCATCTGAAATGGCCTACACAAATAAATATCTTTAATTGAATATCTCATCTTTTTATAACTTGTAGTGTTTTTCCTTTTTTGTTTCCACTTTCTCTCTTTATTTTTTGATCTTTTCTCTCTCTCTAGACCTACTCCATTCCATTCCAATGACTAAATAAAAAGTACTTAAATTATTTATCCCATACTCCAAACTATCATCTACTTATATATTAAAATTCTTGGTTGTTTAGCATAAAATAAATTGTTTATATTTTCTTATACATTAATAAATTAATTCTCTCAAAGCATTAAAATTAAATATTCATATACTTCATATAAATATCTTACTTATTTCAAATTCATTTATTTATTCAATTAAAATGTGTTAATATAATTTATGGATATCTGAAGTTTCTGATAGTATATTATTAATCATATTAGATAAAGATGATTGTTTACAATAAATAAGTATTTAAGCTATATTAAACATAAATTGATAATAACAATTAGTTAATTTCTTGATTTATTTGATGAATTATTGAATTTTATTGTTATTATTTTTGATCGATTTGTTGAACTTATATATTTCTCATAGATATTTTTTCAGTTAGTTTTTATAATAAGGACTTAAGTAATTTATGGATTTAGAATGATATAAAGTAAAATAGTTAATCACTATTCTATTATATCACTTATGGTTTAAAATATTAATAAATATTTAAGAAAAAACAAATGAATTCCAATAATTAGATTGAATTCTACTTGAATTCATAGCAAGTTGATTATATCTAAATGAAATTACCCTAAGGATTCTCTTTACACTTAGCTAGTCTAATTCATTAGAGAGAATAAAGAATTGTATTATTTGGTCTCAATTATTACAAGTCTAAAAAAGTATCCAGGTTTGATGCTACATTCAAGACACACAAATTGGAATAGACAAGCCAAGAAGACTTAGCACCAAGAAGGGCCTAAAGAATATAACCTTAATAATAAAAGGATAAAAAAGAGCCAGATAATAAAGCATAAAAAATTCTGTAGAAATAAAAGCATCATTAATAATATTAATAATAATCTTAATAATAGAAGTAATAATAATAATAATAATAACAATAATAATAACAATAACAATAATAATCAAGTCCAAAAATTGTGTAATAAATTATATTAAATTTAAGATCCAAATTGTAAAAGTAAATGACTTAATAAGAAAAACTAAATCTAGGGGAAAACATAAAGCAATTGAAAATTGAATATTTGAGAGGAGTTTGGGAGATTGTACAAGAGAGTGTTTAAGCAAATGGAGAGGATGAAGTAGAATTTGACATTGATGCCCTTCCTACTAAAATAGCTAGAAAATTAGAAGCTTATGTAACAAGTCGATTGTATATATTACTTTATTTAATAATTAAGATAAGCAAAGAAAAATAAAAATGATGAAGAGGAAAAATCATTAGATAATAATTCTTCAGATTAATGAATATAAATTATTGAAGTTTGTTTTAAATTACTTTTAAATTGACCTTTATCTTTGAAATTAAATAATAATAATATAGATTGATATAGAATTTATCTAAATTCTAACTCAACTTTAAACTGCCATTTATAATCCTTTTTTAGTCAAATAAGATTGAACTCCCTTCATTTTTCTTTATTAATCTTTAGAACATTTATAAAATCCCCATAAATTGATCCAACTTAAACTTGCTCCAATTCCTGCAAATAAGATCTTTGATTAATCTTTAAATATTTACATCAACAAATTCAAAAGATAAAACATTAGTAAATACAAAAAATGCCCATGCACATGATGCTCCAAATTAAAAAGTCCAAAATACAGAAGAATCTATTTTACTTCTTTTACATTTATCAAAACATTCAAATTTCCAAATTTCATCTCCTTTTGGAGTAATATGTGAATACCATCTTAAGCCAACTAAAAATTTTCCTGTAATATTCTTAACAGTATAAAAATCAAAAGCATGAAAAATCATAATTAGTATGTATTAAAATAATGTGCTTGAAATTATTAACCCTAAAAATAGATATCTATTAATTATAATACTATCTTTTACGAAAAAAATGCACAAAATTTAAAAAATATATGAAAAAAACAAATGCCAGGATGTGCTGCTTTTGTTATATCATATTACGAGATTTCTTCGCGATCTAATTTAATCAATACATTAACCTTATCCCATGATTGGTTTCATTTCAATCCCTTCATTTTTGGAATTCATAAATTATAATTATTTTAAACTAATATATTAAGAATTTTTAATGTTAAATATTTAATTTCTATGAAATTATATTTATTTACCTATTATTCATATTATAAATGTACAATATTTGCAAACGTTATTAAAAATATTCCCAAGTTAATTTTATTAATTTGCCTTATCTAATCATTTGATTAACAACTATTTAAATTAACCTATTATTATAATATATTAATTATAAGCTATGTTCATCCTTTTTTAAACTGAAATACAATTTAATTAAATCAATATTTGTAATTTAATCATACTGGATTAAATATAGCAAAACAACCAAATTATTATAGCTAGCTTATTATTATTTATCAGGCTTATGATATTTAGAATTTAATACTAAATCAGAAAGTAGGATGACCCTATTTGGATATTTAATAAATAGTATATAGAATTTTTAGATTAATAAGATTAATTATTACAATTAGAGTTGGAATTTAATTATTATTCTCAATATTTTTATAAATTCTAAATTTGATACTTAATTAAATGGGTAATACATGTTAATTTTCAAAGATTGATAAATAACATTAAAGAATTAGATTGATAGGAGTAGAATGTTAATAATTTCCTAATAAATAAACATTACTAGAAAATTATTCATATAATATACAAGATAATATTGATAATTTTGAGGAAGAATTTTATAATAAAGACTTTGAATTTGATATACACAATGAAAAGGTTTATGAACATGAATAAAGCAATAAAAATGTTCAAGATGATAAGCCAATTTTACTAAATTCTCTTGTAATTCTTGAAGAAAAATAAACAAGGACTCAATTTGGTAGTTATAATTAAATGGCAAGTGAAGCTTTCGTAAATTGTATTAAACAGAGATTGTCAATAGGAAATTAAAAAATTGATAGATTTAGGGAAAATGTTTAACAACAAACACATCTGAATTCTATTTAACGTTTGTCTCATACATATGGAAGAACTTAATTTAAAGTTACAGATAATGATTCTGTTACTTAAAACTCAAGTAGAATCTGTAAATCAACAAGAGGTTCAAAAAGTACTTTTTAAAGTAGTTTTTCTTTAAACTAGAAATCAAATATAAAACAGATTTCATCCAAATAGGTTTGTAACATTAAAATCGTATATTTATGAGATTAATACATAATTATTATTAAATAAATGATTTTAAATAGTTAATAAATATTCTAAGATTAGATTTATCTTTTTAGTTTCTTACTTAACCTGATATATAAATTCTTGGCTTTAAATAATTCAAATTATTTGAATATGGTTAGAATAAAAATTGGTAAAATTATTGAATATTAAGATCATATATACTATTTAAATTAAAAAATACATGAATATATATGTATTTAGATATAGATAGATAAGAATTAATTTTAAAAAGTGTATTTAGTTAAAATATGAATATCAAAAATCATTGTGTTTTTGGTGAAATCTGTTAGGCAAATACCTTGAATTGATGGCAGAGTGTGGACTCAAAGATGTATTAGTTACATTATGAAGAATATTGTATTTGGATGAAGAATTAGATTATTTAGATATTGCACTTCTTTATCTTGCTTCAGATTGTTGACATATTGACTTTAATTTGTTTTTGATATTAGATGTAGAATTTTATTATTATTGTATATTTTATTGTTATTATTATTATGATTTATTTAATGGACTTTTCTCTAATAAATTTGAATTTGAATAAGTGTTTTTCAAAAATTAACTACTTCTGTATTATTTAATACTTTATGCACTTTTTTATTCAATTATTTACTTAAAGCTTTTTTATTATTTTTTTAGTGCAAGTTCTTCAACAATCTTCTTTTATTTATTAACTAATGTTATGATTCTTGAATAATCCATTTTTTTATATAAAACATCTCTGTATGTAGAAATAGGATATTACTTATCATCTTATAATTAAAGTATTATAGATCCATGATAAGTAATTTCTTCTTTAATATTTCGATATTCTTTAAAATAAGAATGTTTTAAGCATTCTTCTATGCTTAATCTTTTAGTAGGATCAAATTGGAGTAATTTAGATATGATATCTAATTCATCTTTGGAACAACCAAGTAATGAATTTAGTTTTTGTTTAGATGGTCTAAATTAATTTTGAAATATTTGTGATTGTCCACCCATTGCAAGTATTTCTTATTAATTTGGACTTCCAAGAATATCAACAATCTTTTCAAGTTGATTTATAGTACTGTTTCCTGAAAACAATGCTTTTCCTAATATCATTTCTCCCATAAGACAACCAACAGACCATAAGTCGATACCATAAGAATATGATTTAGAACCTAGAAGAATTTCAGGAGCTCTGAACCATCTTGTAGCAACATAATCAGTTAAAATATCGGAATCATGTGATCCAACCATGCGTGCTAGACCAAAGTCTGCCAATTTAATTTAGCATTCAGAATCGATCAAAATATTTGCAGGTTTTAGATCACTAGATGTAAATATGAAAAAATTACCGATGTATCATTCCTGCTGAATGAATATATTTCAATGCTTTAATTAATTAATATGTAATGTATCGACGATGCTCTGCTTATAATATATTAGCTCTTATGGCAATATGTAAATCTGTTTCCATATATTCAAATACAATATAGAGATCAATTTTGTTATTAGCAGGATAGGTTTCTATAATGGAGACTATGTTAGGATGCTTCAGCTGTTTAAGGAATGTAACCTATTACATATTGAGAATATAATTATACTTCTCTATATGTACGCTGAGCATCAGTAGGATTATTGAATGCATCAAACACTTTTTTGAGTGCAACTATTTTGAGAGTTTTAAGATCTTTAGCTTTCCATACGATACCATAGGCTCCTTTACCAATACGTTAGATGATCTCATATTTTTTGAGAATATGTTCATCAATATTTTCACTCATTATTATTTATAATGTTATAATTCAGTATCAGCAAGATAGTACTTTTCTTACATTTAATGATATTTCTAATTAAGTTCAATGAACTTTTGTTTCCAAGCATTTACTTCATTCTAAAGTAAAGTTACTTTACTCTCCTATGTCAAGATTTATTATTATTGTTATTGAATTATTTCATTTAGATGAGATATTTATTATGTTTTTGGATCTATTTGCATTGAATATTTTCTGTCATTGTTGATATTTTTAGAATCTGAAGGCATTGATGGAATATCTTCAGTACTGGCCATTCGAGATCTCATGTACAAAGGAGGATTATGGATTACATATTTTGTAGGAGAGTATTATTTTGTAGGAGATGGCATTCGAACTTCTCTAGTCTTAACGAAGGCAGGCTTCATTAATAAGATTTATTACCACTCGAGACATTCCAGGCATACTCACCCTTTAAGGAGACAATCTTTATAGTTGTTAATATTATGATGGGCTTAACATATATAATAAATAAAAATTAATAAATATTAATTTGATAAAATAATATTACACAATATTCAATCCACAAATAATGGAACCATTACGATCGTAATTGTAGAATATAATTTAATTAATATATGAATTGATGGCCCTGCTGTGTCTTTACATGGATCTCCAACTGTATCCTAAAATATATAAATCATTCAATATTACTCCTGTTACAGCTGCTTTATGAGTTTCACTTCCTTTTCCTCCTAATTCTCCTGTCTCTACATATTTTTTACTATTATCCCAAGCACCTCCTGCATTATTTAAAAATAAAGCTTATAGAATTCCAGTGCAAGTAGAAAACATCAAAAAAGCACAAATAGCTTTAGCTGGTAATAATTCTTACATTCTCACAACATTAATTGCTCTTAATGTGATACCCAAAATTAATGGAGTTAAAACACTTAATAATCCAGGTTTGATCATTTCCCTTAATCCAGCTTTAGTAACAATCTCAACACATTATTTATAATTAGGTTAAGCTGTACCTTATAATATACCTTCATTTTCTCTAAATTATCTACGAACTTCTTTAATAACATCTTATGCTGCATTTCCAACTGCTCTCAAAGCCCAACTACTAAATACAAATACTGTACAAGCTCCTATTAAACCTGATATAAATATTTCAGGTTATGTGATATCAATATCCAATATTTTTTTAGTTGGTGATAAGAAATTAACTTCATCTATAAATGCTCTAAATAATAAAAAAGATGCTAATGAAGCTGAACCAACTGAATATCCTTTTGCATTAGCTTTAGTAACATTTCCTACTGCATCTAATCTATCTGTAATCTATCGAACTTATTCATCACAACCACTCATTTCAACTATACCACCAGCATTATCAGCTATAGGTCCAAATGCTGCCATAGATAATATATAGACTCCAGTACAAAACATACCCATAGTTGCAATAGCAGTTCCAAATAATCCTCCAATTAATTCTCCTTAATGATTTTTTATACCACTTTACTCTCCTAAATAATATGCTCCTAATACACCAACACTTATTATTAATATTGGTATACCAGTAGATTCCATTCCAACACTTAATCCAGCTATAATGTTAGTAGCATGACCTGTTTTACTTGCTTAGGCTATTCTTTTAACAGGTTCATAATGATAATCAGTATAATATTATGTTACTTCAATAAATAAATAAGAGACAATAATTCCAATAAGTCCACACATACCAAAATAGAGCCATGCATCTTTGTGTTATAAAGGATTTAAACAATGATGACAAATGAAAAAGAATCCAAAGAATCCAATAATCATAGCTATTCTATATCCTTTTTTCATAATACATAAAGGATCTTCAATATATTTAGTTGGTATTCCTGGTTAAGTGCGTACAAAATACATTCCAATTGTAGATGATATTATATCTAAACAATGTACTACTAAAGGAAAAAGCATAAAAGTAACTTTATAATTGATATGAAGATTAGCTTCATGTGTTAATGTAGCTCCTAATATCATAGCACTCAAAATTTCAGCAGTAATAGATTCAAATAAATCAGCACTTTAACCAGCACAATCTCCAACATTATCACCAACAAGATCAGCAATTACAGCAGGATTTCTAGGATCATCTTCAGGAATATCATTTTCTATTTTTCCTATTAAATCAGCACCAACATCAGCAGCTTTTGTATATATACCACCTCCTAATTATGCAAACATAGCTACAAATGAAGCACCAAATCCATATCCAATTAATAATAATGGTATTTTATCTATTTATTCATTTAATTTTTATTGATCTGTTATTGTTATATAACAATAAAAATATATTACTAAAAATAATACACTTATTCCAAATATTGCTAAAGCTATATTAATTACAGCAGCAAAATAACCCCCTCTAAATGATAATTAAATAGCTTTATTATAACAAGTTCTAGCAGCACTTGCAACTCTAGAATTAGCTTTTATGCTAACCCACATTCCTGCAAATCCTGCAAATCCAGAACAGAATGCACCAAATAAAAAAGACCCTCCTTCTAATAGTCCAATAATTAATCCTCCAACTGGAATCTCATCTTTCTCCAATTCACCTGATCCTTTTTGCCAATATACAAGAAATATTAACAATGCAAATATTAAACTTAAATTGAAGATTGTACCATATTATGCCTTAAAAAAGCCTTCTGCTCCCTCTTCTATTGATAAGGCTATTTTTTTCATTTCTTTATTACCCTTTTTATTTACATTCAAATCTTACATCATCATGTCTTAGAATTTGATCCAAAATACATGTCGCAAAGATTATTGTAATAATTGATATATGCAATACAGTACTAATGAATTGTATTAAATATGAAAAACCTAATATCTAAACAAATATTAATCAAATCATTACTTATAATAAAATGCATGTTCCCAAAGGACTTATCAGAAATATTATTCCCTTGATATCTAAATGGTCGAATTAAATAAATTTGATGAATTGTTCATTTTCAGGATTCTACACGCCTAATAATTCATATTATGGTTTCTTTTAGGGTAACATCTAAACGTGTATAAATTATTTAATATATGTTATTCTTCATTTTAATCAATTTGATCTTTGCATGTGAATATGAATCAACGTATGCAAATATCACTAATATCAACTCCCTCATTCCAATTAATCACATTATCTAATAATTAACCCAAACTTAAACTTTATAAGACACACTAGAATTAACCAATATTACTATTTATACATAGCATATCAATCATTCATACACTAATATTGGATAAATTACTATATACCTTAAATAATCTATCTCATATAATTTCATCAATAACACATTCCAGACATTTGGATAAGCAATCCTCTAAGATGTTTAATTTCTTATGAAATTATCATTAAACACATAAACCAATACTTTTTAATCTAATTCCATATAGTACAATTTACCAACATAATTCAATTTTATTGGCTTGTTCAATTATTACCAATATTATTAATCCTTAGTAACTCTAATAACAGCTTAAATACCTCCATAACTTAATCAACTATTTAATGCCTATTAATTTTAATTTCAGCCTATATTTCCTGATTATACCTACACTTATACTAATATAGATGATGAATCATTAATTATTGAATTTAGTTATCTATCCAATAATATTTTATATCAAAATTAAGACATTACTCTTACAGGATAATTAATAATTAATAATTACAATAACAATATATGTACCTAAACTTAATTACCTAACAATAGCAATCAATTTTAACAATTAGAAATATTTTCAACATCAATTATTTAATCAATTATTTAATATGCTTATGATTAAAATTATTTTAATATTAATTTGAGCAACAATTGGAAAAGTGATGATTTTCAATTCTTAATTGGATCATTTTAAACTATACTATATAATTTAGAGAAGATAAGTCCGATTACTCCAGTTACTGGATGGTGTAATCTTACTTAAATTCCTGTATATAATCCATTAAATATTACACTTACATATGAATGTAATTTTATCTTCTCAGAAGATCAAATAAGATTATTAACTTTAAATTATGAATTAGTTCTAAATCTTAATTTTTAATAAGTGCTATCTCAGATTGAAATTATTTGTACATCATACACATTTTAATTTAATGACTTAATTAAATCCTTTAATGAGAAATACCCACCTAAATCACAATTTTGGTCATTAGCAGATCTATACTTAAAAACTATCTTGAATACTCATGTTAAAGATCATCCTCTATTTGGTAATTAAAATTTAATAATTTATTAGGATCTGGATTTTAAACCATTCCAAGAATGACTCCCAATATCACAATTAACAATGATTATTTGATGATTTTTGAAAATGATTGATATCATTTAATAAGTCTTTTAATATCAACTTAATATTATTATTGTTTATAACTTTTAAATAATAATTTAATTACTATATATTTTTTATTAAATACAGTAATTACACTATATTCAAATTAATTATAAATAAATAAATATTTTGCTATTTTTATAGATAACTTAAACAACAAGGTGTTAAGAATGAAATCACAATTTTGCTAAGTACTATACAAAAGTAATTATCACCTCTAAAGATTAATTTTGATATCTCAAGAAAAAAAGAATAATATTTAAAGTAATAAAATAATAAACCTAAATGAGTAAATCTATATTATGGTATAACAAATGCAAAATAGTACTATTTTTCAATCAACGATTACAATCTTAAATTATATCCAAATTTAAAATTTTTTAAATTCAATCAATTCATTTAATAAAAAATAATTTGACTTAATAAATATTAGAATTATAATATAGTAATACATTCTAATTTTAATAATTGATGCTTACTCAAATAGAGAAAAAAATTATATTATTTAAAAGGAACATTACTTGATAAGGAAAATAATGTTCAGGCCAACAATTAAATTAAATTTAATAAATTAGTTTTTGAATTTTAATTCTGTGATGATGATCGACTTTAAAGATGAAAAATACGAATATTTTACTAGTTTTAGAATTATTTAACTAAAAATTATCTTTTAAATTTTATATTTATAATTTATAAATATTATATAAATTTAAAGATATCTATATTTTTGTTCATTTTTTTTTAAATTAGAATCTGAAATGAAGTATTCCAATAAGAAACAGAGAAATCAAATAAATAACCTTAGATTGTAAATTTATTTAATTCTATGGTAATTATTAATTATATGATATTATAATCAATAAAATGATCACAACATATTTAATTATAATCAGTATTTATGATTCTAATCATAAAGAATTTACTGTAATTTGCATAATTTAAATCCTATCAAATATGTTTCAATTATCTCGTTATGTAGAAATTAAACTCGGCTATATTGACTCTGAATTTATGGTTTATTTCGCAAAAGAAAGCTCAACTAGAAGGCCTGTGTAATTAAAAATTTCAAATTTCCATAATACTCATTACAAATAGCGCTCTTTAGGTGTAGAAGTGAAAATACTTCTTGGATTAAAAGGAATTAAAGGAATACCAGAGATTATCGATTATGGATATACATCAACATCAAAGTAAACATATTTTATATTAATAAAGGTTCTATCTAGTGTCTGAATAAACAGGGCATAATTTGTAATAATATATAGATGCAAAAAAGTAACTAGGCTCAACCACCATAATTTATATTGGACAATAACTTCTTGGAATATTAGAAAGAATTCATGCTCTTAATGTTTATCATACTAACCTAAGTCCTTAAAATATTTCTATCTTAAAAAATCAAGTTTATTTACATGGATTTTATTTAAACCACTTGGATGATAGAGAAAAAGTATTATTTAAAGATAAGAAGTTTATGAGTAAATCATTAAATAATGGTTGTTCTATAACATTTAAAGATGATTTAGAGAGTTTAGGATATTTACTTATGCATTTAGTTGATTGTAAGTATTTTTAAATATTTATCAGATGAACTTAATTACAAATCAAATGGAAATTATGAATCGAATTAAAGTAAGATCTTTTTTAGAAATTACTTTGAATTACTTTCTAAATTATAATCCATTAATCCTCCACCATATCTTCATTTAAAAAAAATAATTTATAGAATTATTACTTAATGTCTGAGTGATGAGAATAAAATTAAAATTATATAAGTTTCAAAGTAGTTAGTCTAGAAATAAAATAGAAATTAAACAAATAAATTAAGCATAATTAAAGAGGATGATTTAGAAAATATAGTGTCAAAAGATTATGTGAAAATTAATGCTGCTACTCTATTTGATGATAAAATGAATTCTTCAATAGAATTGTAGAATTAAACCTTAGAGATCTCAGAAGAATAATGTTAACTTTCGGAAATGATTTAAAATTTACACAACTAAAGTATAAGAGCAAGATCGATTGCTTCACTTTGTCAATATAAATAATGAACTTAATAAACTATATTTTCATTATCTAAATTATTATAATTATATATGATCAGTAATTATTGAGTATCAATCGAAACTTCATTCAAATTCATCCATTAATGATCTCATTTGCTATTTTATATTAATAATATAATACATCTGCTACTTGTGATTTATAAAAAAGTAATGAACTAGTATTCACTGATTTATTAATTACTTTAGATTCATTTTTAACAAATGAATTAGAAACAATAGATTTTACTTCACTTTTATTTTCATTAATTTCTAAATTGATCTTACTTTAATTATTGCTTTAATTATATCTTTAACTTTATTTTTAACTATTTGAGTTTTGTGATTTTTATATTTAATTAGATTACTCTAACTTCATTTTAGAATTTTCCTAAGATTCATTATATTTTTAACTTTCTTATTCATAATCATTTTATTAATATTATTATTCTTCTTATTAATTTTATTATTATTCTTATTCTTCTTATTAATCTTATTCTTCTTAATCTTCTTCATCTAATTTTTTATTTTTTACTGATTCATTTTATTCTTCTTATTAACTATTATTTTCTTCCTACTCTTCCTATTCTTCATTTTAATTATTATTTTCTTATTAATCTTCATTCATATCTGGCCATTAATCATTAGGTTCATCTTCTTTTACAGAGGGGGCTGGCTTACATTTATGTTATTTCTAGATGCCTTTTTTTAAATTATTTTCCTCTGTTATCCAATTTTATAATTCATCTCTCTTCTTTTTTGCAATTTCCTTTAAATCAGTTTTCTTAAATATATGTTTTGGTTTAGTTTTATCAATATATTTTGCTTTTAATTCTAAAGTTTTGATTTTAATAGATGGTGGAGTTGGTTTAGCTAATTCTTTTTTTTAGGCTGCTTCTACTTAACATTTGATTTAAGATGATGGAAAGTATTCCCAACCAGGATTTTTAGAATGATGATTAGGAGCATGGTTTACAATAATATTTTTTAAGTCTGCACTTCTCATAATTATAATATGTAAATAGTTAATTTTATATTAAATTTATATATATATATATATATATGTTTGATGTCTAAATCAATCTTGTTGTAATTATTATTATAATTATTGTTATTATTATTATGAAAATTGATTGTCTTCTTCACCCTAATGTAAAAACTATATATTGTTACCACTTCTGTATTAAGAGGTGTATCACTAACCATATGATTATTTTAAGTTGTAACTTCATATTTATTAGGATTATGAGGAGCTTTTTCAGTTGGTGATGCAAATTACATGTCTGCTAATGCTGATTTCAATTGATCAAATTTCTATTTTTAATCTTCATCTTCTTATGTTTAATTTAATTATTGAGTCTCTTCTCTATTTAAATAAAAATAATATTTATACTCTTATTAAGCAGGTTATTCAACTGGAAAGAGTGGTTTAGTACCATCAGGATTCCATGGACCTATATTTAATGAAAGAGCATCTGTATTTTCACATTTAGAATTTCCACCCAAAAAATCAGGTAAATTATCAATATCAATGTGTTTTAATAATTCATCTTTATAACTTGAACCCAAAATTGTTATTTTATTTTTAGTTTTTTCATCTAACCATATTTTAATCATCGCCCAAATACCAGTAAACATCATAGGAGCATTTACAATATACATTCTAATAAATTTAATTTGATATCTACTTTCCTAATATTTCAGGATAATTATTTTAACCAACATTTGATGCTAATTAAATGAAATTATAGACTTATTTAGAAACCATCTTCATTGATCCACCTTTAAGATCCAAAATTGTAAATGTTTAATCAATTCTTGTACCTTTAGCTTAAGAACATGCTGGAAATATTCTTTTAAGTAATAATTCATATGATTGAATGTAATATTTGATTAATCTTTATTCTGAAGTAATTTCAAATAGTTTATTTAATTATAACATTCCAATTCTTTCAATATAGATTGGTCTTCCCTTTAATAATTTAGAAATTCAATACTATTTTATCTGTTTTATGATAACCATGAGGATAGTGAGTTCTTACTTGTGGTAATTCTTCAAACATATATGTCTAAGATTATTTAAATATTACCATAATATTATCAACATCATTTTCTTTACGCCATTTAATAAAGTCATTAAACATAATTTATGTTTTGTTAATATCAAATTTCCTTGCTCTTAGAAATCTTAAGATATAAGGATCATCGTAAACTTTATCACTCAATCCCATTCCATTAACAATGTTTCTGAATTCAGCCAAAGCCTTTAATTAAGTTTGATTACAATCACCAGGAAATCTAAAATTAATATCAAACAACTAATTACCCTGTATAATCTTTATCCTTTTTGCTCATAATTTAAAGATTTAAAATTATATTTGTAATATAAGAATATATTTATTGTTAATATGTGTTGATCAATATATACTAAATGTTAATCAAGCCTTAGCGAATTTCCAGACACCATTTCCTTTGTGTTCCACTCCAACAAGACTGGCAGAATTATAGAGGGATGTCCACAAATTTTTGGCATCTTAATTGTACAAATCGCCAATAACTTATTTTACATAGACATTAGCTTCCTAAAAATGATATAATGGATAATATACTCTAGCATTATAATGAGGTAATTCAGAAAATACATGATGAACAACATGAGTAGTACCAATTTCGAAATGTAAAGCATCAATCCAAAGAGGATAATTTCTATCAATTGTACATAAAGCACCTAAAATAATTATATTAATATACCTTTTAACCATGTCCAAGCAGTTTCATCAAAATGAGGAACATCAATATCAGTGTGTTATAAGAAAGTGATAATAGTCAACCACATATTGACTACTAAATAAGGACCAATATATAAAGCCATAACTTCAGCAAATGAGGTTGCTTAATACCATTTATAAAGTCCATAAATAACTAAACATAATCCAAGATTTGATGCAGTAACTTTGACTAACATTTTGGGTGGGAATAATTTATTGGGTACTATAAAATGACTAGTGAATCCTCTTGCTGATCCTCCTGTTACACCAAGTAAAAGATAAAGAGGCCATCCCAAAACTGCTATATTAAAGATCTAAACACAAGCAAAAGATTCCACTCCCAAAATATCTTTCATTTTTTAATATATTTTTCCCATCTTTGAATCAATAATAACTGGATTATGTGTTTCACCTTCTGTCAAATGATTGGTCTTTGCATGATGAAGAGCATGAGAATGTTACCATGAATAATAAGGTACTAACAATGCTTCATGTAATATGAAACCTAAAACATCATTTAACCATCTAATATCAGAGAATGCAAAATGTCCACATTCATGACCAAGAACCCCTAAATTTTATTAATCATCTTACATATTCCTGTAGCCACAGTTCCTGTTAGAAAAGCATATGCCACCCAAATTGGTAGAGCCAACCAAGTCAAAGGGATATAATTATAAGCTAAATATGTTAGTAATAATGTGCAACTAACAGCTTAACCTACAGAAACTAAGAAACGAAACTCATTCTTTTAAAATAAATGTTGAGGGATTGCCTTTCTGATTTCTATTATATTTTTAATACTATTATTATACATCCAACTGTGATTTCAAGGTCCTTTTTACTCATTGTTTTTTAAAATCTTAATTTTATTTATGGATTAAAATATTTATTTTAAGAAATTTAAACATTCTGAACTCAATAATCAATCTAACTTCTTCAATATTGTGATTGCTCTAAACCTCACAATTAGATTTCTTTTATAATCTATAATATTAATTAATCTCCATGAATTAATATTAGGATATGAATGAAGAACAATAAGCATAAGGAGAAGAACCATAAGAATAAGTCTTCCCACAATAATAAAACGAAATATAAGATATAGAAAATACTAATGAAAAATTTTGTTGTGGTTTACTAAACAGAAGCGATCACATCTTAATTAAAGTTTTAAAACTTATTATTGCTCTTCCTCTCCTGCCTTTAGTCATTATATGGAAAATACTCCATTGCACAACTATTTTATTATATAATTGTTGTACCAATCAACTTTATCATTGTTTGCTTTATATTTTAGGAAAACTTGCTTAATGCTTAGATTAACTATGGCTTTTACTTTTAATATTTTGTCATTATATGTACTCCTGTTTTACTTTTATATGTAATAAATTACTTGATGTAATATATTGTATAGGCAGATGCTCTAAATAAATTCTAGACTGGTATGCAATATTTGTCGTTAATGTTATATTCAAATTTGCTCATTTCAAATCAATCATCTAAGAATTCACTTCCTTTATTACAATCCCTTTAACTTTGAAAATTATTATACCTTTATCTATGTGTTTTTATCATAAAATCTACACTCCTACCAAAGCTGTTATAATTTTCATTATAGAAAAAGTGTTTCACATTATTAAAATAACTACACTAACTATTTTTTATTTCACAGTAGACTATATCCTGAAACCAATTTATAAATATATTATATTGAACTTTTTAAAATTTTTGGTATTTCTCTTAGTAGATGTCTTTTATAAAATAATTATAATCAATTTCTGCAAAGGAATGAGATGGTCAATAATTAACTTTTATACTTATATATTAGTTAATTTTTATAAATATTTAATAGTTAAATTTTTGATTGAAATTGTATTAACTTATTCATTCAAAGCAATAAAGTTATTTTTATATGACTTTTTATATAAACTAATAATTATTCCAATTTGTAAAGTAATCAAATGGATATTAATAGATTTTCTTTATTAAATTATCATCATAAAATTATACTAATGTTTAAGATTCATCATTGTTGATGTTATAAATAAAATAATAGTTAAAATTACTGAATTCATATATTTTTAAATCTGTGTAAATTTGTATAGATGTTTATCTTGGATTATAATAAATATCATTTATGAAATGATACTAAGAAATATTTTTTTATATATTTTGAAACCTTTATTCAATATGCTTGTATCTATGATAAGAATCATATCTAATAGTATTTATTAATATTTATTATTACCATTATGGAATATGTGTAAATATCTTTTTAATGTAATATCATATATTATAATTAGGGTTTAATAAAAATAATAGGCATAATTGTATCATTTATTTATTAATAACTGTTGACTCCAATTTGGAATTTAATTATCAGTATAACAAAGGGGCTAATAAATTTAATAAAGAAACTATTTTCAGCTGCAAGATAATTATCAATAGATATATGGGAATCCATTAGAAATTTGTTTAGAAGACTCAGAAATATAATATGATGAGGAATTTTTCTATAATTATTTATTGTAATATAATTCATATCAAAATAAATTGTTTTCCTCAACAAAGCACGTAACAACTTCTATTTTGGTGGCTATGATGTTTTAAACATCTCTAATTATTGCAATTTATTTATCTCTTTCAATGGTATTTTATTAATATTATAATTCGTATTCTTAGCATTATTGATTTCTTTATTAATTACCATTCTTAGCAGCATTGAATTCCTAATAATAACATAATATAATACAGCATGAGCATCTCTGCTTCTCTTATCTTAAATATCTCTATTTCTAATAGTCTCTTATAATGCTTCCTCATCACTTGCTTTTTCTCTGGTCAAACTTTCAATAGCATTGAAAATAGCTGCTAAAATGGTGTCAGTGTCCTAAGTATAATAAATATAAGTATCATACTCTGGCATTTTTAGCTTCAGCTTCTTCTTCAGCTTAGATACTCTCTTTAATAGAATCTCTAATGGCTTCCATTTTTTCAATTAAAGTTTAAACTGCAGTTGGTTCTAAGGTGGATGTCAAAGCAACCATAGCAGTAATTGGATTTTCTTCTCCAATTTTAGCCAATTAAACTAAAGCTTCGTTAATAGCTTCTTCTTCAATGAAGGAACCAGCTTTATGAGCTGCAGCTACATCCCAAACTTAATGGAGTTTTGGCAAGATGACTTCAAAAGCTTAAACCATCTCCTTCATTTAAGTGGTTCTGGTTGAGAAATCTAAGTTGTCTTATCTTCTAATATCTCTTAAGGTATCATCTTTAGCTTAAAAGACTTTAATTTATCTGGCCTTTTCATTGATTTCAGCTTAATAGACAGCTATGGCTTCATTTAATCTTTTAGCTTTGAATTCGGCATCCTTAATTTCATTGATTGACAAACTAATTCTTTGACTATAATTTTAAAGATCTTTTTTGCATTATGATCCAATTTGAGCTCTTTCATTATCAGCATCTATTTATTTACCCTTGAATAAAGTATATAATTACTTCAAGATCACCTTTCAAATCATTTAATAATTTGCTAACGGCACTTAATGATTCATTGCCTCTTAATTAAAGAGCAATAGTTTAAAGAATCTTAGATCCAAGTGGATGATCTTAAATTTCTTCTAATTTTCCATAAGCTGGATCATCAGAGAGTGCTAGTTTTTTATGGCCTTTTTATTAATGATAAAATAGTACTTTTTTCAAATGCTGAATGTTCTTCATCTTAGTTATGTTTTTTAGACAAAACTTGATTTGAAAGGAGACACAGAACTAATGTTATGGCTACTAAACTTTTCATTATTTTAATAAATAAATCGTTTTTACTAATTTGCTTTATTAAATAAAAATTCAATTATTATTAAATTAAGTAATTTAAAAAGTGAATAAAATGAAAATCAATTTTTTATCATTTAAACATCAGCCAAAGGTCTCGTATTTTGAGATTTGAAAGTAGTTCTAGTCTTGATAGTAGGATTGTCATATGTATTACATTATTATTTGAGTGATCCATAATTTTATTGAAAATATTTAAGAAATTTGCTTTAATTTTGCATCATATCATCAATTTACAATGAATTGATATATAAATCATTATTTTTTTAAGAATTCTTTCTTCTTAAAGGTGAAGTTCCTAAAGAGGAATTATATCCAATCTATTTAACAGGAGTTGATTATATAGAATTATTGCGAGTATAAAATTTAGTCCCTAATGATTATTATTCATAGTTCTTCTTTGAGAATATTGGATGGATTAGTTTTGAATCCTGTTTGACTAATTTGAGTTTAGGTTAATTATTAATATTGTTAAATTTATTATCTTATTGTTTTGGTTATTACAATTATTATTAACCCATCTGATTTGAAAATGCTATAGTTTTATCTTAAGGAGATGGTTAGTTAATATTAAGGTTTGTTTAATCTATTTTATCTCCAACTTATTCGCAATTATCTGTTCTAAAATTCTCTTTGTTTCCAAAAGTAACTAAGACTTTCTTTTAAGGGACATTATTATCATTAAATCCTATTTGTATTTTGTTTAGTTTGAGTTTTGGGATAACTAATTCCTAATGATATTTATCCAAAAATTGATGATTTTTCTATAAACAATTCTGATTAGAATTCTCAAATGTATTTAATCTATTATCAAGATTCTTTAGAACAGATTTCAAGTATTGACAGTCAACTTTGGGTCTTCAAATATTAATAAAAAATTACTCTTAACAGAATGACATAAAATTTATTTAAATTATAAAGAGTATATAAATTTATAAAATAATTCATTAATTTATACTAGGTAACTTGATTTATGTTTTAGGTTATTTCTCTTCAAATCTATTCTTAGGAACTATTTTCATGATTCCATTTCTAACTAATGAATTTAATTGTCTTTAATATTATGTACAAATTCTCACCTGAATTCTTTTTCATCATGATATCCTGGACATTTATCTCTTATGCAATTTTACTAATTACATTCAAAGGTTTTATACATATAAGGATGAAAATAAAGTTCAAAAATAGAATGACAAAATGAACATTCATTAGAACAACTCTTATTTTATATCCAATTTGGACACTATTAAGGTTAATAATTGACATCTTAAACCTTTCTACGTTTATCATTCTCATTATGATAATAATCACAAGTTGACCTAATTAAATTATAGATTACTAAATTATGATTAAAAAGTGTATATGGACAAGCAATAGTTTTGTAATGAAACATAAAATAATCTTGATCATGTTAATAAAGATGGATCAATTCACATTTAATATCCTTTTCAAAATGAGCATAAGGACAATACATACCAAAACAACATTTTTCTGGTTAAGGACAAAACAATTTTCGATAATTGTCTTCTTAATATAACAATTCATATTGATTATGCGCTTTACTACAACTATAACCATGAGGACATTCTTTTTATTCTACTTTATAAGAACATAATTCTGCTTTATAATATGTTCCTGGTCTTCTTAAATCATCTTATGAATGGAAATATGGACATTATTTATGATTATGTTCACATTATCTTTAACAAGGACGTATTTTAAATACTGCCAAATCTAAATCAAAACTTGTTCCTTCTTCTTATAAACATCTCTTTAAACAATGTGCTTTCTATTCAAATTAACCTATTCTTTATTATAAATACTAGATTGTTTTATCTTCTTATTTTCACAAGGAGGTTTAGGATTAATCATACTCAACATTCCCTTACAAATTGAAGGATTATGTTTTTATTCTTAGAAATTGCTCAATGATAAATGAGAAAATTGAGTCTCAAATTAATTAATCTTAGGAAAACGACTTGGTGTTTGCTGACCCTTCATTATAGATTTTCCAATTTCTTGCTTAATAAAATAATTATGAATAAATTTATTCGCAAAAACTCAATAAATACATAAGCTCTTAAAGAATAAGAGAATAAAAAACTCAAATAATACATTCTTTAAATGGAACAAGAACCATCCCTTTATGAAACTTTGACATAGGAGTAAATATTTGGTATATTATGCATCATCCTTACAAAATCATCTTATCATAGAACTTAATCAGAAATTGAAATCCTTAAAAAAGCCACTATTCATATAGATTATTTCTAAAAATTGATTGAAAAAAATTAAGGTCCTTTATTATGGGAAAGATGTCTTAGAAAAATGAGTTATACATATCTTTCTTATGGTTAAACATTATTTCGAGAAGGTATTTACTAATTTCATTTAAGGTGATGTTGGTACTACCTTCTATATTATTTTGTAAGGAAGGGTATCTATCCATAAAAGATTATTAGTTTAAGATGAATTTTAAGATAAAGAATTAATCTAATTATAAGATGGATAAGGTTTTGGAGAATTAGCACTTGAGAATAATGAACCACGTTCAGCCTCTGTTAAAGCCATACTTCCAACTCATTTAGCAGTCTTAGAAGCTGAAGATTATATGGTTATCAAAAAAACTGTGGTAATCCTAAATTATTCAAAATAAGATTAACCAATAAAGATAAATGTATTTTGAAGAGTTTGCTAAATTGAGTATTTTTAGAGATTGGAAGTTTATGAGCATTAAATCATTATTTGATGTAATAAAATAAAATAAATATCGACTTAATCACACTATTTACAAAGAGGGTGATCCTTCAAATGAAGTTTATTTTATATAAACTGGTTAATTTAAAGTATTATATATTTATAATTACTTTAGGTAGTTAAAAAATTAAGAATAGCATAATAACTTGAAGAGAATAATTATTAAGATGATCTATAAAAATTGAAAGATAGGTTTGCTTATTCTAAACCAAGTCTATCTAATTCAGATAAAATAGATATGCTCTATTAGAAAAAGAAATATGGAAACCTTGTTACTGGAGATAAAAAGTCTTGTATGACATTAAAGTTTGTTGGTGCAGGTGAGATGTTTGGGGAATTAGAAATTTTAAAATAATAGGATTTATGTAGATAATTTAGTTATATATCCACTTTTGAATCCAATACTGTGTATTCTGTCTCCAAAAGAGATTTCTTAAGAGTCTTATAAAATGATCAACCCTTATTAAAAAGTTTGAATTCTTTAAATGACGATAAACTAAAATAAGCTCTAGCATAGATTCAAGCATATGAAAAGAATTTTATTGATTAAACAGACAAATAAATTGTTCTCCAAAGAACTTAAATTAAAGAATAACTTAATCCAAAATTATTAACTGATGAAGATTTGCAATCAAATGTATTAGTACGCAATAAAACTTTTGTTTCTAAAGTAAGCAGTAAAAAAAAGTAAATAGATAAAAAAATTCGAGAACTTACTTTAACATTAGAATCTCCTAAGTCTGAAATGAATTATAGTACATTACTTACGTAATTATATAAATCTGAAAAGCATAGAAGATAAAGGACAGAATTGTAAATTGTTTTGTTTTCTAAGAAAGGTCCTAAAAATACAAAAAAATCAATTGAAAAAAGACCAAAAACAGAAATGTTGTCTCATGACTCTCCTAAACTAAATGTATATATAAGTAATGTCCTATCAAAATTATTTTCATCATAGCCTATAATAAAAGAGAATTTAAATTAAGAAGAAGAGAACTATAATAAATAATAATAAAAATTCAATATAAAAGAAATTAAAAAAAGCAGTGATCATATTTAAGATAGTTCTCGAAATTTATAAAAGAAATATCAAACAGAAACAACTTTAACCAGGAGAATACATTCAACAACTTCTAGATAATTATAAACAAGTCCAACTTAATCTAAATTTGGATTAATAGATAAATTTAATTCTAATTCTTTTAAATCACATCTTCCTTTTGTTTTGCAAAATAAATATTTTGGATTAACACCTAAAGAATAATGAATATAATAAATATTAATCAATGCATTTATTCCCCTAATCACTTTGTAAATTCAGATAGTTTATTCATTAATTCTCTATTAATATTCCTCTAAGTTTATAAAGCCTATTCTTTATCAGATAAACTTTCAACCAAAGAATTAGCCTAATAATATATTTCTTTATTTTACTAATTTCTATAAAATTTATATTTCATGGGAATTATTGCTCTTTAAAAAGTGTTTAGTTGTTAATTTCAACATATCCTATTCATAATCACATTTCAAACTAAAATTTATCACTTTTTTTTTTACTTCTTTATAGTAGCTTCCAAATTATTAATAGTAGTTTTTAATCTTTTTATTTCTTCCTACGAATTATTATTATTCTAAACAATAGGATTACCTATTATAATTTCAGATTATTTATTTGACTGAACATCACTCTAAAATTAAAAATATAATCATTACTTCAGAAGATACATCAGATTTCTCTTTCTTCTGATTAAGTTCAATCTCTTAAGATAAGCTCTCATACTTTTTTTTTAAACTATTTAATTCATTTTAAATTAATTCTTTCTCTTCTATTATAAATATGTTGTTGCTTTCAAGTTTTTTTATTTCTTTCATTAACTAATCATTTATGAGTTGCCATTATTGATTTTCTTTGATGCATTTCTCTAAATATAAATAATTATACATCATTTTATTATTTTAAACTGTCAAGCTTTTCTCTATAAAACATTTCTCTTATTTCATCTTAATTTTAGTGTTACTTATTTTTCAATTCTTCAATTTCAAGTTAGAACTTTTTATTTGTATTTTCTAATAAGATTACTTAGCTCTTTAAAACTTTAATTTCTTAAATATATATTTATGTTTTCCCATCCAATTTATCTATCTATTATTTTAAATTCTATATTTCTTTCTCCTTACTCTAAACTTATAAACTTTATTATGCTAATTATTTATCATTTGATTCAATTTTTTTGATATTTAAATTATACTATTATTAAAGTTCATTTATATTTTTTGTTAGTTTTTGTTTTATATCTTATAATTATAAAATCTCATTATCTTTTTAAATCAACTTTTATTCATAATCAGAAAGTAGTATATATAATTAAGCTGTGTCACTTAAATGAGTTATTTTTGATTTTAATGTTTTGCTAAATTAAAAAATAGCATCTCGAACTATATTATTTGTTAAAGCTGCTAATAATTTAATATTTTAATTGAAGATTTCAATCTAATTATTATTTTTCTTAATAATCTTGAGTTGGTATTTTTCAATATTCATTATAATCTTATTTTAATCAGTTTTTAATATCAATCCATTTTCATTAGCAATTAAAGTGCATATTAAAGGTAAATTAAGATCTGCAAAGGATTAGTTATCTTATGCTTGTATATTTTCCAATTTACAATTTAATTACATCTCTCCTTGATTAAATGCTTAGTTAACCTAATTTTAATGTATTAATCTACTAAATCAAAGATTTTTGAATCAGCTTGCAAAAAACTAGTTTCAGCCATTAAAGGCATTCCATTATATTCAAAGTCTAAAATCGGTATCGCTTAAACCATAATTCTTAAAGGATTATTGCAGAATTTACTTAGTATCAATATCTAATATACAAGGTTAATAGAATTATCCCGATACATCCTCTATTTCCACAAAGTCTTTATCTTTGGTGATGTTATACCATTGGCATTTCAATGGAATTGATTATCCCTTAAATTATCCTAAATTAAATTAATAAATTACCTTTGTTGAAAGATGCTTCAATATGTAGGAGTTCAGAATGTAGATTACCTCCTTTCAAATTAACATTGATATATGTTTCATCGATGATTGATTTTGAAGTTGACATGAAAAGAATTTAATTTATTTTATAAT